CAAATGGTTTTTTTTTTTTATTATTCACAGAAGTATCTGGACAGAGAATATGATAACATTTCCACCCCTTCCCATTCCAGTAGCTGTGCTGGTGGTTGAAACACCACCTTTTATTCTTCACAAGCAGAGAGGTTTTATCTCCCCATCTCAGTGCCAAACATCCAAGCAGTGATTGGTTGATAAAGCACACTCTGCCCACTGTTTAGAGAACACTCTCAAAAAAGCAAATAGAGCACCTTACCTCCCCATCTAAGCCCTGAATACCACAGCACTGAGATCAGGCAATAACACCCAGGGGGTGACAGGCTACTTCCTGCAGCTTTACAGGCCGGATGCAACCTGAAGCTTAGTCACCCTTGCCTTTCAGTGTCACTCAGTGTGGCTCTATTAGGGCTGTAGTCCTATACATAGATGAAAAATGCTCCATGAAGCAGGCCTCTGGGCAGAGGTTATTTAGAAACAGCTATGGATGTGGAGGGGATGTTTGGGTTTGCCAGGGTTTGTTGACACGAGTAAAATTTAAAATCCAAACTACTCCACCCCACCCAATCCTCATGGTAAATAACTGTGGGTTTTCACTGTCAATTGCCAAGAAGAGTTATTTATTGCAAGTCGTGTAATAAAAAGAAAAGGTAGAACAGTGTTCTTATTGTGGACAGCCATTACTACGTGAGGGAAAAGGGGCTCCACCTGTTTGCTTACTAGGGAGTGTGTGTTTGCTAGAGGGACGGGGGCCAGATTTACTCTTCCTTGTGAACTCTGATTTCTGAAGGGTGGAGAAATACACCTTTGACATATTCCCCCAAAATGCATAGTAAAACAGGTCAGTACTTTATTATTCTTTTCATTTTTTAATTATTTTAATTTTACTGCAAATTCATGAGGAATGGGGAGAAGGGGGGGGAGGGGGCTAGCTAAAAAACAAGAAAAAAAACACCTGTCAGCTCACATTAACAATACAGTAACCATCACTACATCCATTTTAATTTACAGATTAAAAAGACGATTAGCCAAATTCGCAGAGGATAAAGCTAACAGTGGCTACCAGCCATGATGGCTATGCTCTGCCTCCACATAGTTGGAGGAAGTAATGCTTCTGAATGGGAACTGCAGAAGTGGAGAGAGCTCTTGTGCTCAGGTTCTGCTTGCAGGTTTCCCACAGAAAGATCCAGCAGCAGACTCTTCTTATGTTCTTACACATAAAGCTCCGTAAATGCCATCCAAATGTCCAATGGTATCTAAGTAAGGTTAGCATTTATTAAAAGTGTGCTTAAATGCAGCTAGGAGGTTAAAGATTTCAGTCCCTTGTATAATAGATGAGTTTGGAGTGCAATAGTTTTACTTTAACAACCCTCCCAACATCCTGCACAAGAGCTGTATTACATTTTAAAGTTGGTAGTGAGTAGCAAGACTCACATGCAGGTCTGGAGATTCCCAACCCAGCACTCATTGGCACTATAGTGCCCACAAATATCTTCCTGGATGATTCCTGAGGTCACCTCGGTGCCCACAAACACAAGGTTGGTGACCCTCATGCATAGGATTCTTTTTTTTTTTTTAAGATCATTTCTGTACAATTTTACTTTACCCCAAAACCATTAAAGCATTTTCAGTCTATCTTAAAACATAAAGTAAAACACTACAATGTATTCTGAATTAAAATGTATAAGGAGAATCAAACCCCAAACACAACAAAGATCTGCATTTAAGGCAGTTAACAGAAAAACTAATTATTCCTACACTCAAAATTTGCAAATAAAAATCAAATACAAAAAGACAGTAAACTTTTTTCAAATTAGGGTTCAATCCCCCCCCCTCTAGCTATGCTCCTGTGTCTTCAAGAACTACATGACAGGCAGAGATTCAGTATGGAAAACGCTCTGAATTTCTGTCTGCTAGGCAGCTGTCAAAGGTGCAGGACTGGGAAAATCAGGTGGCAATTTAATTCTGTTTGGCACCACTGCTTTCCAGCAATGCCTCCCCCTCTGTGGAAATAGCAGAGCTGAGCAGTACAGTTGTTGGCAGCACACAAGAGCGAATGTTACCAGGCTTATCTACACAGTTATCATGTTGCACAATGGGGAAAATGGAAGTATATGGGGAGCAGTGCCGGATTTATGTATAGGCTAAGTAGGCTGAAGCCTAGGGCCTCTAAATCTAAGGGGCCTCACCAGCCCTCCCACTCCTCAGGGGGCAGTCTCCCCTCTCTCAAAATTGCAAACCCAAGACTTCATGCGAGGGCAGGGCAACTCGGGTCTCTAAGTCTAGAGGGCCTCACCAGCCTGCCCTCTCCCCAGTGCCACAGTCTCCCCTCTCCCAAAATTGTAAACCCAAGACTTTATGCAAGGGCAGGGCAACTCAGCCCCAGCAACTATTAGACTCAGGGCTAGGCAGTGGGGTCCAATTTGAAGCGGTGGGATGCAACTTGATTATTATTTTTTGTAGGGCCCCAGTTCACAGCCAAAGTCTGCAAAATCTTATAGATATACAGTGGTGCCTCGCAAGACGAAATTAATCCGTTCCGCAAGAGTCTTCGTCTAGCGGTTTTTTCGTCTTGCGAAGCAAGCCCATTGACGGATTAGCGCTATTAGCGCTATCAGCTGTTTAGCGGCTATTAAAGGCTTAAAGGCTTAGGGGATTAGCTGCTAAAAGGCTATTAAAGGCTATTAAAGGCTTAGCAGATTAGATAAAGGGGGAAGCGAAAAAAATCTCAGGACTCGCAAGGTATTTTCGTCTTGCGAAGCAAGCCCATAGGGGAATTCGTCCTGCGAAGCAACTTCAAAACGGAAAACCCTTTCGTCTAGCGGTTTTTCCGTCTTGCGAGGCATTCGTCTTGCGGGGCACCACTGTAAATAAAATCCATCTAGATTGCCCTGGTGCAGGGGCCCCCTTAAGAGCGGCCCGTGGGGCCCAATTTGGCCCAATTGCCTTAAGGTCAGCCCTGTTGAGACTGTGCAGGGGTTGGACTGACAAGCCCTGCACCTTCTAGGTCCCTGGTGTCACCATTCAGAGTACAGACTCAAGAACTTGTTATGGAAATAAAGGGGGGGGCACTTATTGGAAATCAGTTTTGTCACCTCTTCCCTGAGATATCGAGCCCAGCCACCTTTTATTCACAGTCGCATAAGCACTACACTACAGCATGGCCATAAACTTGTACGTTCAACCACTGAAATATACACCCAATATGTAGCAATGGAGATTTATGTTACTGCTTTATGAATGAACAATGTGTTTTATGAATGGACTCTGTATTTTTTGAATTACCTAAGAGCCACCAATAGGGAGCTCTAGAATCTGACAGCTAACCATTTGGGTACTACCAAACAGCGACCCCTATTGCTGAAAGCAGGTAACCAGCTGGGAATGCTTCAGCTTAGCCTTTGCACTGTGGACTGAACACCCCCTGCTGTGCAGATAATGGAGAAAGCTCATAAATTGTATCCCTTCTGGCATCCTGGCCAGCTCAATTACACTGGTGTTAACACTGGTGCACCAGAAGCACATAATAGCAGCAAATAAAATCCATTCATACGTCAGCAACTGATAAGACTTGTCAACCAGTTCTTCCAACTCTTCCTAAATTATAAAGCTCCAAAATACAGGCCAAAAGAGACCAGGTCTGGGAAGAGTGAGGCATCCAATGGGCACCACCAGTGAACAGGCCCTGTTCCGTGTAACTCCTGCCCTGTCATTTGATAGAGTGCCCACTTGCTCTCCTTCTTGACATGGGAGTCTCCAGGTCCAGTACAAAGACCATAAGAAGGGAGAGCAGGGACCTTGAATGTCCCAACAGCTGCTAAGCAAGCAAGCACAGAGGTAACCTTTATCACAGTCAGGACGCCTATGTCCTGGCCTGCACCCAATCTTGTTTTCGTACAATCTTGTTTGTCCTCAGTAACCAAAATTATATTATCAAGATATACAAGCAGAAAAGTTGTTTTCCTTCATTTGCAAGGAATCGTACAAAACGAAGTGGCACTAATAAAGAAAAGTTCCAGGGTGGCAACAAAAAGCAAAGTAAAAATGCTTTTGCAGTTCATGAAAACTATCCAGCAATATCAAGTTATAGGAAAACTCATGCTATTAACTGTAATCCTTCTAGCTGGTTAATTGGTTTGGCAACTTCCATGCACATGATGTGTAATGGTAATTATTTCCCCCAAGAGTTAAATAACTGATCAGAGGCAGCTACAGGAGAGCTATGAAATTCAGGTGAGGGTCAGATGCCTTGTCAATCCCAGCAGATATATAAGAGGATGACCAGCCTGCCCAGGCCTGCAGCGGGGGGGGGGGGGGGCGTGTTTGTATCTGTATTTTTAACTTTTGCAATAGACCTTATTGCAGTTTTGATCCTTTTAAAAATATTTTCAGTATGTGTTTATCTTGTCTTAATTGCCGTGTTTTACCACAGATGCATCTGTAGCACTGGGATCTTTTGGGAGGCAGAACACGATATAAATTTAACAAATAAAAAAAATCACATGGCTATCTCAACAAGAAGAATCCCGTAAGGCAGGTTAGGCAATGCCTGGGCTAAGCTCATCCAGGGCGCTCCAGGGCTGAATGGGGATTTGCATGGGGTCTGCCAAGAGTATTGACACTTTAACCAAGACACCCCTCTGGATGCCTGAGCTACCCAGCAGGCGCGTGGCTGGACGCAGCAGAACTGTCAGCAGGAGGCGGCGGCACACGCTTTCCGAGGTCACACACGCGGCCGGCAAGAAAGGACCATCTGGCGGCACGCGCGAAGCTACAGCGGGGCGAGGGGGGCCTCCGAGACGGCAGCCGTCAATCATCATCAGCAGGCCCGACACCAAGCAGCACGCGCGCGCAGCACACCGGAGACATGAATAGCGCGAAGGGGAGGACCATACTAAGCAGCCACTACGTAGCTTCCAGAGCAAGGCTCCGGCGGTGGTCGCTTGAAAGGGCGCATGCGCACTTCCCTTCCTCCCGTTTGTCTTCCTCGCCCCCCCACCCGTTCACAGCCCGGCCCTTCCCACGCCCGGAAGTGACGCACGGTGCCGGCTCGGCGAAGGTGGGTGGGGCCCCTGTGGCGGAAGCGGCTGGAGTCGGGCGGGTCCCCGGTGCGGCGCGCTTCTCAGCTAGGTGGTTTTTTTTCTTTCCCTTCCCCTCTCCCCCCCCGCCTCCTCCTTCCCCGCCCGGCTTCCGTACCCCTCCTCACCTCGTCCCGCCCGCAGCCGTCGCCATGATCCTGCTGGAGGTCAACAACCGCATCATTGAGGAGACGCTCGCGCTCAAGTTCGAGGGCGCGGCCGCCGGGTGAGAGAGAGAAGGGAGAGGGGAGAGGGAGTGGCAGGCGAGGCGGCGGCGGCGGAGGGGATGGGGGGGGCAAAACGGGGCTCCCCGACAACCGCCCCCCACCACACGGGCTGCCGGAGCAGGAGGGTGGCGGCAAGGCTCCTTCAAGGCAGGGCGGGGATTCGGGGCCTACTTCCACACACACACTCGCCCCCCACTTTATTTGACTGTCCGCCGGGGTGAAGTTGTGCTTCCCCACCCTGTGTGACTAGGTGCGGGAGAAGGACTTCCAACTTCCTCGCTGAGCTCCCTTCTTTCCACCCAGAAATAAAACTGACTCATGAAACTGAACCGTTTCGTATCGATTTTCCCTCTCCTCCCGCTCCTCCCAGTCTGTCAAAATGCCTTGTAGCTCTCCGTCGCTGTATCGGCATCGCATAACGTTAGGCAGCGGAAAGGAGGCTTGTTCCTAAGGGGGGGGGGGGACTCCAAAGGGTTGGGTAGCTGGGTAGGTTCAGTCGGTGGCGGCCTTTGAATGCAGGTTTGCTGCAGAGCAGGCGGTATAGGCTGATCACACCACACGCTGCTTCTTCCCCATTCTCACCAGGAAGTGCCCTTTTCTCTGGGATCTCACTTGCTCAGCCTTGTTTTAACTTAGGGTGTGTCTCTGGGTTTGCACATAGAGTGTACGTTTCAGGTATGTAAAGTGACTGAGAAGCCAAGTGTTCTGTAATGGTTTAAGCAAAGTTAAAAGGAGATTGCGAAATCCATTTTTGATAGTTTTTCAAACTTGGAGCATGCAGAATTGTTTGAAAATAGTTTTCTGGTGTGTATGTGCCATGGGCACAGTGTTGGCGAACGTATCCCTGTTGTTGGAGGGTGTGGGTGCATTCAGCTTTTGCCTGTCCTTTAGGTGGATTGTTTCATAGAGCCATTGCTCAGTGGTAGAGCATCTGTTTTTTTCATGCAGAAGGCCCCTAGTTCAGTCCCCAGTATCTATAGGAAGGGCTAGCAAAGACTCCTGCCTGAAATCCTGAACAGTTACTGCCAGTCAGTGCAAACAGTACTGAGCTAGATGAACCAACAGTCTTACTTGGTATAAGGCAGCTTTCTGCATTCCTATATTGCTACAGGACTTCATTTAAGGTACTTAATACTGGAAACAAATGTTTCATGCTTATAATTTAGTTCCAAGATAACTGTCAGGGTATAACTAATTTGTGTTACGTGAGCCTTAATAACAAAACTGCCTCTCACGCCCACCTAGTTTAGCATTCTTTGTAAGGATCCCAGAAAATTGGAGATACCAGGTACATTGCATGTCAGTGTCCAGCAGACCATCTTCTGCTCATGCTTTGTATAAGAAATCTAAATGCAATGTAATTTTATACAATTTGTAGTGTTTGTTTTGTTCAAAAAGTAGTACTTTGGCTCATGGTATGCTGGCTTCTGGTAGTAGCAGTGCCTGACAGAAGCATCACACACTCTTTGAGGAAAACTTTGGGAGGGCTATTCCTGGGGGGGAAAGATAAAAATTTAATCACACAATATGTTGTACAGATCTGCCTGCTTACTCAAGGCTATAACAGTATATTGAGGAGCATTTCCTGTCAGAGGTTTTAAGAGTGTTTGTCATTTCACTAATGTAATACATGTAGTTGAATGTGTAGTATTTGGCCAGGTTCAACCTCTTAACTTCAGCAGTCGTCGTTTGCACACTGCAATGTGAGCACTGTGTGAAGACTCCTGGGAAGCAATAGACATCACTAACCAGTTTTATGCTTGCACGCAATAACACTAGCCATACTTGCTGATTCTGGATGTTCATAAATTTATCACCCCCACATAATACAACGTCATGTGCACAGAGTATCTTGTTGTCGAATGCTTCCCATTTCTAAATATGTAGAATTTTAGTATTGATGCTGCATTCATGCACATGTATGAATTAACATGCAGATAGCCCAGGTGGTAGAGAATGAGACTCTTAAACCCATGGTTGTGGGTTTGAGCCCTGTGTTGAGCAAAGGAGACCTGCATTTTAGGGGGTTAGACTGAACCTCATGGTCTCTTCCAACTCCACAATTCTATGATTGCAGCACTTGTGTCCCAACTCTTTGGGCAGGATGTGCTATCTTAGGCCCTCTTCATGCATGAATTATGCAGAAGCAAGCCTTGGTTTGGCACAAGGTTGCTGTAGCTTCCTGTTTAGTGTACAGTTACAATTCTTTGGTAAGTGCACTTAAGTATCTTTTTATCCTGTCTCAACTCCCAAGTAGCTCAGGGTATCTCCTCTATTTCTTATTAACTATGTGAGGTAGGTTAGGCCAACTGGCCTGGGGTACCCAGTGAGCTTCATGGCTGAGTAGCGATTTTATTTCAGGTATCTCCAAACCTTTGCATAAATTTATTCACTGCACCATACCTAGTAGCATGCACATTTGCAAACTTCTGCTGCATTTTTCACACACACACATGAACACGAACATGGGAGAAAGAAATCTAGTCCCCCAATCTGCTGCTCTGGAGGGAGTTTGGATGGAGCAGAGATGCCCCTTCACCCAGCTTTTCAGGCAGGATGACAGGCAGGAGCTATTGCTAGTGGCATCCCCGAGGCTGAGTTTTGGGGTAGACTGGCACAGGATCTGTTGGATCCTGTCTGGATCCTGCTGCTATGATGCAACAGGCATGATCTGGGACTTTACACTGCAGCAGCCTAGGATATTTTGTCCTACGGACCTACACCCCCCCCCCCCACAAAAAACCCCTACTTGTGTGGACACTGGAGCTATGGATGCAGCACTGACTGGAGCATTCCTTCAAACTCCGCTGCTGCAGCATTATGTTAGGATTGCAGCCTATGTGGCCCTTGCACTAATCTCCTGTTGAATTCTTTATGTGTCAGGAAATATAACAAAATGGCTTCTCTAGAACGGCAGTATGATTAGTATTTTAGGTATATTAGCAGAGAGGAAGTTGTAGGTTCTGCATTTTTTAAGCTGAAGGCTTCCATGTCCCGACAAGCTCAAAACCAAGACAGAGATCTGAAATGAGTACTAAATTGTTTGTTTCAAGCTGAGTCATTCTTCATTTACGGAATGAGTGTATAGCGAACTTTTTCTTCCTGCATTTATACATCTGAGAAATAGTCCTAAGCCCCACAGTTTAGAGCGCTGCTCCTTTGAAAACATGCCCTTAATCAATGTGTGTTTAGTCTGAATCCAGTATATGGTACTGGTTTCTAGCTCCTTGAATGTTTCAGACACATCCCTCAGTTGCAGAATGATAAGTGTAAATAGAGAAGTAATGAGTGCTTAAATGCCTTGGAAGTGGTGATAATTAATGGATGGGCTACCATGCTTGCATTGTGGTGCTCTGTTCTTGTCTCACAGTTCTATCATTTGTGTTTTAGTTTGAACATTTCTGTTTTTGTTTGAACTGGTCCCATTGCTACTTCACTTTATTTGATGGAACAGAAAATGCTGTTTGGGATAATTTTGGATAAATTAAGGTAGTGCAGTCAGATCAGTAAAATGAGAGCAGGGATCCATCATTGTATGTAGTATTCTATGGAATAAAGGAGAATATATTTCTAGGAAGGGCCTGGCTTTGGCACCATCTTTTCTTTCATTGTCTGCATATTTGTGAAAACGCTTGCTCAGCTTTGCCCACGGGTGTTCTGGAACGTCAAGTTATCTGTGGTTTTTTGTTTTTTTTAAAAAAAGCACGCATATTTCTTGGGAACAGCCCAGAATGCTATGCATTCCCAGCTATCACTGTTGATCTGTGAACATTATGCCCACACAGCTTCTGCTGTGCTAAGTCACACTTAGTAGCCTGTTTTAACTGCTCTGGCTCCGGCTTTGGTTTTTAGTGTTTCTATATATGACATTTGTCATGCATTCCCAGATTATGATGGACACAAAGTTACACATGGAATTAAATAACATTAATTTTACATTTGTAGCTCTTGATGTTTCCTGGCAGTCTGGAAACAGTTTCAACATACTTTTTCAAATTTTCTGTTTTAGATGGTTTGGTAAGCCATGCAGAATGATTCTTTATTTGGGTCTAGGTTTTCAGTGACTGTAGCCAACTTGGAACAAAATTTTGCATCAAGAAGTAGTGAGTTCTTCAACTCCACCCGGCAGCAGCTGATCAGAGGTTACTACATATTGGCAGTAGACAGACATAATTGATTAATCTGCAAGACTGTCATAGAAAATCTTTCTAATATATCTTTATGTAGATTTTTCAAGCTTTAGTTTCTTAATACTATCTAGCGGCTACCTCTCTGGCTGTAATGAAGTCTCTCAACACAGCAGAAAGCCAGAAATAGGAGTGCTTCTGCAGTAGGTTTGCACATTACTTCCTTCTCATTCATTTTATGTGCGTTGGATAATTCAGTATTTTCAGCAGCCCTTGGTATCTTCTTCAAGTCAGGTGATGCTGAAGTTACATGTACTGTTTAATTTAATCCTGCTTCTCTTATGTCTCTTATGTGAAATTCTGAGATTACTCCATAAAGAATAAACAGACACAGGGTAGAACCATTGTACAGAGACAGACTATCTGAAAAAGGAAGGTAAAGTGATGGAAGGGCTGGACTTCAAACAAACTAAAGTCATATTGCAACTTGTGTAAGTGGCTGGAGGATGGATGGTGGGTAACAGATTGAGGTTGAATTCTGACAATTCAAAGTGTTGGTGCTGACCTTTAAAGCCCTAAATTGCCTCTGTCCAGTATACCTGAAGGAGCATCTCCAGCCCAGGCACTAAGGTCCATCTCTGAGAGACTTCTGCTGGTTCCCTCACTGAGAGAAGTGAAGTTACAGGGAACCAGAGGGCCTTCTTGGGAGTGGTGCCCTACCTGTGGAATGCCCTCCCTTCAGATGTCAAGCAGATAAAGAACTACACAACTTTTAGAAGACATCTGAAGGCAGCCCTATATCAGGAAGTTTTTAATGCTTGATGTTTTACTATGTTTGTATATATGCTGTAAGCTGCCCAGAGTGGCTGGGGAATGATGGTGAGGGTGATGTGAGGGTTACATTCTGGGGATTGCATATAAAGTCAAAATCTATACAGTCAAAGCAACCCCAAAACTGGCCCCACACAAGCATCCCCACCTTTAAACTTTCCACCTTGCTTGCCAGACTGGCAGGGAGGGGCTCTTGCACAGGTTCTCAAAGCAATCACAAGAAGTCACAGGGCTGTGTGAGATCTCTCAAGAGCAGGCTTCCTCAACCTTGGCCCTCCAGATGTTTTTTGAGACTACAATTCCCATCATCCCTGACCACTGGTCCTGCTAGCTAGGGACCATGGGAGTTGTAGGCCAAAAACATCTGGAGGGCCGAGGTTGAGGAAGCCTGCTCAAGAGCTTCCCAGAGCCCAATCAATAAGCAAGTCAGAGATGCATTGAATTGCATGTGCCTTGCATGCATTTTAATTTGTGTGATATCAGTTTGCCAGCACCAAGTATGCAAAACTGGGATCACACAAGTTTAATGCATGTAAGTTGTGAGTTGACTGTATCTAAGAGAATTTGTCTGCTGTCCTTCCACTGTAAAACACAGTGCTTTGGGCAGCTGGCCTAGCACCACGCCAGGCTGACATACCATTTGGTGCTTTCCTTGTATCTGATGATGCAGATCTGCATAAGCTTTAACTCATTCTGAATGCAAAGATTTGTACATGAAAGGAAATTCCACTGCTTTCATTGGGACTTCCAAGTAATTGTGCAACATATGAGCCTGACAGTTCCACATACCCTCATATCCCTTAAGCATATGAGGGATTTAAAGTTTGTGCCTGTGAATGCTTGAACATGGGACTGGGACACTTTAACTAGTTATCTTAAATGTTGCAATTTCCTGTTCTAATGTTTATTTTTGGCACAGTGCTATTACCAGATTCTACCATAATCTATATTTATTAGTACATCCTGTCCTGCACTTCCCCAAAGCTGTATAGACTTGGTGGAATATGAACTGATCCCCTGTGCAGGGTGTAAGCTTTTAATTGGCTTTTTGTTTGTCCTACAGAAATGGGAGATTAAATTGGCCTGAAATCCTCAATTTCCTTTATTACTCAGACCAGACATTAATTGTGAACCGAATGAGCTCCTAATTAGGCTGCCTTTCCCCTGTATGCCTTCCTGTGTGCCTTGGCCCCCACTTCTGTCTAATGTAGCAGATGAGAAGCAAGTTCTGCACAAGATACTGTACATAATTATCTCTTTTCTCATTTCATTAATTTACTGTTAGTCTGAGGCATTTGGCTTGTGTCCGAGTGAAAATAGGGGAAATGCTGTCAGATGGGGATTTGACGTTGGTTTTAAGCATGTGTTGGCTTAGATCCATTCTAGCTGCCATTCTCTCTTACCAGTAGATTTGGGGACAAAAGTCTGATCAGGAGTTCGAAAGTACAGCAACTTAATTTAAGAATGGCAAACAGCTATCATTAGGTGGAGGGAGACAGAGGAGTGCAGGAAGAAATTAGGCCAGCCAAAAGCATTTCTCATCATCTTTTGCATTAGGGTAGATGTCCTTGGAATCAGATTCAGAGAGGATTTGAATGGCCTGAACTCAGTGCCCATTAATGTTAATGGGGAAAACAGACAGATGCCTCTGGCTGAAACCACTACTGTTTTTTTTTAGCCTCCCAAGTTCAGATGAGTCTGTCAAAAACAGGCCTGTCTTGCATTTAGAGTCTGTTACAGGAAGGGAACTGACTGCTGGGTGGTATTTTTGGTTTGTGAGCCTTTTTTGTTTGCTCTTTAGGGCAGATGCAACTAAAAGAAAAGCTCCCTGTGTCCTCATGTTTCAGGTGGCTTGCACTGTAGGAAGCTCACAAAGAAAAAGAGAGAGAGACTCACTTTAATCAGAATAGCAGAAAGCAGTGCTTTGTTGGAAAGTTTGGAGATAAGTCTGACTACTAATAAGTCATTTTGATTGGGAAGGGAGCCATCAGGAGGAGCAAATGGATTCATACATCACCAGTGAAGTAAAGCTACACGTAGAAAGCACGTCAGAGTGCAAGTAGATAAATAGGTACCACTCCGGCGAGAAGGTAAACAGTGTTTCTGTGCGCTGCTCTGGTTCGCCAGAAGCTTAGTCATGAGTGCCGCAACCCCAGAGTCGTTTGTGACTGGATCTAACGGTCAGGGGTCCCTTTACCTTTACTTTATGCCCAATTGAACAATGTGGATCTTGTATTTGTGGTGCTGGTAGAACATGCTGAAGGATGGCTCCATATGATGGGTTAATGTTATCAGTCCCTTGCCTTGAAGCTTTAAACTTTCGTTCACACACACTAGCATCACTCTGCAATTGGAGGCTGGCAGAGCTTATTTATATGTTATGCTTATATCCCACCCCAAAGCAAGACCTTGGCCCATCCAACACCCCCCCTCCAAATGTGGTGGATTGGGAGTTTGGATTGCAGCCTTACTGACTATGCAACATATAAGCAGGAACAAAATATTCACTGCACGCAGTGGTGAGAAATAAGTGACATCACTGATTTTTGAAGGTTTCATCTGGACAATAGTTCATTAAAGATATAATCAGTTATTCAGAATGTTATTTTACATAAAAAGTTTATTGGTCTTCTATAACTGTTTCTGCTTTGCAGTTGCACCACACAAGTATTTAATTGTATTTCGGGTGCAGAGGACAGTACTCTGGATTTAACCATTCTGACTACAAAGATGAATTTGAATATGTGGGCAATGGCTGATGAAATCTCAGATGCCACAGGAACAACTTTTTGGTAGCAAGGAAGTACTTTATAGCTCCAGCTGCTCCTAGCCAAAGTGTATTCTTTGGTGAGAAAGAAGCCATTATATGCACCTGTGTTTAAGTTGCCAACATCTTTCAGGGTACCAACATCACCTTCTCTTGGTAGACGTTGTGTGTGCATGCACATGAGTGGGTGTATATTTCTAGCAGGATAACAGAATCCCTTTGTATGTTGTGTGCTTCAAGAATGACATATATTTTCATAGGCTAGCAAAAAGCCCTACAAAGGAAATGCCAAAATGACTTTGACTGGAATTTTAAACATCTAGCAAAATAAGTGGAAAATATCTTAAATATCCACACTGAAATTGAAGCATGTTGTGGCTGAGTGAAGAATGTTTAAGAAGCACCGACATATTAGTTAGTTCTGTAAGTCACAGTAGCCAGTTTGGGCTGGACACAGGGATTTGGACTTAGCAATCAACTGCCAGTTAGCAAGTTGGTAACTGATGGCCATCAGACTGAATTTGTTCCCTCCTTGCTCTCCTTGAGTGTCTTTCTCTTTTATTATTGAGAAGCTGCAAAGTAAGAGATGTAGTCAGAGGTGAATGTAAGATTCAAGAGGATAAGCCCCATTTTCATTCATTCTCACTAAGGAAGTACTTGAAATGAGAGCCAAAGAATGGTATGAGTGGCAAATCTCATTTTTGAGCCACCCTTCTGTTACATAGTATACAGCAATCATATACTATAGAGTGAAAACTGAGCTGGTGGATTGAGAATGGTGGTTGGATTCACACAGTTTACCAGCCAAGAAGTTTAAAATTGTGTGGGCACTATGTATCTTTGGGTAAACTAATTTGCCTTCAGGTTTGTGCTCACAAAATGTGACTTACCATAACTATATTCAGGAAAAAGTTCTGGAATGCTTGGAGGTGACCAGTTTTGCTGTTTTAACCATCTGCATGGGTGCATTTTATGTTCACATAAGCTCTGCAGTGGAAATGAATTTGGTGAGTGCATAAGAAACGATGGTTGCTTTTTATTCCTGCTTGAGAACTAGCAAATGTGTGGGTGGGGAGCCTGCCTCTTTTGCTGCCTTCTGCTTCTAGCTAATAAAATGCTCTTGCTACCTCAACCCCAGACTGCCAGTCACATTTAGCTGCGTGGTAATGACTAGTGCTTGAAAATGGAATTTATCTTCTGGTCTGTGTTGATAACCAATGAACATAGATTAATTTGAGAGCATGTGGAAATGGCTCCCCACTCAAGATTGAAGGCTAAAATGGGGATCTAATTCCTGGTGTAGTAGACCTATAGTCTTAAACTCCAGATGGTAAGCAAAATTTAACAGTAGTCTGTAGGTAACTGGAAATAATTTCATATATAGGAAGCCATACTTCCATTTATTCCCCTTAGTTTGTGCACCGTATTTCCACTGTGATAACTGTCTAGAGCAGTCTTCCCAACCTGGTGCCCTCCAGATGTTTTAGACTACAACTGGCCAATGGTCAGGGATGATGGAAGATATATTCTACAACATCTGGTGGGCAAAGGCTGGTCCTGAGCTTTCTAAAGTCTCATTATAGAATTCTAAGAACTGTCTTGAGCTTCTTAAATGCACTGAAACCGTACATGATTCTATTAGCATGGATGAAGAGGAGGTTGTCAAAACAAAGGGTTTGGTATTGATAGTTTATAATGTAGTGCCATATATAGACATAGCTTAAGAAATTTCACGGCTATTTTTGACTTAAGCTAGTGAGAAGGAAGATGCTTGAAGTTAAAATTCTGGGTACCATTTTCACTCATACATACCACAATACCAAAACAAAATATGTAGTTCAGAAACCATGTTTGTCTTTTGCTAGAGCAATTTCCTGCTGGTTGTCTATGGTTCTAAATGAGCACTAGACAGAACTTAACACAATATGGACAAAACCTAGTTTCAATAGTCCCTCCACTGGCGAGAAAAGTCAACATGGAAGAGGCTTCCTTGACCACAAGCTTGGTCATACTTTTGCATAAAAACTACAATCCAGCTGGTTTGCTTGGAACTTGTTAAAGCTCAGGCCCAACAACAGATGTGGTGAACAGATTTATTGCATCCTGAAGTCAAGGTCAGTCACTCAGAAATGAGTTGCAATAATGAGAGGAATTCTTAGTTTCATCAGTGATACCACTGGATCAGCCAGTGCTCTTATGAAGGAGCTTTTTCTGTCATTGCAAGCAGAAGTGCTGATGTGGGGTTTCCCCTTCCCCCACATTGTTCTGGGGGCTCTCCTGATCCTCCAGAGCGGATATCGGGGTGGGGGGCTAAGCTCCATTGTGCTAACAGGAGTCTTTGCATGAGTGGCTGAGGAAACCCAGCCAGATGGGCGGGGTATAAATAATAAAATTGTTGTTATTGCTTCTGCTAATGGAGCCAGGTAGTTTAACCCAGTATGGAATATGGTACAAATCAAGTTCACTTTCCATTAGGACCCTTTTACAGTTGCTTGTGCCTGTTCTGTAGCCTCACAAAGTAACAGAAATACAGTGGTACCTCGCAAGATGAATGCCTCGCAAGACGAAAAACGCGCAAGACGAAAGAGTTTTCCGTTTTTTGAGTCGTTCCGCAAGACGAATTTCCCTATGGGCTTGCTTCGCAAGATGAAACGTCTTGCGAGTTCTTGCAAGTTTGTTTCCTTTTTCTTAAAGCCGCTAAGCCGCTAATAGCCGTGCTTCGCAAGACAAAAAAACCGCAAGACGAAGAGACTCGCGGAACGGATTAATTTCGTCTTGCGAGGCACCACTGTATATCTATTAAGCTATAGCACGCAAAGGGTAGACCAAGGTTTGTAGGGCTGTTTAAGAATATATGGGTCACGGTTATATTTCTAATCCTGGTCACTTGGGTATCAGAGGCTATTGGGAATCTCTGTATGCCAATGGCAAGGCTAATGTGCTGCAAATATAGATAATGGCTGCAGATATGCTAGAAAGTATATGGATCAAAAGCTGGCATTCAGCCCTTTGTGATTAAGTGTACCCCAGATCCTGTGAACTTTTGCAAGGGCTTCAGCTTATTTTGATTGCTTTTTCTCTGTGTGTGGTTTTTTTGCAGAAACAAGCCTGAGGCTGTGGAAGTAACATTTGCAGGTAAGTGCCAATGTATTAAACTTCTTGGGATAAAGAATTGGGAGTAAAAACACAAATCCCCACATTGTGTTGCAGAGTTTGTCCTCATCAGTGAGCCCTGTGTCCCTTCTGCTGATGGGACTGTGCATGCACAAATAAAGCTCTTTTCTTGGTATATTAATGTAATCTAATGAGGAGCTGTTCTGTGTTCATCCTGTTGGAGTTGGTATGTTATCTAGTGAACTACCGTAAGACCTTTTGATGAAGGGTGGTATATATATCTAATAACTAATAAGGATTATGATGGTGATAGATCCATCAGGTGGCTTTCATAGCCTTCTCAATCTAGACTGAGTGTGCTTTTAAGGGTGAGATTTGTAAACTAAGAATACCATTCCATTAATATTTCACAACATCTGATACTCCAGTGAAAAGAGTTTATCTCAAGTTTGCAAGCCCTGGGTTCTTAATCTTTTTCATTCTTGATAAAATGGCCATCATCACTCAACTCAGATAGTGTTATGGCCTGGGCACCTATTGGCCCAGAACCACTGATAACTGTTGCTTTACCAGTGGGGAAGAATGGGAAACAGGTTTGCACTGAATATTAAGAGTTTCTGCCTAAGGGTAGTGACTCACAGGAGCAACCAGTTATAAACGTCCACTGTTAACTTGGCTGGGCACCTGAGTGTGGTTTTGAAAATGCAGCTTGATTCTAATAGAAACCTTTAGGCCCAGGTGTCATCTGGGAGAACCTAATCACAATACAGTCATAACATGATGGATTCTGCTTTGTCAGGCTGCTTTTCCTGTTCATGTAAAAGTCTTTTTTACTAGTAATTCAAAACCTTTATGCTGTGGTGTACATTATTTTAGAAAACGTCCTTCCTTGCTGGGCAGCTAGGTTCCAAAACATGCAAGCACTCATCTCTCAAACGCTTCCTTCCTAGACTTCGATGGAGTTCTTTACCATATTTCCAACCCTAATGGTGATAAAACAAAGGTTATGGTCAGTATTTCTCTAAAGTTCTACAAAGAGCTCCAGGAACATGGTGCTGATGAGGTGAGAATGTAGTCTTTATCCTTATATTCTATTGACGGCCTCTATACCTGCCTTAATTACCGTATTTTTCGCTCTATAAGATGCACCAGACCACAAGATGCACCTAGTTTTTGGAGGAGGAAAATAAGAAAAAAAAAAAAATTCTGAATCCCAGAAGCCAGAACATCAAGAGGGATTGCTGCGCAGTGAAAGCAGCAATCCCTCTTGCTGTTCTGGCTTCTGGGATAGATGCGCAGCCTGCATTCGTCCCATAAGACGCACACACATTTCCCCTTACTTTTTAGGAGGGAAAAAGTGAGTCTTAGAGCAAAAAATACGGTAACTCTTTAGAAGCATTTGATTTTCTTTAATTGAATTACTATAAATAGGCATTGCCAATTCACTGTTCATGGTGGAACTACTGAACACTATTGTTATGGGCACAATTCAAAATGCTGACTTGCATAGCCCAAAATTGTTGGAGTTTGGTGTGTCTCAGAACACTTCCTGGTCCTACATTTTCTCTTCCTAACCTGCTAAGATTTTCAAAACTCTCATCCCACTTATAGTGATAAAAATTCCTACTTGCGGCAGCACATTCTCAGTGATCACAAGTGACTAAGGAACTCTCTTCCAAGGGAAGAGTACTTGGACTCAGCCCCACATCATTAATTAAAATGTTTCCTTTTCTGTCAAACTTTGGGAGATTGACTAGTAGGTGATGTTGAATGCTGACTTCACTGTGTTATAATAATGTTGTTTTTGTGGATAGTAGGACTTCATTATAAACTACTGTCCATGTGAAAGGACGTCCAGGTAGTTTTAAATTTGGCATTTTGCTCGTTATAAATCTCATTTGATGATTGCCATCCAGGTATTTCATCATTTGTTGGTGGACTTCTCCTTAGCTTAGCTGTGTCCGACTTAAATCCATTTTAAACTTGAAACTGATATCTGTGGAATGGAGAAACACATGATGCCAATACTTGTAGAGATAGTACAGCTTACTCCAGTCTCTGTACTGCTGACTAGGGCACTGTCATTAAAAGGTTTGCACTGTACCATTGATACCTGGAGAGTTTGTAAGGGAGAAGCTGCAAGTGCTGGTTCTACTGTAGCAACGCTTTCAAAGCAGGATCTTTCTAGATCTGCTTGAATTTTTTTAAACCCACTTTGAGGGTTCTTACAATCAAGTGGTATATACATTTTGTGAATAAAAATAAATAATTGAATCTATCTGCAAGCCGCAAGGGCTCTCACTACTTAAGTTCCTTATGTGTGAAGTGGCAAATTTGGTTCATGTTGAGCAGCAGGTCTCTTGCTGCCATTTATGGTAGAAATAACAGTCCTCTCTGTGCCTTGTGGTTGCATCTCTCAGCAGAAAGTGTGACTCAGTTCCTGAAATGGTTTTCAGATGTTGCATAACTGAACGGGGGTTCATTCTGCATTAGCAAGAGCAGATGCTACAATTGGTACGGGGCATATGTAGAAAACTAAGGAAATGGTTCATAAAATTGCTTGAATCATGTACATTGGCATCTGAGAAGAGCCATGGGCAAAAAAAAATTAAAAATGAAAGCCTGGAAACTGCATGTTTTTAAAGCCCTGATGGCTTCTTTGTTCATGGAAAAGCAGTTTTGGGAGGATTTGTTTCTGAGCAGAAAAGTGTGTGAGTCAAGGGTGGTGATTTAACTCTTTCCCTGCCTGTTTGTTCTTCCAAATCTCTTCTCCTATTCATGTATATTTGTGTACATATACATGCTTAGCCTTGCAAGTGTGTCTGGAACCATTCAGGATGCCTAAGGGCTAAGGATGCCTTAAAGAGGGCTTGATTTGGAGCAGAAAATAAAAAGGAAGTGGTCTGTGTCCATTCAGTGGCTGTTCAATGCTGTTTTTGCATAAACAAAGTGGCCATCAGTTGTTGTTTTTTTTAATACACACTTGCATGTCATGTCTTGTTCAGTCTCTGAGAAACCCCAGCTGTATCAAATGAATAGGAGTATGGAGCAGCTTTGGCCTGAAGAACTCCAATGCCGCTGCTGATATCCTGGGGCACTAGGATATTGCTTCTTCACTGCCTCCAGAGCAACTTTGCATCTTTCTTTTGTCTCCCTCCTGCTGCTGCCACTTAACAGTTGTCAAGAGACAAGGAAGTTGCCCCAGTCTGGTTTTATTGAGAGCATTTGGTTGAATTGACCTGGAAAAATGTACTGTGTCTTTATTGCAGCTGCGATGCTTGACCCATCCATTTCTCTGGCCCAACAGAATTACTTTCTAAGGCAGGATGCAACTAGGAGCAGAGGAATGGAGGAAAGGGAAATTCTGCTGTGGGGTGAAAGGCAGTGAAGGTCTGCCCAGAACACATGATGTATAAGGCTAGCCTTATACAGGAGGAAAACAGTCTTGGCAATGAACAGTTTACTAAAAGATTGCCATAGGTTTTTAACAATGGACTGTGTAAATCTTTGATGGAGATGTTGGCATAGTACCTCTAAAGGGCAGAGGAGGCAGGCAAATTATTTAAAAAGTGTTCAAGTTCAGTTTTGTAGCACCTGTTGTCTTGCTACATTCCATGGAAAACTCCCAACCCAGTAAGAGTCTTAGGTTTTACCATATTTGTTTGAATGTGTGGTATCTAGTTCAGTCTTTCTGAGGACAGATGGAGTGAGTTAAGGAACTGATTCAAATAAACAGTGTGCTGCCCAGTTCACTCAAAGCCCAGTTCACTTTCTCCCTCTAGAGATACCTATTGCTTTTTTCAAACTACTCACCCTTGTTTCAGGGGAAAAAATGTAAGTTTTGTAGCTGAGTCAACCAGGACCACCAGGTATTGGGGAAATGCATGAGCTCTAAAGGTAGCTGGTATGACACACTTTGTATGTCAAGAGCTTGCGCATGTCTTTGGTAAGCAGCTAATAACAGAATTAGTTTTATGGCTTTCAAAAAACCTGCCTGTGAAACCTCATTTCACACTGCTAGTAGAGTGGGAAATATTTCCTCATAAGGTCATATGTATGTGTGAATGGGGGGTCCAATTTGTGCTACGGATTTGAACTTTCTGTGAGTATCACTGTGATGGAAGCATTCCTCTAAAGCTCTTGCACTAAGCCCCACCTTCGCAAGCTGTGCTGGGGGTCCTTGTGCAATTCTGTTCCCAACCCTGTTAGTTTATAAGCTATCTGGATCTTCTCAGTGCAGTTTCAAGTGTGTCTTTTTGCCTGGTCTGCATGGACACAGCTGCTGTCACACTTTAAGTAACTGGGTTGTAAAGCTGCTCCTCAAAGGCAAGAGGTGTGTGTTTTGAAAATATAGAAATTCCATTCAGTGTGAAATACATGCATATAGGTACTACTTGTGTGTGAGAGATGGCATGTGGTTGGAAAAAAATGCTCTTCTCTACACTTTGCTGGCAGCAAATCACTTTCAATAATTGGATTTGGGACAAGACAAGATGTCAAAGCTCCTCTGCATATAGTATATGTTCTACCAAAATCTGGCCTGTAATCAAAGTGCTACCTTATTTTATGACTTTCTGGAAGCTTGTATATGTGATTCAGTTGTTTGAGTACTCCAGCCTCTCTTTTACTATATGAATCCAGACATGGATTGAATCCATAAACTCTGGCAAGATCTCTTGTGGCTTTACTCTTTCTTCCCAAATTAAAGCATCATGTCACCAGCAGCAAGCTTATTATATGTATTAAATTTATAGCTCAACAGGAAAAACATAATTGGCCTCTGAATATGTGGCTGGAACACCATAGAATTCTTTGGGATTAACATAGAATAACATTAAATCTAGAATCTGTCAACCAGGAAAAAAGAATTTACTTTAATGTTCCCAGAACTCAGAAGGTGAGAAATACTAAATAGTGAATAGTTTTAAGAGGCCATTTTACATTAATCTGCTCCTTGGAGTTTGTTGTCGGAACAGCGCAGTTATTGTTGCAGAAACCATGCAGGTTGTATTGCAATGATTCATTGCCGATCCACTTGTATTAAGTGCTCAGTAACCTGCTTCCCCCTATGCCTTTCTGCATTAGTCAGCTACTTTTAAAGAAATATTTCTAAAAATCAAGTTACTATTTCAAGCACACTGGGTTCATCTGTTCTACCCTGAACTGAGTAGTGCCAAAATAAGTATCCCAGCTGAGAAGGCTTGATGCTGGTGAGCTATGCTGTTGGACGTCAGTATATTTTCCTTTGTTGTATAAGACTTTTAACTGTTAGAGCGTGAAGTGGTTGAAAAGAACTTTTAGGGCTTCTGGATAACTGCTTGGAACATCAAGAGTGACTGGAACAAGGGTTAGGGCTTTAAAAAGCACAGGGTGAGTGAAAGACGGGAAGGTGCTGAAGAGAGCACATAGGAAGACACGTCAAAGCTCACAACACTTTTCTCTGTCTATTTCCTAGTTGTTGAAGAGAGTGTATGGAAACTACTTGGTAACTCCAGAGTCTGGTAAGCCTCTGCATAATATGTGCCCTGATAACTTGTTCAGTTTGCTGCTCCAGTATAATTACTCCCTGCTTTTCAGAAAAGGAATTGCTTTCCACCTTTTCAAGCCAGCTCTCAGTTGCAACCTCCTTGTCACAGTGCTATTTTTAAAAAGCACCGCCTTCTCCCTTCAGTGTTCCACATGGAAGGCTGAGAACATCAGCGCTTTATTTCTTAGCAGAGCAAGCTATGATTCTGGATCCACCCCCAAGCAAGCCCCCGCTCCTCTAGTTAGGGATTCTTTGTTCTGTGTAAAAAGACTGACAGGCATTCAGAAGCAGTGGAAAACCATGGTTACCTGTGACAGTACTGCTTCCCACTCATTTGTTACAAAACACAGGGGTTGGACCTACTTTCCCAACTCTGAAAGAAGGCAGAGAAATGTTTTCCTTTGGTGGGAGGGGGGGGGGACACATTAAATGAAATGTATCAAACACTTATTTTGAATGTCCTTCCCTTGGCATGTTGGGTTGAAATAATTATTGAATGTATGATTCAGCAGTGCATTGCTTTCTCCAGAAAGTGATCCATTCAAGACTGACCAGGAGGGGAAAGTTGTGATCACAATGTCATTTGCCTGTTCTAGGTTACAATGTCTCTTTGCTGTATGACTTGGAGAACCTTCCTGCTGCCAAAGACTCCATTGTGCACCAAGCGGGCATGCTGAAGCGCAACTGCTTTGCCTCAGTCTTTGAGAAATATTTCAAGTTCCAGGAGGAAGGAAAGGATGGAGAGAGGAGAGCAGTCATCCATTACCGAGATGATGAAACTATGTAAGAAATAACTGGCCTTCCGTCTCCCGCATTTTGAAATTGGTTTCCAAACTGTGAGGTTTAGAGATGTTCAAAGGATTCTGTATTCAGTTGCGCACTGATCTTTGTCAACCAAAAGCTCCTTTAGGGGTGGTCAGTAGCAAAACATGACTGCATGTTCTGAGGTGTAGCTGCTGACCCTCAGTTGGGCTGAAGCTCTTAATTTGCAAATTCACAGCTCAAGTAAATATATACAAGTACCCCATATAAGTTGGAGGGGTCAGACAAAAGGATGTGCCATAATCCTCAGAGATAAAAGACATTGCTGAATTGAGCGCTTGCCTACTTGGTTGTGTTCCCCACCCCCACCCCAGTTCTATGCAGTTCTCTGTGCTGTTAAGACTGAGCTGGTAATGCAATAGGATAAAGGGACCTTCAGCCATTACCATAAAGGGGAGCCGGGCGTTGAGGGGATAGATTGCAGTGATAATTGCTTTCTGAATGGTACAGCAAGAAAGTAGTGGCCTGTGGGGAGGGGCATCATTTTGGCTGCATTTAAGGCAGCAAAATGTTCTGGGCCAGCATTCTATGCTGGCATGTGGGGCAGGGGCAGTCACTGTTGGCAACCTGGCCAGTGACTTACTGTGCGGAGATCTCTGCTGTGGGAGGCAACTTAAAATGCCCTCCACCTTGTGGTTATCTCACATGCACGGTCCCTTTGGTACAGGGAAAGATGTTGCGCATTTCATGCCTTAAAGGTCTTCTTTGTTCCCTGCATTTGGGTAGGTGGCAGGAGAGAGCAGGGAGAAGGCGGCACTGTACTTTGGTCACTGTTTTTTAAATAAACTCCACAAGGAGCTCCTGATAGCTGAATAATATGAACTGAATAGTGACAGTGGTTCACACTTGTAGGGTTGTTGTTTTTTAATCCCTGTGGGTTTTTCACATTGAAGATCTGGAACGGCTAAGAAGTCTCCTTCTTTTCACCTCCTTCCTAGGTATGTTGAATCAAAGAAGGACCGTGTCACAGTGGTTTTCAGCACGGTATTTAAAGATGATGACGACGTAGTGATTGGAAAGGTGTTTATGCAGGTATGCCAGTTCAAGGTCTGTCAAATTCTAGTGGTGTATGACTTGCACATTTATGCCAGGAGTGCCATTGTGCTGCTAACTTTGAAGCGAGTTCCTTACCCTGGTAAGATTGATTGACATTGGTGGTGCCTTTAGGAACCTGCTTGTAAGGATATTATGCTAGGCTCCTAAACTCAGTAGGGGTTGTGCAAAGAATCCTGCCCACAGGTTTGCAGTATAAAGGAATGTGGAGTGGGGGTATGGAATGACACTCTTGCAATCACCTTACCACCTGTGACATTGTATCACCTAATCTAATTCCAGAACCCACCTCTTTCTAATCTATGATGAATCACCAAAATGCTCTAGGCCAGGCATAGGCAAACTCAGCCCTCCAGATGTTTTGAGGCTACACTTCCCATCATCCCTGACCACTGGTCCTGTTAGCTAGGGATGATGGGAGTTGTAGTCCCAAAACATCTGGAGGGCCGAGTTTACCTATGCCTGCCCTAGGCATTCTATGATGATTAAAAGGTAAAACGGTCCTACTGCACAAGCTTACAGTATACTAAAGTCTAGATGCAAAAAGGGGGATATAGGAAGGACACAAGGAAAGCCAAAGAAGCGAGTCCTGAGGTGCCACTTGGTAATAGAAGAAGGAAGTGAGTGTGTTCAGTGTAAAAGGGGGCCCTGGCAGGGCTTAGAGGAACATTAGACATAACTGACAAAATAAAAAAGTCTTCCATTTTGTAAGAGTTTGTGGCCCAGGCCCTGCATTTGTTTCCTCAGTATTGTTGGTTTCTATTTTAGAATATAGGAAGGAAAAATAGATGAAATTGCTCCTCCACAGGTGCAGTGTCCTTCTTTACCTTCTTTACAGGTTCCCCACACACTACTAAATAGGAGGAAGGGATTCCAGATGAAGGAGTGGTTCTAAAAGACCTGAACCTCAGTATCGCTCTTCTAGAAATTAAGCACTGACATAAGATATTGGTGTCAGTAGCTCAAAGAGGATACAGTAGAATAGAGCATGGTGAAAGCAGAGGAGAAAAGTCCATATATAGGAGCTGTTGACTTACTGTGAGAATTTTGAAGTAGAAGAGGAAATCAGCAGAGAAAAAGAGGAACAACATCCAAATTATGTCAAGAAAATGTAGACTACAAATTGCATTTAAAACTAAGTGTAGTGGCTTAAAAATGAAAGTAAAGAATCAAACAAAAGTAATCATAGTTAATGCAAGAAATGCCAAGAAAATGAGCTTTAAAATTAGAAATATTAATTCTACATATACTATGCTCTCTGAAGCATATGTTAAAAGGCCTATTCCTCAAAGTAATGGGAGTTTTCATTGAGATGATTTGTACGTCACACTGTCATCATTTGATTTAAAACATGGCTTAATTGTGGCTACATTCAGCATTGTGCCTCTTTTGACTACATAGTATCAAAGTATCAGTAGCTTATCTTGAAACTTAATGGACCCAGATTCAGGTGCAACAAGATGTTTTTCAAGCATTTGAAGCAGTGCAAATGTGTGTGCTTCACCTCCTAGTTGATACCCAGTTTATTCATCCCAGATAAGGTAGTGTGTACTGTTAATATTTCATTTATGTTAGCTATGACGAGTCAGATTCAGCTGCTCCAAATACCCTGTCTTTAGTCAAGCATTTCTTGAAGCAATTATGTGTGCTGATAAAATGACTGGATCTTGGCAGTGAATAATACAGTTGTAAAGCACCTTGGTCAAGAGAAGGCGTAACCCTTTGTGGTGATAGCTCTCAGCTACTCTCTCATGACCTAGTCTTAGATCATTCTTCAAGTGCACTGCCATTCTCCTGTGTCTTTGTATTCTTGATGAAGCTGCTAGCAAAGGATGTTAAGGCTTCTAACCTGAAGTGCCTCGGGGTTCTGACACTAAAATTAATCTTAATACCAGTGTGATGAAAACACACATATACTATTTTGAAGGATAGTTGTTGAAGTGACCTTACCAAGCAGTTTTGATTCTAGGCTGAGATATGATAGAAGCTCAGAAGTTATACCAGTTGGGGAGAGGGACTTAATAAATATTTGGTTCTGGGCATCTGCATTCCCCAGAGTAGAGAACAATTAACCCAGGCTCAGAAAGGGGATGCCTGCTGTTTTTAGTATCTGAATCATATTAACATTCTCTCTCATCCTGTCTTGTCCTAGGAGTTTAAGGAGGGTCGTCGTGCCAGCCACACAGCCCCCCAAGTGCTCTTCAGCCACAGGGAGCCCCCTTTGGAGCTAAAAGATACAGATGCAGCTGTAGGAGATAATATTGGATACATTACCTTCGGTAAGTGGGTGCTGCTCTCATCTAGGTGACCAGCCAAGTTGAAAGCTATTTTCCCATTGCAATCCTGCTTAGTTTGCTAAGTGCTTAGTATCTCTTTTAAGAGTTATTTCACTTATGCATAGCTTCCTATGATGCACCTCAAAGCAGTTTCACAATATAGGCATCCATAAAACAATTTCATATATAAAAATAATTCCAAATCTAGTACAGATAACCAGCTGGGATAAAAATCTCTACTTTGGCTCATTGAAAGAGAAAGGTCTTCAATAGGTGCTGCAAGTACAATAGAGATAGTGCCTGCCTGAAGTGCAACGGGAGGGAGTTATAAAGGGCTGACACCATCACTCTGTAGGCCAGTCACATGGAATGGATCCACTGATAAGATGATATCTGCCAGACACCCTCTCATGCATGGTGCAGTGCTCTGTAGGGTATATGAATGGTGAGACAATCTTATAGGTATCCTGGTCCCAAATTGTATAGGGCCTTATACACCAGTACTGGCACCTTGAACTTAGCCAGTGGCTGATTAACAACCAGTTCAGCTTGTACAGTGTAAAAGCCTTGCTTGCATATCTCAGAAGCCAGTGGAGCATTGGAAATGGCTTTTCATTTAGAGCTGTGGTGGTGATATGCAGTCTCTAGCATGCTTGATTTGGGGAGTGCCAAAGAAATAGCTTGGGTATCCCTAATTCTGTAGTGCAGTTGACAAATCCAGAGCTCCGTCTAGTCCTGTTTTACTGGGTGAGGAATAGTTCATTTCCTAGTACCAAGTTTTATAAACAGAATCACTGGAAAGTAGCACACGCGCCCCCAGTCTCCATGGTTGTATTTCAGTTAGACGAGGTCTGCCCACTTGACTGCTCCTTGTCACTTTTGGCTTATAACATCTGGCGCACCATGGTTGGAGGCAGTAATGCTTCTGAATACCAGTTGCTGGGAATTGCAGGTGGGTGGAGTGCTGCTGTGCTCTTGTCCTGCTTGCAGGCTTCCCACAGGCATCTGTTTCGCCACTGTGAGAACAGGATGTTGGACCAGATGGCCATTGGCCTGATCCATCAGACTCTTCTCATATTCTGCACTACTGTCAACAAGACAGTGGTCTTCATCCTTGGAACAGTTAACGAAAACTTTTCCCACAGAAGCCTCTGGATGTCTAAGAAACTTGTCACTGGCAGGACTTTGCTTTGAAATATTAATGTATCTTGTCATCTCCTGAACATTTATTCTCTATGACAAAGGGGATAAGAAACTCAGTCTTGGCAGTTGCCTTCTCCCAGGTGCTCTCTTACTTTAGCAAATTGTGTTAAGGAGGAGAAACTGCCAATAATGGTTTGTGATGAAGCTTAGAAATAGAGAAGGCAACTGTAGAGTCTGTTAATTGAGAGGCATTTCAACACATTTGGATACAGATAAAATAAGTACTAAATATCATATCTGCAAATAGTTCCTTGTGAATAATATTTTCTGGCTCTGGATCAGTGAGAACTATATTTTGTCCCTAAATAGTGAAAGGCTGCATAATGCCTCTTCTTTATTCACACACTAAAGAGCCTGTGAGGGTGCAAAGCTCATTGTTTGGTTTATCTAGCTGCCTGGGAGGAATAAAGTGGTGATCACTGAAAGCTGTACAAGAAGCGCTCAGGGAAGGACCATTAGGAAAGATTCAGATGAGCAAGTTTGTCACTGATGCCAGCATTTTGTGGGACTGAGTGGCATAGCTAAGCCTGATCAAATACTAGGTTGAGTTCCTGAGTTGGAGTTGTGGAGAGATGTTGATTCCAAAGACGATGCCCTAAAGGCATCCCATTAAGACAAGCTTAATCCTGGTGTGCAGCATGGATAAGGACTTCATTATAGCCCTTCTGTGCAAATGCTGCACATTCATACCTGTACATGCTGTTGGCCTTTTGAATGTATCTCTGGCCCAGGACTAGTGAGTTCCCTCATAGCTTTGTTAGTGCTTGGTAGAGAGTAACTATTTTCTGTTGCCTTCTCCTTTGCAGTGCTGTTCCCCCGCCACACCAGTGCTGCTGCCAGGGACAACACCATCAATTTGATTCACACATTCCGGGACTACCTGCACTATCACATCAAATGCTCCAAGGTACAGGAAGAGTGTTATTATAGAATCTTTTTTTCTGAAGAAGCTATGCAAAACTTCTCTTTCATATGCCTAAAATGATTCCTGACTTTCATCTTCTCCATTCTGGCATGTAGATCCTTTAGAGTGCTTAGATGAAATTTGAAATTCAAAGTACTAAGATAGATCTGCTTAGCTGCCTTTTGTATTTTGACCTATGTGCAGGCTTACATTCACACGCGCATGAGAGCAAAAACATCAGATTTCCTCAAAGTGCTGAATCGTGCCCGGCCAGATGCAGAAAAGAAGGAAATGAAAACAATCACGTGAGTATCAGAGGAACAGTTTCTTCCTTCTGCTTGTGTCTTTCTTGTTTTATTGTTGCTATAGCTCACACCTGAGGAGGAACAAAAGACTACCTTGTATTGCTGTTTAAATAATGGCAACACACAGATTGAATTGATAGTACTTTGTGTAATATTCTGGCTTGTTGAGAAGTCCCTATAGTTTCCTGCTTTGAGTAATAGCAAGTCTTTAACTGCAGCTTCTTGAACTTTTTTTCACCCATCATGCAAAGGGGCTGTGTGGAAGTGCAGGAAGCTCATCATATTTTGGCTATTAAGCAGAGATGTGATCAGATATAATCAATGTCTCAAAAGTTGAGGCCTGACAATAAAGATTAATTAATCCAGCCATATTATCTGATAAAGTTTTCTGCAAATCCTTGTGAGCAGTTCCATGCGAAAGGCAAGGCATTGCCCTAATTCACACCATGCAGCAGACAGGAATGGGATGGAGGCAAACTAAAAAAAATAGTTTCAAAACTCGGGTCTATATAGTGGAGAAAAAAGTGGCCATGATGCTAAGGGGAATCAGTGGCTAATGTTGAATGAGAAGGATGAGGAATGTTAGAAGCAAACTCATTATCATCATTTGCTTGGAATGCAACCACTTTGGCAAGTACATTAGCAAGAGATAGATCCCAGCTGCCACTGATTGGTTCTGTCGGAAGGTTAGCTACTGCATCCTTGGGCTCAAAAATAGAAGTGTAGGTTAGAAGCTGCATCTGTAATTTGTTTTTGTTCTTAATATTCTCTCTCCTTGGTTTGCTGTAACCAGGCATGAAGAACTGTCTGGTTAACATGAGGAACTGAAATCAGCAATTCAGCTTTGCAGTGCTAATTCTATGGAGGCAGTGATTTTTATTTTTTTAACTTTCAACACTTTGAAGGGCTTTCAGTTTAGGGTAGTTAGTACTTCTCTAGTATAAATCTGAGATGAGTTTTGTACTCTACAGGACTAAAGAGCTGCATAGGGCAAGTCAGAATATCACTGGTATTTAATGAGTGGGGTGCTTTCTTTTCCCTGGACAAGAGAATGGAAACTAATCCACTGTATACTGCTATTTTATTGACAGGGTGGGGTGAGATAAGCAAGCAAGATAAGCAAGCAAGATAAGATGGGAATAAACTTGCTGGTCACACTGGTTGTGGAGGGTATATATATTGCTCTTAAAAGCCCTTCTAGCATAGCATACCTGATCTATTTGGAGGGGAAAACGTATGAATTGATGTCGATGCCCCTGGCACTTCAGGGATCAGATTACAAATTCATTCCTTGTTGGTGCTTATATTCTACTTTTCTAAGACCCTCTTTGCCAAGTCTTTTATTGGTGATTCCTTTTACCAAGCAATGACATCCAGGGGGGCCAGCAGTAGTTGTGGATGAAATGGGAGATTATGGATAGGACTAGTGAAGAAGCTGACAGGTTAGCTCAGCACTTTTTTCAGCTTGTGAGACAAGGGAGGCAAGCAAGTTTATGAGAAGATTGAATGACTGTGATGGGCCATATAGCAGGATGCTGCTAACCTTGCAGGATGTTTCTTCTCTGACCTGGGGCAAATTGCTAATCTTACAGCCAGTTTTCAGTCTGATTTTCTTACTGTGCTGAGGCACCATAGTGTGGGGGTTGGGCAGAGCTGGTAAAATTAAGATAATAAGCTTGAATTTAGGCCTGGGGGGGGGTGGATTAAACCAAACAGGCTCCTGCGGTCAACCCCAAAGGCTAGAATAATGCACAGCTGTGATTAAGAATGTTAAAGGATGACTCATGCCGTACCCGGAATCAGAGCACATAACATCTCTTTAAAGAGGTATCTGATTTCCTTCTTAGTAGCTCCGGTTCTGTGTTGCACAGCCTTTGGCTTTTGTATGAAAATTTATTTATCTTTAAAGGAGCAGGGATAGCTGCTTTCTGTGCTGATGGGAGGTTGTGACCCCTTAGGAACAAACTGGTGCTTGCAGCTGTTCAACATCTCCTTTCTTTACTTTCTGTGCTTCATCTATCTTACTGCATGATATAGCACCTGGCTATTTCATTTAAATATATATATATTTCTCACTTTATAAATATTATGACAGCAATAAATTTACACACCCAATTTAAAGCACTGAATATTAATATCAACACCCCACCCCCACCCCTGCGGTTACATAATTTATATCTATTGCCACTGCATTTCCAGTTCAGATCTATTTTACTCTTCATCCATTATATTCTATTTAGTTTATTTTCACTGCACGTTGTTGTTTCAATCCTGCTAATGATTTAAGCTGTTTACAATAATTTTTCAAATAGTCTTTATTAAATTGTCTCTCTTCTTGATTTCTTAATCTTCTGGTAAGTTTCACCATTTCTTCATACTCCAGCAATTTTTGTTGTCAATCTTCTTTCTTTGGGACTGTTTCTTCTTTCCACTCACCTGGCTATTTCACTTCTGTAGCCCTGTTAGCATCTGACAAAAGTCCTGAGAGGCTTTCTTCACAAATCAACAAATTTTAATATTCAACTTAAACAGCTACGGGTAGGGCATGGAGTGTAATCCCTGATTTCCAGGACTGCTCTTTGACTTTTTCTGAGTTCACTCCATACTCTGCAGCAGGGATAGGGATTCTCTGGGCCTTGACCCTAGTCCAGACCTCCAGGTTTCCCAATCTAGCTCCCCACCCCTGCAGCTCTGTTGCTCTGCATAGGTCAGCTGAGGAGTGAAAAGGCCCCAATGTTCATCCCTAATGCGGCCCACTGAGTGAGGCGCTTGAAAGGAGAGAGAAGACAGTCTTTGTGTGTGTTTAGAGGTATAGTTGGTTGTGTGCTAAGGGTGTATGATTATTGTGTGACTGCGCAGAAGCAAGAACCTGATAGTTTCCCAGTTGCTGCTTTGGTGGATGTTAAATGGACAAACAATGAAACAGCATGTGTGGTATCAGCTTCTGAATCCAAGACCAATTCTGTGTAGTAGGAGGAGATCCTTTCAGTGCATTCTTTTTAGCCCCCTTTCCCTTGATCTGTGAGTTTATAGAGTTTAGCAAGCGCTGGATTTTTTTCTGGATAATGTGGTGCACCAAGGAATCTGCAAGCAGGAAAAACTCAGTTGTGGTGAATTCATCCACAAAATCAGTCTTGCATTCTTCATTCTGAAGCTTGGGATTAGAATTGTTGTCATTAGTGGTGCAGGACACGGAGCAATGAGACACCTGGGTCACTTGTATGGGAAAAGTAGTAGGTATCTATGCTATGAAGTCAGGAAGGAGTGTAATGATGTAGTGACAATGTACTGGAGTCAACCTGATCTTTGCCCTCTGATTTTCTGCCAGGGGGAAGACCTTTTCATCCCGTTAACGCCTGAGGCGAGGTGAAGTCAGACAACTGTGGCAGAAGGCTGGAGCACTTGCTACCTGATAATCGTAGCTTTTTAACATTGCACCTCTCTGGGCTCTTAAGGAAATAAATCCAATCGGGTTATGTTTTCTACACAAGTTTGGGAATTGATCTGCGGAATCGAGCTGTGCTTGCAAGGACTTAATAGTTCAAACAGAAAAACAAACCTTAATTCCATTTTGATCAACTTTTCTTTCTTTCTTTCTTTTCCCCCCCTCCCCTTTTTCAAGCTGTTTTGCTTTGCAATATGTTTACCGGTAATGAGTTGCAGTATTTCTTATGAGAATAATGCAATATTAACTTGTTTTTCTTCTGAGTATTTTGAGTTCACAACTCCTGTATCTGAAGAAATATTGTTGGGGTTCATTAATAAAGGAGATCTTTCTATCTTATCATGGTTTGTGAGTATTCATTTTTAGATGTGCATTATTAATTTATTCTTGTACAAATTCAGAAAAGGCATATGGGAAAGGCTATAAATAAGATGCCCAGACTTTTCAGCAGCTTCTGGCTAATGTGTGACAGACTCACTTGAAAAGAAAATTTTATAGTTTGAAAGGAAGGGGGAAATGACCCTGGCAGATTAAGAGCAGCAATGTTTTCTTTTGAATTTTAATTTCTCCTCTTCCTAGGATCAGGATAATTTCTGGGCATGGGAAGGGTCAAGTCTGCTGATTTCACTCCCCATTCTTTTAGCAAATACAGGTCTGTCAATACTCCTAATGGAGAATTCTGCTGATACACCGCTAGGGCTGTATTCTCATGAGAGGTGATGTGTGTGAAATGTGATTTGAGGACTCTAGTAGGTCATGTAGCAAGCCTGTGTTGCCAAGGTTTAAGTAGTCAATGAGAAAGTCTACCATAGTGTTTGACAGTTCTGATGGCATAGGCCCTCACTGCTGGTACTTCTGATGTGGTGGGGAAGCAACAGTCCTCTGAAAAGAAGTATAAAATCCCTTCTGCTTTCAGCTTTTCAGGAATTAGTAAATGTGCACTTGCCTGTTCTCCATTGCTGCCATATGGGGCTCTAGCCTGGTAGATGAGGGACAGCAGCACTTGTTCACTCTAATGCTAATGTGGTTTATGCAGGGTCCAACCTCTGTATTCCAGGTTGTCTTTTAATATAGATTTTGACTAATCACAGTAAGCTGTGCAAGCAAATGTCATGACAGGATGTCCAGAGTTGCTAAACATTGTTTCTTTTATTCAGCAGTAAAAGGAACTTGATACAGGGATTAGCAAACACCACACTGGACAAGCCTACTGAATCACTTCCTCAGATCTCTGAGTCACCACTCGCCCATCCACAATTTCTTGTGTGGTGACCACTACCTTCTTAATGGTCTGTCTCCTGGTGTCTGCAAAAGAGGAATAAAGAGTAACTGGTTAGAGTGCGAAGCCTAGGATGGACTCGGGAGACTAGATCAGAGATCAAAAACTTGCTTTTTTAAAAAAGAAAAAAGCCTGAAGACTGCCTTTTGACGCTGCTAAATGCAACCTCCACCTTGAGGACACCTGTGCAGCTTTCAATTGAGACTGCAACTGCTGCTTGTCAATGAGAAACAGGGCTGGTTCCTAGGGTATACACTGGTAAATATGAGTTCAAGCTTTGTATATGTGCATTACATCCTCCGATGCATAAAACTGACTTCCTGAAGATACTTGGGTACAGCCAACTGGCTTGATACAGCACTGTGCTTGGAGCCCCTGTGCATGTTGAACAATTTACTCAGTTTAGCGTTTTTCACACCAAGCCACAGCCAAAAGAGTCCTGTTGGTAGAAAAGCAAACAACAAAGCCTGGGAGAGTGTTTGAACTGTGAGGCCGGGAGATCAACAAGCAGGTTTCAGGCAGACACAGACATGCAGAAGCAAGCAGCACTGTGCTAAGTAATGTCTACTGCTACATCATAGAGGAGAACTTACCTGCTTTGCCTGAGTTCTGCAACTCCCCTCTGAAAATACAAAACATGGCAGCCATTTGTTTGCTTCATCCTAGGATGATTTGCTTACTGTGAGGGCTTCCTGCTACAGATTTGCTTACACACCTGTGCCACCGAACACATTGCATTAGCTTCTACAGCCATATTTCCCATCTGCTGCCTTGTTTCCTCCAAAGTCAGTGGGGTTACTCAAGGGACTTAAATGATTGTTCGCAACCTTTCTATCACTCGTAGCCTGACAAAAACGAGGCTGCCAGCATCAGATGCCATGAGGGCTCCTGCATCTTTAGTAATGGTTTTAGAGACAAAATTTCACTAGTAGACACCTTGTCACATCACACGGCTACAATGATAAGAGAAACAGCACCAGTGGGTTTTCCCCTTTATGCTGTTCTGAAAGATGCAAGTGTCTTCCCATTCTATACCTGAAAACCACCTGCCTTAGCTAATGGTCTCCCCAATTCATGAAAAAGCAGAAACTGAGTTGGCTCCTCTGTCCCACAAGGCAGTCAGCTCAGAGACAGCTAAGTCAGTCATGTACTGGTTTCATCTCTAGCTATATAACTGAAGGTTGTGATGGTTCAGACCTAGTTAGGATGCAGATTTACTTAATCTTTTACTACCCTAATTGAGGGAAGAACAGCAAACCACAAATGATTATAAAGAAAAGAGGATAGAATTATTAACCTTGTAACTTGATGCTATGCCCAATGTGAAGGTAGCTCCTGGTATATTTTTATTAGGAAGCAAGTATTTTCAGATACATGCAGCGCTAGAAAAATTATGTCCTATGGATAGATACATCACACAGAATTTTGACTGGATGGAGTGGCTGGCAAACTAGCAGATGTAGATTTCTGAAAACCTGCCCCCCTACCAATGTCATATTGTGAATCAAACTTGGTAGCATGGATCATACAGAAAAACCAACCAGGGAGCCAGGAATGGCTGCAGCTTCCTGTCAAATGTAGGTTGGGGAAGCGAAAGTGAGCCTGGTGGAAGAACTCCAGGGACATTCAACAGGCATATGACCAAGAAGTACAAGGAAGGAAGTCAGGGGGCATAACCCTTTGTTACCTGTCTGTTGCCCCCTCGATCAAGCTACGGTAGTGTTCAATCTCGTTCTCTAGCTTGGTCTTGAGGTCTAGCAGGGCCTCATAGTCTCGGGCCTGGCTCTCCAAGTCAGCGCGGCAGGCTGCCAGCTCATCTTGCAGCTTGGCAATGATATGGTTGAGATTGGTCATTTCATTTTGATAGTGCTCTCCTGTGTTCTTCAAGGTATTCTCCAGCGTGTCTATCTGCATCACAAAATGGTTTGGGCTTATGCAGTGAACAAAATTTGATACCCTAACTTTTATACAGAATTAGGCATATAGCATCATCAAAAATGAGTGAATATTGGCCAGGACTCCACAAATTCTGTAAGAGCAGCTCTCTTAGTTTAATTAGTTTTAGATTTGTTCTTTCAACACTAGTATCCTCACGTGTGTTGACTCACAAAAAACAGCTTCTGAAGCTGAGCAGAGCTTTAAGAGTACCGTAGATTTCAGCATATAAAACGACTTTTTAACCCCAGAAACGAAGTTAAAAAGTTGGGGGTCGTCTTATACACCGGGTATGGCTGCAGTGGGTGGCGGGCTCCGCTCCGTGCCGGGAGGAAGCTGCCCGGCGAAGCTGCCCAGCGATGCTAAGCCAGCTTGGAGCAAAAGTGTGTGTCCTTTTCTTACAGTAGCATCTGTCACTCCTGGAGCCCAGCAACCACAGGTGTGAGAAGTCTGGGCTGACTCAGCTTGCATAGGGTGCAGTGGCTGTCCCAGAAAATGGATATGGATCACTGGTCCAGCACTCCTTAGCTAGCCGGCTGCCCTCTGATGTGAAGGACCACGAGCCATTGCTAGTGTTGAAGTCAGGTCAGTTTGTATTCATAGAATGGGGGTGAGCAGGGTCATCACAACGTCTCTCTTTAGCAGCAACAGATTTCAAGCCAGCTCTTCCTCACTTCACTCCAAGTTGATTGGTCATAATAAAGGTATTTTGCTTTGAGGGGCAGTTCCTTTAATTCTAAGTTCAACCCTTAGCTGTGCATTCTGATGTAACAGACCTCTTATTTGATGGATTTCATCTCTGAGGAAAAACTGTATCTAGAGTCACAGGGGTGTATTGGTTACAAGTGCTGAATTAAGACCCTGGGTGGCCTTGGGCCAGTTCCCAACTCTCAACCTAACCTACCCCACAGGGTTATTGTGAGAATAAAATGGGGAGGTAGGGAGAGCCATGGATGCCAGATTGAGCTCTTTGCAAGGAAGATGGGGTAGAACTGTAATAATAAATGAATAATTTTGATACGCAGATGATTGACAAAGAGCATGACAGAAGACGACACTCCTGCTATAAAATAAGTAGTGGTACTTCTTCACTGCCTGTTGCATGCTTATAATTTGCAGGAAGAAGTTATTCACTGCTCAGGAGAGCCTCTTATGGCCTATACTGGGAATTGGGAAAGAAAGAGGGCACCCCTCTTCTTACCATTTTCTGCAGAGTCTGGCGTTCAATCTCTATTCCCTGGAGCTGCCGACGAAGCTCTGTCAACTCGCTTTTGGCTTCTTCCAGCGCCTGGGCATGCACATCTGCTTCTTGAGACATGGAGTCAAACTGCAAGGGCGAACAGTAATGGCAAAGGGAAGTTAGAGTGGGGCAGAGAGCCATGCTCCCTCCTAGGGATGCAGTAATCTTGTTGGTTTCCCACAGTTTTTCAATTTTCCAATCATCAGTTCTCCACATTTCCATGTCATTTTGTGATTATTGTTTTTTAAAGGTCCCCGTGAAAAAATTGATCAGCATTTTAATGAGTTTCTCCTGATACACACGTTTGTAGGCAAGTATACTCATTTCTGTATACTCGTTTTTGCACAGCAGCCTCCCCAAATACAATGATTTTCGGTACGTTCTTTCCACTGCTACCTGCCATTGAATGCATACTTTACCTTAGTACAGTGGAACCTTGGTTGTCGAACATAATCCATTCCGGAAGACCGTTCAGCTTCTGAAACGTTTGACAACCGAGGTTCAATGGGCGATCGGCAAATTCCATTGCGAAAATGGAGAAATGCGCCTCGGAAGCCATTCGACTTCCGAGGCACGTTCAAAAACAAGCATTCGCTTCCAGGTTTTCGGCGTTCGGGTTGCGAATTGTTTGGCTTCCGAGACGCTCGAAAACCGAGGTTCCACTGTATATGCATTCCTGCTTGGCTGAAGAAAGGCATTCCAAAATTCAGAGAAGTGTGAATTCTGAACAGTGGCTGGGTTTCAAGTTTGCATATTGTTTTGGGGGGGAAAGTGAATTAGGTAGATTTGCCTTTAAATGTGAACTCAACCCATTTTCTGTCCCTTCCCTGCTCTTCCCCTTCCCTAGCTCCCTCCTCACCTTGGTTTTGTACAAGTCCTCAGCCTCGGAACGGCTCTGCTCAGCCATTTTCTCATACTGGTTGCGGATCTCAGCGATGGTCTCGCTCAGGTCATGTTTCTGTGGATTATCCACCTGCACTGTTATGTCAGATTTGGCGATCAGAGCATTGAGGGCCTCTACTTCCTGCAGACCATGCAGAAAGGGAGAAAGCCTGTTAGGGGGCAGAGATCAATATGGCCTTTGGGGGGAAGCATTTGTCTCCACAGAGAAGCCTGAAGTATATGTACACTTTCCTATTGTTTACTAATGTCTCATCTCCCTTCTATTTTAAGAGTTTAAATCGTAAGTACCACACTGCCAGGTGTCCCCACACATTTTTCTCAGAACATGCTTCCAAGGGATCTAGAGGGTGTAGTGGTTAAGAGTGGTAGACTCGTAATCTGGTGAACCGGGTTCGTGTCTCTGCTCCTCCACATGCAGCTGCTGGGTGACCTTGGGCCAGTCACACTTCCCCACACGTCTCTCAGCCCCACTCACCTCACAGAGTGTTTGTTTTGGGGGAGGAAGGGAAAGGAGATTGTTAACCGCTTTGAGACTCCTTAGGGTAGTGATAAAGCGGGATATCAAATCCAAACTCCTCTTCTTCTTCTTCTTTTTATATTGGAATTTTGTGTTGTGAAAAGAAAAGCCCTGAGATTGATGGATAAAAGGTGGTATACTACTACTACTACTACTACTACTACTACTACCAATAATATTACTATTAATAGTAATAATAGCATTATGTCTGCAGCGTGAGATATCTCTCAGCTGTATCTGTTGTAACAATGGATGCTAGTCTGGACTTTTTACATGGTTTATTACTGCAGATCATGGCATCAGTGCAGCTGTCATAGCTTTACTATAAAATATACCCCTTAACAAATTATGCACGACTCTGGTACCAGCTCCTACCTTAGACATGACCTAATAGGGGTAGCAGACAGTTTTACTGTAAAGATCAGCATACTGATCTCTAGTTTCCAGAGAAGTTTAATCATCACCCTCCCATAAGGAGGAATTGGATTTCACATGGGCAACAAAATCTTCTTTCAAAAGTAAATTATTCAGGAAATGTATGGGTAACTTGTTGGTTATCCCGAACTAATGTTGTGACCACTCAGTTTCAAACTTATCTCAGGACACAATGGCAAACTTGCAGGAAATAAACAATGCTTCAAAGGGTTTAAGGTGTCAGATTATTCACTCACTCAGTTGGCTCAAAATAGTATTTGAACCCCAGATTTTCAGTGGTTAGGTAGCTCACACAACAGGCCCTCCTTTTTGCTCTACATTCTCAAGGATCATCCTTGTGCTTTGCTAAATCACAGCTTGGGGAGAGATACTATTGGCTTGTTGACATAGGATCCTGAAGGGGAGATCTTAACTCTCACGGAAGGTACAGTTATCTATCCCTGACTTGTGCTCCACTTATGACCAGATCAGGTGTACTCACTCTCCATGTTTAGGTAAGGCCTTTATTTTACCCTCATAATTAAGGTGTGTATGAACCGTAGGGCTTGTTGTCTGCATAGTTGTAGCCTGAAGAAGCATCTTTCATTCCATGTAAGCTTTCTTTATTCCTCGGGGGGGGGGGATGTCGTTATTGGCTATAAGGTTAAGGGCAAGCATATATTTACTATGGACACACATACTGACTCCATGGGAAATATTCCAATCCTCTCAGAGCTGTGTGTTGAATACCTGGGGCTAGACACACAGGTGGGTTCAGACGCAGCTCTCGCCATACTGTTACCTCATGGTGGCTTTTGCGCAAGTGAGCCAGCTCCTCTCTGAGGGACTCCAGTTCCCCTTCCAACTTCAAGCGGGAATAGTTGGTGTCATCGATCATTTTGCGCAACCCGTGTGTGTCCTTTTGCACACTGTCACACATAGCCTGCTCTGCATCCAGTCTGGAAGAAGGGAAGGAGGAAACAAGAAACAAATGAACAAACAAGTTGCAAGGCTGAAACCAAGTGCAAGTAATGGAACAGACTTTCACTTAACCTTTCAGACCCGGGTGTAAATCATGCTCAGGTATTTTCCCAGACCACCTCCACATTTGGGGGTGAGGGTTAACATGATTTAAATATTGATATTAGTATTTTAATATATTAATCTATTTTCATGGCCATTGGGATATAGCTGGTACTCTGTTGTCTCTGGTCTGAGTGTAGGATTAGATGCATGTCTCTCTCAAAAATTTAGCAGCAGCTTTTCAAACACACACACACACACACACACACACACACACACACACACATATATATATATATATGGCTCACAGGTTCACATAGTCATATGGCTTATATGTGTATGTTTTAAAAACAAATGTTAAATTTCTATCCCATCATTCAGCTATGAAATCTCAAAGCAGTTCATGTGATAAAAGCCAACTACAAAGAATAAAAACACCAATCAATCAATATAAAACTGACAAGGAACAAGAATCCAACAAACACCACTCCCCTCCTATTGAGTTAGACCACTGGTCCATTTAGCAACACTGGCTGTCAGCAACTTCCTGGTGTTTTAAGCAGGAGACATTCCTAGCCCCTCCCTGGAGATGCCAGGGAGTGAACCTGGGACATGGTGGCTCCAAGCCACATATAATCAAATTTACAGAATTTATTGTGAGGTGCAGCATAGCTGAAGAAAGAGATGAGTAAATAAGGTGCAGGAAGGATGTCAGGGTTGGAGGTCATGAGTAGAGGTCCCAAGGAACAGACAATTAGCCATGTATAGAACAGAGATTCTATCCTCATGAACCAGGTATCATTTACAGACAATGCAATCATAAGGACTAGAAACATTAACAAATTTGCAATTGTGTGTCAAATATTAATTTCAATGTAGAACCTCAAGAACTGCGCTAGTAAAATTCCTCCACAAAAAGTAACATACGCTAAAAGTGTGATAGCCAGTTAACACTGAAGAGTGTTAAATTAATTGATTAGAAAGTGAGAATGTTTCACTTTGAACCTGTGAGAAAGCAACATTTTCAAGGGATCCCAGTTTTTATTTTTGAATCTTCTTTGGCATATGGAATTCAACACGCAAACACCCCAAGAGACTTCATTGTGATTTCTCCTCACATTTAGGTGTCTGGAGTAGAATTATACACTCTTTCCACAGGCCTGCTTTTATGGTACAGTTTTTGTAAAGGTTTGTAAACAAAACAACTTACTTATGCTTGAAGTCATCAGCTGCCAACCTGGCATTATCGATTTGCAGAAGCAGCTTAACATTGTCCAAATTGAGGTCTTCCACCTGACATGGGAAGGAGCAGTTGTATATCAGTAATGCATGTACAACACAATCCTATGCAAAAATCCCACCGTGTTCAAATTGGTTTGCATCAATCCCATATTCTCGGCTCCTGTTGAAAATCAGCTGGACCTAGAGGGTTGCAGCCTGAATAATCAAATGTATTTGCAAAACAAATGAACATATTTGTTTTCAAATGCATGGCAGACATGTTCTTTGAACCATTGCATTTGGTTATACAAAATTAAAATAGGAACTGATGGCTGCAATGTTTGCTCTGTGATATCCAGAGCAGGCCATTTATGAGACTCCATTGTGTTGATGTGTAACTTGTTGGTAATGAAAATCTGAATGACTGAATCTTCAATTCAGTGTTCCTGTTCTGTCATATACCACTACATCAATAAGATGTGTTGTTGTTTCTTCTCTACAGGCTGGGTGTATCCTAGTTGGATCATGTTCCATGTGATTCCCTGTCAAACGTTGTGTTCCAGGAGCACCCTTCCTCCTTTTTCTTTTAAACTGATGTGAACCACTTTGGGAGTCAATGTCTGAACAGTGGGATAAGAACATAATAACTCAACACACAAACTACCCCTCATTTTGAGCCACTCTAGTGCATTATGGGTGGACTAGCCCTTGCAAACCACCTATAAAAAGCTGATGAGCTGCTAGCCAATGCTCAGCTCTGGGAAATTTCCTATGAATGAATCTACCTGGTTAGATGCTGCACATCTCAGCACCTTTCAACCCTGGTGTTACAAGAACATGCTGAAAACCAGTTGGGCAGAAAGGTAGATTCCACTAGGTGGTCAAACAGGTAATCCAAGGATATTAGCCTGAAAAGAAAGCTACACCTACCAAACCAAGGGCTTGGATTTCCAGCTACACTCAGCTTTTCGAATATGAGCTTACAACAGGGAAACAACTGGAGTTGTATGCCTCACTATGAAACCAGCTGTGCTTTCTTTTTTTGGGGGGAGGCAGGTGTTAGAAAGGGGAGGATTAGGTGATTTTTTTCCAAGGAAGTTATTACATCCCCACATTTGGGGAGTGTCTGGATCCTCCTTTGTTTGGACATGCAAGCATCCCGTACAAGAAAGAAAAGAAAGTCTATCAAGAAGGGGTTTTATTTCCATACAATTCTTACAGAAAGGGAGTGGGGGAATAAGCTTGTATTTTTAACCAGACTGTTGCTAAACTGTCAAGAGAAAACAGGATCAAAAAGTTATATGGGTGTGGAGAGGGTGCTTGGTTGCTTTCTGGAAAAGCTGGGAAAACATTTAGACTGCACACGCGCGCACACAACACTTTATTCTAGAATCCAAAGTGCATCTCCTCCAATTTAGTATTTAGCAATTCCATATGCTTTTCATTGGTGTTTATATGGATTATGGCAATACCATGTACATGAAGTGCTCTGTGGCACTTTTAAAACACTGGAAGATAGGAAAATAATATATCCATATTGCAAATAGGTTTAGGGCCGAGTCTGGCTCCTTTGCCCCAGTTCTCCTCCAGTTCTGCTTTCCACCATTCTCTCTTGGCCTTCAACCTGTATTAGGTCAATGTATCCCCTTGGCCACTGACTCTACTCGCCCAGTTTCTGACCTTTCTACCCATGCCTTTATCGTTTGCACTTGCCTTCTTGCTCATTTGCCTGAATCGCCTGGATTTACCAGCAGTACAAACACTCGGGCAGCAAAACGCTAGCAATGCACGCTTTCCAGCGAGTTCCATTGAACATAGTGGGGAAGAAAACGTGCGTGGAACGAACCGTGGCCTTGGTGGGCGTAGTTGTGTTGGGGTCCTATGAAGTGCTGGAATGATCTGCAGATAACCATCCGTACCTGGAGATGGAGAATCACCTGAAAGGTGCTCTAGTATCCTCTCTCGCCAAGCCCACCAGCGTTTTGCGTCCCCTCCGCTCGCATCCCTTTCCCACCTGCCAGGAGTTTCACCCCGTACCTTTCAGCCGTGCCCCTCACCTGCTTGCGCAGCTCGGCCAGGGGCCTTTCGCAGGCTTCCCAGTCTTTCTGGCCGATGGCGCCGGCCTTGCGCGCTCGGATGGCGGCGATCTCCTCCTCCAGAGCTCGGTTGGCCACCTCCAGCCCGCGCACCCGCTGCAGGTAGCCGGCCAGGCGCTCGTTCAAGCCCTGCAGCGCCTCCTGCTGCCGGCCCGGGCCCAGCCAGGCGGGAGCCACATCCGCGCTGGCCCGCGCCGCCGGGAGCGCCGCGTGCAGCCGGGACAACGAGAACCAGGAGTCCGAACCGCTGGAGCTGCCGCGCACGGAGCCCGCGGAAGAAGCCGGATAGAAGCGCCCCGAGGCCGCCGACAGGGAGCCGCTGCGCGGACGAGAATAGAACGACATCGCGCCACCTGGCGCGCTGGGCGCCTGCACCGGCCCGTTATATCCTCCAGGATGCTCATTTGCATGCCCAGGTAGCGGCCAGCCAATGGGAGAGAGCCTAGCTGCCGCATTGGTAGAAGAGAATCCGTTTGCATAAGCCTCCTTTGTTTGCATGAAGGATTGTTTTTTTGGGGGGGGGAGCTTTGGCACAAACTTTGGGCAGCCTTTCAGGCGCTCGTCTTGGACCGCCGTAATAATCTCAAATAAGGAGGACCAAAGGGGCGGAGCTATGCAAACAAGTGGAACGCATTCGTAGACTGAGCTGGCTTTAGCGGTGCCGTGCGATTGGCCGAGCGAAGCTATAGGGGCGCGGCTATGCTAATCAGGGTGCAACTCGATAGCGCGGATGCGTGAAGCGCAAATTGATGTGCAAATATGCCATCGCGCTCCACGTTACGTGAAGCCCTGGGAGGGGGGGGCGCTGATATGCCAATAAAGTGCCCAGGTGTGCAAGGGGCGGGGCCTTCTGCATCTCCCCTGCTATTAAGCTCGTCCCAGGTGCTGAACACCTGTATTCCTCTTGCCCTTCTCCTTGGAGAGCCAGCGCTGCAGCCCGCGCACCATGAGCACCAGTTACCCTCGCCCGGGGAGCCTGAGCTTTAGCAGCCGCTCCCACGGCTCCCTCTCCAACCGGGGCTCTTTGTACCGGGCCAGCCCGGGGAGCTTCCAGCCGGGGCTCTTCCGACTAGGATCCACTTCCAGCGCCTTCCCCGGCTCTCCCCTCTCCGCCTCGCCCGCTTTCCTTCTCTCCTCGCTGCCCACTTTGGAGATCGACCCTAAACTGCACCAGATCCGGACGGAGGAGAAGGAGCAGATCAAAGGGCTCAACAATCAGTTCGCCTCCTTCATCGACAAGGTGCAACCAGGATGCGCGCGTGGGGCGGGACGTTGCTCTGGGGTGGGGGGTGCGAGAGAGGGGGGGAAAGGGGTGTTGGTGGTGCCTATTGAAATGAACATGCCCAAGTTAGTGTAGACCCATTGAAACTGATGGGCCGAGTCAAATTAATTTACTACCACTCAGAGAGATTGCCCCTTTGCGCAGGCAATGCTGCTCCAATCAGAGTGGAGAATACGGAGACGGAAGCATTTATGGAAGTTCCAAGTTCGTGCCAACTTGTATTCAGGTGTTTGAAGTTATGGGACCCTGTTGTTAACATCTATCCTTGTTGTTATCACTACGCAGACCCCAAACCTCTGCCAGGCACAGTTTCAATAGATGTTAACCTAACGCTGGCAATTACTTGCAATTACTTCCACTAGATAAAGTTTGGAACGCACAAAAAAAGGGTCTTTCACACTCATCCCCAGTGCATTTATTTATTCACAGCGCAACAAAAAGCACAGCTCCAAAGAGCAGAAAAACCATTAAAAACCAACAACACAAAACTTGATAAATTGATTTCCATAGGTGCTTCCTTCTAGAGATGGTGCAAGTCAGAGGATGCAAAGGAGATGCTTGATAGGAGTACCTGTTTTCCCTAATGGGGCAAGTAATAGCTTTGGAAAGATAAGGCTTTATATTGGCTGAAGTCTTGTTCCTGAAAATAAGCTGCATTGGGAACAGTGTTATTTCTGAGTAGATGTGTACAAGATTGCACTGCAGATGTTTCAGGGTAAGCTGTTCAAACTCAGGTCTCCCTGAACTGTGATCCCAGTGTGACGTGGGTTCTCCACACAGCTAGCTTTTAAAAGCTTTAAGGAGATGGGAGATATGATCACAGATCTCCAGAGTATGATCTACTTTGGCTGTGAGTCAAATACTGCATTATTTGACTAGCAGACTTTTCAAGGCCTCTTTCCAAGATTATAAATTGGCGATTCCAGGAATTGGACTTTCATGGAAAGTATTACACTCAGTTTATATATAGGGAATGGAGAGTTAAATGTATACCCAAGCCTAGAACACTGAGCTAACACATGTTCGCATGACTGTCGCAATAAAGATGACCAAAGACTGGTAAGGCAGTGGAGGAAGAATTTTTCATCCTTCAATAAATATATACTGAAAGGGTGTTTGGAAAAACTGTGCCAAATATCACACCACCAGACAAATATGATGCTCATATCACTAACAAAAGGTTTTCCAACATCCCAATTTCCCCAAACTAAGGTGGAGTGTGTGTGTGTGTGTGTGTGTGTGTGCTCATCTTAATCATCCACGTTGTTCAATCTTCCTGTAAACTGAGGAGTAGTTGAAACTTAAGTTGTTTGCTTAAAATGAAAGATCGAGCTCTTTATTCTGGGACCAGGAAGTAAAACAAGATCTGATGTAATTGTGAATTGTAGAATGTGGATGTGCAGGTTCTAAAAGGAATATGGATCTCAAAACTGACAGTCAGTTTACTAAAGTTCCCCAAGGTGTGAGCTACAGGAAATTGTGCAAAAGTATTTCTTTCACACACACACACACACACACACACACACACACACACACACTATAAATCGATTATTTTAATCTAATATGGATTCCCCCCCCCAAAAAAAAAATGTTCTGTACTTTACTGCAATTCAATAAGTGTCTACACAGAAGTCGCAATTAATTCAATGGGGCTCATTTTCAGATACAGAATTTCGGCCTCAGTTGTACGTTAGTCTGTGTGTGCATGTATGTGTGCCGGGGGAGGGGTTTCTTTTCAATCTAATAAAATAGTGTCTTTAAAAACTATTTATTTTGAAACTACAAACCAGCTCTAGGACACACTGCTTAAATAACGTTAATGAATTTTCAGCCCAGAAACTTCCAGTTTCTAACAGGCACGCTGTCCACAGAAACATTTCACAAATTTGTTTTAGGTAGCTGCATACACACCATACATTGAAAGCACACAGCTTCCTCCCAATACTACTGGGAACTGTAGTTTTCCAAGGGTGCTGGTAATTGTAGCTCTGTGAGAAGCAAACTACAGTACAATGTTTGGGGGACATCATGTGCTTTAGATGTGTGGTGTGTAAAGGTAAAGGTAAAGGTACCCCTGCCCATACGGGCCAGTCGTGTCCGACTCTAGGGTTGTGTGCCCATCTCGCTTAAGAGGCCGGGGGCCAGCGCTGTCCGGAGACATTTCCGGGTCACGTGGCCAGTGTGACGAAGCTGCTCTGGCGAACCGGCACCAGAGCAGCACACGGAAACGCCGTTTACCTTCCCGCTAGAAAGCGGTCCCTATTTATCTACTTGCACTTAAGAGTGCTTTCGAACTGCTAGGTGGGCAGGAGCTGGGACTGAACGACGGGAGCTCACCCCACCGCCGGGATTCGAACCGCCGACCATACGATCGGCAAGTCCTAGGCACTGAGGTTTTACCCACAGCGCCACCCGAGGAGTGGGTGTACACAGCTGTTATTAGGAGGATCGCCACACCTGTGAGGGATGCTGTATATGTATCAAAATTCCTACAGAACAGCCAAAGATGCAAATGCTGCATTGTGTAGGAGACAAAATTTATCCCTCCTACAGAGCAAGCTATCCTTGCCAACCTTCCCAGCTATTAAAGATGCAATATGCCTGTCTGTACTCTCCTTAGCCAGTAAACATCCTACATGTTCGCTTGTGCTGAGAGACAGTAGCCATTTGTTGCATTCAGCAGTCCAAAATATGTGAGGGATCATTGCATGACATGGATTCACACAAAGCCCACCGTGCAAATCAATGCAGACATTTTGAACACAAAGCAGCCTCCAAAAGCTGCTTCTGAAATATCCCTAAGCATGGTACCTGGAAAAGTGAGCTCTTTGGATAGGTGTTTGGAGTCCTCAACTATGGCTCAATGGATTGCTTATTTTACTAAAACTATGTGTGTTGCAAGACAGTTAAATGAAAGCTCCAATCCTACTTCTAACGTAATGCGTCATAACAATGAAACAAAGAGGATTTGCGCCCCCTGGTGGACAGATGTGTCAAATGCTAGTGATTGGTTTTCCTGAAATGTTTCACTAAAGAACCACCACTGTTTCAATTCGTAAAACTAGCTTACTTCACACTCCTGGTACAGAATCCTGATTTCGAGGAGTGGGTGCACAGTGATTTTGCCCCTACTACATGTCTCTAAATCTTTCCCCAAAAAGGGGAGACGACAAAGGGGAGGGCACATTTCCCAGCAATCCCAAATCTGAGGAGTTGGGGGCAGAAACTAGAAATCTCTCCTCAACTGTTTATGCTAGGGGTTGTCAACCTTGTCTCTACTGCCCACTAGTGGGCATTTCAGGATTCTAGGGGGCTCTATGGCACAAGCTGAATACTCCTTCCATCGAGCACTGGTGGATGGTAAGGAAATTTTACCATCAAGAAAGATGCAATAGTGGGCAGTAGGTATAAAAAGGTTGACTACCCCTGATTTATGCAGTATCACATAGTACTGAAACATTTTGAATTAGAAGACTGAAGGCATTGGTCCTTATCTATTTCCTATGTTCAGGCATGAGTGCTGTTGCTTATGTCACCATAAGGGAGAAGTAACAGCAAACCTAAGTATGGCTGCCTAAGCCACTCCTGTTTAGTCTCCATTTGGGGTGCTCTCACCACTGTTTTGGGAAGAAGTATACACACAACATGAGCCACAATCCATATCTATCCTGTTAAAGGTAAAGGGACCCCTGACCGTTAGGTCCAGTCGTGGCCGACTCTGGGGTTGCGCTGCTCATCTCGCTTTATTGGCCGAGGGAGCCGGCGTACAGCTTCCGGGTCATGTGGCCAGCATGACTAAGCCACTTCTGGTGAACCAGAGCAGCGCACGGAATTTACCTTCCCACCGGAGCGGTACCTATTTATCTACTTGCACTTTGACGTGCTTTTGAACTGCTAGGTTGGCAGGAGCAGGGACCGAACAACGGGAGCTCACCCCGTCGCGGGGATTCAAACCGCCGACCTTCTGATCAGCAAGCCCTAGGCTCCGTGGTTTAACCCACAGTGCCACCCGCATCCATCTATCCTGTTGTTCCTTAGTAAATACTGTGTTTTGATGCCTCCCCTGCCCCAAACCAGCTTTGATCCAAATGGAGGAAAAGCAATGGTGTGGCCATGTACACAGCCCAACACTAAAATGAGACTGACTAGTGTGGCAACACATCCTCTCTGTCCTGTTTTGCTCTAAAGGAATTGTAGAAATGAAGGCAATGGAGGGTTGGGGCATCACACAGAAAATCTACCATTTCTCAGTCCTGTAAACGATTTGCGTGTGAGTTAGTTTGTTTCAGTGGATTAAAAAAAAAAAAGCAAGGATTTCAGGCAGGATGCGATGCGATGCAATGAATGAAAGTAAGTAGTCATTAGATTTCCTTCTGAATTGCCCGCCCTGTGGAATGCCCTCCCATCAGGTGTCAAGGAAATAAACAACTATCTGGCTTTTAGAAGACATCTGAAGGCAACCCTGTTTAGGGAAATTTTTAATGTCTGATGTTTTATTGTATTTTTAATATTTTGTTGGAAGCCGCCCAGAGTGCCTGGGGAAACCTGGCCAGTTGGGTGGGGTATAAATAATAAATTTTATTTATTTATTATTATTATTATTATTATTATTGAAATGCACTGTATTTCTGAATGGTCATCTCATCGGAATGAATCAAACACAGAGCACATAGTGGGGGTTTTTAGAAACCAGTCACAAATGGCCAGACAGAAGCATTGTCTGAGTAACCACTGAAAGGTGTGGTGGGATTCTGGACCCTGAACAAGGCTGCTCAGGGCTCCCTGCCTCATATTATTTATTTATCCATCCATCCCCCCAGGTGCGAAAGTTAGAGCAACAGAACAAAATACTGGAAACACAGCTGAGGCTCCTGAAGGGCAAAGACCAGTACAAATCCAATGTGGGGCGCATCATGACAGCCCACAGCCAGCCCCTCAAGCAGCAAATCGATGCACTGAAACAGGACAAGGTGAAGCTGCAGAATGAGCTGAACCACATGCAGGCCTACCTGGATGAACTGAAAAGCAGGTGGGTTTGCGAGGTGCGAATGAGATTTATTTCAAATTGAGATCTTAATGCCTAGCAAGGCAGGAAGTGGCGACCAGATACTTGGAAGAGGAGCTACAGATGCTGTGGAGAAAGGAAAGAAAGCCTGGAGGGCAAGGGGGTTGGAAAACAGGGCATAAATACCCTGTTTGCCAAGATCAAAAAGCATCTCCTCTCCCTCTCTTTGTAGGTATGAAGATGAAATCAACCGGCGTAACCAACTTGAAAATGAATTTGTGCTTACCAAGAAGGTGGGTCTCGGAGGTGGAAAAATACATCTACACGTAGAACTTGTAGGGCATAAGGTTCCAAGGCAGTTCTCCCTGTTCCCTACACCAAGGATAGCCAGTGGGTGCCCTCAAGGGGTCCAAATCCCAAGATATATAAGCCTCTTAGCAAAACACTCACCAGCCAAGGGCAGTCTAAACAAACCAAGGTGAAGAACAGGAATCAGTCTAGGTTCAAACCATGATCCAGAGGCCAGGTCCAAGGTCACTGTTCAGCTAAGATATAACATAGCAAGGCAGGGGAACTGGAACCAGGAGCCAGAGACTTGTGCTGTTCCAATTACCAAAAGGCTCAAGAGGGAGAATTTATATATTCTGGCCTCCTAGAGCACACCCTAATCACAGCTGGTGGCAGTGAAGGGATGTCAGGGATTTGTTACTCATGAGGAGATACCTTACTCACAAGCAATGGTACCGGCTCAACAGCAGACACAGGGCTCAGGAGCCATGATTCAGGAAGTCAAGAGCAGAACAAGAAGTTCAGAAGTGGATGGATGCAGTTAGGATGCTTCCCTGCCCCTCCCGCCAAGCTTTTAAAGACGAGGCATGCTGCTCTTTCTTGCCTTGTGGAACATTGAGATTGCAAGCATGCACTCCATCAGGGTAGGTAAGGCTGCTCCCATTTGTGAAGGCAGTTCCCAGGTGATAAGACAGCATGGCTTAATTATTAGAGTGTTGGACCTGGGTTCGAATCAGCACTTGGTCATGATGCTCACTGGGTGACCTTGGGCCAGTCACCATCTCTTAGCCAAACCTACCTCAAAGGGTTGTTGTGAGGATGAAATGGGGAGGAGGAGAGCCATGTAAACCACCTTGGAAGATAAAGGTGGTGTATAAAATGCAATAAATATAATAAATAAATAAAAGACTGCTGTTCAATCACTGCCATCTCCTGGTCCACCTTCCCCTGCATCTTGGCAGATGCCTCTCCAGATTCTACTAAGGCTCTCTGCTTTGCAGGAATGTCAGAGGGGAGATCTGGCATCCCTGCTCCCCCTTCCAAAGTGATTGAAGTTGTTATATACTGAGTTGAATAGGATCCAAAAGGCAGCAGTCTGATTGGACCTAGAACAATAGGATTTAGAATGCAGCAGTCTGATTGGTCCTAGAACAATAGGACCCAGAATGCAGCAGTCTGATTGGTCCACAGGAGCCACCCAATCCAGCTCCAGATGGAAGTGAATCCGCAACCTGATTGACTTACAGGAGAATCCCGGAATTAGCCAATTACGTGGGGCCCATTGTGTAAATAATGTATATAAAGCAGACATTCTGGGGGAACTTCCATTCCTCACTACTATGAGCTGAATACAGAGCATGAAATCCACACTCGACTCCGAGTATATTTCAGAAGTCATGGTGGAAAGGAGAGATCCCCTCTCCTCCAAGCCAGCTTCCCACAATTCACCCCTCTGCTCTGTTTCTTCTTCCTCTGTCAGAGCTGCCAACTCAATCCCACTGCAGGGCTCACGACAGGTGAATCCTGTTCTGACCCAGGCATGGGATCTGCTGACTACTTCTCTCCCGTGACAGGACCTAGATGACATCTATGTGCAGAAAGTGGTTGTTGAGTCGAAGCTAGAGAGCACCTCCAATGAAATGAAATACCTCAACCAGCTCTTTGAAGAGGTGGGTGACACATGGGAGAAGAGTGGTGGGTGTGTTTGGCAGGGGTGAGTGGGAAGAGGGTGGGATTATTGTCCCATCTTCTGGATCGATGGCTCAGAGGAGATGAGAAGGGCTTGGGCTTTGCTCCATGATTATGTTCTCCATCTGAGATGACCTGTCATCTCAACCTCATCAACAATGTCATTATTTCTCCCTCTCTCTCTCTCTCTCTCTCTCTCTCTCTCTCTCTCTCTCTCTCCTCATCACACCCAGGAGACCCGGGAGTTGCAACCTCAGATCCAAAATGCAATGGTCACTGTGGAGATGGACAATAACCGGGAGTTGGAGATGAAGCATATAATTGATGAGGTGAAGGAGCAGTACCAGGCCATGGCTGCCAAAAGCCGTGATGAGACAGAACAGTGGCACAAGAACAAGGCGAGTAGCACATTTCCATCACGTGGAAGAGTGTGCAAGCAGTCATGCATAACATATATACATGTTGTTGAACAGAACATTTTAAAGAGAACTGGCTGGTACCTGGATGACGCTGTTGACTAAAACCTCCTGGTTCTTCTCTTTACCTTCCAGTGTGATGACATAGCAAGACAGACCCAGAAGAACCTTGAGGATCTGAAGAGAGCCAGAGGGCAGATTGCTGAGCTGACTCGCTATGCCCAGCGTCTTAATGGGGAAATTGAGGCCCTGAAGAACCAGGTGAGCTGTCTCTGGGCAGAAAATGAGTCTTATTTAAACTATTGGTGAAAGTTGAGAGTTTACACTAACAGGGGAAATCAGACTGCACTTACATCCCCTTACACACTCTACCTCTCATTCCTGAGCCATTCAACCATTATATGATTGCATTTCACAGATAGGTTATACCTTAGGTCTGCAGGTAGCCTCATTCTTCATAAAGAAGTGGAACAGCTGGAGGGGGGTGAGAAAGGGGTAATTTGGTCTTGAGGGGGGCATGCTTCATGGATCCACTTCATGTCTCCATTCCACATAGACTGCTAAATGAAATGTGTGGCCCAGAATGCTTTCAGCTGCTTCCAAAGGTCTACAGCCCAAACTGATTCTTTTTGATGGGTAACTTAGGGCACTTCCAGATGACCTGCTAATTGAGCATTCATTCTCATTGGTTTGCATAAAGTTTGTGGGGAGGTTAGGTGACATGGGCTGTTCATTGAGTACAGTGGTACCTCTGGTTATGAACTTAATTTGTTCCAGAGGTCCGTTCTTAACCTGAAATCGTTCTTAACCTGGGTACCACTTTAGCTTAATGGGGCCTCCTGCTGCCAGCACACAATTTCTGTTCTCATCCTGAGGTAAAGTTCTTAACCCGAGGTACTACTTCCGGGTTAGCGGAGCCTGTAACCCGAAGTGTTGTAACCCGAGGTACCACTGTATTTATTATGATTTGTTTGCAGGGCACCACGTCAAGCAATTCCCCCCCACACACTTCTCAGTGCAAAAAGTCCCATTTTAATGGGTTTCCTGCACAAGGTACCAAATCCACTCTAACTGCACAACCTGAATTTTCCATCATGCGATAGACTCCCACCCACAAAATAGCAACTTTCTGGGCATGACCTTAGCAATTTGTTATATTGAAAGAGCTGAAGGAACTGTGGACACTTTGACTGTTTCTCTGTTCAGGTGAGATTCATTCACTTGCTGGTCAATTCATGTTGTGCAGTTTTAAACAGATTAGGAGGTCTTGTGCAACAAACCTGCTTCTCCAAAAGATCAGAGTTTCTGCAATAAAGAAAAGTGATGGGGAAATGCACTGGAAAGCATAGGGTAACACCTGCTTTGTCAACATCATCTAACCTCCCTGCAAACAAATCAGAACGGACAACTGTAAACAGGTCATCTGGAAATGCCCTGTATCCCCAAACTGAGGAACAGGAGAAGGGCTCGTTTTTGCCAAAGCTTTCTCAGCTCTTCCTTTGCTATTCAAATTGGCAGCTGGGGAAAATAGGACAAGCAGCTGCAGCCAAATTGGAGCAACCATGCAGCCCCAAAACAGGCTCTTCCCCATCACGCTACAATAAGAGACAGGCCTTGCCCCCAGTTTCCTATTGTGGGCTTCCCCTGTGGCTTCCCACCATGGTGTTGGGGCCGTCTCACAGCTCCTCTCTCCTCCTGCCCAGCGAGCCAACCTGGAGAGTGCCGTGGCGCAGGCTGAAGAGCAAGGGGAGCAGGCTGTGCAGAGTGCCAAGGGTGCCATCCAAGACCTGGAGGAGGCTCTGAGGCGGGCCAAGCACGACATGGCTGGCAAGGTGCGAGAATACCAAGAGCTGATGAATGTCAAGCTGGCCCTTGACATAGAAATTGCCACCTATCAGAAACTGCTGGAAGGAGAAGAGAACCGGTAAGCAAGGTCCTGTGGGTGGTAAGCAGTGTTAGTCCTGTTCAGAGAAGACTCATCGAAGCTGATAGACATGAGTCCATTGGATCCATTCATTTCAGTGGGTCTGCTCCGAGTAGGATTTAGTTGGATGCAACCCCAAACTTTAGTGGAACTTGCCATGCATGGATGGGGCGGGTGGGAGGTTGGTGAATTAGTCGCTCTGCACCTGGACATCTAGGATTGGCTGTCCTGCGTGACATCACTATGCTGTCACATGGGAAGCTGCCTTCCACAGAGTCAGACTGACAGTCCATCTAACTCAGTATTGCCTACACACCATGGGCCACAATCATGGTTTTGGAGGTTGTTTGCACTAATGGGTGTGTGGCCACCCCACTCTGTTGTTTGGTCTGTGTCTATCATGCACACACAAACATGCGCACACACACACACACACACACACACATGTTCCTCAGATGATCTGTGCAGATCAGTTGAGGGGGTGCATTAGCATCAGCCCCCTCCTTTCATCAGATGCACAAACTGATTACCAGGGAGGATGCTATATTTAACCCTATCAGGTGTTTTGCTCCACTCATCCCAGCTTTCTCTCTCTGCATGTGTGTGTGTATTTGCCATTGCCAAAATCAGCAGGGGGTTGGGAGGTAAAAAAATAAGTGTGGGGTGGGGGCACTTGAAACACTGAAACACCCTTGTTGTTCCATCACATGTTTCCCCCCCTTCTCTCAGGATGGGTGGCCAGGCTCCAAGTCAGCAGTTCAGTGCTATAGACAAACTAGGTAAGTATATTTCCTACTCTGATTGAAGCTGTGCATGAAGTTCCCTAGAATAGTCCCAAGCCTGTGGTAAAAATGGGTGCTCATAAAATGGAGGCGGCTGGTAACTCCATCAATCTCTCCTGCCATCCTCTGGATTCTTCTGGTAACGCGGCAGCCCCATCCTTGCCAAACGGGTTCCCTTTGAGCTTTTCTAGGTTTCCTAAACGACTAAACAACAACAAAAATTTTGCTATTGTCATCATTGCATTTTTCTAATATTTGTTGAATATTTGATATATCCATTGGATACTGGAAGACATTAGATTTTAGCATTTGGTATCTGGCAGTCTGATACTTATTACAGTTCTTGATAGTTGATTATGTGTCATGGCATTTGGCATTTGACAGGGAAGACTTTCCACCAAGTGTGTCTGCCATGATGTGGACCCAGCTTAGTTAGCTGTTATCTTGAGGTCTCAGTATTTAAACTTTTACATGGTAGGTGAACAGAAAAAGGTAGAAATATATTCTGTGCACACACACACACTACAGAAGGCTCCAGAATACCTCAGTTTTTCTAATGCTTGTTTGGCCTGCCTCTTGACCTTAATACTGAATGATGCCCCACAAGAAGCCAGTATTTCATGTAATATATTGGGTGCCTCCTATCATCTGTAGGGTTCTGCATCCTCCTTATAATTCCACCTCTGCTCAAGACCCTTTGGGTTCCTCAGAATGGTATCCTTGCTCAGTCTCCATTAGTGCTAAATATATTGGTCCCGTTTCTGGTTCTATGTCTGGGGGTCTCTCTCTCTCTCTCTCTGTGTGTGTGTGTGTATGTGTGTGTGTGGGTGTCTGCAAATTCATGTAGATCACTCGCTTAGTGCAAATGGCCAGTTGGCTTTCTGGCTCCCTGACCTGCTGCTAACTTGCTTAAATGGCGTTTCTAGCGGCCTCTTCTTTCTCAAATCACTTTGGGGAGTCAAATCAGGAGTCTCTTGCTTAAAGCCATCCTTCTTTGATCTCTTGACCCAGATTTCTAAATCCATCCATTGCTTATGCAGCTGGGCTCCTGACACAGGGGATGGCGCTGCCTGCCCACAACATGGCACCTGGGGGGACTTCCTTGACCAACAACAACTCACTGAAGAGGCCCTTGCTCATCAAAACCATCGAGACCAAGGATGGGAAGATCCTCTCTGAGGCCAGTCACTTCTCAGAAAAGTAGCCGAAGCAGAACAAGCCAAAGGGGCAATCAGGCCCCAGTGCTTAAAATAAATGAGTGTTTTAAAGCCTTCTACAGATCCTTGTTTTCTTTACTTGTCCACACAGTGGGTCTATCTCCTCTCTAAGGCATCATAGGCAGGCCAGAACCCACTGCTGGTAAGCTGGTGTGGGTGATGCACCCCTTTGACACAGGGATGGGGGACCTGCAGCCCTCCAGAGCAGGCTTCCTCGACCTCGGCCCTCCAGATGTTTTTGGCCTACAACTCCCATAGCAGGACCAGTGGTCACGGATGATGGGAATTGTAGTCTCAAAACATCTGGAGGGCCAAGGTTGAGGAATCCTGCTCCAGAGGTTGACGAACAACAACTCTCATCAGCCCAGCCAGCATGACCATTGTTCAAGGATGCTGGGAGTTGTAGTGCAGCAAACATCTGGAGAACCAAAGTTTCTCCCATCCCTAGTTCAACTCCATCAATATTATCCTCAGCTGCACCAAGTTTCCTGCATGAGTCCTGACAGCAGCTCCAGGCATTTGGTCCCTAATCTTCCATTTTTGCCCATGCGTCATATAGGTTTCTTTTTTGCTTGCGGTGAAGCGGGAGGTTCTGATCTCCCTAGATAAAGTGTACAACAGTGGATACTGGACATTTTGCAGCCAGGATAATGGCTCTTTCTTGGATGCTGAACAAGGCTGAATTCCTGTCTTATCCAGGCCAATCCTGAGCATCTGGCTTTGCTAGTCATTCCTTCACTCCCTTGTTATGCTAGAGAGGACTGGCCCAACCCTCTGGGTTTTGTTGAAGAAACAATTGTCATTGTTTGCCCTTAAAAGGCAAGCTGGTACTTTTGGAGACAAGAGTGGGGCATAACTTATGTCTTTTCGAGAAGAGGGATGATGTTCCTAGGGAAGAAGCATCATGGTAGCCTACAGTTTGAAAGTTCAGATGCATTTGGGGTGGGGGGAGGTAGCCTGATGTACAATGGATAAAATGCTTGGAATGGCCTTTCCTTCTTCTTTTCTGAGCAGAGGCTTTGCCACTTTCGTGTTCTGAAGAGAATCCAGCACAACACTGAAGCTACAAAAAGAAAAGCAGGGATGCAGTTCAGAGCTCTTTGTACCAAAACGTGTGCAACCATCCATTTGGGGGGGAGTTTAATGGGGATGGGATGGAGCATGACCCTTAAGGGATCCTACTGAGAAGGGTTTGAATCTTGTAATTCCTGCTCCAAGAGGGATAGGAACAAAAACAGCTGCCTTGTACAAAGTCAGACCACTGGTTCATCCAGCTCAATATAGTCTACACTGCCCAGCAGCAGTTTCAGGATTTCAGACAGGGTACATTCCCAGCCCTATCTGGAGATGCTGGGAATTGCACCTGTGACCTTCTGCATGCTAAACAGATGTTCCACCACTGAGCTACAGTGCAGGAGAACCTAGGAGCATTCAGGTCCTGCTTGTGGGCTTCCTGTGGGCCGCTGTGAGAGCAGGATGCTGGACCAGGTGGGACTTGGGCAACATCCAATGAAGCTCTTCTTCTAAAGCCTGTCTCTGAGCTTCAGTTCAGGAAGGTTTCCGGCTACAGCAAGAACAGGGATGCTGTAGGACTCTAGCCCATGAAAGTGTGTGCCGTAATACAATCTGTTAGTCAGGAATCTGTAGCAATAAAATGATCTGCATCCCCTTAAAAGTGGTTTGTGACCAGGAGCAAATGTGTGATATGAAAGAACTGGGTTCTGGGGTTTGACACTAGCAAGAAGCCAGCTCCCCTGCCTGCCAGCTGGAGAGACCTGATTCCGTTCTATGTACCATATTTTTTGCTCTATAAGACTCACTTTTTCCCTCCTAAAAAGTAAGGGGAAATGTGTGTGCGTCTTATGGAGTGAATGCAGGCTGTGCAGCCATCCCAGAAGCCAGAACAGGAAGAGGGATCACTGCTTTCACTGCGCAGCAATCCCTCTTGCTGTTCTAGCTTCTGAGATTCAGAATATATTTTCTTGTTTTCCTCCTCCAAAAACTAGGTGCGTCTTATGGTCTGGTGCGTCTTATAGAGCGGAAAATATGGTATTCTGTATAGTTCCATATGTTTCAGCAGCATGCGTTGCAGGGAGTTATACTAGAAGACCCTTGCAGTCCCTTCCAACTCTACAATTCTATGATTCCATGTGAGCATAACCATTGCAAGGCTGTCCTGCAAGCCCAATCCACGTGCTCCTGAGCTGAGTTTTTGCATTAAGAAAAATAGGACACTTCTGGGCTGAGCCCCTGGCTTAGATAAGTCCTGTTTGGTTGCCCTCCTGTGTGAAAGCCAAAGCACTTTAGGAGAATCTGCAGGACTTCAGCTTTTGGCTGACTGTGTCCCTAATTTACCGCAAGCCTCTAGGGCTATCTTTGCACCATAGGCTAGCTCAGAACCACTAGGAGGCAGATGAGCCTCTAAGCAATCAGACCCTCCACAGGCCTGCAATTTGCTAGCAGCTAACAAGGGGTGTGACTATACAATCTGGAGGAGGGAAACAGCCTTTCACTGTGGTTTCCAGCTCCTCTTCTCCCCCAACCCACGCCTGCTTTCTCAGTTCCCCTTTCGGTCAAAGATGGTCCAAGATATGCTACTATCTGATAGCAGCTGAAGATGGGCCAGCCCTCGAGCAGAGCGAGGCATCCAAGAAGCACCTGACAAGTCCTCGCTCTCATCACCACATGGTTGGGTGTGCATTGGGAACTGGTGTCAGCAGGAGCTCTGCCCAGGGAAGGCTGATAAACCTCCAGGTTAGTTTGTGCCTGTCTGGCCCCTGATATTTCGCCTTGAATTAGGAGGGTGAGAAGGAGGGAAGGAATGAAGAACCCAGGCCAGTTGCCAGTCACTGGGCTGCATTACTCAGCTGAATCCATTCGCACAAGGTCACAAGTGCAAGGAGAGGAACTCACAGTACACCTACCCAGGGGAAAGGGTGGCTATGTCTATTTTGGTTTCTTATTTTTCCAATCTTAAATTCAGTTCTCCACATTACCACATCAGTTGGCAAGTTGTCTGTCTGTTAGTTTTTAAAAGTCTTCATGAAAATTCATCAGGATTTTAGTGCAACTTTTTCCAAATATGCAGTTTTGTATACTATACATGCTTTGCAAAGAAATTTTGCCTAATATAATGCATTTTTAAATGCTATTTTCACTTATAGATGCATTTATATGTATTTACCCTGGTACAGTAAATGCATTGTTATATATAAAGTGGCTGGAAAGTGGCGCTGCAAATTTCAGACAGGTGTGAATTTTGAAAGGTGTCTGTGTCTCAGTTCATGCACTTTTTTTTCTTTTTTTCTTTTTTTTTTTGAAAACTTGAATTAGGCAGCTTCAGTGCCAGATTACCAGATAGGAAGAGTAGGCACCAGCCTATGGGCCCCATGCCTTTTAGGGGTCCTGTGACAACAGATTAAAATAATATTGATTTGTTCTTGAAAGAAAATTACAATCATGCTTTCTTGGTTCAATGTTATCCCACTAGAGTGGGGGCCCGCAAGATTTCAACTGCCTAGGGGCCACAGGGTTCAATCCAGCACTGGGCAGGTTCGCTTTTAAATGCTAATGAATGAAATTTATCCTCCTCACCCAGGAGCGACTCATTCATGCTGGAGCACAGACCACATTGTTACCCCATTAGCAATAAAGGATTCTAAGGGTTACCAAAGGTCTCGATTTTGGGAGTAGCGCTCATATTCCACAGAGGCTCACTATGCAGTCATACTATGACTCCATGGCTATAGAGCACTGACAGAAGCCGAGAACTGGGAGTGAGCAGAGCAGTGTCCTTAAGACTGGAGGCAGGGACACTTGACTGAGGGTAAGTCCCATTGAAACTGAAAGCAAAAAAAATTAAATCCAGAGTTCCTTAAAATATTTCGCAAGCAAAATTTGCTTGGTGGGTTGTTGTTGTTTTTAAAAAATGGATCATTATTACATGAAAAATGCTGCCCTTAAATGAGACTGGAGAATCAGGATGTTCCAATAAGATCCACACATTGCTCACTGTTTGCTGTCTCCTGCTCTCTCCTACAACTCCCATCATTCCTGACCATTGGATGTGTTCAGCGTCTGGAAGGCAACAGGCTCCCCATCTCTGTGCTACAGTTCATTTTTGTTTTTCCGCTAGGGTCATCCCTGATTGGAGGTTAATCAGTACTGCTTCTGGGGCCAGCCCTTGCAATCATATCTGTATAAAAATAAACATGTTGCCTGCCTTCTCTCTCAGCTCAGCATGCATCCCATAATTAATCTTCATCATTTCCATTTTTAATAAGTTAATATCAAACTTATTTCTAAATCCTTTCCTCTCATCCTTCTTTCTCTCATGCCTCTTCCCCTGACTGCTTTAGAATACTCTTGTCCATTGCATGCAGCTGCTGACTGACATATGAATAAGGCTTGGGCACTGTACTAATTATTATTAATACTTATTGTAATATCTACTGCATATCTGCATATCTACTGGCAGATTAGCATGTTGATCCCATTCAGAAAATGATTTCTGCTGAATCATGCCCAGCAAAATACCAGGCAGGAAATCTTTCACATGGTAATTCCCAGACCATGTGTGAAGCAACACAAATTACTGTTGATATATTGCAGGAAATGAAATGCCCCTATGAGCTCCAAAATGCCCACCAACAGAAGAGGCTGCTTATTGCTTCTCTAGATGATTCACTGCTCTGAATCTTGCCTCTATTCAAGCAGAACAACGGCTCCCATAGGGGCATAAGGCGTAATAATTATTGTTATCATTTAAATAGACAGTGCAATCAGGATGCCCCCATTTCCAGGCAAGTACCTCGCCTTTCCCATTTCCATTGCTAAAGCCCTGTCATTATTTGAGGAAAAGACACTTTGCATATATTCTCAGTAATATATATTCTCAGTTATAGATAGATATAGACCCATGCTTCAGTATCAGAAGCATGGTGGGGGGGACTCCCTGCCTATTGATATTAGGCAGATGCCTTTGCTGTACAGTGGTACCTCTGGTAACGAACTTAATTTGTTCTGGAGGTCCGTTCTTAACCTGGAACCGTTCTTAACCTGGGGTACCACTTTAGCTAATGGGCCTCCTCTTGCCGCCGCACCACCAGCATGACATTTCTTTTTCTCATCCTGAGGTAAAGTTCTTAACCCAAGGTACTACTTCCGGGTTAGTGGAGTCTGTAACCCGAAGTGTTTGTAACCCGAGGTATCAGTGTACTGTTTTCGGCACCAGCTAAGTGTTTTTGTTTAAGCAAACCTACCTAGACATGCAAATCTGACCTGTATTTTAATGCAGTATGTAATTTTATTTAAAAATACTAGTATTGTGTTGAATTTTTTTTTAACATCTTATTTTATTGGCAATTTTATCATATATCTTATATTTTATGTAAACCATTTAGATGTTTTGAGGATTAAGCAGTATGGAAATTCTCTTCACAAAATCTAACTGATGAGGCAAAATTCAACCCACGCACACACAAGAAAAGCATGTGTGTGGGTTGAATTTTCCCCACAGCACCTCTGGTTCACTCTCACACACAGTCCTCATCTGGACATAACTCTATGCCAAATAATGGTTTAGTCTGAATGAGCAATGAGAATGTTTTGCTCCTCCCCTGATGTTTTGCTCCTGCACTGTGCTGAGCTGTGAGCAAACCATGAGCCAGGGCTTGGATGACACACTAAGCCAAACCATGACTCAGTAGCAAAACAACTGGGGAGGGACAAAACACCTCCATGACCACTAAACCGTGGTTTGGCTTAGTGTTGCGTGTGAACCAGACCACAGTGGAAGTAAATCTTTTGGGGTGCAAAAATGAATCTAATTTCAATTGGGAGGAAGGGAAGTGTTATTGCGCTGATAGTCATTTGGCAAATGCAACTAACAGCATAACAGATTAACCCTTTGTCCAGGGTATAATTGCATGGGTAGGCTATTCTTTGCTTCTTAAGCTGGTCGCTCTTAAAGCCCCTTCAAACCACCCTGTCAAATGATTCTTTCCTCATTTTGTTCCACTTTGTTTTCAGCCTTTCGAGAAAGACGGCAGGGCCTCAGCAGGGATGATTTCCGCTGGCAATTATGTCACTCGAATAGCTTAATTGACTCTCTTAAACGCAGCCAGATGGTAGGAGTCTCCCTCTAAAAAGCCTGTTGCCTCTTCTTTATGAGTGTCTTAAAATAACACCACTGGTTCTTTTAGTGGCTCTTGACTGCAGAGTAGCTGCAACATGAGGTAATGCCACGCGTATTTATCCCGGCCCTCAAAAGCTTTCCCAAACAACTTCATGATAGTCTTCCTCCTCAGCTGTTTTTCCTGGCTGTATCCACACCATACATTAAAAACCCTATATTATTATTATTATTATTATTATTATTATTATTATTGTGGTACCTTGGATTACAGACGCTTTGGGTTATGCGTTTTCAGGTTATGGACCGCGGGAAACCCGGAAGTACCGAAAAGGGTTACTTCCAGGTTTTGCCAATCGCGCTTTGCGTGTGCGCAGACGCAACACTGCAGGTTACGAACGCTGCAGGTTGCGGACGGTGCCTCTGTCATGAATTACATCCGCAACCCGAGCTCCCACTGTATTCAGCTTACAACAAAAATCTAAATTCTCTGTCAGGCAATAGCACACAACAAATGCCAAGGTAAGTATTGTTCATCCCGAAAGCTAAGCAATATAAGCACCAAGACATTACCTAATTTAAAAATTGTACAAGCCAGATATTCCAGAATACTGATGGCACAGGCCAGCCGGTCTCTTCCTTATTTGCAAAGGTCATGAAACTCTGCCACTCTGTTGCAAAACAGTCCTTTTTCCTTCCGGTCTCTAGCTGTTCATAAACAATGAGTCAATTTCTCAACCAAAACTCTAGTCTATGCTTTCGTATACCACTGTTTCACGGTAAGCCCTTTCAGGTCCTTCCAATATCCAGCTATCGGTCTTCACTGCTACCAAGAGGTAGCCAATCAATACATTAGAAAGTCCCAAAATCGAGGAACTTTTTTTACAGCTCCACCACATGTGAGTAAAATAACCCACCTCCCCACAAATCCCTGGAAAGAGGGATTTATTGAAAAACCTCTCTGCAAATTGTAGCTCTGTGAGTCAAATAGGGGGTCTCATAACCACTCTCAGTATCCTTTGCAAACTATTATTCCCATGATTCTTTGGAGGAAGCCATGACTCTTAAAGTGGTATTATAGTGCTTTAAATGTATGATGCAGATGTGTGACCCCAGTTGCTCCTTAGCACCTAATCTTTGGCTTCCAGGGCCCTACCATTAGGCAGAATACGAATGCCTCAGGTAGAAGATTTTGGGTGTCGTGAAAGGGTATCAAGTTGTTAATTATTGAATTTATGATTGTTGCATTTTTCCTGTCAAGGAGGAGTGTTTGTGGGATTTATCTGCCTCAGGTGTCAAAATAACTTGACCAGCCATGGGTACTATGCCCCATGATCTGAGGTGGAAGGTTACTGCACAGCCATAGGCAACGAACTATCTTGAGCCATCCCTGCCTCCTGCACTGCTCAGAGTTGGGAAATGATTTCCTCTCCTAAGACAACAGCTTAACTTTTAAGATTCCATGATCTTATGGCTGGACAGTCTCTGAGCATTTCCCAAAAGGATATGTCATGAGCCAAACAAAAATGTCTCTGGGCATTTAGGTTTCAAAGGTGGTCAAAAGGACCATGGAGTTCACAAGACATTTCAGGGCTGTGGGTCTCAGTGAATGAAGTCTCTCTCTTACTCATTTTCTAACTGAAGCCTAACTGCAAAACACTTTGGGGCTCTTTGTAAAGACTGCTAACATTTGACATGCATTCTGAGAATGGGAATTTTGGACAAGCTTACCCTTCCTTGATTGCCTGGTCCAACTGGTTTAAAATATTTCTTCACTTTTTTTTCTTAAAAAAATGAAGCCTCCGGTTTTAATTCTGTTACCAGATCTGCTTACGTGTCTATAGATCTGCACCCTTGACAGAAATATCACTTTTAGGGATCTTTACTGGAAATTATCAGACAAGACAAATGCTATTGCAAAAGACATGATTACGTACTTTAAAAAAAAACAAAAAACCAGTCTTGTCTTGCTTATTTGGGAGAATGAGCAAGAACTATCAAATGCCAGTCTAAATTAATATCACTGTTTATTACTTATTTATATCTAGGGGTAACTAATCCCAGTTCAGAGGTAGTGAATCTAGGGAACTATAAGGAACGTAGGATAGGAAGGGGATGGGATGTTAATAATTACCTGTCCTGAGGAAGGGAGAATTAAGAGCACTGGCTTTTTGAGTTTCACCATGACCTGCAGGGGCACAATCATGGCCAAGTTCAGGGTTTCTGCCCAAAGCTAAATGTTAAATAGTTAGTGGCCAGCCCAGCTAGCTATTCCGCACCCTTGCCATAAACTTTTTTTGATGAATTCAATGTATGGGATGTTTTAGTCCTGTCTTTTTAAAATATGAATGTGCTTTTAGTTTTCACTGTGTTTTAGTTCTATGTTGGCTTTAATGTATGTGTTATTTTTTCTGGTAAATTGCTCTGAGTTACATTTGGGGGAGGGGAGTGGCAAATAAAGCCAATAAATAATACAACAATAATATCAGAATTTTTGCCCTATTGACACAGTAGCAATTATGTTGTTTTTTTAATAGATTTAGTATAATTGTGCTGTATAAGACACACTTAAACAAGATGTGGTGTTGCTAATTTTTATGCTGAATTATTGCATTGTTTTATTTATTTAGAAGAACTCCTCAATGTGGGATTGATTTTTTAATAACTAAATATAATCATGTCAGTGAAATATTTCTTCTTCGGTGATCACTCGTAGCCAAGTAAGTTTGTCTTTCATATACACGGTTTTAAAAGTAAGTCCGTAAGTGACTGTGGAGGCCAATTCTGGATCCACATGTCCTTCCACAGCGGGGACATAGGTTTTCGGGCAGGAGTTGATCACAGTGAGGGTTTGCCAAGCGTGCTTTCCTCTTAGCACGTTTCTCCCTTTCATCTTGAGTTTGTGCTTCTTCAAAGTCCATGACACCTTTGGTAAAGGCTGTTCTTCAACTGGAGTGCTCGCAAGCCAGTGTTTCCCAGTTTTCACTGTTCATACTACATTTTTTAAAATTTGCCTTGAGAGAGTCTTTGAATGTCTTTTGTTGACCACCAGTATTACGCTTACCATTTTTAAGTTCAGAATAGAGTAGTTGCTTTGGAAGACGATCATCAGGCCACAGTGGTTTGGAAGTGAAATGTAGTTTGCCAAGCTAACCTTCTGGCTTTGCTGAATAATAACATGGGGTGTTTTCTCATTTCCATTAGGAAGTCAATGTCGGAAGGTGGAGAGGATAGGGGAGTCCTCACTAGAGACACAGAAACTATGACACAAAATATCATCATCTGGCTCTCAAGGCCCCTGTCAGCCTTCATTGTTTTGGCCAACATCTTCCTCATCCTTGGGATCCTCTTCAACCGTAGACTCCGCAACACCACCAACTGGTTCTTCCTGAGCCTACTCTTTGCTGATCTTCTGGCCGGCTTATTCCTTCCCAATATTCCTGAGCTGTCCTCGACGAAGGATTTAAACTACCACCTCTGCTTCTTCAACTATGTGGCACCTAACTTCATCTTCCTTGCTTTCTTAGCCAACCTGCTGGTGGTGCACTATGTTAAGTATGTGTTCATCATCCGCTCACTGCATTACCACCGGTCCTGGGTGTATCGCTGGCCTGGTTTTTACATATTCATAGCCTGGACAGCTCCTTTGATCTTTGCATGCCTCCCACTGGCTTGGAACCAGTGGCGGCCCCATGCCAACTGTTCCTTTGGTCTGGTCTTCCCTATTCCTTACCTCTATCTAGAGACCTATGGCTTCCTCATTCCATCCATCCTTGCCATGGGCTTCATGTGCATCCAGGTGCTGTGCACATCCCGAAGGCAGCTTAAGGACATCACAAGACTCCTTCATTCAGTGAACCAAGGCCAGCCTCCTTCAGAGCTGGAGCAGCAACTGGAACTGAGGAATGTTAAGAAGATCGCTAGTGTCTCCTTCATCTTCGTGGCCTGCTGGGTGCCCTATATTGTTTGCCTGAATATCTCACTGCTGTCTATAGATCATAATCATAACATCCACCCTCTCATTATTCCTATCGTCACCTGCATAGGCACCAGCAGCGCAGCTGCACTGCCTGTCATCCTCAGCCTTGGCAACAGACAGTACACACAATTTTGGACAGACATGGCCACCAAATGCTGTGGGGGCTGTTGTCAAAGACAGGGGCGCAAGGAAAGGAAAGCCAAAGCAAAGGCCCACTTGCCACATGGTCATCATTGCCCTGCAGAGGCAGACCTCAATGGGGCACCAGGCTGATACCTTCGGAGGTAGCAAATTGTCACTAGAAGCAAGCAAAACCACACTCTGAGTAAGATTGTATATGTAGACAGATCTTGGAAATGGGCCCTGGTCATAATCAGTAAGTCACCCTGCGCTCCTGTTGCCTAGAGGAAAGAAAGTTACTTTTTCTTCTTCTTCATTAAATATTTTCTTGATTTACAAAAGTGTGTGCAATGTGTCTCTCTCGTATTTTTTTTCCATGTAACATTTTTACAAATCAGTTTCATTTGTTGAGACATTAGGAAGAAAAGGGGGAAAGAGGTGGAGGGGGGAAGATGGGTGGGGGTGAGATGGGGTAGCGATGTTTCTATTTTACTTACTATATGTGGGGTTTGGTGTCAGCGTCGCTTGTGCAGGTTCTTTGCTGTTCACTTGTGTTCCTTTGGTGGTGAGAGAGGTTAGGGTTGGCCTAGGGTGTGGCTATTCATTTTTGGTTGGCTGTGGTGGTCTTTGTTTTCATGTGTGAGTGGGGTGGGTGGGACAACCATACGAGAAATAAGTAAAATAACCAAGCAAGTATTAGAAACCACCCCAGAATTGGCCTTACTAAACACCTTCCAAGACAATAATGCCCACTTACACCACAAAGAACTCATAACCCACTTACTTTCAGCAGCCAGAAGCATCATAGCCAGACACTGGAGAGACCTGTCAGGAGTAAGCATGGACCAATGGTACCAAATAGTATGAGAAAGTTATTTTTCTATCCCTGTTTGGATTCTCTGACTGGACTGGGAATTTCCCATGAATAATAATCGTTTTTGTGTTGGTTGGTCATTCATCAAATCTGCCACCCTAATATCAGATAGATTGGCTTGTTCCCTCAAGAGTGTTTGTAGTTTCCTTACAGTATCTGTATTTGGTCTGTACCCCTTGTGAGATAGCTGCTCCCCACCCCATCCTGCCCATTGGCAGAGGAGAAAGAGGTGGGTCTGTTGTACCACTTGGAGAATAATGCAGCAAATATTTCTGTCTCACAGGTAGCCACATTTATGAAGACAGTATAAGCACTAGCTTTCAAACTGCACCACACCTGGAGAACTATATTCAGTTCTTCATTAGGATGCTTTAATAATGATGATGGTGATGACAGTTGCAATTAATGAAAATTAAGGTTTTTTAACACTTCATTGCAAAGCCTTACTGAGTTCAAAATAGTTTTTTGTTATTGTGTTTTCTCAATTAACACAGCCTAAAATTACAGCAATTAGCATGTGGGGGGGTATTTTTTGAGGTTAAATGGGGGTCCTCATAGTCATAAAGGCTGGGAACCACTGGGTTATACCTTTGGGATTTTTCTACTGACTTGCCATAATTTACTTTATATGTTTTTGAATATGGGTTACCACATTAAAGATGGCTGATTAAACTGCATTTATGCTATTTAGTTTAAAATATTTTTATAATGCACTTCATTTAAAACAAAATTCCAAGGCAGTGTACATTATTAATATAAAACCTTTCGATAAAATTACATCAAAGTAAGATGCAGTATACAAATACAGTAGGAAGAAATAGCTACTATTGAGAAAATGCCTGGTCGAAGAGCTGCGTTTTTAACAGATGGCAAAATCACATTACTGTAGGTGCTTGCCATATTTCAGAGAGGAGGCTTTTCCACAAAGCAGGCACCACCACAGCCAAGGCACTATGCGGGGTTATCACAAGGTGGATTAATGCACTTAATGGCCCAGCCAGGAAGTCCTCCTTTGAAGATCTAATTGAATGGGCAGGTTTATTTAAAAGAAGCATTTTTTCCCAGGTTACCAGCTCCCAAGTTGGTTGTAGCTTTACATGTCAACAGAGGAAAATTGACTTGGGACCAGATTGGCAGCAAGTGTGGTTACTTCAAGAGGGTGTTACATGCATGCAGCAAGAAGCTTCAGTCAGTAACCTAACCACGGTATTCTCATATCCTCCCACATCTATCCAATGAAAATAGGGATGTCCTAAGGAAATGTGGGACATTCCAGGATCAAATCAGAAACCAGGATGACTTCTGTAAATCCAGGACTATCCTTGGAAAATAGGGATGATGATGATGATGATAATAATTTATTATTCATACCCCATCCATCTGGCTGGGTTTCCTTAGCTACTCTGAGCAGCTCCCAACAGATTAAAAACAGAATAAAACTTCAAACATTAAAAACTTCCCTAAACTAGGCTGCCTTCAGATGTCTTCTAAAAGTCAGACAGTTGTTTATTTCCTTGACATCTGATGGGAGGATGTTCCACAGGGCAGGCGCCACCACCGTGAAGGCCCTCTGCCTGGTTCCCTGTAACCTCACATCTCTCTGTGAGGAAACCAGCAGAAGGCCCTTGGAGCTGGACCTCAGTGTCTGGGCTGAACGATGGGGGTGGAGACGCTCCTTCAGGTATACTGGGCCGGGGCACTTCAAGGACACTTGGAGGGGCTGCATTCTGCTCCAGTTGCAGCTTCCAAACCAGGTCTAGGAGCTGCCCCAAATAGAGTACATTACCGTAATCCATTCTTGAGGCTGTCAGTGCACAGGTCACCGTGGCCAACCTATCCCTATCCAGGAACGGTTGCAGTTGGCATACCAGTGAAACCTGGTAAATCTGTATATATAATTAGATCACCCACCATGATACTATCCTACTTGGGCACCAACCTGGGTGTTTCGCCCACGCTGACTGAACAAATAGAGTCCGGTGGTGCCTCTTCTCTCACCACATCCCAGGGAGTTCCCCCTACCAATGTTTGCTGACCGCCAAGTGGGCTGTATCGATAGCAGCATCTGCCACTGTGTTTGCTCGAAAGAGGATTAGCTAGCCATTCCACCCTCACAGATGGAGTTTGATGGCTCATGATCATCCCCTGCTCTCCACAATGTGATGGATGAGAGCTCGTAAATATTCCATTAGGAAGCACACTGTCCCCAGGAAAGGGGCAGCAGTCACACCCTGTGATGCAAAATGTTCAAGTTAATCTCTCACAGCTTCCTGAAACGCTCCAAGGACACGCTTGTGCCACTGAAACACAGCAGCTCATCCATCAGCCTGGGATTTCAATCAGAAGGGACTGGAGGCTGCAACACGAAAAGGGCAGCCAGTCAAGCAGATGTAACGCAAGCTACAGCGACTGCAGATATGTGTAAATTGAAGTTGCAACAGCTTTGCCTGATCACGCTGTGATAAACTGCGGCTCCCTGCAGCATGCCAGGAGCAACTGTCATCTGTATTAAATGAGAAAAGTCAGTACGGGCAGGCGGCTTGCAAGCACTGCCTTCTCTGCAGTTTGACACAGCAGCCCAGACGCTTTCAGGAACTCTTGCTGTTTTCTCATAGGATAAATGGCAGCGCGAGGAATTCATCCCTGCTCTACCCAGCCCAGGTCAGAGCTCTGCTTTTCGTTGACTTAATACTAAAAAAGTTTTGCTAAGTTTCAAGTGTAAGCAGACAGAAGAGCTGGTCAGCTGGATGCTTCTCTTCCCTGATGACTCTGTGATCTGAGGATGGAGAGGGCAGGAATGCTTGAAAAAGAACAGCCCCTACCCTGTGTTTATTATAATATCTGATGCTGTGCTAGCAGCAGCAGCAGCACTTCCTGGAAGAGATCAGAGAAAGGGCAGCACAGCAGAGGCCTGCCACTCATCTCTGCTGCCGCCCCCACAGTCCTCACTCTATAATACTCTGATCTCTCCCTTCCCTGTACTTTAAATCAGGGATGGGGAGCCTGCATCCTCCTCCAGATGTTGCTAGACTCCAGCTCCTTTCGCCCTGGCCATCGGCCATGATGGCTGTGGCTGATGGGAGTTTTGAGTCTAACAGCATATGAACGGTCACAGGTTTCTCAGCCCCACTTTAAACTGCGGTGATACCCTCAAGATTCAGGAAGCTTGGAAAGGGAGGCAAAACTGAGCTTTATCAGCATTAATTGCCGCCATTCAGAGATCCTGCCTGTTGTGTCCCTTATGGTACTTCCCGTTTCCTTAATATTAAACTGGGTAGGAATCTTGGAACACCTTAATGATGAAAAGTGGGGAAACTGTCAGAACACTTCCGCAGAGGCCATAGCACACTATACCATGCACAAGCTAAGCAAGCCAAGCTTCAAAATACAACTGTTTCAGCAGAGAGCATCCAAAGCAGGTCACACCAAAGCAAAAAGCTACATTTTCCCATGCCTAGGAAAGAGGAGGGGAGAGGCCACCGCTCAGTGGCACATGCGTCTTATTCTGAAGTCCCAGCTCCTGCCCCTGCCTAGTAGAGCCATGGAGTTGCTGCCTATTGGAGCAAGCAATGTTAATCCCAAAGGACAAACAGGCTGATCTAGTACGAAAGAACTTCCTATGATCACTAGCCAGAAGGTCCACTAAAAGCAAAACAATCCCTCCTTCGAGTCCCCAGATGGTGGTTGCCCCATCTTGTCACTTTACCTTACCCATGTTATATTTGACAGGTGCGCGCACACACACACACTCTCTCTCCAATGATTTTGGGGTGCAGCGTTGACCACGGAACTTGACAACCACTTGTAAGAGTTGCTGTTAATAACTTAACCAACGTACAATATTTGCTAGGTTCCACAAAATGCTCTTTTCTGAGACTTCTGGTAATTTAAGCTTAACATGTATTTCTCTGAACTTGTGGTTCCGTGGAACAGAAACCCCTCTTTCTAGCACACACTTTGTGTGCACTCAGGTCTTTCCACATTGCTGCCACTGAAAGCTGAGTTAGGAGGAGTCTTCATTCACTTTTGACTAATTTCATTACAGAAAGGCAGCCTGCTAGTTCAGGAATCCTCTGGATTCAACCATTTTACTAACTTTGATGTGGTCTTGCTAGCATCTCTGAACAACAGTGCAATCCTAACCATGTCTGCTCAGAAATAAGCCTCTGGTTCGATCATTTTGCTTGCCTCTCTCAAAGCCCACACCACCATCTGGACATTGAGGGATTGGTGTATGAACTAGATAAGGTTGCACTGATCCTCCAACATCATTTTGTAACTATCTAAGTTCATCTCAGTTCTGGACTGCTAGATAAAGGCCAACATTTTCCCATGAGAATCACTGCTTACATATCTAGGAAGAAAATCTGTGGTTTACATTCCCAGAAACAAATATTACTGCATGATATTCATATACTGGGAAACAAAACCAAGCAGTTTATTTTAAGACAGACTCAGGCATTACATATTTCAGAGGAGCCTAACATGTAGTCCTGCAGATGTTGAACTACAACTCCCATCATTCTTGACTACTGGCTGGAGCTGATAAGAGTTGGGTGGGAGCCCAACAATTTAACTGAGAACCCAATAACTCCCAGTTGGAGGCCATCATATTGGAAAGACTGATATACTCAGTATCATCAGTAAAAAGTAACAGAACTGGATGTTCCATTCTTCATTAGGCACAAAATATACTTCCATGTAAGTATTTTTTCCATACAGTAATAGGCATACTCTCAGTGGTGGACCCCTGGTGACAGAAAGATGCTCAGAGGAGTGGCTAACCTGTGGCTCTGCAGAAGCTGTTGTGCTCAAGCTGCCATCAGCACCAGTCAGGAATGATGAGAACTGTAGTACAGGCAAGTCCCTATTTGCACAGGGGTTGTGTTCTGGGTCAATGCACACATCAGTGGTCACATGAAAGTCCATTCCACCCCCTTCTGGTGCCAAAAGCAACACACGTGTCGGTTGCGCATCAACTGGACACACGCAAAATGGTTGTCGCCTCTATGACATCTGGAGGGTCACATGCTCTAGATTTGTTACATCTTCCTGGTATTTTAATCTTGCTGTTGCAAATGTGGTCTTTTTTCATGTCTCTTCTGCCATGAGAGCAACACACTCTCATCCACAACAAGAGACCCGTTAAGGCTTATTAAGGATAACCAGAGAACCGGAAACACGTCGGTTCAGTTTACAAAATAGATCTATTCTGAGCTGAGCTGTCTTGCTCAAGAAAAAGTGGTGAAAAGGGGTTATCACCCTAGGTGACAAGGAATTGCATGCAGGTGGACACATGTAGAAAAACGATTGTGCTAGTGGAGTAGAGCATGTCATTTTAGGGAGTGGAATTTAATTTTTGAAAATTTCTTCAGAGGTCTTGAAAATACATTTTGGGGTGTGAGGAACTCAAATCTGCTATTATTTTTTATTGGACAACATTTAGCTTGGTAAATCTACATTTGATTAAAAAGCACATAAACTGCCCTCAGAAAAGCAAAGAATTTTAATTTTACCTTTTGAAAATGTCAGGTAATGCTAAATAATAACAACAACAATAATATTTATATAAAACTTACAAGTACTTGGCAATCATTTCTAATGATTTCTATGCAATTTTACACATTTTATGTATTAAGCAAAACTAAATTATATTAATTTAACCAAAATATCTTTGGAATTCCCAAGTTACGTTGCAACATTTTAGCAAATTCCTCACTTTTGGAATTTGAAAGTTGAAAAATTCAACAATCCCTACTACTGGGGGGAGGGGGAGGACAGAGAACATCTTCCTTCCTCAGATCACCTTAGAAACCAAGTAGGGTGCCAGCAGAGGGAAGCCCACCCCTCTCTGCCATGCACTGGACCAGCTGCAATGGGAACAGGAGCCTCTTTTCTGACAGCCCCAGCTGGCTAATAAACATTTCTGCAACTTTTGTGGGCTTGTTGACAAGGCTGATTTAAGTCAAGAATATTGAGAGCTCATGGTCTGCATTCCTCAGACCAGGAGGTGCAGAACGGCAGTCACTGTGTGGATGGGTTCGTTGCTGAAGCTGGCTTGAACTTTTAAGAAAACGTACAGAGCAATGGTGTGGCTCTTCATGTTTAATCCTAGTACAGGACAATGCTCCATGGAAACACAGACATTACACAAAAGCAAATGATGCTAGCCTGACTGCTGGGGGAACAAAAGTTTCTGAGGATTTGGTAAACAAAATGAAAACCTTGCTTTGTGAACAAGCAAATTTCAAAATTTGCCAGACAAACCAATCATGATTAAAGGCATTGCTATACATACAAAACATATTTGCATGGAAAGAAAAGAAGTGTTGTTGGGTGGTTGCCTACGCAGCAGGCTTTGCCTCTTTATGACTGTTCTAAGCAGCAGTGCTAAAACGTGCATGCATAAAAAATTAAAAAGAACCACGGCAGGTGATGCAACCCAATTACAAAAAGTCATTTTCTATACTTTTTTCAATAGTTGATTGTTGAATTCTCACCACCACCTGTACACACATACACAGGGCAGATCCACACTATACATTTTAAAGCATATTCAACGGACATCTGAAGTATACAACTTCCCCCAAACAATCCTGGTAACTAGAGTTTCCTTCTCACAGAGCTACCATATCCAGCACCCTTAACAAACCACAGTTCCCAGGATTCCTTGCTGGAGATCACATGCTTTGAAATCCAACCATGCCACCATTCTGCTCACAGATTAGCTTTTAATTCGGTGAAGACATCCACTGAAGTAAAGGAGAATCCATTTTCCCCCTCTTCCCCTGCAGCCCACCCCCCTGCAAACCATTTTGGAGGGTCCCCACCACCACCACTGTAACAGGGGGGTCTTTGGGACTGCAGTGAGAAACGACCAAAAGCCACATCTCCTTTTCTTAAGTTATCAGATGTGCCTGATGGATCAAAAGCAGTTTCACAAGCGCAAAGGTGCAAGAGGATGTCACACCTATTTCTCAGTCCACTTCTAAACACAAGGGACACCTCCATAGCACTCAAATTAGAAACCAATTGCCTCCTACTGGTGGGACAGGCTAATCCATCTGTCCCAGGATATCCTAAACAGATACTTGACATTTTGTTCAAAATACTAGCATGTCTTTCCAGCTCCAGTTGCACTTTATTTAATCAGTAGCTACAGAGACAATTCAGAGCTAGATCAATCAACAGTCTGCTGCAGTATAAGATAGCTTTCTATGTTCACCTTCTACATAGGACCCTCCAGCAGGTCCTCTGAACAAGACTTTTATGGCGACAATACACACACAAAATGAGCAGCAACTCTGGGAAGCGGAGAACATTCTGGTGACAATCTTCCAAAGGCTCATGATTGGCAAAGACTGACTTCAAAGAAGCCTCTTGAGCTGTTAGTGGCTGTGGGGCAGGCAGTGTTAGCACAGGCAGCGAAAACTGCACCCCATGAACTTCCTCCTGCTACCGTTTCTCATAAGAGACACCGCATCCCCTCTCACAAACATTTTCTGTTCCCGCCTCCCTCAGCGCAGGGCAGCACTTTCAATGACTAGCTGGCAAAAACACAGCGTGCGATGGAGCATTCTTCTTCCCCACCCTCCCCCTCTTCTGACACTGCGCTAGCCCTGGGAGAGAGGGAGCCCCCAACTCCTACCAAGGTCATCACAGCGTATGATACCTCAAAAAATAAGATGTCTAGAACAGTTGTGCTCTATTTGCACGCATCTGGCTGATACTGGGGTCAGATCTGTTATGCAGTAGAGGTTACAAAGTAAGCCTAGGAACCACTGAGCACTTCCCAACAGAACCCCCAACTCAGCTCTCTTTGCTGAGACCAGGGAAACGGGCTGGTGGAGGAGCAAGGGGTGCTTCTGTGTGTTCATTCATTCCCTCTTTCCAGTTTTTCAGGAACATAAGCACACATTTTTATTTTATTTAATGACCATTGGTTTGGGAGTAGACAACAGTCAACCAACTCACTGTTTGGCCATGAACAAATAGGTCCCCAAACAAAGTCCTTGCGAAAATGATAGCCTTTCTTTTTCATTTGTTCTTTTTTATTGCATCACGATGTCATCTGATATAGAAGAGGCCAGAGGGATCGTTTGAACAAATTGTGTATTTGTTGCTGGAGAGATCCACTGCCCAACTCCCAGGCTGATCTATTCAACCAACCATAAGATGATGTTTCCAAGACAATGTGTGAGCGTCAGAACTCTCGCTAAAGCCGATCCCTCCCTGCCAAGCCACACGATTTGCTCACCCAAACCAAGGGCAAAGGTTTCAAACGGGGGAGGTGGGAGGACATACTTCCCTGTCATTTCAGAAGTTGCGAAGCCATCCACCTGTCCCAGCTTATGCAGAAACGGATGGAAGCCAATGCCTTTGATTAGCAGGGTTTTTACACACTCCTTTGCAAGTTATACAAGGGGGAGCCATACCAGAAAAAATGCAGAAAAAGGCATGGCACACCTCTCCCACCACAGTCATGCAGATGATCTATCCCCCAGACCAGACACAGTGTGTTTGCACAACTTTGTAGCTCTTCAGAGTACTAGGCAGGGGGAATAATTAAAAGCTTCTCATCCAAAACTCCAAAAAATTAGCCCTCGGACAGTCGGGGGATAGGGTGGCAAAGCTTTCCCTTCCCAAAAACATTAGATGCCCTCTTAGGCGGGATGATAACCACCCTGCCCACCCCACCACAGTCCCACTGGTGTGGCCACTTGCATCCACACGGGGCTGCTTCTTCACAGTGCCAATCACTGCTCGAGAGGAGCCCTGTTAGCGGTCAGGGCGCTGCACACAGAAGACCTTGGCCTGGTGGTCGCCAGAAGTGGTAACCACAATGGAAGCGTCTCTGCAAGAAAGAGGCAACAAGAAGAGAAAAAGGTTTACCCCCAACAATTACTAATCAATGTCAGTGCAAGTTTCAATGGCCCAAGCCTCCCCTGGTTTTACTCAGGAGCAAGTCCTGTTCACCTCAATGAGGCTTAATCCCCAGCAAGCAAGCAAAAACCAACTAGAATAGTTATTTCACTTCCCTTCGCAACTCCTGGGTGGGGCAGATATCAGCAAGTCCCGTTTTACATATAACAAAGGAAGGCAGGGAAAGCCAAAGTGCCCAAGGGATGAACCCTTTTTCCAAGTCCATTCTTCTCTGTGCCAAACCACATATTTCCATTTTAGTGTACGTGCACCGCTCTCTGCAAGAACCACAGATGGAGCCCTCCCTCCAAATGAAAAGGACAACTCTGAAGGGAGCTGGGAGGAAAAGAGCCTTAAGAAGACAAGATGTATTTCCTTCCCCAGGAACCCTACTCACACCCACACAAAAACAAGCCATAGCTTAATGTATACTGTTCCGTATATCCTTGCCTTCCAATGCTTGCTTTCTGTGCTTCCCTCTGCACTCCTCCACACAGCACCCAGCACCTCCCCAAGGGCTCTTGCTCCAGGAACTCACTTGTTCAAAGCAAAGTCCAGGATTTCCGCTGAGTGGCCCCGGTACTCGCTGATCAGCTTGCCTGAGCGGGCGTCCCAGAGGCACACAGCCCCACCCAGGGTGCAGGTGTAGACCACGGGGGAACTCTCTTCCCACAGGAGCTGCACAATCCCCGACTGAAAATACAGAAGGAAAGGGTCCTATTAGTCACCAGCATTCCGACCCGCTTAGCATTTTAAACCAGGCCTTTTGTTGACTTGATTGACATCCTATGACCTTTTAAAATGTGGGGTTTTCTTTGGGGGGGGGTGTTATTGGGTTGTTGTTTTTATTTTGTTTATGTATTTGGTGGTTTTGTATTTTGATTTTGTTCTGTGAACCACCCTGATACCTCCAGGTATAGGGCAGTATATTAGGAAGAAGAAGAAGAAGAAAGATCCTTCGCCCGCCTAAGGTCTTCTCACCCTGAAATGTTGAATGAAACAAACTCTACTCACTACCTAAATCAGAGGTGGTTGGACACCAAGCCTGGACTACAAACTCAGTGCATGTTGCAATCAACCTGTCACAGCAGAGTAAGCTTCCCAGGAAAGAAGACCGCTCAACCAGGAGAAGAGAAAGAATGAATTAAAGGAGAGCTTAGAAAATATGACCCTTCCCTCCATTATGTGTTCACCCATAATAGAGTTTTTGGGTGCTGTTTGCATGTAGGGGCTTTGGCTCAGGAAAGTTTCCTGCTGCAGCAAAGAAAGGGAGCCTGTGGCTCTCACGATGTTGTTGGACTCCAACACTCATCATCCCTGACCACTGGTGATGTTGCCCGGGGATGATGGAGTTGCGGTCCCAACAACATGTGCAGGGCCACTTCTACCCGAGGCACTAGGGACCTGTCTGAAGCTCCTGTCAGCAGCAGGGCTGCAAGGCAGAGGCCAGGACCCAGGACTTCTGTGAAGTCCTTGTGAAGCCCTTGGCTATTGCTGCATTCCTCCTGGATTGAACTGCTTCCTCCTGCCAACAGCAGCTCTTCCCAAAGCCCCCCAGCAATTCCCAGAAGGGTCTTCTCCACTACCTCATGCTGGCAGTTGTGTCTCAGGGTCTGTGTGGCGACGTCATAAATGGCCAAGGTCCCGTCCAAGTAGCCAACAGCAGCCAGCGGCATCCTGCATGACAACAAAGCCAGAGAAAAAGGAGCTTTTTTAAAAAAATGGGAGGCTTCTGGGTGCAACTTTTTGTGGAAAAGTAGGCAATGTGCTTTAATAAATAAATAAGCCCATCCAACAAAAAACAGTGTGTGATCTCCTCCCAGCAGAGTCCAAACCTCCCTGCAGGAAGGGCAGTCATTCAGGAGTCACCAGGCTGGCTCTTGCTCCTTCAGAAAAGGAGCAATGCAGGAGCTGCCTATGAAGGCAGGGTCTTTTTGGAATTAGGCGATAGCTTTCCCCTTAAATGGGTTCCACAAAATAGCACTTGACTTTGGCAGAAATGCTCACAAATATTCTCAAGAATTGTGTGTATCCTGTAATTGTAGTGCATGAGGGTAGAAACTGATCCTGAGAGGCCTCCCTATGAACCCCGTTTAATTTTTTAAAACAAATCTCCTTTATTTTTTTCAGTCCTTCTGGCAGAGGATAGCCTTGAAAGCATGTGGGCAATGCCTGGTGAAATCTCAGAAGCCAGTAGGCTTCAAAGACTCAACCATCCCAACTACCCTGGGCAGGCCTTTGCCTTTTTGGGAAGACGCTTCCATCTGAAGTTTGTTTTCGAAATAGTCTGCCTCTTTCCCAACGTAATTTTACTTGATACAGTGGTACCTCGGGCTACATATGCTTCAGGTTACAGACTCCGCTAACCCAGAAATAGTACCTTGGGTTAAGAACTTTGCTTTAGGATGAGAACAGAAATCGGGCTCCGGTGGCGCGGCAGCAGCAGGAGGCCCCATTAGCTAAAGTGGTGCTTCAGGTTAAGAACAGACCTCTGGAACGAATTAAGTACTTAACCTGAGGTACTACTGTATAGTGGTTTCATGATATTGCTGTTTAATTGTTGTAAGCAGTCCCAAAGGATGCGTATGCATTCAAAGGGTGGGGGAAGAAAATGCCATGTAAAATAAACAATTTAGATTTCATGATACAGTGGTATCTAGCCCATATTGATCTTATACTAGATCAGACTTTGCCAATCTGGTGCCCTCCAGGTACTTTAAACTGGAACTCCCATAAGCCTCAACAAGCACTATCATAGTGGTTGGGCTGATTATAATAGTCCATAACACCTGTAGGGCAATGAGTTAGCAAAGGCTGCTCTACATTATGTTGCAGGCAGTTGTCCCCTTCCATTCTGTTCATGCAAACCAGGGATGGGGAACTTGTGGTCCTCAAGACATTGTTGGACTACAACACTTATCACTCCTGACCACTGGCCGAGACTTGTGGGAACAAAATCGAGCAGGGCTGCAGGTTCCCCGTCCCTGATGGAAATGTTTCACTTATTTCAGTTCCGGGCAGTTCCCACAACCCAGAAGGCAATACTCACACATTGCAGAAGCCCAGAGATTCAACTGAGTTGGATTCAGCCTCCTCAGCAGAAGACTTGGGGACAATGGCCTTTTCCTTGAAAACAGACACAACCTGCAGGAAAGAAACAGCCAATGATAAGATAATGAGGGGTGGCCAACTCCCAAGGGACTGCGATTTACTTTCAGAACGAAAATCTCCGACAGCAAGAACTCCGTCTTCTGTTACAGATATCAGGAAAATCTAGGCAGGGGAGAGGGGGCGGGGCCAGGTGCTCTTAGAAGAGTTTGGATTTGATATCCCGCTTTATCACTACCTGAAGGAGTCTCAAAGCGGCTAACATTCTCCTTTCCCTTCCTCCCCCACAACAAACACTCTGTGAGGTGAGTGGGGCTGAGAGACTTCAAAGAAGTGTGACTAGCCCAAGGTCACCCAGCAGATGCATGTGGAGGAGCGGAGACGCGAACCCAGTTCCCCAGATTACGAGTCCACCACTCCTAACCACTACACCACACTGGCTCACCAGCGCAAAGGCAAAGGAAAATGAGCCCACGATCGACTGCAACCTCCTGGGGATCGACCAATCGATCCCGATCGACCTGTTGGACATCCCTGATATATACTACTCATGGGCAAGATACAACAAAATGTAAAGAGCCTACAAACTTAGCTCAAAACACCACAGGAGACACCTGGAAAACCAGCCGTCACCACAGCATCCTCACTGGCCAACCAGAATAATAAATAAGAAGAATTATTATTATTATTGTTGTTGTTGTTATTTCAATGTCCCCAACATCTCACAATGTTCCTGCAATGGGGGAAGAACCCAACACATCTGCTTAGAGCTGGTGAGGGGAAAGTGAAACCGCCCCGGCAACCTTCAGAGGCGAAGAAGAGAGGGTAAAGGCATTCTGAGCTTGGGGTGCCTGTTAGATGTGGAGGCAAGGTGATGTGTATTCACCTCTTTCTTCCTGCTCCAAGCTGGAGATGCAGAGCAGATAGAGAGTGGCAACAAATCCTGGGCCTCACTCCCTTCAGTTTTAGCTTGGCTTCAGAGGAAGTCACAGGCCCATCGCACTCACTAGAGCCTGGCTCCCCTCTCTGTGTGGTGGCAGCGGTGGCAGAGTGACATTGCAAAACCCTGACCATCCCCTACAAGAGCTACAACTGCCCCATAGATGTATGCACAGATAACACAAGACATGAAAAAGAGCCAGATGCACAAGGCATGGTAGAAGAAAGCTCCCTGTTTACAGGGGTTACTGCATACAGTAGTTTAACTCTCTGATACTAGACAAGTTAAGAGTCAGGGTGGATTTGATTTAAATCAAATCAATTTAAATCACGATTTAAATCACTAGTCAGTAAGACTTGGTTTAAATCTTCTTCTTTTTACAGAAAGGCATTCCTGCTGGTATAATCTTAATATTTACAATGAGTTGAAGGTTTCATTTTTGGAATAATAAATTTTCAGAGTAGTTTTTACAGTTACCGTATTTTTCGCCCTATAGGACGCACTTTTTCCCCTCCAAAAATGAAGGGGAAATGTGTGTGCGTCCTATGGGGCGAATGCAGGCTTTCGCTGAAGCCTGGGGAGCGAGAGGGGTCGGTGCGCACTGACCCCTCTCACTCTCCAGGCTTCAGGAAGCTATCCGCAAGCCTTGGGAGTCCGCGGGAGTTCCTGTCGGGCTCCCTAGGCTTGCGGATAGCAGCCTGCATCTCAAAGCCTGGGGCGCGCTGCACACCGCGCTCTGGGCTTCAGTCCCCTGACCTGGTTTGGAGGCTGGCGGTGGGGAGAAGCGCGCTTCTCCCTGCCGCCAGCCCCACAAGCTGGGGGACAGCGGGGAGGCGGAGCGCCACCATCCTGCTGTTCCCCGACCTGGTTTGGGCTTCAGGCAGATATCCGCAAAGCGTGGGAGCCCGGCGGGAAGTCGCGCCGGTCTCCCAAGGCTTGCGGAGAGCTGCCTGTTCTGGGGGCTGGGGTCGGGGGAAGCTCAGGCTTCCCCCGCCCCAGCCCCGCGCCTGGGGGAAATATTTTTCTTTATTTCCCCCCCCCAAAAAAAACCAGGTGCGTCCTATGGGCCAGTCTGCCCTATGGGGCGAAAAATACGGTATATCAAAAATTACTGATTTGGTTATACTATCAGAAATACATAAACCAGACACAGGCAAACTCCGGCCCTCCAGATGTTTGGGGCTACAATTCCTATCATCCCTGACCACTGGTCCTGTTAGCTAGGGATGATGGGAATTGTAGTCCCAAACATCTGGAGGGCCAGAGTTTGCCTATGCCTGACATAGACAAATAATTATGAAATTATTGTGAGGTTTAATAAGTTAACTGTTTATATATGGACAACTTTTCTGCTGTACTTTATTGGAAGAAGAAGAATGATCATTTCCTTAACAACAATTTAAACAATTTATTTAACTAAAACAATAACATTATAGTATATGTATCCATGCTTGTTAACTGGTGTGGTTAAACTGGAAAAAAAACACCTTTGAGTTTCAACACACATGAAAAACTTAAAACAAATCCTTATTTCCAGATGGCCTTTGGACTATAAAGTAACTTAAATAGAAAACTATCTTTAGAAAGATGTTTTCCTCCAAAAGCATTTTATTTTAAAAATCCAATTTAAATTTAAAAAATTGATTAAAATCAACAACATCCAATTTAAATTTTAAAAAATCATTGATTTTTATCCACCCTGGTGTAAAATCTGGACTAGGAGCAGGGAGACCCAGGTCACTTTCCACCCAACCTACTTCGCAGGGTTGCTGTGACAGTGAAAGAAGAAAGGGGACAGAACTCCTGAGCTCCTTGGAAGAAGGGTGGAGTAAAAATGCAACTTCTATCCAAATGGGCAATACAAGATTTTGCCGCAACAAGCACAGTTTCTCACTCTCACACCCTGTGGGCTAAGGAAGTTCCCATGTATATTCATTCCAGCATGGAGGGGGAGAAGGCACCCACCTTGCCTGTTGCAGAGCTCACTAGCTTGGCATGGCAGTCAACAGAGCCTGTCAGGACTAGGCTGCCATCCTTATTGCTGGCCACGCACGTCAACGGGCCCTGGTGCCCGTCCTGACCTAGAAATGGTGAGAGAGCAAAGATCACACGTCAAAGGATGCATAGGTGTGTGCTAAGACCTTCCACCTCCTTCATTGCCCTAAATAGTTGCTTGTGTCTTGGCTCACCATTTTTATTTTTGGATTTGCCAATTCTGAAGCACATTACAGCCACAAGAGAAAATAACAAAAAGACTATGACTTTTCATATAAGAAAATGAAAACCATTAGAGAGGCTTGTGGCCTTTGCCTTGACTCATAATAACACCCTGTTATCTGCGAGCAGAAGTGGCTCAGAGGCCCTTGGGTGATGCAATTTCACAAGGTTGACCAACACACCTCTCTCCTCTGTCCCAACCCAGTGACTGATGAAGGTCTGTTGCTACTTTTCAAAGCAATCCATCTCAGTCTTTGTTGTAGTTTAACTGATTCTCATAGAAAGGCAAGTGGATTCCTGCTGGATCAGACCAAAGCCCTCCAACATCCACAGTGACCAACCAGATGCCTCTGGGAAGCCCACAAGGAGGTAGGAAAAAGCAGGCAGAATCACAGGGAACCCCCCCCCCCCATGACCTTTGCCCTGGTTAAGCTCACAAGGACAACACAACGGCCTCTCCCAATACTATTCCCCAGTAACTGGTATTCAGAGGCATACTGCATCCAATGCATGCAGCAATCGTGACTAAGAGCTATAGCCTCATGTATTCGTCTTATTCCCGTTTAAGGGCAACTAAGTTGGCGACCATCATTACATTCCCCCAAGCAGAGGATGCCAATATGCCAAGGTACAAAGAGAGGAAACCCTGCAGAGGCTGCACAGTGAAAGCAGGGTTTTATTGTTTTTGTTTAGGCCTTGGGATTCCATGTTTATTGAAAGCCGTCCATATTCCTCCCCCTCCTCAGGTTCTTTCCTGCCTTTACAGTTCCCGTGCAAAGCTAGAACTCTGAAAGAGGTTTCTGAGCAACACCTCCCCTTGCTCCAGCTTCCTGACAGCAAATAAATGGAAACAGGCAACCGAACAGAACCTTTGGTACCTTTGAGGACGTGCAGCGAGCTGCCCTGCTTCAGATCCCAGATGCGCACGGTCCCATCTTCATAACCGACCACAGCTCTCCTCCCTGCATTAAGCGTCTTTGTGTTAATCAAGAGTCAACCCCAACTGTAACACAATCCCCTGCTATTACAGCCTTCCCCTCCAAATGTTTTAGACTACAGCTTCTTTCCTTGCTGGCCATAGGCCATGCTGGTCGAGGTTCAAAATTTATGGAGGTCACTAGGAAGGCTGCCTCTGTGCATAAAGGAACAGAGGGTGTGCTTGGAAGAGGCAAATCTCACAGCAGCTGCAGTCACACATGACACTAAGCTATGGTTTGTTTTAACCATTCCACCCCCACTCTCAAAAAAACCCAGGAGTTGCCTTATAATCCAGCAAAGAAGCCATAGCTTGTTCCTCCAAAGCTTGGTTTGTTTTCCATCTAGCCTTGCCTTCTGCCTCTGTAACTTGGCCAGTATCTGGGATGGAGTGGCTGAAAAACTGATTAAGCAATGCTGCTGGGTTCAGGCATAACACAAAATCATAGTTAAAACGGCCAGGAGTTGTAAGTTGCCAAAACACAAACCATGGTTGCTCTGTTCGCTGGGTTCAAAGATTCAACCAACCAATAAGCCAGTGTGGTGCAGGGATTAGAGTGTTGGACTAGGACCCGAGAGACCAGAGTTTACATCCCCTACTGAGCCTTGAAGCTCACTGGGTGACACTGGGCCAGTCACTGTCTCTTAGCCTAACCTACCTCACAGGATTGTGTGGATTAAATGAAGAAGGGGAGAACTGTGTAGACCACCTTGAGCTCCTTGGAGGAAAGGTGGGGTATAAATATAACAAACAAACAAACCATGCTTTAGCATCATGGGTGAACCAAGCCGACATATTCTGCCATTGGACAGTGCCACGCCTATAACAATTCTGCAAGCTCATCCCCACATCGCAAGCCCTGCTCCTCACCATCAGGAAGGACATGACCACACGTAGCTGGACAGGACGGGCCTTGGAAGGTCTTGCACTCTCCACTAGGTATCTTCCACATCCAGGAGTTGCCATCAGCAGTGCCAGCCAGAAGGACATGGGACTGAGGGTGCCACTCCATCCACTGGGGTCAAGAAGAGAAAGACAAAGCTAAGCTAAACTAGGAGAAAGCTGGGAACTAAGCAATACCAGAAAGGAGCCTGCTGCTTTGCACATGACCAACAAATTCTTTCTCACTGTGCAAAAGTTATCCAACAGCCAACTCTTAAATATGTACCCCAAACGTTTAATGTATAGCATTTATATAACACTTGAGATGGTGAAAATAGCTTCCCATATGCTCTTCTCAGTATTCCGTGCAACCACACTTTAAGAGAGGTCCCCATACAATGCCAACAGGGGAGATGGAGAAGGGGCCAAGGCTGAGATGGGAGCTTGTCTAACATTACCTAGCAAATCTGCAGCCAAGGCGAGATTGCAGCTGGAGACTTCCAGCCTCCTAGCTCCCACTCTTTAGCCACCACATCACACCATCTCACCAGTACGCCTTGCTTACGACTGCAACCTAACATATAGGTTGTGCAATTGGCACGCTATGACGTTGCCATGTGGTTTTGTGAGCCTTTGTATGACTACGGCAGAGTGGCAAAGAACACAAATGAGCAAAACTGACAGCCTTGTTGTAGCAATCGTAACACTGTAGCTTGCACAGAAAGCATCAGTTTGTTCCATATTACATTGTTGCACCCAACCAAATTAGAAACTGTTCCAAATGGAATATTCCAAATGTCAGGCCTATAAAGCATTGCATTTCTGTCAGAGGAAATAATTTATCTGAATTATCTCACAGTTTTCTCCCTAGAATCAAGACAGTGGTCATGCTTTCCACTGGGAAATCTTCTCATGGTGAAACTTTTGCCCTGGAATTTATAGGCCCCATTTCTCACCTCCAAGTCACCCGCTTCGAAAGACCAGATCTCCTCTTTGGCATCTACCCGCCAGACTTTTATCAGTCCACTCATGTCACCTGTGGCCACGAATGTGGAATCATGGCTGAAACCAGCACAAGTGACGGAATCTTTGTGTCCTGGCGATAATGAAAAGAACAAGAACATGCATATTCGGAAATCAATCCCATTAAGTTCAATGGAGAGTCCTTCAAGATAAGCAAGATAGCATACCAGGAAGTGCCTGATATCTCTCCTTTGCCATGAACGCACTTCGTGGCCTGCAGGAAAGCCACCATCTTTCTCTACATCATTCTCTCACAGCCTCAACCCACTCCCTGCCAGCATTTGCAACATCAGGGTGATAATACTAATCTACCTTACAGGTTTGTTGTTGTGAAAGATAATGCAGAGAGAGTGCTCTGGACACTGTAAAGCACCATATAGCTATATATGTGTTTGCAACAGCGGAAGTATTAGTGTCCTGCTGTTCCCCCAGGGAGCTCAATAATATCACACACATCCTGCCTCAACACAATGAACAGTCCTGAAAATAATCATGGTGCAGGCAGGATATATATGGCTCTTTCAGGCTCTAACTCCCGTGAACCCCAGCCACCATTGCTAATGGTCAACAATGATGAGTGTTGTAGTCCAACAACATTCAAAGCCCACAGGTGCCCCAGCCCTGTTGGAATTATTATTTCTTCAGTAGAGCAGGGCCATTATAGAGTATACCCTTAATGTGGAGTTATCCACATATGGCAATCTGCAGGCAGTCCTTTCAATGCCAGAAGTAAAAGGAGGGGATATTCAGTCACCTCAGAAATATAGATGTTTTCCATTGCTACACCTTCCTATCCAAATCACCAGCTGAAGAGTTTCCTAGATACAGATTTTTAGATATGGATCACTTTATCCCCAGGGCTATCCAAGATAGAGGGAAATATTTGTTGTTAAAACTGTTTCATGCTGACCCCAGCAACACAAAGCAATTCAAATATTGGCATTAGAGTTGAAAGGCATTACCCAGAAGAGACTCACCTGAGCATTCAAAGAGGAGCTCACCATCACTGAGGCGCCACACAAAAGCCTTGTCATCTTCACCGCCTGTCACTGCCAGTGTGTTGGTCTTGGGGTCAAGACTGACGCAGAAAACAGATGCTAGGGGGAACAAACAGAACAATGTTAGCGACAGAAGCCAGACATACCTCTCTCACACACTCACAGTCCTATTGTGGGCATCCAAACAAGAGGAACCGAAAGGATCAGAGATGCAAAACCTGCCACCCTCCAAATATCATCATTGACCATGCTGGCTGGGAGCTGATGGAAGCTGGGAATCCAACAATATCTGGAGGGACACAAGTTCCCCATTCTTGACTGGGGCATAACTGTGTTGCTCTCTCCCAGCAAAACGTTAAGGAAAGAAGAGTGAAAGTGAAGCACACTCTCAGCTGAAACAGCACCATCCTGTAGCCACAACAGCGCAGCACTATAGAGAATGCACAGGTGCTTCCCCTCCATTCCTTGCTCAAGGGCACCTGGCCCTTTTAAGGTAAAAGAAAAACATGGAAGAGCACCATCTTGGAAAATACCAGCAGAGATGATTCACATCACCAACCCTGGCTTTAAATTAGCAGGGCTGGGACTTAAAGTAGAAAGCAGGCTCACCGGCTAGTGTGACCTTGCGTCAGCAACCCACCAATGGAATACCATGCTAGCCACTGACAAAGAGATGGTTAAATCCTTTATCAACCAGGTTTCTTTAGCAAATAATAATAAAGTAGTCTTGCCGAGCCACAAAATAGGCACAGAATAGGTAGGCCCAAACCTGGGGCACTAGATAATGAATGATATGCCTACTCTCATTCCTCTACCAGCTCACCCGTGTGTTTGGAGAACGTGACCTCACTGTCATCTTGGGCCTCCATGCCTTCCTCTGCCTCAACATCCTCCCAAGCAGCCTCCTCTTCATCTAAATCCACATCTTCCATTTCATCAGCCAGATCATCTGCAGAAGCAAACAAAGCAATGCTATTTTACAAAGCCAGTCAGCATGAAGGTTCCCCCCACCAACCCAGCATAGTAAGTAAAAGCAGGTGTGCTAAACTGCGGCATCTCTGTGTGAGCTCACCATCCTGTTTAGAGGAGAAGAATGAACCTTACATGGTAAACTGCCAACCTCAGTCCACAGCTAAGTGCCAGTAAGTCATAGTCGCAAAGGATTCAGACAAGTTGTAGAAATCACCAACCCTAATCTCCTGTGCCCCTTCCACTCTATGTGGTCTGAAATGCTGCTGTCACTAGAACCTGAGCCTCTCAATTATATTCCTATGTCAAATTATAGATTGTAATGCATAATAGCCTTCCCTAACCTACATGAGACATCGGTTTTGATAATTATGGACCCCATCCTCCCTCTCTGTTCTCTTATTCATTGCCTCCAAACAGCTCCCCTTCTCCCATTCCCCCTGTGATTGCTACTCCATCACCTGCTTTGTACCTATACATTTTTTAAAGGCAGCAATCCTATGGCAAAATCCACCAGGATGAGCAACATAGGAAGCAGTGGGTCACCTTAGAGCCAACCCTAGCTCAGCCAAAGATAAGCCAGTGTACCTTGCTCATTCTGGCTCAGTCACGAGAGCTAAGGCCAATATAAGTCCCTCAAAAGGTGTGATGAGGGGGCAGAATTTGGACTGCACCCTAAGCCCATTCAGCTCAGTCATGTGACCTAGCAACCCAGCATAAAACACTACTTTAAATGCTTGTTTTCTCTCTACCAAGCTCAGGCAGAAAGCTGCCCCCCAATGCCCCATGATGTTTGGACCTAGTGTAACTTTATGCTGGCTTAATTTACATCAGCTTACTTTATGGCAGCTTCTTGCACACAGAATTGTTCCCAAAGCCAAACAGCATGCAACTGAAATAATCACATATATTTCCCATGACTCCATTTCCCTCCTTTCCCTCTTGTTTCACTGTGTCCATTCTTGTAAGCCTCTTGGGGTAGGGACCTGTCTTTGTAATATTCTTGAGCTAGAGCACCTCCAAGCGGCCAGCTCTAAATCCATCCTGTCTCTGGGTGTATAAATAACAAAGATGTTGGTGAACACCAGAATATCGGTAAATGTATGTGCATCTGTGACCAAAAGATTGTTCACAGTGTATTATACTGTTTCCTGTATAATTCCCCTAGGGATGGGTTGTGAAAAAGATTCAAGGGCCAGTTTCCTCTTCTTTTTAACATTAGGGAGAAAGCGTGCGATTTACTACTTGACAGGCATAAATATAGTATATTACATATAAGGTTTCTAGGATTGCTCTAGGCACCCAACGGATGAACCAATGATTTATTGCACAAAACGAGGTCCAGCGTGCTAGGGGGTCATTTATGTTAAAATGTTTCGCTATCAGCTAGGCTGTAGTTTAGTGATGACCAAAGTCTCCTAACAAATAAATCTGACAGACTGAGTGGCGATAATGAGGATGGGGATGATGACACCTAACCGGTCAGCCCTCTTACTACTTTTCAGGGTGGTCACGTTTTCCTCTGCAAAAGTCCCTGGAAAAGGACCTCGATCCCAAGTCCCCGTCCCAGCCGCCCAGTCCCTCGCCTCTTTACCGGGTCCAGGCGCCTCAAGGTCCACCACCTCCACGATCTCCTCCGCGGCCCCCTCCTCATCGCCGGCTGCCACCAGCAGGAGCCCCTCCGAGGCCGCCTCCAAACCTGCCCCGTCTGCGGGTTCCGCCATGCTGACGACTTCAGCAGCTACCCGCACGCGCCTACGCCGATCTCCTTCTTCTCCTCCCTCTCTCCCTCCCGTCGAGGGGGCGGGGTCAACGTCTCCGCCGCCAATCAGCGAAGCGGATCGGAACGGGCTAGCGAATCGGCGGAGGGGTCACCAGCGCGGAGTCCCTCATTCGCCAGCTCCGCGTTCCGAGCCAGAGGGCCGCCTTACCCCTCCTCGAAGGAGCGCCTTCGTTTCCCATGTGACCTCTTGCCGTCGCGAAAGGGAGTCATGGGAGTTGTAGGGCCGGGTTCGCTTCCTTCTCCTCGACCTTGCTAGTACCTGGCGCGCAGCGGGAGGAAGCGGGAGAGAACTTTTCCCCGAGATGGCGGCCGCTTGCAGGGTTCGAATGCAGGGTAGGGAGGAGAGGCGCGGCTGCCCGTGCAATGCGACCTTGGTGGGGAGGAAGTGGGGTCCGGCATCGGGGAGGAAACAGCGAGCGGGGCGGCCGGTGAATTAGGCGGAGGAGGAGGAGCAGCTGCTGCTGGGGCTGGTTAGGAGAGGAAGAGGTGTCGCCTAGAGAGCTCTGTGGCTGTGCTGAGATTCCCAGCCAGGGCCCAGGGCTCTACCCTACAGTATTTGTTTTACATGTCACTTTTTGGTCCAACTCCCCCCAAAAACAGCGGCGAGCGGCAGACTCAGACAAAATCCGCTGCATATATGCCGTCGATCAGCTGGCAAGCAAAACAATGCAGGGCAGCAAAGCCCCCGGCCGGCACAGGAGAGTCAGAAAGAAAGGCTTCCCAGGCTGGAGGATTCTGTTGTTCTGCCCTTCGTAAAATATGGGGGCTGAAACAGTGAACATTTGTAAATAAAATATGTGTTGTTCCCCACCGTTAGGTGAGATAAACGGAAGCAAAGGAGTAATGGGGAAAGTATACTTTGGCTGTACACACACCAGGGCACTGATACATAACGGGGATGATTTTTTGTGTGTGTTATCCACACACTAGCACTTTCAATTTTATGCCTTTTTTCCTGTCCACACTAGTGGGTGGCTCTTGGTGGAATATATTCACACTTTATGTGGTTGACCCTCCTCTCAATTAGTATTTCCCTGTCCTCCATGAGTTTTGGAAACCGGAGGTCCACTGTAGGCATGCATGCATGCAGGAATTTATTTAGCCATCCACACACACCTTAAGAAAATTGTCTGTGGGATAGCCTGACAAGCTTTCCACCAAAAACAACTTTTCAGGAAAGTTTCAAAGTGGGCAAAATGACCAATGATTGATTGATTGATTGGATTTTTTTAATACAAGGTTGCTTTTTTAATCTACCAGATGTGTGCAAAAAAGCAGGTTTTAAAATGCTCCCTGTTTGTTGTGCCATGCTGCAACAACAGCCCATGGAGGAGCACTTGTAAATCACGGCCAGGTAGGTGAGGGCACAGACACCTCCAATCCCCAGAGCCTTGTTTTTATTTTAATAGAGCTCCTTTGCACTTCAGCAGCTCTGTGAAGAAGAGGACAGCCATGCCTGCCAAAGTATTCTTCCATGGAATTTGTTCAAAGCACAGAAGCCCTATTAATTTTCTGCATCTGACTGGCATTTTAGTCTCCTGCCAGGATTCATTATACCAGAATTGTCCCAAGGATCAGGCACATTAAAAGACACTTTGCAATATGCTCACAAACACACTATGGATGACCTCTTAAGACAGCTTAGTCTGCAGTGCATTCTTGCTTGGGAACTTTGCTGAGGCCCAGCTAGAAGCACAAATGCATAGGATCAGACCACTAGGCACATTTTCATGTACATAAACTAAAAGGGTCAACGTTACTCAGTGAGTTTAGGACATAGCATTGGTGGATAAATCTAGATGAAATGTTTAAAAGTACAATTTCACTATAGTGTGTCTCCTTTGCAGGCCTCTTTTCTGCCACTGTGAACCGAGCTGTAGGCTTAGGTGTGCCTTTCAGAACTCCTACCCGATCCTTCCACAGGAGCTGCAGGGCTTTGGAAGAATTACAGACAAAACCACAGTCTGGTGGAAAGACCTATGAACGTGTGGAATATATTCCCTCAGGGAGGAAGGGCAAGAACCCCATGAAGGCAGTTGGCATTGCTTGGTGAGCATCATTTCATCAGTTTGTTTTATGATCTCCCCAGGTTAGCTGTCAATCTTGCAGCCTACAATGCCAGGCAACTCAGTTTGATGCAAACGCTAAGGAACCCTTGAATATATGGGCTGAGTATGGGAGTGGAAGGATATCAGGCTGTGGTGTAAGACTGAATACTGAGCAGCCCCAAGCAAAATCTTCCTGGGAGCAAGTTGTGGCTTATATATTCTTTGCCTCTTTCCAGGGCCATTGGTTTCCCTTCTGGCATCATCCTCTTCCTCCTCACTAAGCGAGAAGTGGACAAGAACCGTCTGAAGCAGCTGAAAGTCCGCCAGAAGATGAGGGCATCCAATGAGGGAGAGTATGAAAGAGAGCGATACAGGACGGCATTGCGAGAAACAGAGGGACTTGCTCAAACGAAGTCCTAGCCCTGGGATGAAAGTGGCTAGAACTCTCAGTCGTTGCCATTTTTAAGATGCTCTATCTCTGTACCAGAGTACTTTGCAGTGTATTGGAGTACCTTGCAGGTATTGGCTTCTGCCGCCAGCAGTTATCCCGGTGCATTCTCTGAATCTGCGTGAGGCACCATGCAGCGCTGTATGAAATATGGTCAGCTGATATCTCATGATGCCTTTGTGTGGGGTTAAGCAGAGGTTATCGATAAATTCCCTACCATCACCAACATTAGATGCGTCATAGGAAAACAGCACTGCAGTCTGGCTTGGCATCATGTTGTAGGTATCTTGGGTTAAAAGATGATCTTTTGGGTCTGAGTAATATTTAGGCGGGGTGTGGAATTATAAGCACAGGGACAGTAGTTATGTAAGGAATGTTTGCCAGCGAGGACCCATTAAGCCCATCTTCTTGTATTTTCTAGATCAGCAGCATATTTAGGAATAAAACTGTGTTCTCATCACATTTTTTACAAAAAAAAAAAATGGCCAGAGGGGAGACCAGGTCTCACCATCCACACCTTGCCAGATTGGCATAAAAATGACCCATTAAATCCTTGAAATTGAAAGTGTGAAGTCTGATTCATTGCAGATGCTTATGGAGAATCCAAGCAGGTTTATTTTCTTGTATAGTTTTGAGCATGTGATGAACTGACTGGCTGTAATCCAACAATCTGTCATGGATGCTTTAGCTCAGATTCCTGCATTGCAGGGGGTTGGACTAAATGACCCTTGAGGTCCCTTTCAACTCTATGATTCGAACAGAATTAGACATGTTAAACCCAATGCTTGTGTGTGAATAGCACAATATTTGATTTCCTAAACACTGGCGGTATCATTACAGGGTCCTTTCTAGCGTATTAAATCATGTGTAATATTATAGATTGTTACAGTGAGCAATTGCTGTTTGTAACCATTTTTGATAGTCAGATATATTGTTCCCATTGTGGATTTGTGTAGCAATACCAGCAAGCTGCGAGATGAAGTAAAAGGAACAGCTGTTTCTAGTCAGTTCCACAAACCATTAATTGTCCGGACACTGCATTTATGGTATTATTAAATTACATAGATTAAAAGTATAATTTTTCAGTGTTCTTCCCCCACCCCATACATGGGTTTTAGAGCATGTGTTTTAATTCTCATAATTAACAGTTGGGTGCATTTCATTTTTTTAAAAAGAGGCATTTGTATTTTTTGTATCTCATGCCAATTTGAGGGTGGGTCAAGTAAGATAGGGGGCTAACAATCCTGCAGGGGTCATCCTTAATCATTCTTGCTCTACAGGGGAGGCATTTGTTTTATGAGAAATAAAAGGGACTATGTGGTCTTATTCTTGACAAAGAATCCATCTCTTTCACTTACTGAGGGCCGTGTTCAGAGACATATATATATATAATGCAATAACTTTTATGAAAGATTATTTATTACAACAGCAGTCATGAAGAAGAAACACACGGAAAAATTGCATACACAGGTTAAATTGCCGTGTTGGCACTTTGCGATAAATAAGTGGGTTTTGGGTTGCAGTTTGGGCACTCGGTCTCTAAAAGGTTCCCCATCACTGGCCTACTACGTCACACTGGCCTTCTGTATTAAGGCAGTTGCTGTAATCTCTAATATGTAACAAGAATGAACAGTTGACTTATTTTAAATATATATATTTGCAGTTACAGCTAAGAGAGCGGAACTTCACTGCAAGGTCTATATTTCTTGCCTGCATATGTTGCAGAAAAATGTAAAAATTACAGGCTCCAATCCAGGAAATCAATTTGTGCCCATGACACTGAAACCAGAAGGGTTTAAATCAACTGTGGCTACAACACATCTCATGGATTTCAACAGGACCTAAGCGCAACTAACTCTCTGCAATCGAGCATTTTCATGCAGTCAAATTTCATGCAAAATTTTAATGTCCACACAAAAATGCCTTAGTGGCGGAGTGGTTATGCATCAACTTTGTGTACCATCAGTATAGGATCTTTGCAAAAACAGACTCGTGTGCTGGTGAAGAGGGAAAAGGTGAAGAACCTTTTCGCCCAAATGCTGAGACAAAGTCTTGGCCCTAAGTACAGGTCCCACAGTCCCTAATTCCTGCCCACAAGCCGTGTGAAGGAGAGGAAGATGTAGATGACATCTACGTAGATCTGGATGGCTCCATAAATGTAATCCTCGGGACTGATGGCGTATTTCCTGTTCCCCAGCAGCAGCTGAGTATCGTAAGCAAGGAACTGTAACAAATCACAAAGCAGCATTTAGCCACATCTATCAATAAATGGTTTATCTTTAAAGCTTCCTTCTTTCCCCATCAATAGCCTTTGATTCCCACCTCAACCATTGGGTAATGTTGATTTGATTTCCTGCTCCCCACCTGTTCCTGATGTAAATCTCCACTCACTGCTTCTTCCCTGGCTAGGGAACCATTTTGTGGTTTGCCTCAGGCGCCAAAATGCATTGGGCTGGGGCTGCCATGGTCCCTCTGATTTCCCCCTCCCCACACCAGCTATTGATTAAGGTGCGGGGGGGCAGCTATGTGGGACCAAACTAAATGAAAACTGCTGTGTCTAGTTTGGTCCAGAGTTTCCCACTTAGTCATCTGTAAACTTTTCTTAAGCCTATTGCAATATAGCAAGGCCCTGTCTGTACACTCTTTAAAGCCCACGTCTTATGCAGCTGCATGGGCTGGGTGTCGGGAGCACCTTCACCAACCCTCTGATCACAGGAACGCAGGAACAGCAGAGCACAGCATTCCTCCTAAACAGGTCCTGGTGCAGTGGACTCACATTTGCTGTTGTGAGCACCTCAAATGCAGAAGAGTAATTGAAGCGAAACAGTGGAGGTTTTGTTGCATACCTACCTTCATTACTACTGGTTAAACAAAACAAAAGAACATAATGGACATGCACGAGAGAGTCAGCTCTCTCATACTGCCACCTAGTCTTTAGACAGAACAAAGAAAAACCAGCACAGAGCTAGGGACAGAAGTCTGGAAGAGTGGTTTCCGCCCCCTCCTTTTTCTGAGACAGAAAGTAAAACAAACATGATCTGGTGATCTTTGCAATGAGAGGGATGAAAATACTGACAGGCCCAAACCAATTCAAAGTAATTTGCAGCTGCAGTTAAGCATTCCTGATTCATTGGTGTCTGCAAACATAGTGAAAGCTACAAAGCCAAGGATCTTAATGTTCCAGCATCTTCCCACAAAATTGGTACCCACCTCCTCAATGCAGCTGCCATTGGATTTAGCACACATCTATTTGCTATGATGCTACATTGCATACAGTAGTACTGTCAGCCGTACTTGTCTTTTGGCTGAGGAGCAAGGTAGAAACGTAAGCAATACATAAATTTTGCTAGAAATCTGAAGATGCTAGACAAAATCCACTCTCCAAAGCCTTTCCTTGTTTTTGTGCCCCTCTGGCTTCATTTGCCTGTTACACTGCTAGTCTGGGACAGCCAGAAGATTCTTGCAGGGTCTCCGCCTCAAAGAGGTGGTGACAAAACAGGAAACTCTTGAGTTGTTGCCTATCAGAATCAGAATTAACACAGCACACCTAGAATATTCAAAATGCTGCATGTATATTGTCTCAGAAAAAGGGGTACCTCTATTCATGCAATCAACAGTAAATCTCTACTAACCAGGGTGAAGACTACAGCAGAAATGGCTGCATAAAGCAAGTCGAGCCAGTACATCTGCAAGAAGAGAAAAAGAGCGTCAACTAATGAGTTTCTACATCTCTGCATGAAAAAGGTTAAGTAGTCATCTAGCGAGAGACCTGCTGATATGTATTTATTTATTTATTCATGTTTATGAGTCGCTGTTTCTCAAAATGATCCAAGGCGACTTAACAGAAATAGATGTACATTTTAAAAACAAAACTATTCCCCTGGAGAACATATTGTGTACTGAAGGGATGCTTAAGGCAGCAGGCCAAGGGAATAAAGCTGAACTTCTAAACAGGCCTTGGTCCAAAGGAAGGGAATGAACTCTTTCAGGAAAGTGAGAGGTTGGGCAAGGGCAGCCATTGCTCAAAGCCTCCTGAAACAATGCAGCAGCCCCCACCGAACACACACACATCAACTGGGATTGCTTTGCCACTGGAAGCTTTGTGGTACTGCTGATCCCATAGGCTAGCAAGTTCCCCAGCCACTTACGTATTTGCAGCTCAGGACAATGGCAGTGGCAATGCCAGTCACCATGAAGACAATGGCCATGATACAGAAGAAACCACGCCAGGTTGTGAGATCCACCTGTCAACGGAGGAAGTGACAAAAATACCTTATTACCTCTGGAAGTATTACTGCCCAAATGTATTCAGTTATGAAGTCCTCCGTCAGGGGTGGGCAACCATTTTTTGTACTGAGGGCAACAGGTGGGCAGAGCCAAAGACAACAGTGTCCTGGATTAACTAACCTGACATAAAAACTGTCCACTTTCCACTTTCGCCATGGCTACCTCAGATTAGAATCCCCAATCTTCTGCAGGTCTGTTCAGAAGCCCCACTAGGTATGATGGAGTTCCTCTCAAATCAGTATACAGAGGAACTATGGGGGCTCCTTTTTTAGCACAACAGACAGGAAAGCAAGAGAAAGTAATTCATTTCTGATTTTAGTGTGTGACATACAGGTGGCAGAAGCCTACTAATTTGCTCTCAGATGCCTTGGGGGGGGGGGGACTTAAGAACATAAGAAGAGGAACTTAAGAACATAAGAAGTCCAGCATCCTCTTCTCACAGTGGCCAACCAGATGCCTATGGGAAGCCCAAAAGAAGGAACTGAGAACAACAACACTCTCTCCTCCATCCCTTTCTGTCCCCACCAAACCATGTAACCAGGTTTTTAAAATCAATTTATTTTAATGAGATAAAATATTGCCTGTGTAGTTCTGAAACTACACACAAAGAGGGTCTACAATATACAGCTGATGTGAAAGTTTACGGCAAAAAGCAAGAACTGCATAAGCACCCTGGGAGAAAAGTACTTTGTATTGAGTGTTTCCATGTTCCTATCCATGGAAATTCAGTGTGTGAGGAAAAGGAAGGCCTCTAGTTTAGAGCTTGCCAGGATGGAACCAGTTTTCTACCTGCATATACCATTTTTAAATGGAGGGGTAGTCACAATTGCAGCCATTAGCCTGCATTATTACATCTATGGTGTCCCCGTCCCATCCCCCCCCAATCACCTCATGGGAGCGTACAAAAGAGAAGGGTGGCTGTCTAGCCTAACTCATGAAATGGAGGACTGCATGTTGTAATGACAGGCCAGGTGTACATAACACCATGGCAAGGAATTTCTTGTTTATGGCAAGGGCCTTGTATTGTAAGGGTGGGATCCAAACATGTTTAGCTAAGTCACCATTTCCACCACAGGGCAATCACCCTTCCTAAGCCTGCTAACTGTACTGGAAAACAGGCTTTCTCACCTTTGTCTGAAAGGAGAAAACAGTGACAGTGATGGTTACAACTGCTGTGATGATCATGGCAATGACTACAGTCTTGGTCTCATACACGCTGGTAACAAAAAGGTAAAAAAATAAATCATACATTTTTGTTGTTAAAATAATTTTATTATAATGTGAGAGCACCAACAACAACAAAATTAGGCACAATGTACGGTACTTTTCAAACTTGAGGCTGCTTATTTAACTTATATGCAGAATTCATCACGCGAAAGGCTGGGCTGGATGAATCCCAAGCAGGAATTAAGATTGCTGGAAGAAATATCAACAAACTCAGATATGCAGATGACACAACCTTGATGGCAGAAAGTGAGGAGGAATTAAAGAATCCTTTATTGAGGGTGAAAGAGGAAAGCACAAAATATGGTCTGAAGCTCAACATCAAAAAAACGAAGATCATGGCCACTGGTCCCATCACCTCCTGGCAAATAGAAGGGGAAGAAATGGAGGCAGTGGAGAGATTTTACTTTCTTGGGCTCCATGATCACTGCAGATGGTGACAGCAGTCACGAAATTAAAAGACGCCTGCTTCTTGGGAGAAAAGCAATGACAAACCTAGACAGCATCTTAAAAAGTAGAGACATCACCTTGCCAACAAAGGTCCGTATAGTAAAAGCTATGGTTTTCCCAGTAGTGATGTATGGAAGTGAGAGCTGGACCATAAAGAAGGCTGATCGCCGAAGAATTGATGCTTTTGAATTATGGTGCTGGAGGAGACTCTTGAGAGTCCCATGGACTGCAAGAAGATCAAACCTATCCATTCTGAAGGAAATCAGCCCTGAGTGCTCACTGAAGGACAGATCATGAAGCTGAGGCTCCAATACTTTGGCCACCTCATGAGAAGAGAAGACTCCCTGGGAAAGACCCTGATGTTGGGAAAGATGGAGGGCACAAGGAGAAGGAGACGACAGAGGATGCGATGGTTGGATGGTGTTCTTGAAGCTACCAGCATGAGTTTGACCAAACTGTGGGAGGCAGTGGAAGACAGGAGTGCCTGGCGTGCTCTGGTCCATGGGGTCACGAAGAGTCGGACACGACTAAACGACTAAACAACAACATCCAATGTTCCAGCCACATGATTTAGCTGGTGCAAACATAGGAAAATAGGAAGCTGCATTATACCAAGTCAACCTTTCAGTTCCTCCAGCTCAGTTAGGCCTACCCTGACTGGCAGCAGCTCTCAAAGGTTGCAGCAGGTTTCTCTCAACCCTAAGAATTGAAGCTGGGAGCATCTGCATGCAGAACAGGTGCTCTATCATTGAGCTAGGACCCTTCTGCTTCCTCTCCTCACCCTGTGCACCTACAAATGTGCTCCATAGGATCCCCCAATGCGCCAGAGCTGATTTTGAGGGCATGCAGGTGGCTGGAGGGAACAGGAGAGGAAGCAGCTCTGTGGCACACAACCAAGTCCATTGTGCCAGCAGAGCTGCAGTGTTGAATATCATCCTCTTATAGCTAAAAACACCACCACTTCCAAAACTGCTTTATCAATTTTTTTTCTCTTACATTTCATGTAAGATACGGAAGGATTAATTTGTTTTTAAGTGTTTTTTTTTTATTTTTTCTCTGTATTTTGTATTTTGTATGGTTTTTCTCTTTTTAATTTTTTTTCTTGTTTCTTTTCTCTTTAACTATGTAATTTTTTGTTTCTGAAATTTTAATAAATATCATTTTTTTAAAAAAAACAAAACTACTTTATCAAAAACGTGACAGTAGACATGCCCATATTTTTTCACCAAAAAGGAACACTGTTTATTTCATCAAGAATCCGCTTGATTGTTTGCTTCTCTCACAGTGCAATCCTAGGGATGTTTACTCAGAAATAAGCTCCACTATGTTCAATGGAATTTCCCCAGTAGCAATTAAAGAATCTAGTAAGAGGGGGGGTGTTTGTTTTTTTAAGGAGAGGCTGGACAGCCATCTTCCAGGGACACTGTGGCAGCAGACTGCACGTTGGAGTAGATGACCTTTGGTCAGTTCAACTCCAAGCACCCATAATTCTAGGTTTGTTTAGGATTGCAGACTTAATTTTGCATTATAGGCTATTGTTTCCCTCACTACTACCTCCTGTACTTTCCACCTGCTGAACTTTTCACATTCTGTCAGGATGTTAAATTATTTCCACACTTTTGCTATGCAATTTTTTATTTTTATTTTTTTGCAGCCACAACCATAGAAATGAGTTTCATGCAGAGGGGTGAAAAGGGATGTGCAGTAGTGTCTGGGGACATGACCTATTTGGACACATTTTCTAAATCCAGCTCAGAAACTGCTTCCCACTGTGTAGGCCTCTACTGTATCACTTCCATTTACCACTTTGCACAGTACCTTGCGATTGTGCCAGTCATGAATGCCGTGGACATGGTCTAGGGAAAATCAGAAAACAAAACAAAAATTAACAGAGCACCATCTGCACTAGAGATGGTGAAAATGTGGCCTTCCAGATCTAACAGATTCCGTAATCTGTGACCACTGACCATCATGGCTGGGACATATGGGAGTTGGAGTTCAACAACATCTGGAGGGTCACAGGTTCCCCACTTCTGACCTACAGCATCCTTTGACCCCCTAGTTACACATCAGGACAAATAGTTTCGGCTTCTTCTGTTATTTACATAACAGAAATACTTTATCTGCTACTCTGTGCTGGCCCTTTTCCTAGCACTATGGCAATCATCCAGTCAGCACAAACTTTTCACCTCACCAGATGGAACAACCCACCCACCCCACCCACCCCACTTTTCCCTACATACTTTTCTGTGTCTTCTCTCACACACAACCAAAGTCAATTTTGGGGGTGTGGGGAGAAGAAAAGGGGGAAAGCCCACTTCCACTAGCAAGGCTAGTTAGTTGATCCCAATATTTGATATACAAAGGTGTTCTGAATATATGAAAAGGGGATAGAATTGCAAGTATTTATTTTTTACATACTAAACCAATTTGGACAATTTATTTTGCTTGAAAATTTGTGGCGAGTCAAATGCATTGCCCTACACTTCATCTTAGACCCTTCTTCCACCATCTCCCCCCAATAGAGATTTTGCATCATTCCAATGCAAACCACACAAAAAACTGTACTTACAAAGATAGTCATGAGGATTATGTTCCATGGGAAGCGCCTCCTGAAAGACACCAGCAAGAGAGTCAGAGAGTACGTGCAGGCGGTCTCACCTCAAGAAAAGGAGCCATTCTGAGAGAATCCAACATACTGATGACACTGCACTTCAAATCTCCTAATGCATGGGTAGGCAAACTAAGGCCTGGGGGCCAGATCTGGCCCAATCGCCTTCTAAATCCGGCCTGCGGACGGTCCGGGAATCAGCGTGTTTTTACATGAGTAGAATGTGTCCTTTTATTTAAAATGCACCTCTGGGTTATTTGTGGGGCATAGGAATTCGTTCATATTTTTTTCCAAAATATAGTCTGGCACCCCACAAGGTCTGAGGGACAGTGGACCGGCCCACTGCTGAAAAAGTTTGCTGACCCCTGTCCTAATGGCTACTCCCAGCAGCTTTATGTAGATGTTAAATTGGGGAAAATACAAGTTCCCTGTAGTACCCCACAGCACAACTGACGGGGGACTGAGTCAGCCAGTAGTTTTCTCTCTGAACTGGCCCTATGGACAGAAGTGAAGCCACTACACCCAGAGAGCTGGCCAAGTAAGATACCAAGGCAATTTATATCCAAAGCCATTGTCAAAATGCCAACTCCTTTGACAAGTCCATCTTCTGTCATTGTCCCCTCCCTATGAGTCCCAGCAAATGTTGATACTCTGTTTTTTGTGTGATCACAAATGTCGTCAACAGAAACGTACTGGATGCTTCTACACAAGGCCAGCACAAGGTAGCAGATCAAGAATACAGCGCTAGGGATGAAAAAGAGAGAGAGAGATGACTTATTTAAAACTAGCTGGCAATTCTAATAAATAAACAGCTTTCCAAATGTAGGAGGTCCCTCAAGCCCTTCTTGAACCATGAAGGGAGATAGCCTCCATAGACAAATAATATCCCTCCCATCAATTGACTATGCATGTTTGTTATTTAATTTACAGTGGTGCCTCGCAAGACGAAATTAATCCGTTCCGCGAGAGTCTTCGTCTAGCGGTTTTTTCGTCTTGCGAAGCAAGCCCATTGACGGATTAGCGCTATTAGCGCTATTAGCGGTTTAGCGGCTATTAAAGGCTTAAAGGCTTAGGGGATTAGCTGCTAAAAGGCTATTAAAGGCTATTAAAGGCTTAGCAGATTAGATAAAGGGGGGGAAAAGCGAACAAAAAAACCTCAAGACTCGTAAGGTATTTTCGTCTTGCGAAGCAAGCCCATAGGGGAATTCGTCCTGCGAAGCAACTTCAAAACGGAAAACCCTTTCGTCTAGCGGTTTTTCCGTCTTGCGAGGCATTCGTCTTGCGGGGCACCACTGTAATAGAATTTATATACTTTCTAAACATCAACAGCATTTTACATAAAATATAAAAAGCGCATTAAAATTACCAGTAAAATCAGATGTCAACGTTTCATCAGGAAAACAATGGATGAAGAAGGCAGGTTTCCTCTAGGAAAGAATACCATGTGCAACTTATTCCCCAGAGGCCCCCTGCACAACACAGCCATTGTGCTGTTATGAAATGGTAGTGATGGAAGTTACAGGAGAGACAGGGTGAGAGAATCTGACATGAAGCAGCTTAGCTGGCCAGTAGAGCAATCTGTCTTGGCAACAGGTCAAGAGCGGAATTTGGTTCTGCATCTGTAAAGGGAGTGATACTTACTAAGATACATAGTACAGGGCAATATTCCTTTGCACATAATGGCTCACAGAGTGTCTGTGGAGAAGGAACAGAGCACAAGATGAGATACCTGCCCTGGTTCTTGCAGTTCTGTACTGCCAGAATAGTTTCTGGATCAGAACATTGTGGGCAGAATCCAGCTGGATTTTGGAGGAGCATTTTGCCATTTTTCCGTAGTGAAAATGATGAAACTTTGAAAGGACAAGGTTTTTAAATTTATGTTTTCCATTTAAAAGACAAAATTATAACAATGGAGAAACGATGCACTGGTGAAATTCTTTCATTGCATAATTTTGCATGTTTTTTTTAATGGGCAAAAAGAAAAAGGGGGAAAGAACCCATTCAAATATCTCTTTATTAAAGATTTTGAGAAAAGCCAAGGTCACAAAATAAAGTATCCCCTCCCATCTAGAAAAAAGTTCCACAAAGCAAGCCCAAATGACAGAGAGGCAGATATTTGAATAATTTCACCACTTTAAAATTGCAGGACAGATTAAAAAATAAATAAAAACAAATCAACATAAAATACTTTTTTTCCTGATTTTAGGGAAATGGCACAGGTACAGAATTTCATCTTCTACAATCTAGAATCTGAATTTCCAAATGCAGCTAAATGGGAACAGAAGTAACCAGATGTCAGAATAGTGGGGTGGAACTGGTTCATGTTGGGATACTGCCAGGGAGATAAAGTCCATCAAGGCCCCAAGCCGTCTGCCGGACGATCCATCGACCTCTGGTAGGCACGCAGCGACATGAGTTTCTAGAAAATATCTTGCCACATTCTAGAGCTCATGCACACTCTATCAGCAATTAGCACAGCCAAAAGTTGCACTCAGGAGAGCATTATTTGCAAGTTTATTCAGCGTTGATCAGAACACAGAAAAACATGACTGCCTGCTGATTTAGTGTCTGCGACAACAGAGAGAAAACGAAAGCAACAGAAAACATAAACATCCTGTGAACAGGAAATACGCAGACTCTGTGACTCACAGCCTGCTCCCTTTTAAGGTGGAACGGAAATATCCTAACATCCTCCCCTTTCCGTGTAACCTGTAGTACCTGTGGTTCAACCCAATTGCAACCTTTGTACATAAACCTTAAGTTGTTCTCTGTTAACAACCTTAGACAACAGATCAGCAGGAATTTCATTTCCTGGCATGTAGGACACCTGAAGGAGTCCTTTCTGAATACACTCTCTTGCACGATGTAGCTTAATCTGCAAGTACTTGGTCCTTTGCTTGCAACTCTCCGAGTTCAGCAAAGCCAAACACGATCTATTGTCTTGATACACTTGTACAGGACATTTCACAGAAACTCTGATGTCCTTAAACAGTTGCATCAACCATTCACAATCCATGAGTGAAAATGACAGAGCATTGAGTTCTGCTTCACAGGAACTTAGGCTCACTGTCGTCTGCTTTTTGCACAGCCAGTCAAACAGACAGTGGTTGTACATGTAGCATACTCCAGAAGTGCTTGTACCATCCGTGGTGTCACTTCCAAAACTTGCATCTGCAAAGATTTCAAGACCTCCAGTCTTCTGACTGGTGAACCTCAGCCTGTAGTGCATAGTCCCTTTCAGATAGCGGGCTATGCGCTTCAGAGCTTTCCAATCCTGAACAGTAGGATTGTTGGCATGTCTGCTAAGCAGGTTAGTGCTTACAGCAATGTCAGGTCTTGAGCATCTAGCAATGAAATTCAACTTGCCTAGAATGCACCTGTACAGCGTAGTGTCAGAAAACGCTTCAGCAGTACTGTCTACCTGGTAACCTGTCACCATCGGTGTGTCTGCTGGGTTTGCATCAACCAAATTCAACCTGGTTAATACATCAGCAATTTTCTGTGTTTGGTGTACCAGAAAATTACCTGCTTGGTCCCTCTCCACCTGCAGAGAGAGATAGTTGGATACCTCACCAAGATCCTTCATGTCAAAGTGCTCCTTCAGCTGAGCTACGGTGCTTTGGTACAAAGCCTGATTCTTCCAAAACATCAGAAGATCATCAACAAAACATAAACAATACAGTTTGTTTTGCCCCTCCTCCTTGACAAACACACATGGATCAGCTTTGCCCTGGTGAAAACCTAGAGAAAGCAACGTCTCAGTGAGTTTTGTGTTCCAACACCTGGCACTCTGCTTGAGACCATATAAGGATTTCCGCAGTTTACAGACCATTCCCTTCTGTATCTGCATCCCATCAGGTGGAAGCATAAACAGCTCCTCCTCCAAAATCCCGTACAAAAAGCTGTATTAATGTCATGATGGGAAACATGCAGTTTCTCCTCCGCAGCTATCTTGAGGATCAGCCGAATGCTCTCATATTTGACGGTGGGTGAGTAGGTCTCGTGGTAATCCTGTCCTGGTACCTGTGAAAAACCTCTGGCAACCAATCTGGCTTTGTGTCTGACAACCTTGCCATTCTGGTCTGTCTTGGCCTTGAAGACCCATTTGCTGCCAACCAGTCTCATTCCTGGGACAACCGGTACCAACTCCCAAGTTTGGTTCCTATTCAAGGAATCAACTTCAGCCTTCATGGCATTAAGCCAAGGCTCAGCATCTTTAGAGGTTAACTCCTGAACCTCTTTGAAGCTTGAAGGTTCCCATACCTTCTCTGAGCTACTAAGAACAGCAGTTGCTGTCTTAGCAAACTCATCAGCAAATCTCTTTGGAGGTCTGTCCTTTGTGGCTCTTTCAGATCTGCGTACTAGACGCAAGTCTTCTGGACTCATCTCCTCTTTCTTAGGAGAAAAGTGACCAATGGTGAACAGTGGTTCTTCCAGTTCATTGTCAGACGCATCAGATGGTCTGACTGAGGCCTTTGCGCTCTTGTAGTCTGCTGTGTCATCACTGTCACCGACATCAGCAGCAGCGCCGCCCACTGAACTGGAATCCGAACTCTGATCATCATCGTCATCATCATCCTCAGCAGCTTCCTCAGCTTTAGCTGCTTCTTTGACATCACCTTCATCCTCCTCTGGGTAACTCTGGAAAATTCCCACATTTCCCCCCCACTTAGGATTGTACTCAACACTCTTTGTGAACTTAATGGACTTAGAGTTGGTCATCCATACCCTGTATGAACCTTTTTCATACCCCATGAACAAACCATGTGCCCCACGCTTCCCAAGCTTGTTGCTCTGTGGGGTGTGTACCCACATGTCAGAACCAAAGATTCTCATGTGCTTGATGTTGGGTTTCTTACCAAACATCTTCTCATAGGAGGTACAACCAATAGGTGATGACAATCTGCGATTATAAGTGTAAGCAAAATTCGACAGAGCCTCCCCCAATACTTATCAGGAGATTGGCATCATGCAACAATGTTTTCATCCCTTGCAGCAACGTTTGATTTGCTTGCTCCGCAAGCCCATTCATCCATGGCGATCTAGGCGTTGACAAGTCATGCTGGATTCCCTTCTCAGTCAGGAAAGCTTCAAACTGCTGAGAAGTGAACTCCCCGCCTCGAACAGTAAAGAGACAGCCAATACGTTTACCGTGAACATTCTCCAACCAAGCACAGAATGCCTTGAACTTAGGAAACGCTTGCGATTTCTGCTCGAGCATAAACACATGAATGTACCTGGAAAAAGAATCAATTAGAACCATGAAGTACCTTGCTCCACCCAAAGAGGGCGCAAGTGGACCAACCAGGTCTGCGTGCACTAGCTGGTAGGGTTTGGAAGCCTGCCTGCTAGACTCCTTGCCTTTTGGAGCAACCTTCACCTTGTTCTCTGCACAAGATACACATTTCATGTGAAACTTACAGGGTTTGATGTTCAAACCCTCAACCATCTCTGGCATCTTGGCCAGTGCCTTCCAAGAGAGGTGGCAAAACCTCCGATGTGCATCGTGAATGCATCCTGCATGAAGAACTTTGTTAGTTTGTGCAACACAACAAGAATCAACATTAGACACAACAGCACCATTGTCGTCATAAGTTATACAGAACAAGCCATCCATAAACTTTGCATGCAAAATGTCCTCTTTGCCTTTTCTGATGACACAGATGCTCCTCTTGAAGGAAATCTCAAAACCACGCCCAGTAAACTGTGGGACACTGAGCAAATTGTCTGCAGCACCTGGAACATACAGTACATCTTTGATGGTCGTGTGCAGACTTGCCAGTTTCACAGTCCCTTCTCCCGCAATTCGCAACGTCTTTCCATCAGCCAGGTGGATCTCACCTTCTTGAGGTTTGAAGGAGATAAATAGGTGGCGGTCTTTTGAGACATGGCGGGTACAGCCTGAATCAACAACAAACCTGGCTTTGGCCTTCGGAGCAGTCTTTGCAGCAAGCAAAACCTTGTTTTCCACCGGCGTGGGTTTTTGCAGCTTGCCCCCCTGCTCCTGGCCATCAGACTTGCCTTTAGCCTTTGGTGAAGCTGTGCCAGCAAACAAAACCTTGTTTTCCACTGGCGTGGGCTTGCAGCTTGCCCCCCCCTGCTCCTGGCCATCAGACTTGCCTTTAGCCTTTGGTGAAGCTTTGCCAGCAAACAAAACCTTGTTTTCCTCTGGCGTGGGCTCTTCACCCTCCCTCTGCTTCTGGCCATCTGCAGGCGTCTGCCTCTGTTTACCTTTGCCCTTCCGGCCTCTGCAAAGGCGATGACCTTGGTTCCCATGAGAAACAGAGCTCTCAGCTGCCGACTCCTTGGCTCCCCCTGGAGGCTGGAATGCTGCCCGCGATGACGTGACAGTCAGCTCCCCCTGCAGCTTGCAACCGGTGCCCTCAGCATCCCTGCATTCACTCGCATTCTGGGAAACAGCCAGGACCTCCGATGCAGTCAAACTCTGGGCTGGGATGATTGGCAGATGGGCTACTTTCAAAGCATGCCACATCTTACATGCAGTCACATTGCCAGCAAGCGTCTTTATTTCCTCCAGAGAGACGGACAAGACGATTACGTCTATCGCCTTCGAATTTTCGGCCTTCCATCTATCTGTCAGAGGAACTGGAGGGGCCTCACACACAGTATGCCACACTCCAAACTGACGCAGCAAGCTCTCACACCATTTTGCCCAGGTCTGATAGTTGTGCCGATTTAACTTTGGGCACTCAGCAGCCTCAGAAGCTTGGAAAAACTCCATTCCAGGTTTCTACTTGAGCTGTGAGCCTTTATGCCTTCAAAAACGTCTTATCTCGGCAGCCATAAATCTTGAAGCCTTTGGCGCGGCTCCCAGATCCAATTAGGCCTGCCGGACATCAAAGAGACTTTGCCACGGCAAACAGAAAAGCCTTACTTTCGCTTTTCCTCCGCATACCTTTCAGCAGTCCGTCGCAGTCTTACTCTCCTGTAAGTGCTGTGAATCTGGGCCCGAAACCTGTTGTTGGGATACTGCCAGGGAGATAAAGTCCATCAAGGCCCCAAGCCGTCTGCCGGACGATCCATCGACCTCTGGTAGGCACGCAGCGACATGAGTTTCTAGAAAATATCTTGCCACATTCTAGAGCTCATGCACACTCTATCAGCAATTAGCACAGCCAAAAGTTGCACTCAGGAGAGCATTATTTACAAGTTTATTCAGCGTTGATCAGAACACAGAAAAACATGACTGCCTGCTGATTTAGTGTCTGCGACAACAGAGAGAAAACGAAAGCAACAGAAAACATAAACATCCTGTGAACAGGAAATACGCAGACTCTGTGACTCACAGCCTGCTCCCTTTTAAGGTGGAACGGAAATATCCTAACAGTTCATTCTGATAACCCCTACCTTTAGAGTCCCAGAACCCCTCCAGAGTTCTAGCAGAGCACCAGAAAACTTACGAAAAAGTGAAGAGTGCAACGATGCCCACAGTCACCAACAGCTGAAGGGTGATGATGCTGTAGACCTGGTCATGAAGACAAACAAGATGTGAGCATCTGCATATATATATAAATGCAAACAAGCATGTTGCAATTTACAGATGCCAAGATAGCCCAGTAGCAAGATCAGATTCACATGAATGGTGACTGTTGCTGAACTGTGTACTAGAGCACCTTGACCCTATCATATATGCCTTCTCCCTCTCCCTCAAAGTGCCTTCAGACTTACCTTGCGAATGAAAGTTTGCCGGACATTCTTGTCAACCCAACAAGCAATGCGAAAACCCCCATCTTCCTCTGCGAGACACTCCAAATCTGTTGTATCTGATGACAAACAGCAACATTTGTTAATGTAAATTTCAAAGCCACAAGATCTGGATGGTACAGATTCCACCCTAGGGCCCATAGACGCTGCTGAAGCATTGCTTTTCCGCACTTAGCATGAAGTATAATTCAAACAGTGGTTCAACAGGACCTTTAACATGGCACTATATTATCCATCAATAACCACTGCGATCCCAATAGTTGTTGGTAGCCCCCACCAGTGGCTTCTGTTTGTAGTTTAAGAAATATATTAACTATGCATTTAACATCCCCTCTATTTTGGTTCTTGGCTTGCCTAGTACCTGGTGCCTCTCCTCATACCAGCTCTCAACTTTCCTCCCTGTTTGTGGAGATTCTCCTGTCCCCCAACAATTCGCAATATTCTCGCCCCTCACCCCTCTGCCACCTTTCTTGCAGAATCTCTGCTTTTAACCAGGTGAGTCGAAGTATGCTCTCGCACCTGCAGCTCCAGTTTTCTTGCCATCATAGGGAGATGGACTCTGCTCTGCCATGATGTGTCAGGGAGGCTTAGCACAGCACCTGGAAAAAACCAAGGAGGTAAACCCTCATTATCACTTGGAGAGTGAAAACAAACATAAAATACAAGGTGCAAAATACAACATGCCCATCCCTGAGGCAGCACCCCTTCTCTGAACCACTGGTTCTGAACATACCAGGCCAAAGGAGACCAGCAAGATGTGCAAAGCATAAACTGTAAGGCAAAAAGGTGTTGGATCCAGAGTGCAGCGTTCAAAATTTACCAGGTACCAGGGGAATTTTGCTCCTGGTTATCAGCCACTTGCAACCAAGTGAAGGTGCCAGGATGGTGTCTGATGTCTCCACCATCTGGAGCTGCATGCCTAGGGATCCTTGGATCTTGACTGTTTTCACCCACGAGCAACACATCCTGTAGAATTCTATCCATTATATTTGAATTTCAGAAACCAAAAAGTCATATTGAAAAATACAACTTCCATGCTGTCTGGCCCCCAATTGACAACTAGGCATTCTGTTTTGGCGACTGTAACCCTGGTTTTAAGGAGCCATTTGGACCCTTGCTTATATATTTGAGTTTCTAACACTGCCAGAGCAATTGCTTATTTCCAGAGAGGCTGGCCTTCAGGAGGCTGTAAAGGCAGGACCATAAAGAACAAAGATGAGGGAGTTTCTATAATGCATGAGTTCCTGGTGGTGGGAATTTGGACAAGGGGCTGCCACCTAACTTCTGCTCAGCTGGAGCTGCAAAGCACATTCTTAAGAACTGGCCTATGCATAAAAGAAATGGTCTCTGAGGTAGCTTATCTGTAGGTTCAAACTCCTGTTCTTTTCCCATAGCCTGTTGCCTTGTCTTCTAGGCCCATGGAGGAAAGGTGTCTGCACTCCATGACATAGCTTGGGCGCGGAGAACCTTTAGCCCTCTAGATGATGTTGCTGAATGACAACGCCCATCATCCCTGGCTATTGACCATGCTTGCTGGGGCTGATGGGAGTTCTGGTTCAGCAATATCCGGAGAGCCAAAAGTTCCCCACACCTGACATAGCTGAAAGTAACCATCACGACACTAGCTGCCTGATTTGCAGTGTTTCTTCAAAGAGACATATATTTTTAATAAATGGAACATTGCAATGAAAAGGGGGGTGGGGGAGACATTCTGAATTGGACCCTGAAACTAACCGTCCTTGTTTCAGGACTGACCATCTGAACTCTTCAAAAACAGCCCCATGAAGAGTGTGATCTGGCTGTCACTAAGGCATGACTCAATGTTGCTATTCAATGAGACCTATTAAAGGAAGGGCATATGGTGGATATACCCACCTAAACTGAAGGGAAAGGCAATCCTAGCCACCACTATCACCTGCTCATTTAAAAGCAGTGCCATATTAAAAAAAATCCTCCCATTGTGAGTTCTCACAGGAAGCGCAACCCTGAGCAAAACAAACTCTGTGGTTAAGTGGGGGAAGGACTGTCTGCTATTGGTTAGTCATCGCCCCCTTTTTTCCTTAGGGGTTGGTCAGTTCTGAATGCAAGTATTCTCAGAATACATACATATATTATTGTAATATTAATACGCTACCACCCCCGACATCTGAACAGCACACTGGCAAAATGGAACAGCATTTGGTTCTCCCCCCCCCCATTTCCTCAATAACTTTACTGGACAGGTTGATGGACAGCTTGAACAAATAATTAACAATATATATACCATGTTTCAGTTCTTCTTTTCTTCCAATTAACTTCCTTCATCCTCAACATGGTTCTCTTTTCATTTTTTGTAAACTGTCTCCTTATTACCGCTTTTTTCTTTCTGTTTTTTAACTTAAAGGCCATAATTTGTTTTGCAGAAGTTAATTGAAACAAGTCCAAGTATTAATTTGAGGGCACTCCTTTTTAAGGTATTCTCTATATTTTTCCCATTATTTATTTATTTGTTTTGAAATTTTTGTTTGGGCTGACCCCTAATAGCCTCTGTCAATCTACCAAATTGACAGCGTTTGGTTCTATGGCAGGGGGGACATGGGCCTGACAGTTCTCTTTATTATATATTCACATTCTTTTAGAGAATGTGTGGGGAACTTTTGTTGTTGCTGAACAACAACTCCCAGCATCCCTGGCCATTGGCCATGCTTACTGGGGCTGATGGGAGTTGTCCTTCAGCAATATTGGGAAGCCCAATGGTCCTCCATCACTGTTTTTAAGACTATCAATGTTTCTAAGAACAATTAATACAACGTACAAATGTATCTGCAAGAATATGATGATATGTGAATAACATACATGCTTTAAATTGGCACTGCATTTTACATCCGTCAAAGTCATAGAAACACAGGTGCCTATCTAGTCCTGTTCTCATGGTGGTCAACCACATGTGTGGAGCAACAGGTGATTTCCAGCAACAGGTATTCAGAGGCATACTTACCTAGTGTTATCTGGCTGCCACTGATATACTTATCCCTCCATGAATTTGTCTAATCCTCTTTTAAAGCCATCCAAATTGGTGGCCATCACTTCCTCTTGTGGGATTGAATCCCATCGTTTTGACTACATGCTGTATGAAGAACGTACCTTCTTTTACCTGTCTCAAAACTTCCAGCATTCAGTTTTGCAGCCCGGTTCCAGTATTAGGAGAGGGGGAGACAAACTTCTTTCAATCCACTTTCCCCACATCATGTATAATCTCATACAACTCTATCTTGTCCCTTCTTACTCAGTTTTTCCAAACTAAAAAGCCCCCAAAGTCGCAACGGTTTCATCCACAGGGCAGAGCTCCTCCACCCACTTGGTCATTTTGAGTAATGGAGATCTACTTTCTGCAGCAATTCACAGCAAGCAGCACTTTACATCAAAGAAACCTCAAAATACCTCACTGACAAGGCCATCTTCCTCAGACAATTATCTTCCATAAACTTTGAAACATTGCAATTCAAAGGAAACGGCTTCAAGACATACTCAAACTTGCGACTCTCTGGGGTATTTCTTAATATTATTTCTTAATAGCACAATTTTATGGCATACTTTTGCCTGTTTGCCTGAATCAGCGGCTTCCATGAAACATGTTGGAGCAGATAAAGAACCATTACTGCTCCATTATGGAACAAGAGCATTTGAACAGGCTCACCATGCTTAGTATCAACTGTGGCACTGCACAAAAGCTACATTTCCACTTCAATAATTAGTGCAATTGCACAGAAAAGGAAAGCTTGCATTATTATTATTTTTTAATCAAATGACGTCTCACTCTTTTTTTAATCAAATGACGTCTCACCCTTATTTTGATATTTTTCATTTCATTTTTAATCAAATGACGTCTCACCCTTATTTTGATATTTTTGCATTGTCGTCATTATGGGTTAAGGATCTCTGAAGCTGGAAGTGTCCTGGGCCTGTCTGGACCCGAGAGGGTCTGTTCGCACGTGCAATGATGTGGGTTTGAGAGTAGCGTTTATCCCTTGGTAGGTCCCGTCGGAAAAGTCACAGCCGAACACAAGGCGCCGGTGGCAAAAATGGTCTGGAAGTTATTGATCTCCTCAAGATCAAATCAGACTCCACCCCCGCCCCTGAATCTTAGCGTGGGAATTAGAATTAGACCTGAACTTTGGAGACTGGGACTTTTTCGCTGGCTAGAGCGATGCCCGTCCAAACCGAAGCGACCCCCTACGCCATGTGACTGAGCACGGGTACCCAATCCCTTGCCCCAAATTTCCCAGCATCCTTACCTTAACCCGTGTGCCTAGCTCCGGCACCCTCTTCTCCCGTTGCCAAAGTCTTAGACCGAAAAATGACCTATGGCTCTTCGAAGTAAATCCCGAGAATGATGGGAGAAAAGTTCCCAGAAATGACGAGGAAGTGATGGGAGGGGGAACGTTTGGTCCCCTCCCTATTGCCTGAAGCGGACTCTGGGATGGAGCGGGAGTGCCCCCAAGAGGCGAGTTGGAGCTATTGCAAGCTCCCCTTGCGTCGAGAGCTCAGGGAGGAAATGTTAGCACCCGAGGTCAAAGGAAATTCCCTGTTCACCTAAAAAGTAGCGCTAGAAGTCTTGGAAGGCCCCAAATCAGCAGATTTCCTCGTGGATTCAGTCCTTGTCCTGGAATCATGCACTAGCCACTACTGTTTGAACCAACACGCTGCTTCTGATAAACCCTTTGGGCAATTGCAAGGTTAATATTCCTCCAAATTGCATAAATGCATAACACTTGCAGATAGACACACTTCTGGCTTTTGAGCACATCAGGGACAATTCATTAAGGTAAGTCATAAATGGAGTCTGGTGTTGTAATCCATGCAAACAGACTCACTAAATGGGGTTGAAGCAGGACGTTGGGGTTGCGAAAGCCCAAAGATCATTGTAGGGTTAAGAGGGACACTTAAGGGTGGTGGCAGCAGCTGCCTCCCAGCACCTGCCACCTGAGGTGGTTGCTTCACTTTGCCTAATGGTAGGGCCAACCCTGCATGCCCGTTCTTTGATTTGTATTTCTATGGTTGGGGGAGTGTTACAGAGACATAAAAAATTGTACTGGGGAAGCAGCAAACATCAGCTTACAGTGTGTAGGCTTCTAGTAGTCTGGGAATATACTACATGAGACTTTGTGGTGTCAGAGTGATCAGACCTTTGTGCCTTATTGAGACTGCAAGTGCACCTCAAAGTTGAAGAAAAAAACAGAATGCAAACACAAAAGAAACAGGAAACCCACAATAACAGAAAAGATTAGTTTAGAAACCATACCATGTTTCCCAGATCTTCTGAGATGGAAGGAGGAGTCAACCTGCTAAGCAAATGGGCAACCAGTGTATATCTCTTGCCTAAAGGCTTTACATGCTCAGAATCTCACTCCTGCCAGCAACAAAGCTGCAGTATTCTGCATTAACTGCAGTTTCCAAGGGAAGTACAAGGTAAGCCCCACATAGAGTGCACTGCAGTAATCCAGTTCTGAAGTCACCAGTGAGTGCACTACTGTGGTCAAGCTCTCCCAGTCCAGGAATAGCCGTAGTGGTTGCACCCGTTGCAGTGTAACATTGCATGCCAATCTGGAGAGACCATAAGTAACAAAAGGGACAGCACTTTCGATCTCTGACTTGGGTTCCAATTGCTTCAGAACAGGTACATCCTTTCCCTCCCTTTCTCACTTTTTTTTTAGCTTGAGTCTGTGGCAAATCGTCATGCTTACAGTCTCTCTAGGCTTTTGGGATAGATAGGGATCCTTTAACTCTTTAGAACAAGGTGTGTATGTTGTATGATTTACTGTGCACATAACTACTGTCTGAAGCAGCACCCAAATATTGTCAACACTATCCTTTCCCCAACCTGGTGCCCGACAGATGTTTTAGACTACAACTCCCATCAGCCTCATCTGCACCTGGGTGACCTCATCAAATTCCATGACTTTCAGTATCACCCAGTTGTATTACTTGTTTTTGAGAAACCCATGCTGGGTCTCCGTAATCACAGCATCCTTTTCTAAGTGCTCACAGACCGACTGTTTAATTCTTTATTCTAGGACCTTTGCTGGTATTGATGTCCAGCTGGCCAGTCGGTAGTTAAGAGGGTCTTCTTTTTTCTCCTTTTTGAAGACTGTCATGAAGGAGTGATTCTGTAAGCAAGTATTGCTGGGTGGGGGCCCTCAGGCAGGTGTTAACAATTACCGTAGTCCCCAAAGTGGGAACAGATGATGGGGCTGCCTGCCATGGGGAGGAAGAGAATACGCCGTAGACTAGACTGCCATTTGATGTGTGTAGCTGGTACCAGAGAAGATGGCAATAAAGCCTGATGTCCCATTCAGTGCCTACGTGTGAGTTATTAGAAGCTTAGAGGGAGGACTCAGGAAAGTGATCTCCTCCTTGACAGGGACAACATTTGCCTGTCTCCAGTCTGCAGGGACATCGCCTGTTCTTCAAGAATGCTCAAAGATTATATAGATAGAGGCTCTGAGATTACAGCTGCAAGCTCTTCTAGTTCCCTTATGTTTGTTTTGTATTTCATGTTGATGAATGTAATTATTACATTTGTATTTTTTTATAATGAAAGTTAATAAACATTGTTATAATAATAATAATAATAATAATAATAAAATGCAACCAGCATAACACTGCCCCCATCACATCAATCTGGGAGATCTTATTCAAAAATATAAATTTTATTTGCAGTTGTATAGTTGAGCCCTGGATCTTTGGATTTTCTAGCTGGAAGGGCCATCTACATTTTAGATAAGTAAGCTGACCAAAAACAAACAACCAAACAAAATTACAAATAAGAGATAAGTTGAGAGGGCTAGGATACATCACTCCAAAGCAGTGATACAGATTCCTGCATCCAGGGCATCAGATACAAAAAGGGGATTCCACATGTGGAAATGGAGAAATAAACAACATATTACAAATTAGAGTCAATATCTACAGCGTATACAATGTATCATATCTTATCTTTAGCTCTGTCCACTATGTGAATCCCTTAGTAGCGTCTATACATTCTAGGAGGCGAGAGCAACGCAGCAGAACATTATATTAAGGAAATCAAAGTCAGGGGTCCCCTGAACTTCTAGGGAGGGTTGCCAAAGTTCTAGCACAGAGGCACGGCCTCAGCTTCCTAATCTCTGCTGCCCACAATCTGCAAGAGGAAGGTGAAGATGTAGACTATGTCTGTGTAGATCTTGAGGGCGCCGTAGACATATTCCTCAGGGCTCATGGCGTGTTTTCTGTTGCCCAGCAGCAACTGGGTGTCATAGGCAAGAAACTGTCAAAAGCCATGAGGAAAGCAGTTAGTCACAAGTTTGAAGAAATTACCAAAATTTTCTTCATTCCCCGAGTTAGCTACCACAATCCATGCATTATTTTGGTACACACATACTGCAACAACACCCGTTGCCCTAATTACTACACCTCCGCTCTGAGACACTTGCAATTAGCAACCTACCTAATCACCCAAGATAACTAAAATTATATCTAGGTGGTGAGGCCAAGTCTTCACTGCTGCAGATGGTGAGCCACAAATGTAGCAGCCGTAGCACTGCCCATCACACTATGATGACAGCAAACCAGAATGAACCAGAAAGACATTAAATATTGTTTGGGAGGGAGAGCCACCACACAGCCCCCATTGAAGCTGTGCACTAGGCTCTTTCTTGCTCTCTGTTCTTACAGAGCCTTTAAAGCTATCAAGGAAGTTGCTATCTACCCCAGCTCCCCCCAGGGGATAGCACAAGATACAGGCAAGGTTATGTTCTCCCACCAGTATTGACTGCCTTGAGTCCTATTGATGTAGAGCAGGCAAGAAACCTAAATGACCAGCAATTATATATACACAATTATATATATCTACTAACCAGGGTGAAGGCAATGGCACCAATGCCTGCATACAGCATGTGGAGCCAATAGACCTGCAAGGAAAGAGAACCAAATGAGTCGTTGGCCTGCAAGTGGAGTGTTTTGATTGAATTAAAACTTCAGTGACAGCATCTCTAGGCCTGTCCACAGAGCACAAATAGGAGCAGCAGCAGGGAGTGAAATGTGAGCATCGGTACAGAGTCAGGACCCATTTGGAGGAACTGGAGAGTGCAAATTGAACATTTCAAAAAAGAAGGTTGGCAGGACACTGATTATCCAGAACCCCCACATCACTGAGCCAGACACTTGGTTAGTTGCAGTGATTTATCAATATTAGCTGGTAATTGATGGGAGCATGCAGTGGTCAAATGCAAATCACAGCACACATGCTTGCAGCTGTAAAGCAGGGGTGGGGAACCTGTGCCTGCCAGATGTTGCTGGACTCCCATCACAGCCCCAGACAGCATGGCCAATGGTCAGAGAGGATGGGAGTTGAACTCAAGCAACACCTGGAGGGCAACAATTTTACCATTTACATCACCAATCCCTTCCCAGGCCAAGCTTTCACTGTCAGCTACTTACGTATTTGAAGGCCAGAACAATGGCTGTGATAATCCCAGTCACCATGACGACAATGCCCAACACACAGAACAAGCCGGTACAGGATGTGAAATCCACCTGCCAACAACAGCAAGACACGTTTTGGGGGAAAGATGCAGATAGCAAGTAGCCCGCTCTACACAATACCACAATTTGCTCTGCAGGAGACCTCTTTGCTCTACCAACTCCATGATACAGAAGACACACACACCAGGGTGGATTTGATTTAAATCACTAGTCAGTAAGACTTGATTTAAATCATATTTTCACAGAAAGACTCATTCTCGCTGGCATAATCTTAATATTTACAACCAGATGAAGGTTTCATTTTTGGAATAATAAATTTTCAGAGAAGTTTTTACAGTTATATCAAAAATTACTGATTTGGTAATACTATTAGAAATACATTGACAGATAATTATAAAATTATTGTGAGGTTTAATAAGTTAACTGTTTATATATGGACAACTTTTCTGCTGTACTTTATTGGAAGGAGGAAAATAATCATTTCCTTAATAACAATTTAAACAATTTATTTAACTAAATCAATAACATTATAGCATATGTATCCATGTTTGTTAACTGATGTGGTTAAACTTTAAAAAAAAACTTAGACTGAGTTTCAGCACACACACAAAAACTTAAAACAAATCCTTATTTCCTGATGAATAGCCTTTGGACTATAATTAACTTAAATAGAAAACTATCTTTGGAAAGATTTTTCCCCCAAAAGCATTTTATTTTAAAAATCCAATCTAAATTTTTAAAAAATCCAATTAATTTTTTTTAAAAATCATTGATTTTTTTCCACCCTGGACCACACCAATGTTACCTTCAAGGAAGAAGCAAGCCTCACCTTTGTCTGGAAGCAGAAGATGGTGACAACTATGGCCACAATAGCTGTGATTATCATGCAAATTATAACAGCCTTTGTAGAGTACATGCTGAAATAGAGAGTTAAAGAATTATTTTTACCTAAGGGTCTGGGGGGTTTGTTTTTCTACATTATGATAACTGTCTTTTGCCACTGAATCCTAAGTGCACAATTTAGATCTAAACTCAGGACAATTATACATACTGAATAGCAAGGAAATGCAAAGTTGAACATGTCTCAATAGAGCAGAATTAATACCGTTTAGTCATTAAGAGACAGAACATTGTTTTGACTTAGCATTTCAGTTTTAAATGCATTTCTTTAGAAGCAAGTCTGCTTACAGCTTTATTTCCAATACACACCAGTCTCACCCTTAGGATTGCAATCATACCTCCCCGCCACAAACACCTCAAGACAGGGAACCTACAAACCTTCCTTTCTAGATGGGTAATGCTCAGTGTGGAGTGAGACTTAAATGAATGATTTTGGTGTAGGCTGGACACACCAATAAGGCTCAGGTATAATAGTTATATAGCAGCAGATGATACAAGCAGCAGAACTATACTTGGGCCAAAGCATAGTGATAGAACAAGAAGTTTGTGTAGCATCATCAGGGTCCTCAGAATCCTGTACCTGATTTAAATCACAGCTGTGAGATGTGAGAATGGATGTCATCTTTGTGAAAGTAACCTCTAACCAGAAGCTCAAGTTTAATTGCTAGAGAGCAAGCTAACGATGATGATGATGATGTTTATCTTACCTAGCAATGGTGCCCGTCATGAATCCCATGGCCAGTGTCTAGAAGAAAAATAGAAGGTAAAAGTGAACATTGCCTTCCTGGCATATCACTATAACCTCAAAGAGCTTCAGTTCTGCAATAGCTTCAGATTAGGATTTGTCAAGTCTGAAAACCAGGTGAAACTTTTGTTTCTCATACTTTCTTCTTGCAGATGCTCTCATCAAGTAAGCACAGTCCTGGGAAATAGCACAAGCTAGTAAGACAAGGAGGGAACTGTAGCTCCAAAGCCCTACACATCTTAAGACCAGGGTGCCTTAGAGCAGGTGTGGCTAACCTGTGGCCCTCCAGATGTTTCTTGACTCCAACTCCAGCCAGCCCCAACCAGCATAGCCAAGGGTCTGGACTGAGGAGCTGTAGCCCAGCAACATCTGGGAGGGGCACATTAGCCACATCTGCTCTAATGTAACCTGGTCCTAAGCTGTTTGTCAGGCCTCCTCGTTGTGTCTTTTTCACTAGTAATGGAAGGCACTTGTATTTAGACAAGTTGTTAATGTGTAACTTCTCATTTGATTGCTGCCAGTTTTAAGGTGCAACATCTTTTATCTCTGCTGCTATTTTGAGTTTGTCTGACCTTTATTTTTAAGTGTTTGGTTGTACTAAGTTCTTTAGAAACTGGTTGTTTTATTTGTACTGATTTTGGTGGAAGAGTGGGATATAAATAAATTGTTTTATTATTAATCCCTTAACAATAACATTTTTGCCAATCCATGACTACATAGTCCCTGAGGACACCTGTTACATTCACAAAGTGGGGCCTCAAGAGACATATAAATCTTTGACTGAACTGCCTGGAGTTGCTGCAACAAAGAGTCTCCAAAATTTAATATGGTGTGATATCCCCAGAAGAGTCTTGTGTACATAATTAGACATAGCCTTCAGATCTAGACTGGGTGTACATCCAAAATAGCTGATTAACCTTTTGCTCAGGTTAAGCTACATACAAATAGTTTCAGGTGTTGACTGGAGTATAAAGCAAGACTAGGCATAGATAATTTAGTATCCCTCAGCGCTCTGGTTTTTCTGGAATTTTTATTTTTTTAAAGTTTCCATCAAAAACCCATCGTATCTACGCTACGTAGTCCATCCCAGGACTGTGTACACTGGCATCACACTAGGATCTGTGCTCAAATCCAAACATAGCCTTGAAGCTCAGTGAGTAAGACCTTGACTCAAAACAATCCCTCAGTCTAAAATGCATGTAAGGATTCAGGTAGGTAGCCAGGTTGGTCTGACACAGACGAAATAAATAATAAAAATTTAAAAATTGTCCAGTAGCACCTTAGAGACCAACTAAGTTTGTTCTGGGTATAAGCTTTCGTGTGCATATGCACATGAAATCTTATACCCAGAACAAACTTAGTTGGTCTCTAAGGTGCTACTGGACAATTTTTAAATTTTTATTTATTTATTAGCATATAAGGCTACAGAGAGGATGCCATGGGGCTAGACCCATGTAAATGACTCTGAGCAGTGAGGAAGAAGAGTGGAATAAAAATGTTTAATTTTTTTTTAAAAAAAATTGCACCACCACCACTGAGGGAATTCAGGGAAAATTCCATTGCCCAAGCCCCATGAACAACTTGCCTACTTACAAAGATGGTCAGAAGGATAAGATTCCATGGGAAGCGTCTCCTGGAAGAGATTGAAAAGAAAGGAGATATGTAAGCAGTGTCACTAGGGCCAAGTGTTGCAGCACATCCTCCCAGTTGTAGGCATTTTTCACCAGAAGCAGAGGCCAAGTGAGTTGCAATCCTACTCTAGACTCCAAAGCAGCCTCTGGGTTCAGGCTTCATTCAAAGTGGATGCACACCCCTCCAGACACTGCACCGCTGGCTCCAAACCACCCACAAGTAATGAAAGAAAACGGTGTTTGGGAAATTGTTGCACAGCCTAGTTTTCCCATGTTGCCCAGCTGCCACTCATTTCAAAACCCCGCCTCACATTCAGCCACTCACCTACCTATACATCCCACAGTCACCAAGAATATCCAATGTAACACTCACCGTGGGCCCTCACAGCATGCCAGCACCAGGTAAGTGACGAAGAACACAGCACTGGGGGAAGGAAACAAGAGTGAGATGTTTGAGTCATAGGAGGACCTTGCATCTACCAAGAACTTTGCATCCCTCCCTAAAGACACAAAAAGGCTGGGATTTCAGATGCACAAGAGTTGAATATTAACCACTAAACCCTGTTTAGTGGTTAATTTGGCTTCAATTGTTGTGGTGTGGGACCTTGATACGTGACATTTGCTGACTTAGGAGAACTCAGGGCACTGGTGCCACTCCTGAGCACCACTTCCGACGCCTCAGGGGGAGTTTAGTCTCTGTGGTTTTCTCTCTGTACATCACATCTTAGCAGAGCTAGGCTTGTTCACCACTGCTTCTACTACGAGCTCTACTCTCTTGCACATGGAAGTTGGTGGGATAGACCAGGGACAGGGAACCTATGACCCCCTGGATCTTGCTGAACTACAACTCCCATCATCCTTGGCAATCAATCATGGTGGTTGGGGCTTATGGGAGATGGAGCCCAGCAACATCAGGAGGGTGATAAGTTTAACATCCTGGGACAGATGCCCAGCTATCTCCACGCTCGTTCCACTTCTCACAGGATATAGGCTATTTGCAGCCCAATCTGATTTCCAAGTAAACATGGGTAAGTCCCACAGAGTTGGAAGCGACTGACTTCCAGGCAAATGCTCCTCCTATGCACCATGTTCCATGGCAAAGTTCTGTACTACTCAAAACAGCAGTAATGAGAAATGGAGGGGGAAATGCAACCACATAGGAGCATCAGCACCAAGGCAGGATATCATTGCTGACTTCTAATGATCATGGACCTTCTGCCCCACCTCCAGTCATGCCAAACGGTGACAACAGATACACGCTTGGCCTTTGGGTGATGCCTGTAAACATACAGTGGTGTGCCCTTAACCCTGTGGTAGCAAGCTGTGTGCCTGCAATGCCTGGCCGGGCAACGAGGTGATTTAACCTGAAGTTCCATCCCTGCTTCCACAAGCAGAGTTGCCAGCTTTCTGGAGAACCCTGGACAAGAGGCTTTCCCGTCCCCAAAGAAGGGTGTATCTATAGTCACCCAGATCCACGATAACAGAAAATACTGATTTAGCCCAAGTTGTGCCATGGAGCTCAGAACAACTCCATGAAGGCTATTGAAGGCTACTAGCCCTGGTGGCTGCATTCTGCTTCCATTGGAAAACCACAGGGATGCTCTTGTGCTCCGGCTTGCAGGTTTCCCATGGGCTTCTGGTTGGCCACTGTGAGAACAGGATACTTGGCTGCATGAGCTATTGGCCTGATCTAGCAGGCTCTTCTTATGTTTTTAACTGAGCAGACAGACAGCACAGCCCTGTAAGCATATTGGAGAGAAGCCAATACTTACTAAGATACGTAGTAAACAGCAACATTTCTCCTTACAAAACTGGATACGGGTTCACTGTGGAGGGTGAAAATTATGTAATATAAATATTTTCTCTCACATTAATTATCACGGGAGGCAGGATGCTGCTTCTGCAAGAAATCCGTATGATCCCTTCACACTCCAGTCTCTATCCTCACTGCTACATATTAACATTTCCCCCCGTGTCATCCTCATAAGGAATAGATCATGAACAGAAGACAACTGTTAAGAACATACTCCAATTGCAGTGCATAGCCTAGGATAGAGGTCTCCCAAACAGTAGTCTGAGGGTCACTGGTGGTCTGCAAGCTTTATTGAGGTAGACTGTAGTATGTCCACATTAAAGACACGATTCATATTTAGTTTTAATTGTATTTCTATTGCTTCTTTTATTTCTTATATTGTATTTCATTGTACTACAGTCCTAATTCTATGGAGTGTAAATTGTTATACAATATAAGGAACAAAATTAGCAATAGAAACACACTTAAAAACATACAACATCTAGCACAGCACGTTGCAATTGCTACAACAAGCAGGGGGGAAATCATTAAGTGGCCTGCCAAGACCCTCAGCAATTTTCAAGTGGGAGTTTGGGAACCACTGTTCTAGTAAGTATCTAGAATAAAGTCAGAACCATTTTTTCCTGTAGTTGTAAAAAAAGGTGTTTCTATTTCCCTGGTGGTACTAACTCGAGTAAATAATAATTCCAAGCATTTAGTATAGTACTACAACTAACTGCTGGAGGGAGAGTTATGGCTCTTTTAATTTTACTACCAAAGATACCCCTAAACTGTTTGTTCTCTTTCCTTATCACCATAGACTGAGTTGGAATTGAATAAGAAGTAAATTATAGAACCAGTATTATTCCAACAACACTATTAACTATTCTGGTGTCAGCATGGTTAATACTACTGGTGGAAGGTGAAAATAAATGTCCTGAGCTTCAACATGAACAAAGGGGAAATAAAAAAATACATTGCTTTGCTGAGCACCGTTATTTTGCGGACATTTCTCAGTAGGGAAAAGCACTACTGGTCTGTGACTGCTGGAGCAAAAACTTACACAAAGGTGAAGACTGCAATGATGCCCACAGTTATCAGCAGCTGCAGAGAAATGATGGTGTAGACCTGGAAATGAAGACATGCGGTATACATGAAGCTGTGTAAATGCACAGCAATGCCAACCTAGAGACTGGAAATGAATGGTGCTCATTTCACTGTCTTCTGAACTGCAGTAAATCTTCCAAAGAACCCCTGATTACAGAGAGGGCCAGATGCTTCCAACAGATTATGCTGCAGCCACCTGCAGTTCACCTATCTGTTTGCAGGCTAGGAGTTTTTTCTAGACTCTTGCCCTAAAGCACAGGTGGGTACCCTTTGGCCCTTCCGATGTTACTCAACTAAAACTCCCATCAGCCCCAACAAGTATGGCCAATGGTCAGGGATGATAGGGGTTGTAGTTTAGCAACATCTGGAGGGCCCCAGGTTCCCTACACGTGCCCTGGGGGATATAAATTGAGTTTGCTACCTACCACATACCATTTGGGAAAGCAAGAAACAATGAATTTCTGAACTGCTTCTCACCTAGGTGTTTGGATGCTGTGCTCAGCTGTCCTTCCTTACAGTTCTGCATTTCTGAAAAGTTACACAGTCACCCAGGGATAGCAGAAGGGGGTGCTTCAAAATGCTAGCTGAAAAAGCAGCATGGTTTGTTCTATTAACACTGTTAGCAAAACTTTCAGTTCTCTAAAAGGAGTCCCTGCCCCTATCAATGCCTAGTTGTCGCCTTGTAACCACAATTCATTCATTTCTGCAGAACGGGGCAACACTCCTCCTAGCAGAGTGAACAGACTCCTATGCAAGGATACCAAGGATTGCTCGCTGCAGATTCTCTCCCTCTGACACAAGGCAACAGACTAGCTTCTTCCAAGAGAAGTATCCATTAAAGCGGAGGCTGCAATGGGGGACCATGCAGCGGTAGTTCCTCTAGTTATTACCTTGCGGATGAAAACGTGTCTGACTTTCTTGTCATCCCAGTCTGCTGTAGTGAAAGTCCCATCCTCTCCACCAGCACCGCCACCATAGACATCTCCTGTCAAAAGGAAGACAAAATGGTGGTATTTATCCTACATTAACTTCACCTGCTCTAACTAGAGTCCTGGCCTGGGTTGGCATAGTATTTTCAGAACCTTCTGGGGTGGGTGTGCAAAGACTTGCCTCCCCATACAGTCAACTCTTTGAAAGGCTGAAAGTCTCTCAGTGCCCTCTGAGCTCTAAATTCACCCTCTCTAGCTACTCATTATCTTCCGCTAAAATCACCATCTCCCATATGCCTTTCCTCTGCACTGATCATTCAGGTTACTTAGATCTCAGCACCTGGGTATTTACTGCCAGGGAGCTGCTACTGAAACCAAGCCGCTTGATTGCAAAATCTCCTGAAGCTGTGCATTAAGTACATATTCTTCTCAGACCACTTTATGTGGCTAGAAGTGTATTTGCCTCAAAAGGCAATTTTAGCTGCAGATCAAAAGGAGTGGCCTATTATAGCATAAGCCTTTCTTTTTAATGCCTCCTCCATGATTCACACACCCTTTAACTTCCTATTAACATAACCTAGATTTGATTACCACACCATAGTTCCATATTCATAGTCACTAGTACAAATGAGAATATGCACTTTGCCCATTCATCCATATAAGTATAATGTAAGCATGAAGGAAACCCACCCTTTTAACCAGGTTGTTTGAAAGTATAATATGGCAATTAAATCAGGCAAATATATCAGAGGTAGGGAATTTGTGTCCCTCCGGATATTGCTGGACTACGACTCCAGCACATGCATGCGTGCACACACACACACATACAATTCTGTCCCCTGCCAGTTGCCCTGGGACTGCAAAGCTGGATAGAAGCACACCCCAGCCCCAACCACATCAGCTAGAAGATCAAGGGGTCACTGGGAGGCTGGACTCCCTGCCTCTCAAGAAGACCATAATGGCAAAGCCCAATCTGGCCCCTTTTCATAAGCTGCAGAAAGGAGCAGCTGCTTTCATGCTTGCTTTATTCTTCCCTCCCCATTCTTCTTTCCTTTTGTGTTGTCCCCATTACATTGTGAGTCTGTGGGCAGGGCAGTGCCTAGAGAATGTTGGGACATTTTAAAAAGGAGGAAGAGGAGGAGGAGGAGCAGAAAGAAGAAGAGGAACAACAACAAAAAGAACAACAACAATATTTAATGCTTCCTGCTTTTGTAGCCATCTAGTTGTGGCATTTCACTACTCCCTTTTCCATCTGGCCAATCCCCCACCCACTCATGAATGTATTCCCCCTTCCCCATCCTAGGAGGAAAACATATCAAAATGCATACCAAAGCCCATTGGGACTGTAGGCATAATAGGAACCGGCTGTGGATAACCCCCTGGTTGCGAGTAGCCTCCAGGCTGTGCGTACCCACCACCGTATGGTGGGGGCTGGGGCTGGGGCTGGGGGTAGCCTCCTGGGTACCCCGCAGGATATCCCCCCGCTGGTGGAGGATAGAGGGGGTTCCGATCATCGTAGCCTGGCGGAGGAGCAGAGGGGCGTGACATGTCTCAGCGAGGCTCCCAGCACTGAAAAACAAAAGAGGTAAAACCCTAATAGCGCACCTGCAAAATAAATTCCACTGTACTGAACAAAAAAACCATGCAGATCACCCTTTATATATATGCATCACCTCTTGTGTCTCGATGGTGCATCAGAACCAAAAGTGGCCAGTGGGGGGAGCCAAAAGGAAGTCACAAGGCAGCAAATGTCATGCTGAATAGAGCGGTCCAGCAGAGCAGGCTTCACCAACCTGGTGCCCTCTGGAATACAACTCACATCAGTGCTACTGCTGATGCAAACTGTGCTTCGAAACTCCTGGAGGGCATCAGGTGGATGAAGGCTGTAGTAGCAGAATCCTAAGACTAAAGGAAGAACATATTACTACCTGAAGTTGGCTAGCAGGGGTTGGAGGGCATGTCTCCTTCAAGCGCAATGCTTTGGCACTTGTTAACTGTTTAATTTTTAGGCAGTGTCATTGATAATCTCCACCAACTTTGCTCTTTATTTTTTATCCTCTGCTCTTAAAGGAATGTGTGAATTCCATATAGGACTTGAGAGAGAACTAAGTGACTAGTAACTTCTCAAAAAACCCCGAGTAACGTCCCTTTTTTCTCGTCCCAAGAGTCCTGCATGCATCTTATGATCCGTCTTGCATCTCAAAAGGCAAATCCAGCTATTTCTGAGAAACCCCTACCTTCCACATTATAGCTCGTGATTGTTATGAAATGAAGACTTTGAGAATGGCACCACACAGACACAGCTTTTTCTTCGCCACCTCCTCTTGCCTGATAAGGTGCTGCTGCCTTATTCCAGATCAGACTATTAGCCTATCTAATTCACTGCTGTCTATATGCTGATGAGTTGCTCTTCTGGGGTTCATACAGCTGTCTTTCCCAGTCCTACCTCGGGGTGGTGGGCTTCAGCATGCAAAGTAGGAACTCTTCCACTGATATATTGCCCTCACACCTCCCTCAGACCATAGTTACACAGTGGAAAACATATATAATTCGACTTAAATAAATTTGAAAAGCTTAATAAGGGCAACAGGCAAGACGGCATAGTATATGCTCATTGAATCAGTGCCTGCAGCCTAAAACTGTACAGCACATTCAGTCATTTAAAATTGTGTCCACAATTTAAAATACTGTATTTACGTGAATCTAACGCGCCATCGAATCTAACACACACACTTCAATTTTCAAAAACCTTGAAACCAAAAACAGTTTTTTCTGGCAAATGTAAATGCAGCATCAAATCTAATGCATATCCTAATTTTTGCCACATACTTTGGCTAAAAAAGGTGTGCATTACATTCGAGTAAATACGGTATAGGCAATAACTGTTTTGCGTGTGGGTTGCACCCCTGACCCCCACACTCGTCAACAGAGCATGTGTAAGCTCGCCATGCCATGCTCCCGTGACGCTTCCTTTTCCAGCCACTTCTGGCTTGTGGTGATGTGCACGTGCATGGTTGTGCCTGCTTTGAATGCGCATAAAACAGTCATTGCCTATATGCACCTCTGGTCTGGTACTGGCAACGTATTTATATGGAGTAGTAAAGAGGGAGTTTCTTTGCTCCACAACTTCTGATCCATTACATTTCACTGTAGAGCAGCAAGTGGTGTACAGTATATGTACAGCAATGCCTTGGCATGTCAGCAGCATATCTTTTAAAAGAAGCCCAACAATTCTCATTTCAGATTTCTCCAGTGACTCCCTAAAGGAGCTAATCTATTTTACCTGTTGCTCATATATGTATGACCTCCCAGGAGATAGGACGGCCCTTTCGAATGTGTGTGGTGCCAGGAGCAAGAAGAAAACCAGAAGCCTACCCTGGACGAAAAAGCAGCTGATTATGCAGCAGTTAATATTACCGGTGTTACAATTCCTGTCAAATGATTATGCACACAAGGACTTTGTGCATGATGCTGGTCAGAAGAGAGAGAGGGAGGGAGGGAGACCAAGGGAGAGAAGTACAGCCTCAGGATAACTCAGGTTTGAGACACAGGAAGAAATTGACAATCATTTCCACCACTGTCCTGAGATTCCTTTTAACATTCTTCAGGGTGGACAGCAAACCAGCCCTTTTGCGCTGATGCCAGTTAGCAATTCCAGAACCATTTCTCAAGAGTGCCCTGCCCACAGTTGGGCGCTTGAATGCACAGCTTTTATTTATTTATTTAATATATTTATATATCCCTCCCTTCTAAGGGAAAACAAGCACAAACGAGCCCAGAGTTTTCACTTACCACCGTACATGGATGGCCACAACAGAAAGATGCTCATTAGCAAACCCCTCCCCAGCCCCAGCGCCTGCTTATTCCATGGCTTGTCAGCGCTTCTTGCATGTAAAAGGAACAGATGCTATCGCTGGGGTGAAGAACCTTTTTAAGCGCTGGTTTTGGGCAATCTTCCAGGGGCTGCATGTCAGTGGGTGGTGGGGCCAGAGGCATAAGCAGGCAAAGCAATGAATGTAACATTTCACCTTTGTAGAGTAGGCAAGATTTCTACACACACTTAACCCACCCGCCTCTATCCTCCACTCAGGCCGAGTTCAAGGACATATTTCAACTGGGCAAAACCAATTGAGGAGAATGTGAAACATGGCCAGTGAAGAGCATGGCCTGCGGAGAGTCCCAAAAGCCAGGCAGAGAGCCTTGGAGGCCACATTTTGCCTCGGGGCCTAAGATGCCCCACCCTGTGCTATGGTTGTGCTTGTCTCTACAACAGGACAAGGCCAGAGTTGTATACCCAGTTGCCCAGTCGTATGTACACACCATACGTTTAAACTATGCAGCTTCCTTCTAAGGATCCTGGGAACGGTACTTTATCAAAGGTGCTGGGAATTGTAGCTCTTTGAGGAGCAAACTACAGCTCCCAGGATTCTCTTGTGCTTTAAATGTATGGTGTGCATGCAGCCTGTGTGGCATGTTAGAATCATGCCAGGCAATCAGTGAAGGAAGCTTTTGTGAACGCTGGAAGAAATTTGGTTGCCTCCCCATCCCAGTCCCCATTCAGGGTGTGTTGATATGCTACAGATGTGTGGGGCAGGCAAGGCAAGCAGAGCAGTTACTTCTGCAGACTTATTCACAAGGCTAGAAAAATTCCAATCAGGAAAACAAGTCCTTTTTTGAAAAATTGTATCGTCCACAATCTTGCTACGGTGCTAGGCAATGACTGGATATGCTAAGGCTACAAACTCTGGGATTAAGGAATCTGTATGTCACAAATTCAGCCTTAATGGCAGAGCATGTGTTTGGCATGCAGAAGGTCCCAGGTTTTAATCCTCTCCAGGTAGGGCTGGGAGAGACCCCTGCCTGAAACCCTGAAGAGCCTCTGCCAGTCAGTGTAGACAGTATTGAGCTAGATGGCAATTTCCTTCCTATGTCCCAATGAATATAAAAAACAGATGTTGCTGCTCCTAGGCCTCTTTAGGAACAAACTGTACCTCAACCGCGGCTGCTTAAACAAAAGTGCCGACTATGAGGCCAAAGGCTGCCAAGATGGTACGCTTCCTCAGTTGCAAAACATTGACACTCCTTTCTGGCTTGTTCCCACTCACCCACAGCTTCTAAGCAAGCTAGTTCTCTAGGGAAAGAGGGCAACTTTCTCCTGAGGAGACTCCTTGTGGAGAGGAGACCCTGTGTGAACAGATTAATTTTGACCAGTCACAGGTGGGCAAACATATGGAAGCCCCCTGGGGAGGGAGAAGAGAACATGGCAGCCATCCATGCCACAGCAGATGCAATATTTTCCGTACACCCCCCCCCCTTTTCCAAAAATTATTTTTTCCTTCCAGGGGCCTATGGGGGGGGAAGAGGGAGAAGTGAAAGAAAGTAATTTCGCAAGACAACACAACATTGTGAGAAGCAGTTCAGAGGAAGGGCAAACAAATCCTTTCCGGATGTATAAGGGGGCACTCGCTGAATAAACAGGGAGAACTTGAACACAGAGAAAAAGGAAGGGTCTGCTTGTTTTGCAGAATTGACATTTGCAAGGCAGTCCTATTATTCCCTAGTCAGTTCTGAGTACTGAAAAGAAATGGAAGGAGGGGTCACGATAAGCAGTTTAATGATTAGTTTAAAAACTGGTGCAAAGGGCAGCATTCTTCCTCATTTTCCATGGCTTTTTAGTTGGAGGGAAAGTGAGAGAGAATGTGGTTGGGTCCAGAAAGACAGATTTGTCAGGAAAAGCTTTTTGCCTGGCAGATATAATTGGGTTCTTCCAAAGTGAGGTTGTTGAGACCTTGGCCTTCCCGTCCACGAAAGACTAATTTGCACTTTATTGTTTATCCTGCCTTGTGTATGTACATAAGAGGTTGGATGCTGGCACCTCAAACTGCTGCTATGACAATTCATATTAGTTAAAGGAAACGGGAACTGATAGGCCAAGGAAGTTACATCTGCCAGACTACTGAAGCTTATGTAAACATCACCCTTTCCTATCTCGAAGCATTGCTTTCATCTTCAGCACATGTTATCTCCTCTCCATGTACATGAAAAAAAACACACATAAAAGACGCCCCATTCATTTCCTGTGGCTAGAATGAGACCAAGGGAGATCTCCTAAATCATAATGAAAAAGGTATTATGGCTATAAAGTATCTTCTCATTGATATCATCTGATCAAACCCTAACAGGGTTGAGGAGTGAGGGATAATGAAAAGTACAAAGGCCAGTTTCTGCAATGGCTTAACAATAGTACAAGGAATTAACAAACTGAGAGAAAAATTCAGTGGCAAACCAGGAGTGGGGAACCCGCAGCCCTCCAGAGGGTGTTGGATTACCACTTGCCATATTTGGCTGGGGCTAATGGGAGTCGAGAGCTCCAACAACATCTGGAGAGAGTGGACACAGTTCCCCCATCATTGCTATACACATTTGCAAATACACTGAATTTATACTGCTGCAAACAGCACCCACACGAGGGAAGAAGCTGCAAGGTCAGGGTTAAATTAAGTTTACTTAAAATATTTAGAAATACAAAAAGCATTTTGGATCTATAGTGTTGACACAGGGCAAAGGCATGCCCGTTATCTCCTGCAGGAAGTTTATTTTAAAGGACTATCCCTTATTCTTTAATGTCACAATTTCCTATCCCATAATGCTTTCCTAAACTGGCTTCACAAAGTAAGGATTGATCCTTTGAAAACAGAGCGAAGGACATCTAGCAATCCTAATTAGGCTTAAAGAATATAGTTGAGGGGAGACGCCCAGTCACATGTGCAGAGAATGCACCTTCCAGTGTTTGGAGAGCATGGGTGGGGACCCTCAGGCCAAATTCCTTTATCGGGCCTCTCCTCAAGCCACAGCCCTCACCAGCCCTGCACTGAAACCTTCTTCAAGGTTTTTGCTTGGCTGGAATGCGTCCATGAACTTTGAGAATACTGCATCTCCTATTTGGATGGATCACTGGGAAAACATGTGCACTTTTGTGTGGCTGGAACGCAGCCTATGGTACAAAAGCAAGTGTCACTTCTGTTGTTTGCCCACTTTTACCTCTGGCTACGCCCACCACAGGTATGTGGTTTCCTAAAGATTTCCTATGAGGAACTGGCCCTTGGATGGAAAAAGCCCACCTCTATAAATTCACAATTCTAGACAGCTGCAAGGACTCGAGTCAAAAGCAAGACTCCAGCAGAAGTCAAGGGATATAAAGGTTTAGATCCTCCATACTAAACTGAAATTAGACAACACTTAAATCAATGGGATGCACTCACCTTTACTTAAGTTTCTGTTGAAATTGATGGGCCTTAAGTGAACAGAACTTGCCACTTGGTCCAACCTCATTTTTCTTTTTTTGCACTCCCCCTCCTCTCCTCAATAACAAGCAAATTCTTTTATCTGACAGTAAAGCAAATAGTTCAACTCCAAAGGTCATAAACTACACTGGATCAGATGCCCAAAGAACTGCCAGAAGGAGAAGATGTTGCAGAAATGACCAGTTAAACAGGTAATGGGTGACTGGAACATCCCTACCTGCCTGGAGCGGGGCACGTGTGTGTGTTGTTGAAATCCAGAAGGGGGTATTTGAGAGAACAATTATCAAGGCCCCCTGGGCAGGCCAGGGAGCAAGAGCAAAGCCAAAGGAATGGAGGAAATAGTGGTTCCTATTCCAGTACAGTACTTAGAAATATAGCCTGCATTAAAAAGAAACTGCCAGAGTTGTTGGGGGGTTTTTGTAACAACTAAACAATAAACACAAAACTAGCAAGACCTCTCTGTCCAAGTACCAAAATACTGTGGAGCTACCATACAGGAACTAGTCAAGATTAAAGCAGATACAAATACTTAACGCACTCAGGTAATTTTCTCTAATGACCATTTGTCACCAAGGTTACATTCTAGTCGTCACTCTTTGTTGTACTTGGCAAAGTGCCAAGAGTAGAATGATGTCTTATGCACCTCCCTTTCCTATCCTTGAAAATTTGTTTACATTATGAACTTCCGGGGTGGCGCCATCGGCAATGGCGGACTCCCTCTGAACTGGAGGGACTAGCTCCGCGGGAAACGGGTCTTCTCCGCTACGGCGAAGCGGGGACCCTTTCAAAAATCACAGGCGGATGAAGCCTGTGACCATGGGACTCGGCGGGCACCTTTAGCGCCCCCCCAACTCGCAAAGGAACCCACTAACGAGCTCCGAAGTGAAGAGGGGAAGTGGCGCGGTGCTGTGAGTCAACTGCTATTTCCGTGGAGCGAAGCCGCCTCGCCGTTGCCGGAGAGCGCTGCCTTTTCCTGGGACAATTTGGACTCTAAAATAAGCACCCGTGAGTACTTAGACTTTGAACAACTGGACATTAGATGGGGACTTGCGAGCAGAAAGGAATTGGATCTTAAAAATCTATTTCAATTTGGTACGGAACGGGAAGGTCTAAACAGGAAGTCAGCCTTCCGTTCTTCTGTAGACAGAATAAAGCAAAGACAACGTAAACTAGAGCTCAGAAAATCGCTTTTAAAGGATTGGATTTCATCATTTAAAATTGTGGAACCCCCCTTCGACAGCAGGAGAAGGGGGATCTTTTTTGGATTGTTTAAAGTGAGTTTAAAGTAAAGCAACTTTCCTCCGTCCTGATCCTGGAGCGGGGTGTCAGGACTGACGTTTGAAGTTCATTGACCAGAGACAAACGTTTTTGACAGATAGCTAAAAGAAGAGAAACATAGTGATTCCACTGTTTCCCTTCGCATTTCAAAGGAACAAATATTGACAAAGTATCTCTAAAAAGGAAACTTTGTTGCAAGATCAAATAGAAGTTTTCCCCCTAGAGGGAGACTGTGAAACTGTAACCAACTCCAGGGAGCCGGCAGCTGTTTACAGATTACAATCGTGGGAATAGGCATTTGACCTTGCAGGACAATGTATTCAGAAGCTTTGTTGTGTGCTTTCTACAAAACAAATGCCCTACTGGAACAGTTACATGAGAAGGTGAATTTGATGACGACTTCGACTAGAAATTTTGAACAGGCAGTGGGAAATTTTGAACAGACAGTGGGAAAATATGTGGAGCCCACCCAGGAATTAAATCAGGAGTGTGTCCTGACAGAACAGGCCCAACAGGAATATGAGTTTTCGGATCTGACAAATGAACTTGGAAAAAGCCAGATTTGGAAAGAAAAAGTTTGGTTTGGCTTGGAAATGGGGGGCTGGATTGACCCCCCTATGCTGGGATGTTTGGACTTTTCAAATCTGGCAATGGGCCGTGAGATGTTTGGGATGGTGGGGACTCTTAATTTTGGAGGGTCTTTGAAACATGCTTTTAAATACCATATGGAATTCAGTGCTGAATATGGAAAAGGGGCTGATCTGTCGAGAAGGGTTAAAAATATTGCCAAGCTGGAGTTACCACGAGCAGGAGACAAGGGAAAATACAGTTACAAATATGAAGAAGAGCTGCGAAAGGGACATGGAAGAGACTTGAGGGCCTCGGATATAAGGTTGCCAGGTTAATGGGCCAGATCGATGGGATAATAAGGACTGACAAAACCCGGAACCAGGAGGAAGGGACGTTGGATGAAGATTGGATCTGTTTGTATTTCTTTTTTCTAACATTAGAACTGTTTTATAAAATTGATGAATCTCAGAAAAATGTTGGAATGAAATTACTCGGCTTTAGTAAAGATGTTTAAAGAATTATGAAAGAATATTATGGTTATGAGAAGTTGGTAAGGATAAGATTTAAGTTTTAAGCTTTAAGGTTTATTTTCTTATAGAAAGATAAGATTAAAACTGTTTAGGGTAATGTAATGACAGAATATTATGAAATATGGAAAGGATTTGCTGGGATAATTAATAACTAGGATACAAAGAAAGGGAGGAGGAGGCGGTCAAAGAAAGAAGGTAATGACAGTTGAGGATTCGAGAATAATGAATTTGTTTTTAAATGTTCTTAAATTGTATTTTTGTTTTTTTTGTGTGTGTCTTTTTGTCTTATTTTTGAATTTGTATTCGTATGGTTGGAAGGGGTTTTTTTTTTCTTTTTCTACTTTGTTAACTATTTTTATTTTGTATTTTCTTCTGCTTTTATTTTATGTTGTAACACTTTGAAAATCTCAATAAATATTTTATAAAAAAAAGAAGAAAATTTGTTTACATTATGTTTAAAGAGTGATTTACAGAGCAGATTTCTAGAACCAACAGACAATGATCAAAGGATTTGAAACAACCATTTCTACTGGCCTAACTCACCTCCTGAAATCATTTTGGAAATGCTTTGCTAGATGGGAGACCTACTTACGATGCAATACCACTACTCTACAGATTTTATATTCCCCCTGCTGTCGCTACCACCACCCTGGCAGATATATGTACGTTTGGGATGGTTCAAGCCTCTCTTTCTCTTTTTTTTATAAAGTTCTTTTATTCAAAATTAAAACAAGAAATATTATCCAAAAGCATATCATCCTTGTTTTCCCATTTTTCCTCCCTCCCTCCACCCTCCCACATAAAACCCACCTGCCCCCACCCCCCTGACTTCCCTCAGTTCCAGTCTTCGGTTTCTCTCAGACTGCTGTTTTCTGCATGTTACAAAGTTGTATAGATCAACTATTTAGCTGATTATTATCAATCAAAAGTTTGTGAATGTTTATTCAAAACCTGCCAAGGAGTCCAGTTCACTTTGTTGCGTCTTCAGATACTTTGTAAAGGGTTCCCCTTCATCCTTAAAGTCACAGTTATCCTTGTCCCGTAGCTTATATGTCAGTTTTGCCAGTTCTACATGGTCCGTCAATTTTTCTTGCCATGATTCTTTAGTTAAGCCTCTCTTTCTCTTGACTGGTTTGTTTTTTTACAGATCTATATTTTTTAATGCTAGCTGCCTTGGATGCCAAAATCCTGGCAGAAGAATTACATCCCCAACCAATGTGTCATACAAATCTAACGCTAAAAAGCTGTGGTTTTGCAAAGTTCCAATATATGTTAGTAAAAAATAAATGTTGCTTTAATATGGAAGAAGAGCAGGAAGTCCAATATTCAACCACCCAAATAGGTGCATCTTAAGCACATGCTCCGTGTTGAGGTACAAACTCGGTAGACAGTACAGTGGTACCTCAGGTTACAAACACTTCGGGTTACAAACGCTTCAGGTTACAGACTCCGCTAACCCGGAAGTAGTACCTCGGGTTAAGAACTTTACCTCAGGATGAGAACAGAAATCGCAAGGCAGCGGGAGGCCCCATTAGCTAAAGTGGTACCTCAGGTTAAGAACAGTTTCAGGTTAAGAACGGACCCCCAGAATGAATTAAGTTCTTAACCAGAGGTACCACTGTACAACAATTAGCAAAGAAAACAGGCGGTGCAACTATTAAGCAGGTTGCAGCTCCTTGTGTACTCTGGTGCCACATGCAATACAGATGTCTCTTCCTGCAGAGTTGTTCTATTCTTGGCTCTCCAACCTGGCAGCCTGTCCCTCTGAGTCAGGCCTCAAGCATGAGACTAATTGAGGCAAAGGGAGTGGCGCAGAACTCCACCTCCCAACACACTCGGCTCAAAGAGAATGCTCTGGAGGCAGCAGCTACAGTATGAAGTAAGGCGGTACCAAGGAAAGCCAGGGAGCTCTGTGCTTGAAAAGCCTTTGTGTCCAAGGGCTTCATCTAGATTAAACAGCAACTGCTGCTGCAGCAGCAGAATAAACCACCAGTCACCACCTTGTCTACATTTATCTGTTGAGTTGTGTTTTCTGCATTTATGAAGCCGCCCCATCGTAAGGAGTTCTATGGATGGCTCACAAAGTGGCCTGGGAGAGCAGGGACGGCACAATTAACAAAAGTGACACAATTTAAAAATACAATTTTATGCTCAATTTAAAACTAAGACCATAAAACACAGGGTATTTAGAAGCTTGGAGTGAACAGGAACATCTTCACCTCCTGGTACCCAAAAGGCCATTATGAAGGTGGAAGAAACTCTGTAGGAAACTCAGTCCCTGAGCAGGGTGCCAGTGCTAAAATGATCCTCTCACCAGTCAATTCCCAGGGCCAACTGGTTTTTCCCACCACACTTCATTTGGCAGAGGCACTTTAAGCCAGGGCTTTGGCATAGGATCTTACAATGTAGTTAGGTCCATATGGCAGAAGGCATTATTTCAGGTAACCATATCCATCATTGCCCTACAGTGAATGACTAAGGAAGTTATTTAACCACGTAGCCTCATGGGTGGGGAATTGTGGTTGGCTCCAATAATAATGAAGAATCTAAAGACTCATCTAAAGCACTGGAAAAAGCCAATGACTAAGTTCACTGCTTCAGATGCAAAACCAGAAGGAAGTCTAGTCTGACTGGGTCCATGTGAGTTCTGTGAGCTCCCTCCATTTGCCTTGCTTATCTGGGTGCATTCAGCACCCTGCCCGATAACAGCATAATGTTACAGCCTGCGACTCAGCCAGGGGAACTCTCTTTCATAATGAGCACACCACAAACTTCTTCAATGAAGAACGAAAGTCTCTCCTTAGGAGGAAAAGGGGGGAGTGTAGTAGAGAGTTTCTGGCTTCAACAACATTAAAAGAGTATATGATTTCAACACATAGATCAAGAATACACCAGCCCACCCCACATCCCTGCAGCTTCAGAATCTGTTTTGACTATTCCTAGTTTACCCAGACAAGTGTTATATTAAACATAATTGAGGGTATCTTGGTGGAGCATTTTCACCACGTCAGGAGCTGGTGTTTCAGAGGAGCTGACGCTCTTTCTTACTCACAACCAGCTCTTAGGCATCTTACACACAGCAGCAAAAAATGCTGATCAGCTCATGCATTGACATTTCATTTATGGTAGCCATTATCACATTCCTCAGGCAGCAGAGCACTAGAAAGGAAGCTGTTAGTGGCATGTGTTGCACCAGAATTAGGTTTGCTTCCCCTCGACCCACACTCCAGAAAGCCAAAAGACCACAGCTGGGATCTCTTCTGCTGCTCTCTCCCAGAGCAGAGCTTTTGTTGTTGTTGTTAAATACTTATTTCCAGACCTGCCTAGAAATTGCATGAGACAGGTGGTTATTGGGGCAAATATGAACATATCAGTTGCATTTCAGATTTGCATAAAGACTAAAATGAGTAATAATAATAATAACAATAATAATAATAATAATAATTTATTATTTGTACCCCACCCATCTGGCTGGGTTTCTCCAGCCACTCTGGGCGGCTTCCAACAAAGACCAAAAATACTCTAAAATGTCACACATTAAAAACTTCCCTGAACAGGGCTTCAGATGTCTTCTGAATGTCAGGTAGTTGTTTATCTCCTTCAGATGTCTTCTGAATGTCAGGTAGTTGTTTATCTCTTTGACATCTGATGGGAGAGCGTTCCACAGGGCAGGGGCCACTACCGAGAAGGCCCTATGCCTGGTTCCCTGTAACCTCACTTCTCACAATGAGGGAACTGCCAGAAGGCCCTCAGCGCTGGATCTCAGTGTCTGGGCTGAACGATGGGGGTGGAGACGCTCCTTCAGGTATACAGGACCGAGGCCGTTTAGGGCTTTAAAGGTCAGCACCTACACTTTGAATTGTGCTCGGAAACGTACTGGGAGCCTATGTAGGTCTTTCAAGACCAGTGTAATGTGGTCTCGGCAGCTGCCCCCAGTCACCAGTCTAGCTGCCACATTCTGGATTAGTTGTAGTTTCCGGGTTACCTTCAAAGGTAGCCCCACATAGAGTGCATTGCAGTAGTCCAAGCGGGAGATAACTAGAGCATGCACCACTCTGGCGAGACCGTCTGTGGGCAGGTAGGGTCCCAGCCTGCGTACCAGGTGGAGCTGGTAGACAGCTGCCCTGGATACAGATTTGACCTGCACCTCCACGGACAGCTATGAGTCCAAAATGACTCCCAGGCTGCGCACCTGGTCCTTCAGGGGCACAGTTACCCCATTCAGGATCAGGGAGTCCTCCACACCAGCCCGCCCCCTGTCCCCCAAGAACAGTACTTCTGTCTTGTCAGGATTCAACCTCAATCCATTAGCAGCCATCCATCCTCCAACCGCCTCCAGGCACTCACACAGGACCTTCACCGCCTTCACTGGTTCTGATTTGAAAGAGAGGTAGAGCTGGGTATCATCTGCATATTGATGAACACCCAGCCCAAACCCCCTGATGATCTCTCCCAGCGGCTTCATGTAGATGTTAAAAAGCATGGGGGCGAGGACAGAACCCTGAGGCACCCCACAAGTGAGAGCCCAGGGGTCTGAACACTCATCCCCCACCACCACTTTCTGAACATGGCCCAGGAGGAAGGAGAGGAACCACTGTATGACAGTGCCCCCAGCTCCCAGCCCCTCTAGACAGTCCAGAAGGGATGGTATGGTTGATTGTATCAAAGGCCACTGAGAGATCCAGCAGAACTAGGAAACAGCTCTCACCTTTGTCCCTAGCCTGCCGGAGATCATCAACCAGCGTGACCAAGGCAGTTTCAGTCCCATGATGAGCCCTGAAGCCGATTGGAAAGGATCCAAATGGTCCGCATCCTCCAGGCGTACCTGGAGTTGTTCAGCAACCACCTGCTCAATCACCTTGCCCAAGAATGGAAGATTTGAGACTGGGCGATAGTTGGCCATACTGGCCGGGTCTAAAGATATTTTTTTTTTAAGAAGCAGTTTAATGACCACCTCTTTCAGCGGATCTGGGAATGCTCCCTCACAGAGAGAAGCATTCACCACCCCGCAGAGCCCATCGCCCAGCCCTTCCCGGCTTGCTTTTATTAGCCAGGGTGGGCAAGGATCAAGGAGACAGGTAGTTGGTTTCACACATCCAAGCAGCCTGTCCACATCCTCGGGGGTAATGGATTGAAATTGATTCCATGCAACTTGACCAGACAGGGCTCTAGCACTTTCCTGCCCCGGCCCTACTCCCACGGTGGTGTCTACCTCCTTCTGAATATGTGAATATGAGCGACTTTATCTGCAAAAAACTTTGCAAAATCGTTGCAGGAGATCTTGGGGTCTTTACAAAGACCCCGGTGGTAAAGGTGGTTCCGTTAGATTGCAAACCACCTGAAAGAGTCTCCTGCTACTATTTTCTGCAGATGCAATAGAGGCAGTGAAGAAAGTCTTCTTCGCCATCGCTATCGCCACTTGGTAGGCTCGACGTTGAGCTCTAACCCGTGTCCGGTCCGATTCAGAATGAGTTTTCTGCCACTGACACTCTAGCTGTCTCAGCAATTGTTTCCTTGCCCTCAGCTCCAAAGAAAACCACGGGGCTGTCCGGGCTCCATGCAATTGGAGAGGGCACTTCGGAGCCAGACAGTCAATAGCCCTGGTTAACTCCGCATTCCAGCGGGCCACCAGGGAATCAGCTGAAAGGCCATCAACATGGGATAAAGCATTTGGATCCATTAAGTGGCAGGGGCGGACCATCCAAGTAGATGTGATCCCAGCAGGGGACAAAAAAATAAGAGCACTACAAAGTCTTATCTGGCAAGAAATGCTAAACTGGACAAAATAACAATCGGCATGGCCTAATGGAAATGGCTCACCACTGGTACTCCAGAGGAAAGCAAGGCCTCTTGCTGACACCTTTTTAGCTCCAGATGGCGCAATATTATGAAAAAATGTGTCTGTACTTTGAAAGAGAAGTACAATCAATTAAAAAACTGGCTGCAGGAAGTGAGGGGAGGTACATGCTCGTTGCTTTTCTCTACACCAAGTCAGTTCAATAAATTGAACTCTCAGCTTACACTACAGCCAGCTAGCTAAAACTCAGATAATGTGTCCATACAGAATGGACTGATTTAGGTTGAAATGAACAGAAGTTGCCTTTGGTGTGTAGTAAACAGTCCATGTCCACCTTCCCATGTTAGCTTTCTGCGGTAGGAGCCACTTCAGGGCAACTCCTTGAGGAGCCCTATGTCACGTGGAAGAAATCTACTCCAGCTATGGCCCTCCCAAAGACAGAGGGGCTGATGTAGAGAGGCAGCACATAGCAGATTTCTCTCACGTACCAGGAGGCTTTTCACACCACTGCTTTATGTCGCAGAGGCACCCATGTCGCAGAGAGGCAGAACACTATGCATCCAGAAAGCCAACAGGCATGCAACAGAGCTAGCTGTCTTCTGCCTGGTAGTTCTCACTCCCTTGTCCCTCTGACTCACCACTGCCGTCACCCCATTCTAAGATACAGTTGTACTTTCTATGTTTGTCCACTACAAACTCCCCTTGTTCAACCTCTCAACATAGCAATTGTTTCTCTGAAAACAAAGCATGGCTTCTTCTTTATCACTCCGCTGCAGGCAGTACAAGCCGATGGAGCTTGTTGCGGCGAGAGAGAGAAAACTTCCCACATCTGTGTATAGTGGGGAGAGATGGAGAGAGAGAGAGAGAGACAAAGCTACTTCCTTCTCTTTGCCCCACATTGTCACCAGCAACTGCATTTGCTTTTCAGAAACCATGGAATCAGAAGCCAAATACAGGTAGGAAGTAAGTTAGCAAAGTGCCAGAGCTAAAAACATGTCACTCTTGCATTCTTGTGGCAGCAACCTTGGTCTAACCACCAGTGATGGCTTGCTCAGCATACATCCTTGATGTTTTCTGCTTTAACTGGACTCATTTACACAGCCTGTGGTTCTTTAAGGCATTTATAGCACATGCCTAATTACATCTACTCAGAAGTAAGCCCTACTACATTCAGTGGGGCTTTCTCCTAGGTCAATGGGATTAGGATTGTAGCCTTAATCAGTCTCCTTGAGTGAAGGCTGAAGTGCCAACATGTAGCTTTGTAGAACAGTTCTTCCCACTCAATCATCACAAGGTCCCCAGCACACCAGGAACTGAAAGTACAGCATAGCAGTACCATCTACTTCTCAAGAAAAAAAAAAGCCTGTTCAGGGACTCACTAATTATCTGCTGAGTCACAGTCACATGTGATTTAGGAATTAGGTGTGGTCCTACTTCTTCCCTTGGAAAAGGAGTCAGGAGGGGAGGAGCCTAAAACGGAATGGTCCCAGAGAGAGAGAGAGAGAGAGAGAATGGGAAAGCTTCTGATTTTTTTTCTAGGTTTCTAGAGGAACAGGTGTCTGTTGCAGCAAAATCAAGCCTTGTGGCACCTTAAAAACAAACTGCTTTTTTATTGCACAATGCCAAAGCCTTTCAGGGCTGTAGCTCAGGGGTAGAGCATCTGCTTTGCATGCAGAAGGCCCCAGATTCAACCCCCAGCATCTCCAGGCAGGGCTGAGTGAGATTCCCTGTCTGAAACCCAGCAGAGCTGCTGTAGTCAGTGTAGACAATACTGAGCTACATGGACCCAATGGCATCAGTCCGTATAAAGCAGCTGCCTGTGTAAGAGCTTGGAATACATGGCATTTCATACTATGAATAGTGCAGTGAACAGCAGCAGAGGCCTCGCACCAGTCTGTTTTTAGCAAGAGACTCTAGATCCCAGAAACTGAATAATTCTGAAAGTGACGAAAGTTTTTTTGGACAGCGTCCACTGTGATCCTATTGGCCTTAACACAAGCTGCAATTCTTTCTAGGTCATAAGACACCAAAGCTAAAAGCAAAACTTCTGACTTCTGCAAGAAGAAGCAAAAAGAAAAAAGATCTATGGGAAACGCCTGCTTTTCTTTTCTGCCCTTATTCCTTAATACTTTTCTTCATAGCTGTCAACTTTTCCCTTTTTTTAAGGGAAATTCCCTTATTCCGAATAGGATTCCTTGCAAGAAAAGAGAAAAGTTGACAGCTATGCTTTTCTTTATACTTGGAACCCGGTGGGTGCCTTATACAAACGTTTCTGTTGGCTAAGTTTTCAAAAACATGAACAATACTGGGCTGTACCCAGCTAAGTTTTACTCAGAATATACCCACTGAAATTCAGGAACATGACTAAATTGGGTTCATGAATTTCAATGGGTCTACTCTTGTGTAAAACTTGATTGGTTACAACCCAGAACTCCCACGGTGTCCATTGGGGCTTATTCCCAGGCAAGTCTGCTTTAGGACTATACCCTCAGTAACATATCTGCAAACGGCCACTGCAGCTATTAGTCCATGTGTCTTACTATCCTCCTCATTATAGAAGACTTTCTCAACCTGGTGTCCTCCATTCATTTTGGACTACAGCTCCCATCAGTCCCAGCCAGCCATTTAGAGACAGATTACATATTACACAGGAGTTCTGCAATCAGATCTCCTGATATTTTTGGGTTTTGCTTTGGTGCCTTTGGGGGGGGGGGCTCCAAAATTGGAGCTTCAAGAGAGGAGGGAGAGGAGTAAATACCTCCTCCACCTGGCCCCACATTGGTTCAATAAAATTTGAAGGACCTCATTAAAACTACAGGAAATCCAACCACAATTCTCCAGTGTTACACGTACACTAAGCTTGAGTCAATATGTTATATAGTTCCATCCCCCTTTCATGTTTTCTCATAAAACTCTCCTCAAGTCACTCCCCAGTGTTCTTTTCTCTCTCTATTCTCTTTCCTTTCCTAGGTACAAATATAATACTGCATTTAGCTGGGGGTCTGGACATTTTGAATTCTGATGCAAAGTTTTTGCTCTGCTCCCAGGCTCAAGCAAACTTTACAAAAATCCCTTTCAGAGCTAAAGCTGGGGCAGGGAAAACATGACACCTCCTATTATGAATAGGGCAGGGCAGGAAAGGCCTCACGGTTCCATCAGTCTATTTTTAGCAAGAGGCTTCAGGACCAGAAACTGAACTGTTCTGCAAGTGAAAGAAGCTTTTTCTGGGTGATGCATTTCATGAAATAAATAAGATGAGCACTCATAGTTGGGGATGGAGGAGGAATCCTTTTTAAACAGATGTATGCATGGAATTTGTCCACACTGAACCATTCTTTCCATCAAGTGCAAGTCATTCATGCACTGCTGGTTAAAGAAAAAGGAAGCCTGGCTAATCATATGCAAAATTATAAGCAGGAACAAACATATATCATACATAAAAAAGTCATCCCCATGCAATACAGTACTACATTTCTACAATATAATTTTTGTAAATATTGTACCTAAGCACTTTTACAGAGTTGTATGCATTGTTGTATGCTGATGTGCTGGATACTAACTTGAAGTGCACATGTACATAATGTTCCAGTATAATAATGCAAGAATTGTTCGTGGTTTTAGCAAAACCAGTAAAAAAAAAAACTTGCTCCTCATCAAGATCAAGGAGCAAGGCAGAAACTAGAAAAAGTCCTACGGATAAGTTTGGCATCAAGATTTTCAGAACATGTTGATTGCTACTCACAGTGTACATTTCCTTTAAAAAGAAAGTTCTGATGCCTAAATTTGATCGCCAATGCCTCTGGTCTGGATGCTCAGATCCAACCCCGCTCCTTTTGTAGTTTTTCAACACACATACAAAGAGCGCTCTGTAAATTTGCTTTGTCACTTATCATACTGACTTTCTCAGCTTGTGGATGTCATAGCCAGGGGTCAAAAAGATTCCAATGTTCCATTTTCTTTTAAAATAATGGTTGTTACTGCAGTGTCAGGGCCGGGGGGTGGCGGCACACCTCTCTTGTATTGTTAGAATATTGCTCTTGGATTGAATCCTTAAACTAAAGGGCCAGACCTTGGCACGACGAACTGGTTTTCCCTAATGCAGCTACCTTTTTAAAATAGTAGAGATGGCTTCGGAGAATGTGAAACTAGCAAAGCACAGAGAAGTGCTCAATCAGCTCAGACTCCAAGCCTCTGCCAACAAGGCCCCAGAAGTACAGCTCTAATTGAGAGAAAGAGCTGGGGATAGTCGTGTCAGGGAAAGAGGTTTGTTTGCTCTTGCCAAGTGCTTTGATTATTTCCTACTTCTTTCCCGGCAAAGGCTTCTAAGCCTTTTACAGCAGCAAAACTGGAAGAAATTCAACAGGTGCAGCTTCATGACAAGGAAACATTTCTGTCTCACAACTGGAGTACCCGATACAGTTGCCAAGGAGAGCTTCCGGCTTCTGGAAGCTGTGGAGAAAGTCAGCAGATGTCTGCAGGGAGCTGATGCAAACCAGCAGCTTCCCTTATAGAGGCAGTCATCTCAAGGACTGATTAAAAGCCATGTTGCACGTGTTGACCAAAAGGCAGACAACACAAGATAGCACTGCTTTTATACTCGATGTTCTGAATGCAAAATATTTTTTTAATTTTAATTGCTGTTTTAGTAAACGTTTTCCCCCAGGTATGGGTATACAATAATATTTAACTGGGAGGGTCATCTTCAGATGCAATCCACCAATATTTTCAAGCTTCATCTTGGCAACAACAACAAAAAATAATTGACAGTTTTTCTTTATAAATCTCAGCACTGGAGTAGACCTTTTATTTTACATTATGTGACACTTTGCTCAGAACCATATAAGCAGGCCTTCCGATACCCCTATAAGCTATTTCTGAAAAGAGTTTTAAAGCCTGTTTTCAAAAACCCACACCACAGAGCCCATGCTGAATCTCTGGGTCACAGCTGGGTACCGTATTGGCCTGAATATAAGCCGCACCCGAATATGAGCTGCACCTTTAAAACTGGAAAGGGGGGGGAGAGGGGAAAAAAATCCAAATATATGCATACCGTAAGGTTGCGAATATAAGCCGCACTTTAACTTTTCACGGTCAGGATTTGGGGAAAAAGCAAGGCTTATATTCAGGCCAATACGGTAACTCTCTGCCCAGTCCCCACAAGTACATTTTTCTCTCTCTCACCCACATCCTTACTAGATCCCCCACTTGGGAGAGGCAGGAAAAAGAATAAAGGTAGACCCAGCACTGGGATGGGGCAGAGACCTCTCTGCTTAGCCCAGTGCCCTGATGGGGATGCAAATTGCTCCTTCCTGATTTGATGAGTGAAGAGGTAACAAGAGTTGTATAGCGGTTAGATTGTCAGACTCCCCGCTCAGCCATCGTTCAATGGGTGAACTTGGGCCAGTTATTACCACTCAGCCTAACCTATCACACCAGGCTGCTTCGAGGAGTGAATGCAGAGGAGAAAAGCACATATTCCTGCAATGAGCTCTTTGGGGGTAAGATGATATAGAAATGTAGTAATATGTAACTAATTAGACACAGATCAGCTGAGAAGGTGCAGTGTGTGCGAATGCTGTGTTTATGCACACATTCAGGGTGTGTGGATGTTTACACAGAAAGGTTTTTTTAATCCAGTTGCCCTTCCCAGACCTGGGAGTAGGAAAGAGCGTTAGCCATTTCACATCTCAGCACAAATTGTTATGTGTAGCCCCCGCCTGCCCATCTGACTTCAGGAAACAAAGAGGTCAATTGAGGAAAAGGAATCCCAAACTCCCAGCCAAGTTGGAATCAATCGGAATGGAAAAGTCAAGTCATGCTTCCTCACTCGCTTTGCTCCCTTCTGCTCCAGAAGATGTAAGTTGGGAAAAGAAGAACAAATGCCTGGGAAGAAACTGATAAGGAACATTACAGCAAACCTGTGTCACAGAAATGTTTTAGTCCTGTACACAATTTGAGGAGCTTCAGCTGATCCACTGGTCTCACTGTCCTCCTCCTCTACCACCACCCAACTTGTTTCAAACCAAATACGGTGGCTGGTTAGATTTGGCTTGCGTCTGTAAAAAACACATCATGTTTTAATATTTTTTCTACCACGTTTTTGATTCCCACAATGGCCTTGGGCCAATCTGGTTGCTAACACAGCAAGCCAATACATGTCTCCTTAGAAGTAAGCCTTGTTGTATTCAATGGGGTTTACGCCCAGGTAGGTGGCAACTGGATCGCAGCCTAAGCTTGAGCCTTCTTTCTTCAGCTCACCAGCCTTTTAGACCAGAGGCTGCATGAGAAGGCCTGGGGGGAAAAACCCAGAAAAAATGGGGGGAACGGATGGACAGGTTTTTTCCGGGGGGTTTTCCAGGCCTTCCCATCTCTAAACATGTGCATACCTGAGCCATGCTACTTAGAGCTTTGCAAACAGGAGCTTTTCCATTTAAATCTAAGTCTTCAAAGCTAGGTGATGCTCTTTTCTCAAAGAAGCCAAGAGAAAATAGTTACTATTTCCCAGGTCCTTATTTGAAAGTTCAAAAGAGGGATGAATAGGAGAATCCCCTTAGGGAAATGAATGCCCAAGAAGATGCAGAGTGGCTAAAAAGCTTCAGGTTGGTAAGGCAGGACACGTTGCCCAGGTTCCTTACTAAGCATAGCTGCTTGGGAAGGACTGGTGATCAACCTCCCTACCCTGGGGCTGAAGAGATTCTATAACTCTGTTTTCAAAAATGTCTGAGGAAAGGGCGGGGCTACAGCTTCAAGAAGCCAGAGCGTTTGCTTTGTATGCAGAAAGTCCCAGGGTGGCTGGAGAGCAGCTGCCAATCATCATGGAAGACAGCAGTGGGCTAAATGGGCCCAAACTGCCTGCCCTGAAATATGGCAACTTTCTATGTAGCTCAAGGGAATTCTCAGCCCCCAGATATCCTTGGAATCTCACGTATTCACTGCAACTGATTTGTTACAAGAAACAAATGTATATGTGAGAAAGAAAGAATTGAAGTATCCAAGGATGAAAAGGCCCGTTCTCGTGTTGCCACCCTCCAGACCTCATGTGGAGGAGGCATATGAAGAAGGGCCTCAGATGAAGAACACAGAAACTGGGGTGGTTTATATGGGGAGGGGCAGTCCTTCAGGTATTGTGGGCCTGAGCCATTTAAGTACACTGAATTGGGTCCAGAAGCTAATTGGTAGCCAGTGCAGTTGGGCCAAGATTACCTGTAAGTAAGCCTTAGAATTTCTCCAAGCATCCATCTCCCTCTTGCTACTCCCTAGCCCTGCTTTGGTTACACAAGTTCACTATTAAGATTCATGACTCCAGACTGTCACTAATATGTAGGAGGAGTTCAGTGCATACTGTAGATTTAGGTTTCCCTAATTAAAGTGGATTAAAGCCCTCTCTGCTCTAGAGCAACAAATCGACATATAAAAAAAGAATCAACCTTTTTTAATGTTGAAAAGTGACAGGGAAATACATTCAAGGCTGTAAAACAAATGAAGGACTAATGGGAAGACATTCAAACACCCCACAAGCCAGCCAAGATGAATGCAAGATAAATGCTCATTGTTGTATAACCACTCCATAAACAAGTAAGAATAAATGCTCAATCAAGGCCATTTTCAAAAACATTTTCAGTAGGCATCTAAAATAATACAGTGAAGAGGCAGGGAGTTTCAAGCTACAGATTCCAATCTGAGGTGTGCGTGCCAGTTAAAGTGGCCCATAGTACAACAGTGGGCCATAACTTAAGAAAAAGTCCAGTGTGTGATGAATACAAAAATGAATTTTAATTGAGGTTTTGGTTATACAGTATACATGTTTGTTCTGGGTAATAAATCTGTTGACTTAAAAAAAATCAACAGATTATTTGTGAGTGCCAGTCCAAGCAGAAATTTAAAGGATTATTAATAGTAATACATTTCTTCTCAAGGATTAATGTGACAACAACATGACCAAACTTAGCAACCATGTCTAGTTTGTTTGTTTGAGACACGTGTGTGTGTGTGTGTGTGTGTGTGTGTGTAAAAAGCCAACGAAATCCAGGCCATGCACTGAAGAATTCAGAGTTTTTAGTCCTAGTGACCCAACTAGGTTGGGGAATCCCAGGGATGGGAATGGTAATCTCTACTGAAATGGAAGAGAAGGTTAAATATTTTACTGTAAAATGACTGCATTTGACAGATCTAGGGAGATGGGAAGGAACAACAGCAAGAGGAGACTGGGACAGAAAGGAATCAGCAAGGCTGGGAACAGGTTGGTCAGGCAAGGGAGTAAAATAGCCTTGTCATTTCAGCAGACAAGTGGAAAAACCAAGGGATGTTGTCAGCGGAGCAAATGTCAAAAAAGGCCACCCAGCCCTTGCCCCACCCCATTACATCACAGTGTTTCTATGAGCATGACTCTTTCACAAAGTTCTGGCTGGCTTCCTCTTCTTCCATAGAAGCTGCATCTTTTGCTAACTCCACATCTCTTGTCCCTGTGGGCTTGGCACTTAGGCAAAGTTTCACTAGAGGGAGGGGATTCTGTGGACCCACTGCAGAAAGAGCAGGTCTCTCTCTCCCTCCTTTCCGCTGTGCTCCAAAAAGTCCTCCCCCACTTAAAAGCCAACTCCCCTCTCCTGGAAAGGAGTCTTAGGCTACAATCCTAACCCTTGCTTTGGCACAATGCCTACCCATTCTCAGATGGTGGGAGGGCCTCTTTGCTGAATATCTAAGGAGTGCAAACATGAAACAGACAAATGACTGGTGTAACCCCACCCATCATAAACACTAAAACTAAACCCACATTCTAAAAAAAAAAGTAAAAACCAGACTGAAAACTCCCATGATTTAATATTCCAGCCAAGGAATAAATGCAGTCAGGTGACTGGAAATAACAAGGGACGACTGAGCTTCTGCCTCTGCTTCGGGTGGGGAGTCGAGGCCGACCAACTACGCCAATCTCTCAACCCAGATCTTTTACCGAAACCAGTCCCTGAAAAGCAGGACGAATTTGCCATACCGAGAGAAGGCTCCCTGGGAGAGCCACTTAGGTGTAATATGTGCCAAGGCTTAGCCACAGAATCTTTCCGCGCCCTGGCTACGTCTCGGAATATGTGCGGTAATGAGCTCCTCCGGGCATACGCAGAGAGTTACCAGCCCCCCCTTGCGCAGCAAAAACGAAACCGCCCGGCTCTGCTTCGTTTACACTCTGGCAACGATTTCACAGGACGTGCCTTTTGGCCGTTCAGCACCAGGCACCAAGCAGGCAAGGCGATCCAATGGCGGGTACCGGCCAGCGCCAGGCACCGGAGCCCCGCGCTCGGCTGCTTCCTGGAGAGGAGCAGCGCTGGCTACCGTCAGGATCAAAACAGAGCAAACTCGGACCAAGGAGTCAATAACCTCGCGAGAAGGAATAAAAAACCGAGTGTGCGTTTTTTAACAAAACTTCAGAAGGCGCGAACGCACCAAGGGCGCACAGAAAAACTTGCCCGGGAGGGAGGAAGAGAACGCATCTCTTCTGGGTCCCCATCCGCACCTGCTAGGGCGCCCGGGGATAATAATAAAAAAAAGCCACAACCCCGCAACGCATCGGGCTTCCTCACGAGCAACCCCTTCCCGAAAGCGCAGGCCCTCCTTTCCTTACCTTGGTGCTGGCGCTCGGTCCCCACAGACTTAAGTTTTCTTCTCTCGCAGCAGCCGCGACTCCGACACGGAACTTAACAACACTTCTCTCGTCCCAGCCCTTGGGAGGCGTGGGCGGGGCGCGCGGGGGAACGGAGGGAGGCGGCGCCCGGGAGAATCCCAGCCCCTCCCGTCCAAAAGGAATATGTTGCGAGCAGCTGCGTCCGAGGAGCTCAGGGTGCCACCAAGTGGCTCGATCGGGTCCTGCCGCCGGAAAGTTGCGCCCATTTGTTGTTTGGAATGAGCTTTCTTTGGCGTGAAAGCGCGCAGAATCTGCAACATATCACGGCTTTAGCCCAGCGAGATCTATTTGGTCTGCTGCGACTGCAAGCAACACTGGCCTCTGTCCCTCTTTCCTTCCCTCCCTTCCAGTTCCTCTGATGCCCTCTAGCATCCCTGCCTCCCAAAGGCTTGCACAGCTGTTTGTTGCAGCAGCCCTGGATATAAACTCCCCGGGCAAATGGTGCCACTAGGGATGGCCAGGGGGTGCTTCCCAGGGCCCTGCGGGTAGTGTGAGGAGGCACCTCTCTTTGGGGCGGGGCGGGGAGGGGGCAGCTCAGAGACCAGAAGATTCCCAAGGAGAGAGGAGAAGAGGGGAGACTGAGGGATCACTCCTGAGAGGAGGGTGTTTGAAAAGGGGTAAGGAGCTGCCAGCTCTGCAGGCAAGGGGTGACATAACAGGGCTCCTGGGCCCCACAAGGGTGCCACAGAAAGAATGGAGTTGGTCAAGGGAGCCACGGAGCCAAATAGGTTGAAAACCTCTGGTCTAGGGGTGAAGTTTTGAAGGGTGTATGAGAAACTTGTCTATATGGGGGATCTTTTTTCAGGCTGAGGGCCACATTCCCCACTAGGCAACCTTCCAAGGGCCACACGGCATTGAGTGGGGGGCTAAAGCAAAACTGGGCGAATAAATGAATTGTACAAACGCTTCCCTTAGTGAAGTAGGCTACCTTCCAGACAGGAATGGGCTCTTTCACGTTCTGCACGGCAGGGTTGGCCTGACAAGGGGTGGTTCAAGAGTCCCAGGCAATCTCCATCCCATACTAAAATGGATGCTTTTGGTTTTTGGAATTAAACATTCAACACATTGTGGCAGATGAAAATGATGGACTACATGGAATTGGCGGAAATGACTGGTAGAATCCGAGACCAGGGAGAAGAGTCGGTGGAAGAAGATTGGAAGAAATTTAAAGACTACTTACAGAAATATTGTAAAATTAATGAATGTTAGAATGATGTCGGATTGAAGTTAAGTGGTTTCTAGCTGTAATGGTATAAAAGAATATGGAAAAATTGATTTTTAATACGTACAAATTTAATATTATAATATATCAAGATTAAAGATCAGGATTAAAAAGGAGGGAAAGGAATTGCTGGACTAACAAATTGAATTGGAATACAAAAGAGGGTGGTATGAGGAGGTCCGGGAAACAAGTAAATGTAAGAGAAGTGATGAAAAGATGGAATTGTTTTTAACTGTTTTTTCTTTTTTTGTATTTTGTATTTTTCCTTTTTATTGTTAATTTTCTTATTAATGTAATCTTTTTCTTTTCTTTGAAATTTTAATAAATATCATTTAAAAAAAAAATAAACATTCAACACATTGTATACAAACACTGGTGTACTGTTCAAGATCTGCCAAGGTGTTAAAGAGCTCCTCTTGGGGGATTCCACAGACGCCGTGGGGATGCAGGAAAGGGCCTTCTCAGTTGCAGCTCCCAGGTTCTGGAACCCCCTCCATGGAGAAGACAGACTGGCTCCTTCCTTGCTGTCCTTCTGCCGGCAGGTGAAGACTCTGGTGTTCCAACAGGCTTTTGGGAACTGTCTGCTTTTAATGAAAGGGCTGGTGCCGCACTGTTTTTATCATAATTATTTGTAAGTTTTAAATAGATTTTTAATGTGTATGTAGTTTTAATTCTTTCAGTGTTTAATCATTTTTAATTATTGGTTTTTTCCATGTTTTTAGCAATTCTTGTTTTTATCTTTAAGCCATCTTGAGACCAGCCAGAGGAAAAGGTGAGGTATAAATAAATATATAATAAAAATAACCATTAATTTGGTAGAAAAATTGGTCCATGCAGACATTTGGAGCACAGAAGCCCATCTAAATGATCCTACTGGCCATTATAAGTGTTTTTAATGCCCACCCACCTTACCCCACTATTTTGTTCCTCAGATGAACAGTAGTTATTCATCTGAGTAGCTTCTGAACACTCAGCTCTTGAACTGCTTGTGCAATGCAATCCTATGCAAGTCTACTCTGCAGTAAAGCTATTGACTTCAGTGGAACTTAATCACAGATAAGCAGGCTGCCATGTAAACCAGGAATAGGCAATAGGTTGCCCTTCTTATGTTATACTACAACTCCCAACATCCTTGACTGCTGATCATGCCATTGGATTCAGCCTGAGCCTCTTTCATTTGCAATTCTTTTAGCATTTAAGCTCCTTCCCAAAAGAGTTTTAGACTTGATAGAAGTCAACTACCATAATTATTTTACATTTCTTGACTGAACATTTTTGAAAATACAAATTGAAGCGATAAATAAATAAATAAAATGAATAAATAAATGCAAAGGGTGAATATTAACATGAGGCCTAAGATAGCTCAATTATTATACATACTGATAATCTTTATTCTTTTTCTCCTTTACAGGGTTTCAAAATGAAAAGAGAAAGTAACTTCAAAAGATCCATAGTGTAGCCTATAGCAAGGCTAGAGGACAGGCATTATCCTTTATACTTGTGTAATCAGTAAACGCTTTCCATTTTTTATTGAATGAGTCCTTTGTCTTCTGGCCCCTGCCTACCCTTAGTTTGTGTGTTAATTTCTCCAAAAAATCACATCAAAAGCATTTTGGTACCACTGGTCAACATTTACGTGTCTTCCAGTTCAACAGCTGCTAGTGCAGCCAAAAGTAAATGACTCAACAGTTCTTTGTAATTAAGATCTAAATTTCTGTCCAGAAACATGTTTAGGAACACTAATGCTGAGACTCAACTATTGATGTTTTTACCCGTCAAGGGTCTAGTGTCCCACACTTTGCCTTTATTCTGGCTTCTACTCAGTTCAATTGCAAGTTTCTTCATGGAAACTTTCCTAAACAATGTCTTTTAACAGTTGCCAGAAAGGTATCACAAGAGCGAGCAATTGAGTCATACCTAAACTCCTTCTAAAACCACTCCACTAATCATAGCCAAAGCCCCTATTATGATAAGTCCTTCCACTGTCTTTCTTGAAGTTGTTGTTTTTTCTTTTCTTGAAGTGGCTGCAGAGAAACCTGAAACAGAGCAGGGCTATGGAGTTGCAGAAGAGGAAGTTAATCCTTTACACTAGCCTTCAACAACCTGGTGCCTCCAGAAATTTTGGAGTACAACTCACATCAGCCCCAGCCACCATGTGGGAGTTGTAGTCCAAAATTTCTGGAGGACACCAGATTGATGAAGGCTGCTATAAACACGGACACTGCCATTTTCCCAGCTGAAATCCTCCTCCTCCCTTGCTCACACCACCACTGCTATTTATCCGACATGCACTTGCCATAAAAGTCATGGCCCAAATCTGATTCAGGGTCTCCACAGCTGCTTTGACTTTTCCCCTCCTGTTAAAAAATGCCTGTACAGGATCCTACTGGTAGTTTATCCCTAAGTAAAATTGATACTACCTGTCTTCCCAGCAATATATATGAAAAGGATCTAGGAGTCTTAGTAGACCACAAGCTTAATGTGAATCAACAGTGTGATGCAGCAGCAAAAAGAACTAATGTTATTCTAGGCTGCAGCAACAGAAGGATAGTGTCCTGATCAAGGGGAGTAATAGTACCCCTCTATTCTGCCTTGGTCAGACCACACCTGGAGTACTGGGTGCTGTGATTTAAGAAGTTCTGGGTGCTGCGATTTAAGGAGGATATTGACAAGCTGGAACATCTGCAGAGGAGGGTGACCAAGATGATCAAGGGTCTGGAAACCAAGCCTCATGAGGAACAGTTGAGAGATAGCTGGATATATTTAGTCTGCTAAAGAGGTGATATGATAGCCACCTTTAAATATATAAAGGGCTGCCATATGGAAGATGGAGCAAGCTTGTTTTCTCCTGCTCTAGAAGGTAGGACTTGCAACCAATGGCTTCAAGTTACAAGAAACGAGATTCCAACTAAACATCAACAAGAACTTTATGGTGGTAAGAGCTGTTCAACAGTGGAATGGACTCCCTCAGAAAGTGGTGGAGTCTCCTTCATTGGAGGTTTGTAAAGCAGAGATTGTATGGTGTTCAGTCATCAATGCTTTAGTAGAGATTCATGCATTGCAGGAGGTTGGACTAGATGATCCTTGGCGTCCCTTCCAACTCTATAATTCTCTGCTTCTATAATATGACATCTGCCAGCTGCTGGTAACTTCAATAAAGCACCTTAGCGTGAGTTTCTTTGCAGGAAAAGAATGCTGGACAAAATTGTGATTCTAATCATATAGATTTAATTTACAAACAAAAGGTAGAGCAAGGGCCGGCTGGCAGGCTAAGACCATGTTAGTGTCAACACATCCAATTCCCACTCACCCACCCCCTGGCAAAAACAGCAAAAGGACATCTTTGCAGCTCCTTAAGGCTACTTCTTGGAGACAGCTGCAGGAGATCAGTCCCTCTTTCCCCCCTGCCAAGTTTAAAACGGAATCTCCCCCCACCCGCCTCCCCTTTGTGGCACACACTGTCCACAGCTGGACATGTAAGATCCAACTTCCATTTCAAGCTGGGATTGTTTTCCATGAATCGTTTGTCATGGGCTGCCAAGCCACTAAAACAGAAGAGCATGATGTTCTTATATAGCCCTATAATATAAAAAGCTGTGCTTTACAAGAGATCAATGGCAAGCCAGAGAGGTTGGAAACTGATAAACAAGCCATACTGTCCCATTGCTGTACATTTAGGAGTGCAGTTCAAATGAACGTGAACGTTATCAGATCCATCATAGGTTGTGACATTTTTATTTATTTGTTTTTTTGCATGAAGATAACTTGGGGAGGGGCCAGCTGCCTTAGGACATGTAGGGAAACCTCAAATTCTAGTAGCTTCCTTGCCACCTGACTCACTGAGATTTTAAAATACCCAGAATTAGGGGGAGAAGGGAGAGCCTAACCCTCAGCCTTCAAAGTTTTGAAAGGAGTATCAAGCTCTTGCCCAGGAAAATGTACATCCCAGCTCCTCTCCTTCCCCAAGGCTGGTGCTGACTCATTCCATCTGATTCATTTCCAAGACTGCAGAGGCACAAAACCTCCACGCGGTGGCATCCTCTCCCCATCAACATCTCGTAAGGATTTTGGTACAATTTCAAGTTCATTTAAGCAAACTGATCTCTTTGAGAAATGTACTACCAGGTATATGATAAATCAAAGTTGGCTGCTCCCTGGGATGGGGCACCCACCACAAAGGGACCCAGGTTTTGGCCCTCCCAAGATTGTCAGGACCAGGCTGCAAAAGAGCTGCTATATAACCTTTGAGAGATGCTTGGAAACCAGGAATCCACCCGCGTTAGCTTCTCATGTACCTTGCGAGGGGAGAAGCTGCGCTTTCTAGAATTCTCCCTCTCATACATTTGTTTGTGTTTCTGGTGCCCGGGTGGTGATGGGAGAGCTGAGGAAAGAAACTATTGTAGCTGAATGAAAGCCCTTATCATCTTTCCACAGAATGGAAGAGCCAAGTAGCATCTTTTGAGCCTGAGTTTCTTTTATATAAAATGGAAATGGGTAGTGAGCTGCCTTTATGGTTACAAGCCATTATTCTAACAAAGCCCTCCACCCACCAAAGACTGTGGAATGACTGGAAGGTAATTCTTCAGGCAAAGTATCTCCCTATTGGCAAAACATTTCCATTTTGCCTCTCTTTCCCTCTCTCATATACAGTGGTACCTCGGGTTACATACGCTTCAGGTTACAAACGCTTCAGGTTACAGACTCCACTAACCCAGAAATAGTGCTTCAGGTTAAGAACTTTGCTTCAGGATGAGAAGAGAAATCGTGCTCCAGCAGCGAGGCAGCAGCAGGAGGCCCCATTAGCTAAAGTGGTGCTTCAGGTTAAGAACAGTTTCAGGTTAAGTACAGACCTCCGGAACGAACTAAGTACTTAACCCAAGGTACCACTGTAGTTCTGCTAGAAAACTGCCATGCCTACTCTGAAGCGTTGCTGTGAACATCAGTCTGAATCAAAGAGCTGGTACTCACTTACCTAACAGAGCAGTTTCCTGAAAATCAGTACATTTTCATAAATCTTGGCTTGTGCCAAGGATCGGAAACCTGTGACCCCTCTAGATGTTGCTGGAGCTATACTACCCATCGGCCCCAGCACAGGCAATGCTTAAGGCTGATGGGAGTTGTAGTTTAGCGAGATCTGAAGGGCCGCGGGTTTGCCACCTCTGGCCTACATACAGTGGTACCTCAGGCAAGTACTTAATTCATTCCGGAGGTCCGTTCTTAACCTGAAACTGTTCTTAACCTGAAGCAACACTTTAGCTAAAGGGGCCTCCTGCTGCCAACATGCCGCCGGAGCACAATTTCTTTTCTTATCCTGAAGCAAAGTTCTTAACCCGAGGTACTATTTCTGGGTTAGCGGAATCTGTAACCTAAAATGTATGTAACCTGAAGCGTATGTAACCCAAGGTACCACTGTACAGTGAAATCCAGGTCAACAGCGGTTGCTGCATCCATCAAGACACCATTTTGCAAAATTCCTATGGAGAAGGGCTTCTTAGCTCAGTTGTCAGCAGCTTATATAAGAGGAAAACATCTGGGAGAGAAAATGAGGAAGCTTGGCAACTGTTTTGGCCTCTAGAGAGGCTTCTTGCCTCCAGAGAGTTCATTGATCTCTCCCCAGCAGGAACCAAGAATATAATAAGTTTCATGTCCTCTCTCGCCCTGGAGGAAAGATGGGAGGGATCAATGTAGGTGGGAAATACAGAAGCAAGGATCAGGAAAGGCTGGCTGCAGCTCAGATGTAGGGCACTGGATTTGCATACTGAAAGTCTCAAGGTCATGGCAGTTATGTCTCCAAAGTCAAGGCACTATGCCTCTGAAAGCCAGTGGCTAGGAATCACAAGAAGTGAGTGTGTTGGGGTGTGTTCAGGATTGCTTTTGGGTTCTCATACACATCTGGTTGGCCACTGTGAGAACAGGACCCTGGACTAGTCAGGTATTTGGTCTGACCAAGGTGGTCTCTCCTTGTGCCCTGGCATCTCCAGGTAAGACTGGGAAGACCCATGCCTGAAATTTTGGAGTACTGCTGCCAGTCCATGTAGACAATACTAATGGACCAATGATCTAACTCATTATAAAGCAGCCAGTTTTGTAAGTTCCTGTAATCAAGACAAAAGACGGAGAAGCCTCAGAACTAGGAAACTCAGTCAGAGTGTAGCAACACAGGACTTTTTGACAATACCTTTTATGGTGTAAATGTTACTCAGAAGCAGCATTTTAAATATCTCTAGAACTGTACCAAGTCATCTTGCAGAAGGGGGGGGACACATCTGAATGCTTCACCGTGTTGCAAAAAAAATCTAGCATATGTGAGGGAGTGTTGCTCAGTCTTCTCCCTGCTGTGAGAGCTTTTCAGAGACAGCAGCCCATTCAAGCATGCCATTTTGCCACCTGCCTTATGGAAATGTGTACAGCCGAGGAAGGGCAAGACCATCTCACATTGATTTACGCACATGTTAAATTTGTCCTGTCATAAAGCATCCAAGTGCCTTTCCTCAAATTAATGGAGTTCTTAAATCAGCTGCCATGGGAGACTGACACATTTCCTGAAGTTTGAACTTCTGTTGTTAAGAACAGAAAAAGATACCCAAAGCTCCCCACCCCTTTATGCTGTTTTGTGTAATGCTAATGTTTTCATTGCAATTCAGAATGCTGCTTGCATCAAAGATGTGTTACACATGCTGTAAGACTCTTATCAGCCGGTGTGCATGGAAACAGTGACATCCAACACACACACACACACACACACACACACACACACACCCCCTATGCCTTTTGGTGCAGTTTTATTTTTGGATTTTTAGCAGCAGAGCATTTCTCCGCCGTCCTTGATCTTTTAATAAATCTACCCTCTCTTGTGTACTGAAATGTCCCTGGCGTTTTGTGGATTACGTTTGGAAGGCTGGATACACTGCTGCACTGCCCATGTCTCGGAAACATGTTTTTAAAAAGGGAAGGAAGAAAGAGACACTCTGGAGTGAAACTGACATACCTTTTTAGAAAGGTGTCTCCCTCCTACACATTCTATATCCTGCACTGTGGAGAATGAATTAGGACTTTTGGGGGAGGTTGTGCAATGAGGGGGGACACTGCGCACTTCTCAAGATAACACAGGGTAAATAGAGGCATTGGCAAGTAAACCCATAGGGCTGCCTACTAGTTCCTACAAGCTTGGTTGTATCAATTCCCCTCCCCGCTCCAAAGCAGCATTTTAAAGGCTTGTTAGATGACATTTCTTTCAAGAAACCAAGCAAAAACCAATGTACAACTCAAGAAAAGCCCAAAATTTATTGGGAGATTCAAATCCAAACAAATATCACAGTGTGTGCTACATAAATCTTGGGCCCTGTCCCTTATATCAGGTGTGGGGAACCTTTGGCCCTCCAGATGTTGCTAAACTACAACTCCCATCAGCCCCAGGAAGCACGGCCAATGGTGGGAGTTTTAGTTCAGCAACATCTGGGGGGCAAAGGGTTCCCCACACCTGCCTTTGATTATCACATTCAGAGCCACCAGACTGTCAGCATTTTGAGAGAATAGTTCAGCTGCATACCAAAACATTAGGCTTTATTTATTTATTTAGCATTTAAAGTGGTTGAATCAATCGTCGTCCTAGTGCAACAAGTCCACTTTTTGAAAAAGAAAAAGGACACCAGACTTTTTGCCGCTTGGAAAGTGTCAGGAAATGCACTGGTGAACAAATAAATAAAGGGAAAGAAATGTAAACACACTGCAAAGAAATTGGGATGAATTCAGGACAAATGCTCATTGCCTTATGACCTGCCCTCCACAATAAACAAATCAGAAGGAATGCTCATTAAAGACTTGCTGAGACTTGGTTGGATGAGCTGGGAGGCACAACCTACCTCAGCTGTGCCCATATGGGCACTTGGCACAGCACAAAGGTACATTGCATGGGGGTAGAGCGTCTGTGTGTTCCTATGTCCACAGAACCACCATCCCCTTTACCAGAAAAACTCTTAATATTGGGATTGGCTTGGAAAGTCTGCACTTGGGAGTTCAACCAGACAGAACATTAGGGATGCTGCTGGTCCCTCAACCACCTTGTTGCCCAGCAGCATCCCTGACCGAGCTGACAGCTACACGCCCCTGGGCAAGCCAGACCCTCTCCTCTGCTTCATATCTCAGTGCATCTCCAGAGAGTTTGGTATTAGAATTATCAGTTCCCTGACATGGGCTTCCTATACGAAGGCAAGATAACAGAGGCTCCTGGGTGTGACAAGAAGGTTGTGTGACCAAAGCCACTTTCCCCACCCCAGAGAGCACCGATTACCAAGCAAAACTCATGGGCCTCATGCTGCCTCTTGCCGTGCAAAGAGCGAGGGTGAACTAGCTTATGCACCTGCCCTTGTTACAGCAGCAAGCTTAGAGGAATGAAATGTAATCCAGAAGCATAAAATTTCTTTTCTCCGACTAAAAGACCCTGGCGAAGCCAAGGTTTTGTACCGCCCATCATCAGCTTTTCCTTCCATTGTAGTCCTACACACGCTAACTTGGGAGTAGGCCCCATTGAACTCAGTATGACTTATTTCCGACTGGCCTGCACATTCTGCTCCACTGACTCCAGGAACATTAGCCTACACTGATGTATACACAGAGAGAAGGCAGAGCTATCCTGTGGTTCTGGTTGTCCCAGCCCCTCTGCTAGGGACTTGGATAGGGTTGGGAACCTTAGGCCTGGGGGCCAAATGCAGCCCTTCAGGCCTCTCCATCTGTTCCTCAAGGCTCTTTGCAGGCCACCCACTTTCCAAAGGCCATACCCCTCACTGGCCCTGCTCAGCAACCTCCTCCATTCCTTCGCATTTCTCCCCCTGGCTGGAATGTGTTTTTAAATGGTGGTGTAGCTTCTTTCTTGCCAGGATGAAGCAGGTGGGGGAGGAGAGCAAATGTAGAGAATTCTGGTTGTGCCTGGCTAGAATGCAGCCTACTGTACAAAAGGTGAAAGAGTAAGATCTAATGCTCTACATACTTTTGCCTCTGCTCCCACCCATAAAAGGAAGGTGGCCCCCAGAAGGTTGCACCTTAAGGGAATGTGGCCCTTGGGCTGAAAAAGATTACCCATCTGCTGTAACAGAACAACTTGGGTAGGTCTTGAGAACCAATTTTCATTCAAATGAGGGTCTCAAGACACCATTCTTCCAAGATCTGTTGCTACGCCTGGTTTCCTGCAGGTAATGCCTTCTCCTGCCAATACTTTGCTTTCATATTTCAATGGAGAGCAATCCTTGGCATGTTTACTCAGATGGAAGTCCCTCTGTGTTCAATAGGCCTTACTCCCTTGTCACTGCGTTTAGGATTGCAGCCTAAAGGAGATGGCTCAATGATCCAGTCATCAGCTACTCACACTTTATCCTCCTTGCAGAGTTAAGACTGTGTAGGTGTTCACTTCACAGTGCAAAGAATATTTTTTTTCAAAGTTATTACTGATCTTTGAGAGCCTCTGCAAAAGAAACACATTTTTCACCTACCTGAGGTTAAGCACACTGCGTGTGCAGCATTGTAAGCCTCCATTCTCAGCTTTGTTTTACTGACACCACAAAGCCTCAGCATTTGACAGAAGAACTGAAGGTGCAAAGTGAAACAGCAGTTCTCTTAAAATTTCACAGCAGTCACTTTGAAAAACACACCCACCCACTGTTTCATGTCTTTGCAAAATAGAGCCAAACATATGTAGTGTCCACAATGGAGAATACATTAAAATGTGAAGTGGACAAAAAAAGGATTCCAAAATAATCTATCGTGCTATTTTATTTCATCGCCAATGAATTTAAAAAAAGAGATTACGCTCTTTTGAGCCTCTCCTTAGAACAACCCTGCACTATAAAACTTACAGACAGTAGAAACTCAGCTAGCAGGAGCCAAACTCAACTATATACATATAAATACCAACCATACGGCCACAGTGCTGAGCTTCAGTTAAAAACACCCTCACAGCCATTAATGTACAATCTCCCTTGCGAACATCTTGCATGTGGTGCCGGTGGAAGAAAGCCATGTATGCCATGGGGGACTGGCAACATATTCTCAGAGGTAGGAGGTGGTGGCATGCCTCCCTGGCTTTGTTCTCCTGCTCCCGTGGGAAGCACAGCCATTGTTGGCCTGAACTCTATGCATTCCTGGTAACAGCTTGTGCTTTGAGAGGCAGCTTGGAGAAACACTAGGTGCACCACAAGCCTGGAAACCCGCCTTGCAAGTACATGGAGCACAAATCCAAGCTTGGCCCGGCTGCAAGGACTTAGATGCCCAACTGGCTCAACTGGAGAGAAAGTTTAAAACATTTTTATATTAACAGGAGTCAGAAGAAAAGGAACAAGTTGAAGAGGCCAAATGGCAGGACACTTTCTCTCCTTGGATGTAGATGATTTTTTAAAAAGTGCTCAGCTGCCCAAGATTTTGGTTTTGGGGAGTAGGAATATTGGGGAGGCAAAAGTTCCACCTGATGTGCTCGATAAGAGATGGAAGACCGTTTCACATGTGTACACCTGCCTCTCCAGATGAGGGGACAAAGTGACAGGATTGTGCTTACAAGATGACCTAAGAGACCCCCCCTGAGCTAGAAATAGGCTGGCACACTCAAAAACAAATACACACATTCTGAAAATAAAGATGCACGTTTCAGCATCACATCATCCCAGGCGCTGCCTTCTACTGCTCCATCACTTCTCCCTCCCACCCCCCACCGCAGGTGTTCTGAAAACAGCAGGGGATACGGAGCCACCCAAGCACACCTGGATCCACTACCAAACACCTTTGTAGGTGAAAGGCTACAAGTCCCACTCGCCATGCCTCATGGATAAGCAGCAGCACCAACAAAACCTTCTGGGGGACGGGGAGCTCAAGAAACGAGCCTGAACCCCTCTGTTTTCTTGCCATTTCACTTCGCACTGCGTGAGAGATCAGCATCCAAGTAGATCTCTCCTCATTAGCATAGTAGAGCCCGTTATGTGATCAGGCTCCTCCCTGCAGAGAGGCCCTGCCTGGCCCCTGCCTGTGGGTACACCCTGCATGTGGCTCCAGCCTGACACCACCCGAGATTGCTAGTTTGCTTTGAAGACGTCCTTCCGCAGCCGCACTTCCTTCAGCACCCGGGCCCGGAAGGTGTCCCAGTCCTCATCCCTTTGGCGCTTCATCCCCACGGCTTCTTGCACCTCCGGGCAGTGCGTCCGCAGGAAGGGATTGTACTGCTTCTCCTCGCCGATGGTAGAAGGGCACTTTAGGGGAGAGAACGAGACAGGCACACACTGTGAGCATGGACAATGGGCAGCACAAAGCAGTAACTCTCCTCCTAGCTGCTTTCGCGTTTGCCGCTTTCCTTTGAATGAAGGGGAGGGGAGGCCAGGACTTTGGCATGTTGGGCAAATTGGACCACCTCAGCTTTATACCTGGCCCTTTTTGCTCTTTCGAATTTGACCTCAAACGCTTTTGATCTTGGCCCGTGAGTGGCTTTTTGCAGGATGTGAAAGCAGTACAGACAACATAAAGCTCCCCATCGGGCCATGCCAGCTTTGGCTTTGGTGATGTTTTGCATAGATCCCAACCAAGCTATTGCAATGGAGCCTCAGTTCTCAAATGTCTCCATTGACAAACAATTTGGAACCGAATGCCAAAAACCCGGAAACCTGGAAGTAGAACGGCTTGCACTGCATGTTTTTCCATTTTTCCAAAGGATTTTGCCAACCGCCCATTGATCCTCGGTTTTCGAATGTTTCGAAAGTCGAACGGTCTTCTGGAACATATTATGCCCAAAAACAGAGGTTCCACTATACCAGTATTGCTACTCAAAAATGTAATTTGATTCGGTGTTAGGTTATAGCATTGCAAAGACCACCACTGCTCTCTGCACAGATGGCTCACAGTTATTATTATCATTTATTAAATTTATTAGTCACCTTTTTTTGCCAACTGAAAACGACTTACCAAAAGCACAGACATACCTTAAAACCACAGAACATTCCGCCCACTCTAAAAGGCCATAGATAGTTAAAAGCCAAAGGCCTGGTTAAAAAAGAATGTTTTTGCCTGGCGGCCAAATATATGCAAGGTTAGCCTCCCCGGGAAGAACATTCCATAAATGGGGAGCCACCACCGAAAAGGCCTATTCTCATGTTCTCACAATCTGGGTAAGTGGAACAGTGGAAGGAGTAGACACATAGGTGCAGGTGAGGTTCAGATAACCGCAGAGAGAGATACTATACAAGGGCTGGTGAAACTAGGCCAAGCTCTGCAACAGAAATGAACCCAGAAGGAATTTAAGACTTAGGTAAGCAACAATGATGAAAATGGGCAGCAATTACAGGCACAGGAACATCACAATGAAAGAGACTGAGGTGGAGGGGGCAGGGGACAGTGGCGCCTAGCAAAACTGTGGGTGGAGTTTCCACACGCATGCTTGCCTGAGTACTTGCACACTTGGTTGGGTGTGGTTAATTCCCCCCCCCCCAGGGTTTTTTCAGGTGATACCTGAAAAGCAAGCTATTGATATCTCACAGAAAGGAAGGCAAAGTGCATGGCAAGCAACTGAGGCAGCGAGACCACAGCATGCAAGAATTTGCCAAGAGACCCACAACCTCCCAGACAAGCAGATCCCAGCTGAGAAAGTACCACCTGCCACATTCCCCAGGCTGGTTTTGCACCAGACAACCACCCCATTCCAGACTTCCAGAAGGGAGGAACCAAAATCAGAAACCAGATGCCTGCAGTTAAGAAGACAGAGGCAGGAAACTCCCTGGACAGGTGTTACCCAGCTGCGCAAGAGAGCCAGGAAGCTGCTCTTGGATGAATGCCATGGCATCTGCAGTGGATGGAGGCGGCTGGACAAAGAGGGCCTTGGAGAAGTGGGCATGTGCCCGATGCACAGGAAGGGAAGGGGAATGGAGGGAAACAAAGAAATCCACACACACACACACACACACACACACACACAGTGCCAGCAGGTTGAGTCTCTTGTCTATAAGAACACTCCAAGATCCATCAATTCCGCCCCCCACCCCAGCCACTTTTCTCCAATTCTCTCTTGATTCTACAGGGACCACAGCTGATCTGAAAGAACCAGCTCATGCATGCATGCACCCACCCCTCTCACCGTGCTTCTCTTCTCAACCCGCTGTTGATTCACCCACTGTAGCTTCTGCTCCAGGACGGGATTCTCCAGCTCCAGAAGGCGTGCAAACATTAAGCACTCTGAAGCATACTCATGCCCTATTAAAAAAAGAAAAGGAGCAGGCAGTCAACAGCGGCTGCGCTGATGCAGGGATTCATCCTGCTGAGTTTCACTCCCAGTGACCCTCTAGTGCCTTCACCTCCTCCAATTCCCAACCAGCCACTGCCCTACTTCAGGACCAGCGTAGAAGGAGATGGGCATCGTTTCTGCCCGTGCAGCTCTTCCAACTCCTACCTGGCCAAAGCAGTGTGTCTTCAGCAAGATCAGCTGCTGTGTCCAGCGATGCCAGCATTGTTTCTGGCGTCCCTTCAAATATCCGACCTGAACGGTTAAGCAACAAGGAGTTAATTTCTACAGGGAAGAAGCACAAAAATAAAGTGCTTCCTCACAGCCAGACAGAAACAAAAGGAGTTGCTTTATACCAAATCAGACCACTGATCTGTCTAGCTCAACATTGTCTCCACTGACTGATGGCGGCTTTCCATGATTTCAGACAGGGATTGAACTTGGGACATTTGCACGCAAAGCAGATGTTCCACTGCTGAGCTACAAGCCTTCCTCTGACACCTTCTCTCCCCTTAAGTGTCTCCTCTCTCACAGACACTGCACACCTCCCAGAAACGAAGACCAAATCCCCTCTCTTCTCTTCCCATCAACAATCTTGGCGCTTGTTGTAGATGCCTCCACACAAATTAAGCACTGGGAGCACAAGTGCAGCTGCTGCCTTCTAGTGCCTAGGGGAAGCTTCCATATGTTGAGAAGCACAACCTCCCAGGAAGCAATGGCTATCCTATATCCCCCTTCCCCACTGACTTACCACAGCCGGAGAGGAAAAGGAGGTCTCCTGAGAAGAGAGAGGCTGGCCCTTCAAAAGGTTTGCCATCCAGCACATACACCATATGACCCACAGTGTGTCCCGGTGTGAAGAGCGCCTTGAAGTTCAGACGTCCTATCACAATGGTCTCTTTATCTGAGAGGGGACTGGAATGCAACGGTTGGGTTTGAGATCATGAGGAGGAAGGAAAACCATATTGCCAGCCTGGAAGACCTTAGCATGGCCCATAGGCCAACCGAGATGTTGGCCCCCACCAAGGGCACAGAAATCACACCTCCGTGGCTAGGAGGCTGACTGCCTGTCTGCATGCTCCTCCACTGCTCTGGGCGGCTGGGCTGCAAGCGTTGGAGGGGGCGCCGATATAGCTCCTTACCAATGGTGCAAAAGAGCCTAGGTATGCCTCTGCACAGAGGAGACTTGGACCCCAGTTCTTGACTGGCCAAATGCTTCCTATGGAAAATGTCATAGCAGCTTGCCATAGAGCGAGGGTGGGGGGACGTTTGCCCTGGCAAGGGCCACATTCCCTTGAGGATAATCTGTCAGATGCCACACCCCTTTTTCCTCTCTCTTTTTTATCCCCTCTGCCCAATGGGCTGTTTAAAGGTAAAGGTAAATGGACCCCTGACCGTTACGTCCAGTCACAGACGACTCTGGGGTTGTGGCGCTCATCTCGCTTTACTGGCTGAGGAAGCCAGCGTACAGCTTCCGGGTCATGTGGCCAGCATGGCTAAGCCACTTCTGGCAAAACCAAAGCAGTGCACGGAAACGCCGTTTATCTTCCCGCCGGAGTGGTACCTATTCATCTACTTGCACTTTGACGTGCTTTCGAACTGCTAGGTGGGCAGGAGCAAGGACCGAGCAACGGGAGCTCACCCTGTCGTGGGGATTCGAACCGCTGACCTTCAAATCGGTTCCATTGCTCCATCCATTTAGTGATCCCACCCCATATTTCCACCCCGCCCCTCACTCTCTATCTGGGACCTTCCAGCCTTCATGAAACTGGGCTGAGGGGCCACAGATTGCCCATCCCTGCTTAGGAGGAGGAGGAGGAGTCAGGAACACTAGCAAATGCTGCAGATGCCTGCTGCTCCCCAGGAACCTTTTTAGCAGAGATTAGAAAACTTCAGATTATTCTTTACAGCCTCCCGACAGATCCCCAGCTAATGGGAGGATTTGCCTTTACATTCCAGGCTCAGCAGGGGAACATTTTATCCAACACTTATCCACAGGGGAGGAGAAATAAAAAGGTCACTTACTCTGTCAATTCTGGGATGTCGTCATAGCTGCTGCCATAGACTCGGCAAGAGCTGTGCCGCCGCCTCAGTGCTGCATTGCCTCCACTGTGATCCCTATGAGAGAAAACACGCTTGTTATAAAGCCACAGTGTAAAAAAAAAGCTCATCTACCTACCGGTCCTCATTTCACCTACCGGATTTCAGTGCCCAGAGCCAGAGGTGTGTTCCCAAACAAGGCATGATGGGTGCAATTCCCTCCCAGCTGCGTCACACAGAATGAAGAGTCCCAAATATTATATTCTTTCCCTGCCCCCTCCGCAAACGTCTGCATATCCAAAGATGGCTGCAGAGCATTTGCTCAGCACACCTGTATTTTGAGGCCTTCTAGGGCCCATCGAGGGAAAGGGAAGGAGGGAGCCCCCTTACCAATGCTTGTGAGTGCATAGGATGGCCTCCAGCGTCACGCCCTCTTCCTCGATGACCGACTGCAGAGAGAGAGAGAGAGAGAGAGAGAGGTTTATAGAAGAGGCCCATGTCCTGCATCCCAGGAAAAGGCAGGAAAGAAAGCTAGCCTGAAACAGAGGAACATCCTCCTGCTCTGTATAAGATCAACAGGTGCTGCATGGCAAAGACAGGAGAGGGGTTTATGGCACTGCAGGAACCAGAGTCACACAGCACAGCCAGAGGGACTGAGAAAGGCAAGGCAGCTGATCCCTATTTCAGGGCTTAGATAAGTCTAGCAGAAGGCCCTTCCGATAAGATATGTGACTCAACAGGGCAGGAGAGAGCAGTCTGGAAAGCGACAAACACACAATAGCATCACAAGCAAATGTGAAGGGCAAAGAGATTTCTAAACTGATTCTTTAAATAAAAAAAAAGTATGTAAATGTTTTTAAAAAACAATTGCATGCATAAAGTGCTGTCTTCCAGAACTAATGGATGTACAGATGTCTTATATGCAGACATCCACATGGCATCAAAACAGACTTGGAAAATCATTTACATTAAAAATTAAGCTCACATCCATAGGGTATACTTCAATATAAAGCAATAATATAATTTCTCCACAGCGGCTGCTGTGACTAGGACAGAAAGGGGATTACTGTCCTATTATATTGTTAATAAACAATATAAATAAACTGATCTTCGGTTAGTTTTTTAACTGTTTTGTAAATGTTTTTAACTGTCTCTCTCTCTCTCACACACACACACACACACACACACACACACAGAGAAGCAACACATGAAGTGACAACACAAACTGATTAAGAATAAGTCTCATGCCAGCATACAAGAAAGCATCCAGGCCAAGCTGAACTGAGGGATCTGCAATTGATCTCTTGGCAGGGGCACTGGGCAAAAGGGATGCTGTGCTGTTTTTGTGATCAAAATCCCCACCTGCATTTCTATGCAAGAAAGCGGGTTGGTGGTGCACGCACATGTGTTTTATCACAAAAACTGAAACCTCCAAGCCTTAATTAATCCAGGGGGTGGGGGTAGAAGAGAGACTGCAAAACTTATCATGGCTTTTGGCTTGGCCCTCTAATCATGCAGACTCCTGTTACCACATATGAATTAGGGGATAAGGACAGGGCTTACTAATGAGAGTTTAGTAGTATTTGCAATTTAAATTGCATTTAAACTGGGAGTTACTCCATTATGCCCAGGTGCATAATTGACTGTCTCTTGGTCTCAAGGCAGCAAGGGCACTTCCACCGTGCCAGTATTCTTGACAGGCCCATTTCCCCCAAAGGATCCCATGCATCATCTAAATTTGTTAGTCACTCAATGTCTCCTCCTCTGGGCAATGTACAATACATTAAAGGGCCAGTGTAAGGTTTAATGCCCAAGCCTTCAGCTACTGGGTAGTGCCACCTTCCCCCATCAGAGTTACATATTCCCAGGCCATCTGTCTTCTATCCACTCTGTTCAGCTATAAAAAGGTTACTGGAACTGGAGCAACAGAGCACTATGTTTGTGCATTACATTCGCCTCCCAGAGTGCGTCCAGGCAATGCTGCTCCTTGGCTAGGATTCCTTCCGGTTTGTGTTTGTGGAATTTCCTTGCAGGTACGGGCATATTTTGTTGCTTCTGCTTCAGCATTAAGCTGTTACTTCAACTGCAATTCACACGGCTTCGCTCTCTATCAGAACAGCACCTAGACAAAGCCCCTGAACTGGGTCAAGGAGGGAGGAATTGCTTCCAGCAGCCCCTCACCCTCCAGTTCCAAATCTGGATCCCCAGCTTTTCCTCTCCGGGTCACTGGTCCGGCTGTCTCATCCGGCCACCCGGCATGTCTCCGCCGGCTGCATCTGAACAAAGCAGCACAGCCGCTTCTCAAGTATAACAGGAAGAGCCAGCCGGACGGGAGCCTTTGAAGGGAAAACACGAAACAAGCCCCAAGCAGGAGGGATGGTGCGCATCATGTGAGGCTGCCGCTCTAAACTTGGAATGACCTTGGCCGTGGCCAGCTCCTACTTAGCCAATTGCAGATGGTCAGGAAAGCAGGGTGGCAGGAACCAAAGCCTCAGGCAAGAGGCAGTGAGGAGCAGGCTCTGGGGAGCGGTCAATCACAGATTTAAAATTATCTGGGGGGGGGGGGGGCCTGAAAGCAGCAACTAATACCACTGAAGGAAGTCAAACATGTGCATCTCTGGGCGGGGCGGCTGGCCCCAACTGAATGTAAACAGGGCTCCACATGCCAAGGCAACAGTACAAATTGCATTATCAGTTTTCAGTCTCTGCTTTAACAGCACTTGCCCCTGCAGCAGGGGGGCACTGTCCTGGCAGTTCCCCCAGCCACCCCCAAAAGCAGATGAGGTCTCAGTCAGGGAATGGGTGATGCATGTGCAACCATGTGAGAGAAGTTTGGGGTCTGAATGAGCGGGAGGCCCAGCTGAGCGAGCAGGAAAGCAGCTGGGTGGGTGGCCAAGCAGACCTTAACAGGCTTCCCATCGCTGCCTCCAGTTTGCCCAGAACTCGCCCCTCAACATATTTATGTGAGTGACAGCAGGATCTTGGGACTGGGGTGAGCTATGAGGGGCTGAAGGGGCTGTGAAAGAGTGGCATCTGAAGGGGGAGGGTTGGCAAGGAGGCTGTGGGTTGGAGATGAACATGAGCAAAGGCAGCAACCCCTAGTATTTTGTAAAAGGCTAAACCTGGCTTAGTTTACAACTGATTTAGTGAATGCGGTTTCTTTCTTTTAATGCAGCTTCCTTTTTCTTCTGCTCCCTTTTCTTCTGCTTTAAATAAAATCTGTTCCTTTCATATTTTAACCTTGAAGTTGCTTACCTTTTTTGTCTAGCTGTAGGAACTGGATTACTAGCATTACCTAGAGTACAATTCCCTCCTGCTCTAAGCTTGTAAAGAGAGGGGAGTGGAAAGGACAGATGGAGGACTTGCCTGGCCAGATCAAGGGGCTTACTACAAGGAATCCTCTCGTCTCATATTAATCCTCCACAGCTCCAGGCGCCTCCCAGTATGGGAGCAAGGAGGGGAAATGGGAGGTAGTGGCATTTGAGGATTAACACACACACAATGCTTCCCTACCTGCTTTTTCTGAGAGAAGCCAGGTGGGCCATGGGCCTCTCTGCCACATTCCCATACTGGGAATGGGTGCTGAGAGATTTGCTACCCATAGCAAATGATTCCTGCATTGCAAGGGGGGTGTGTGGACCAGATATGATCCTTTGAGTCCCTTCCAACTGTCCAATTCTATGATGCCATACTTCCTGATTTGCAGCACAGCCAGTTAGCCACTATGCTACGCTAGCTCTTGGTTTAACTTGCAAAGAATCCCAGGAACTATAACCTGCTGATGACACCAGGAACTCTCTAGATTTCTACCCCCTCCCATCCACCTATACTAGAGTTCCCTACAGAAAGCAAAATTGCAGCTATATTAGCAAAAAAATCTACAGAGTAGCTGCTCCACCTGCTCTGTTGGAAGTGCTGTTCCTATGCATAGAAAGAGTCACCCATGTATTTAGGATACTGAAGCCTCTTCTGCAAGTGCAGTGGCTGAACCAGATGATGACCAAACATGCAGATGCCTTCAATGCTATATTATTAATAATAATATAAATGTTTATAAGATGCCTTCCTGGACCAAGTCCAAATATCCCAGATATAGGGATATCTGCCAGGACCTTCTGCGTGCAAGACAGATGCTCTACCACTGAGGTACAGCCCTCCCCCTCTAAATCTGAAGAATCAAATAAGGAAGGAAATGCTAGTCTTGCTCCACAGGGAGAGAGGAGGGGCGATAAATGTCACATTTTGTCTCTCTCACCTGTACCGCCAGTGGGTCAGAGGGGTCTACAGCTGCAGCACAGTTTGAGTCAGTATCAATAACAAGATAGCTGTAGTTATTGGATAGGACAGGGATGGGAAGAATCTTCACTCCTAGGATGACAGAGGCAGACACAGAGCAAAGGAAAGCAGGAAAGTCAACACACCTTAGCAAATGCTGCAATTTTTACGTTAGCATTTATTTTCTTAATACTATCTCTTGTAAAATCACCTTATTTTTTAAAAAAGACATATAATATCATCTAATGTCACACAACACAGACAAAATTATCTATTATCAATAGATGCTAAAGTATTAATAAAATTGCAATATTATAGCAAAATGACATCAAATGCCTTCAGTGCTGCAGCAGACAGGCAGCTTACATATATACACACCCTGAACTCCTTTGGGAGGAAGGGTGGGATATAAACTTAATAAATGACTAAAATATACTTTTAAAAGGACAAAGAAGCACTAAATAATACCACTTCAGACTGCTGGAAGGGGTTCATAGGAGTGAATGCTCCTCCATACAAAGCTGTTCCCTCCAAACAGAAAACCAGCACCTCAGGCTTTTCTTTGACATACTAGTTTCCTACATGGAGGGAATTATTCTGAATGGAGGAGCATTTAGCAACACCCCCCCACTGCCGTCTGAATGGTACAGACCAAATATAGGACTAAGTAACTGTGTGAGAACAAGGCTTGAACTTCATGTGGGTGACCACTCTGTGGGAGGATTGTGGAGAGTCTGTTAGGGCGGTTTGTTGGGGGTTTTCCTTTTTAAAGGGTTGGGTGTGCAAACAGAGAATAAAATGGCCCCAAACACTTGCTTGTTTCTTATGCTGATAAATAAACCTCTGCATAATATAAATGCAAGTACAAACACAAAACAAGAGTTAAGCAAAACTGTTCAAAGCATTTTGGGTACTCTGGAGCAGGAGTGGTGGCAGTTAACAAACAAGTTTATTTAAGCAACTGAGGTATTTCCCCCTCTGAAATAGCAGAAGTGGGGCGCGAGAGAGAGAAAGAGAAAGTGAAATAATAATAAAAAAAAAACCCCAGGCACTAGCTTGCTGCTGCATGTTCATCTTTCTTCAGAAATTCAACTTGCTTATGCCCCTTTGCAAGAGCTTAGGCACAAGGAACAGTGTTTAGAGTCTTGCACGTGTTAAAAAAGAAAACCTAAACTCGAAACAGAAAGCCCCAGTTCTTCCAATTTCAGGTGTGGTGTGTAATTAATTTCGGGCCTCAAATGTCTGGATTTTCAGGAGGGGTTCATGGGGGAAGCATCTCAAGCAGCTGGATTCCATAATGGAGTCAAGATTTTGCACTCTGCACACACCACTCTGCAGGTGTTGCCTCTGACCATTAATCGCCTGGAAATTTAATCAAAAGAAATACTCAAGCAATGCACCTCGAAGCAGCAAAGCACACGGGCTAATCGGAAATGCATTGGCAAAAAGACTGGGCACTCACCGCTGAACACCACAGGCTGGGGAACAGAGTGCCCCTGGGGGTAACGCTCCCGCGCTTTCTTCACCTGACGCTTGTAGAACAGGTAGCCCAGCCGAGTGTGGGCATAGAGATTATACCTGAGGGACAGGAAAGACCAATAGTGAGCTGAGCCTGAACATGTTCATAAACATCATTGACATCATTCCTTCCATCAAGAGTATGCTTAACCATGCAAAGAGCTAATAGCTGTTTCTGTCTAGCTTCTATAGCAAAGCCAAGTAAATTTCTATAGACAGCTGCAGGCTACAGGGATTAAAACCCTGGGAATCTAGCACAGCACAGATCCACCCAGCCATGCTGGCGATGCTGCTTCAGATTAATGGCTTGTACTTGGAATATGCCAGGTCTCTCTCAGCCTCCTGCATTATTATTTCTTTTCAAATAATATTTAAATAAAATTATGATAGCACTATTTTGCTTTGCACTTTTTCACAAGCTGTCGCCTAACCAAGCAGTTTACTTGTTAAATGTTCTCCCCTACCACTCCTAAGTGTGAATGCCAGGAGAACAGGGCTTCATTTCAGCCAGTGCTCAGCCCAGCAAAGTTGCTTTCAGCACAAAACTTTTACATTCAGAGCAGGTTTGGTAATATGGAAGAGTGCAGCTGAGCATGAGCAAAGTGCCCTTTCCTTCCTACTATGTGAGCTGGCCTCCACAAAACTGAGGTAAGTGAGATGGCTTAACTCTCAGGACAGTCTAAACTACAACTGTAGGATCTTCAAAGTCTGCTATAGATTCTCTGTTGCTCTGCTGTGGAATATTGTGTCTCTTATCACAGGCAGGGTAGAGTACTGTCAAGCACTAGTAAAATCTGCTGAGCTACGAAAGTACAGTAAATAGTCAGGTACATGGAATTGAAAAGGGACCAAAAAAACCAGCTGATTTGGTTAATATACAGGACAAAACAAGTGCACTACAGAACAGTGTAAGAAAACTCTTGCTATGCCAAGCTACTTGCTACATACTTTTCTTTCCTGACATTTTTTTATTTGTTACATTTGGTATATTTTTCTATAATGCACTTCACACCCTCCATTTTGAAGGCCATGCAAAAGCTCTAATTATTTCTGAACCTGTAGACACTCCCCACATATTTCCAAGCTTTGCTCCATAGCCATGAGGGCTTAAAGCTTATAATTAAAAAAAACACACAAAAGACTGGATGCTCTCATAAACCCTTTAGACTTTTCAGCCAAAAGTCTGAGTAATACTATTGAAAGTATAACACATGAATTTCAGAAGCCAAGTCATCTCAAGATGATTTGTGGGGCACGCACACATTAAGCAATCTGAAGGAGTCAGTGGGTATCACTGTTGCTCTGGACTCCTCTATGCCTCCAGGACCATCAACTTCAGAAACCACAATGATCCAAACCGAGGAGGAAAAAGAAGCAGCAGCAGAAAGAATCAAGCTTGCTATTTTATTCAAGCTGCTTGGAAGTTATTGCTGATGCCTAGTCACACATCACATGAGACCTTGGCATCTTAGATGATGGAAACCTTGTAAGATTAGAAGACAACACAATACTATCACATGCAAATAGCATAACAATGGACGTGGAATGACATGTTGTTGTTGTTTAGTCGTGTCCGACTCTTCGTGACCCCATGGACCAGAACACTGCTGTAATGTTTCAAAGAATGTGCTAGAATGTGTCAAAGTGACCTGAGAAAAGTACTGCCAAAAAGAAAGGGGTCCCAGTCCTAGTTTCACTCCCAACAGGTTACAGTGGTACCTCGGGTTAAGAACTTAATTCATTCTGGAGGTCCGTTCTTAACCTGAAACTATTCTTAACCTGAAGTACCACTTTAGCTAATGGGGCCTCCTGCTGCCACCACGGCACCGGAGCACGATTTCTGTTCTCATCCTGAGGTAAAGTTCTTAACCCGAGGTACTATTTCTGGGTTAGCAGAGTCTGTAACCTGAAGCATCTGTAGCCCAAGGTACCACTGTATAGAAATGTATAGTCCATGCCAGGGGTTTAGAAGCTCAGGCCTGCAGGCTTATTTAGGCTTAGCAGGGGGCTCACAGAGTCATCAGAAGAGAGGTGATATTTTCTTCACAAATCCATTTTTGACATCTGTTCCTTTGATTAAAGAGTCCCAGCAGTGCAATGTTTCCCTTTGGCGTATACACAACACAGCTGAAGTGAAACCATTAATTGCTCTTCAACGCTGCATTTTCCCCAAGTATCTCAGATTCCTAGGAATTTACCCAGAAGTGACTTCTAACTCCCAGCGGTTCTCTCCTCAACACATCAGCTTCCAGAGAAACATGCCAGCATTTTCTCTGATGTGCTGTTGTAGAGACAGCAAGAGGCAGCTACAGTTCATGATCGCAGTGAGTGGGCAGAGTTGGGGGGAGAGAAGAAAGATCAGAGAAGCACTGTGAGGTAAAGCTATGCAAGCGGGACTTGCTGATCGGAAGGTCGGCAGTTCGAATCCACGGATTTGGGGTGAGCTCCTGTTGCTCCTGTCCCAGCTTCTGCCAACCTAGCAGTTCAAAAGCATACCAGTGCAAGTAAATAAATAGGTACTGCTGCGGCGGAAAGGTAAACGGCGTTTCAGTGCACTCTGGCACTTGTCATGGTCCTCCGTGCACCAGTAGCAGTTTAGTCATGCTGGCCACATGACCCGGAAAGCTGTCTGTGGGCAGATGCTGGCTCCCTCGGCCTGAAGCGAGATGAGCACTGCACCCCATAGTTGCCTTTGACTGGACTTAACTGTCCAGGGGTCCTTTACCTTTACCTTACCTGGTAGAGATGAACACAGGTTCATCCAGCAGACTTTCTGAATAAAATTTCAGGCCCTATACCTGGGATCTGCCTCTGCATTAACCAACATCCTCTACTGCCAAGACAGAAAAACCAAGCACTTTGCATTGCACAGCCAACGTTCTCTCCAGCATGTCAGCCAATTGCACCAGCAGAGACTGTTCAGTCAGAACTGTACAGTGTGTTACACAGAGCTACACTTTGTCCAGTTGCTTTATCTTAGAAAAACAGGGCCTTACAGAGTATTATCTTCAGAACACTTTGAAATCCAGCCAGCTTCTCTCCCCCAGAGCCGTTTCCTGGAAGAAAGACCCATCTTCAAGCTGTGTCCACAGTAACTTCCTCCAGCAAATCAAAATCTGAGAGCCGCCAACGCTCCATGAACTGTCAGCTATTGTTTAGGATGAGCTAGTGCCAACTGAAATAATGGAAGTTATTGCATGCCTTCGGTGCACATCTAGAGCAGAAGCTGCAGGGACCGTGTAGATCAGGGATGTGAAACCTCCAGCCTGCGGGCTAAACACGGCCCACCAGGCCTCCCCATTTGCTATGCAAGGCAATTCTGGGCAAACCATGCCCACCTATCGTACCTGACTGTCTGAAATTTTCCAAGCAGTGTTGAAAGAGCAGTAGGGGGCTATTTGCAGAAGGAATTTCAAGCAGCCCCATACTGCATCTTTAAGCCCAGTGTTGAAGCTGCAACACACAGCATCACCTGTCAAATTTGGACCAGCATGCGTGGGAAGAAAAATCCTGGGTTCAGGATCATTCCCCATCCCTGACCCACATATTCAAACTAATTTTGCCAAAGCAGAACCCTAACAAATCAGCAAAGGTTAGACAATTGCAAATTGCAAAAACACAGCTCCTTAGGGCAAAGTCACAGGAACATAGAAGGCTACTTTATGATGTGTCACTACATTGGTCTATCTAGTTTAGCATTCGTAACATTACTGGTGGCATCAACCTAGTACTCTTCGGCTGTTCTTGATTACAACTCCAATCCTTTTTTTTTTTAAATAATTTTTTAAAAAGTTTTAAACAACAAAGAAAGAAAAGAAAAACGTACACCAAACATATCTCAAAAAAAGATAACAAAAACACACAAAAAAACAAGATTCAACAATAAAAGAACAAAAAACATAACAATTAAAAACCATATCTCTTTTCCATTACCGTTTTTTAGTTACTTATTTTCTGGACTTCCTCATACCTCCCTCTTTTGTATTCCAATTCAAATTGTTTGTCCAGCAATTTCTTTTCCACTTTTTTAATCCCAATCTTTAGCTTTAATAAGATATTGAAATATATAATTTCAGCTTCTTTAAACCCGATCTTTAGTCTTAGTATCATATAACATTAAAATTTTCCCTCTTAATTTCAAATTTCCATTTCTTTAAACATCTTTAATCTTAATCTTTAATCTTAGTCTGTCATTAACTTTAACCTGTACAGCTGGAAACCACTTATTTTCAATCCAACATCGCTCTAACATTCTTTAATTTTGCAATGTTTCTGAAGATAGTCTTTGAATTTCTTCCAATCTTCCTCCATCGACTCTTCTCCCTGGTCACGGATTCTACCAGTCATTTCCGCCAATTCCATATAGTCCATACAACTCCAATCCTGGTCAGGGGAGATAGGAGTTGAGCTCCAAATCACCTGGAACATACCAGGTTAAGCGAGATCACGCTTAACTGTGGCTTCCTTTCTCCCAGTCACACCGGGGGGGGGGGGGGGGCAAAGCAGGAAAAATCCAAAAACAAACACTAGCATGAAATACTGGCTTGCCACAATGTGTGAATGAGGGTGATCGATCAGTGTATTATCCCCATTCCACAGATAAGGCAGACCAAGGCTAAGGAATAGCGGCTTGCCTAAAAGCACCTAGCAAATCTGGGGCAGAGGCTTCACAATTCAGCCACTGTGCCACACTATTGCAGATGGGACACTGCAAATGAAGGATCTGTAAAAGCACACTTCAGCATTAAAAACATCTGCTCAGTATTTGATTTCAATTCAGTTGTCAGAATAGCTTTATATAACAAACTATGCTGGTTCCACCTTTCTGGCAAATCAAATTGATATGAATTTAATCACAAACCTTTTATATTTGGGGAGAGGAGAGACAGGGTTAAAATTGCTGCAGCCCCATCATTCCATGGGGTTTCCTCATCTTAGTGGATTCTTTTTTCTTTAACATCAACAGTGGCTGATTCACAGGAAGTATTATGTCCCACCAAGGAGGAGGACGCTAAGCAAGCTCAATAGAAAGCCAGTGCAATCTTGGCATATATCCACCACCCCCACTTATCTTCCACCCACATAGTCTTTTTGTTTTGGTAACCTGTCAATAACCTGTCAACTTGCCCTCTTCTCCAGGAAGAGCTACAAGCTGCCTGGACCTAGACTGGAGACCAAGACACCCTTTCTGAGAACAAGTTGCTTTTATGAACTTGCCCAGGCTCAATTATTTGACTCACCATATTTTTTTGCTTGACTACAGTGCCTGGTTGTTTTGTCAAATAGTGAACACCAATGTTATCATTGCCTTAATGCAGGGGATGGGAACTGATGGCCCTCCGGGTGCTGTTAGATTCCTATCAGTCCCCACAGCCAGCATGCTCAGTGGTCAGGGAGTCCAACCACATCTGGATGGCTACAGGTTCCCTAGCCTTGCTTTAATGGCTATAGATGATTCCCTACATAAGAAGCACATCTGGAGGGACTGGATCCAAGCCAAGTGCTTGGCAGATTGTGGGCGAGAAAGAAAGCTTGATAGTATTTTAAATTTAGAGAAGGACAGGGAGAGTTGCAAGTTGACTGAAAGTGAAGCGTCTCTCTCACTCTGGGAAGATCTCCTGCATTGTAGGAGAGCCCATGTGCTCTGCTTATGCATTTGTAAATAACACGAACACTGATGAGAGGGCACCATAAGTCTCCAGTATTCCTTATCCAAAGGAAACGTAAGGCTGCAGTTTAACCCAGTTTATTCCTGACGTTTCCCTAACTGTTGATTTCTACATTATATCTGAGCTTTCACATGATGTAAAAGTCACTTCCAGAACAATAATGGATCATAGTGCAGGTTTAGTGCTCATTTCTGTATTGTCTGCAAACTGCTTTTTTTCTGGAAGCAAATAACATTCCCGTAACACTGAGCAGGGTCTAGAACTCATTACACAGCCTACCTTCCGCAGAGATGGAAGGAGAGAAAAAGACATGTTTCTTCCACCATTGAGTCTGCAAAGGCAGCAGAGCTGCTTTGAGTGATAGGCGGGTGGCGGGGCGGGGGCTTCCTTCATGCAGATCACAATGACAACTGTATTGATCACTTAGCAACCCACATCTGTTATACCTTTTGCAAATAAATCACTCATATCTGTGCTGATCTAAACACCACTATTGATACAATATGATTACTAAGCATTACCGCATTATCTTCTACTTGCTGCTATTGTTGGGATGAATTTAAGGCACTGTGATTCTCCAGCGGTTTGACTTCACCCCAAGAGGCACATGCCATTGTCTCTTAAGACAGATGGATGTCAACATGGTGGCAGAAGGAAGTTCTTCTGTGAATGGTCTGTAGGCAGCGGTTAGAACAACAAGGTGTTGTGGGTCTGGTGTATGCACAGAGGTGAGACCTCCTAGGAATCCTATGTATGTTCCCTTGGAAGAAAGGGTGGCACTGTGGTCTAAAGCACTGAGCCTCTTGGGCTTGCCGATCAGAAGGTTGGCGGTTCAAACCTCTGCGATGGGGTGAGCTCCTATTGCTCGGTCCCTGCTCCTGCCAACCTAGCAGTTCAAAAGCATGCCAAAAAGTGCAAGTAAATAAATAGGTACCACTCTGGTGAGAAGGTAAACGGCGTTTCCATGCACTGCTCTGATTTCGGTGTTCGTTGAGCCAGAAGCGGCTTAGTCATGATGGCCACATGACCTGGAAAAACTGTCTGCAGAGTGGACAAACGCCGGCTCCCTCGGCCTGTAAAGCGAGATGAGCGCCGCAACCCCAGAGTCATCTGTGACTGGACTTAACTGTCAGGGATCCTTTACCTTTACTGTTTTTAGCAGGATTATTATAACTTACTGTCTTATGGCATAAGTGATGGGCCCTGGATAAGGTGGGTTTAAAAGATTTGTCAAATGATAGCTAAACAAGACCTCCATTTCAGAGACAGAATATAACTGGCTATCAGCTGTTAGGGAGCAACGAAGATGGAGGGAGCTCCTTATTGCCCTCATGCCCTGCTTAAGGGCTTGTTAGAAGCCCTTGGCTGACCTCTGTTGGAAACAAGAGGCTAAACCTAGATGGACCCTTGGTCTGATGCAGCAGAGCTCCACTTATGTTCCTAACCAAGTCCCTTTCTGTAGCACAGAAAACAGACGTGGCAGAACAGGCTGGGAGGGAGGAACTTACGCATGATGCTAATGAAACAGATGGCTAACTAGATGTAGGATTATAAAGTGAGCACTGTGTCCCTGCTGTGAAGGGCTGCCACCCACCTCCAACCCCCCCCCCAGGCTTGAGCAGAAACTGAAGGTGGAAATGAAGGCCAGATCAATGCAAGTGGGCAGGGCAGAAGACACACATCAAGCCATGGTAAATATATAAGAATGCACAGTTCGCTCTAGGATTACCATGTCTGTGTGTCTTTCTTCATATGTCTGAGGACAGCCAGAAGGGTGGATTTAAACACCATCTCCTAAGCTATGTCTGATGGGAGGAATGTAAATTGCGCACTTATGCTACACTACAATCAAGGGATAACGCCAACACATTCTTTGCATACTGCAAACAAAACAGAGGCTAAAAAGAGATTAAATAATAGTAATAATTCTTAGGCCAAGATAATTGAAATGTGTACCATTTGCCAGAACAGAAACCTCTTCACCAAAAGGAAAGAGGCAAGAGTAACTAACTGCCTTTAGGAGGCAAGCTGAAACCAGCATTTAACACTCACAGAAGTTTGTGTCAACTGCTGCAGCAGCTTCAAGTGGAACTTGTGATACTTTTTTCCGCAGAATTTTCTCTTTCTCAAAACCCAAAGCAAAATTTTCCATGCCTACTCTTTACCTCTTGCAATTTGTTTGTGTGTGAAAATTAGACCAGTGCTAAAACAGGCAGTCAACTGACACCAGCGAACCAAAATTAAGTATGCACAAACTCTCCTCATATTGGTCATACAAGGTTGCAATATGTAGAGTTCTTGACAGAATAGTTCCTCTGACCTGGGTGCTTTAGCCTGCACCAATGGGTGAGAAAAGACGCACTCGTATCTTTAAGGCTGCCAGATACAGAATAGCAAGGTTTTGTTCAGGTGAGGAGCAGGCAGAAGTTCGAGTGTGGTGATAGAAACCACCCACTAAATCACCACCACAGATCTGCCCACCTGCAAAAATGCCTTAGCCTGTTTCCACACCAGCAGTGGCCTCAGATGTCCAGCAGGTCATGTTCACTATAAGAGTTTTCTGCAAAAAGAGGAAATGGGGATTTTTAAAAGTACAGGCTGGCATTTTGATGATGGTTACAACATTATGTGGGCAGCGTGATAAAACTGGATGCATGAGCAGCCGTTAGATGCACTAGAATTCTTGTAAGCCCTCCTTGAGAGTTTCTTTTTGTCCGGAAAGGTGGGGTATGAATCTATTTTTAAAATACATAAAATGAAAAATAAGTGTGCTTATGACCCACCCATTTCAATGGAGCTGCACTTTCTCACAATCCATTTTTAAAATGAATACTTTTTTTTTTTTTAGCTTACACGGCACCACAGCATTAACAATAGACTGGGAAAAATACACCAGGTTCCTAGCCTCAAGTGTTGAAGGCATGAGGCCCTCTACAGAGGCAAGAAAGTACCGGTAATTAAAAACCCAGCACCAAATTGTGGGGAGCCCAAACATCACAGTGCTTTGAGCCCTACAGCCAGGGAGGGAGGGCTGAAACTGCAATGTCTGTCACCATCACCACCTGGTCTCTAATTTGGAATTAGTACTTTATACCAATGGAGCCATTTAGGGTGGGGTGGGCACTGCCCTCTGCAATTATTCCTCAGGAACATCTATATTTATAACCAACTCACTGGCTGCATCACAAGGTGACCGCCATTATGAACTATTAAATCTAAGCTATTATAAGCATGTGAAAGACATAACACCCTGCGTTTAAAAAGAAACAGTGGGAGATTTACTATTGGATCCATGTTAAAACATTGCTATGGCTATTAGGAAGTATAAAAACGTATGGCCTCAAAAATACTATCTTGCCATTTAATTTGATCGTGACTACATCCCAGAGTGCTGAGAATCTTGCTCCACTGTCACAGATGTCTCCCTCTTCACCCAATATCTGAAACTTGAACCCCTGACTCTCAAAGCAAAGGTTGCATTTCTAAGATGTACATTTCCCCAAATTGACAGAAGCTGCAATGTTTAATGGTACGGAGTACATGCAGATGGGAAGGCAGCTTAAGCAGGTGGGTGGGAGAAAAACCAAAGCAAAGCCCTTTGTAGAATTAAAAAGCCCCCACCTGTACCAATGGAACACAGTATCTCCACTGTTAAACTCAAGAGCTGCTTAAACACACGAAACAGCATGGCAAGAATAACGCTTTTAACTTGGATAAAAGAACAAGTTTTGGGAAAGAAGAAGCTAAACTACAAAAAGTATTATTAAAAAACAATAAGAAAGTATTATCCAGAACTTATGATTTGATATTGGAATAGGACCTAAAAGATGAAGAAATAAAAGAATTAATGGTCAAATGGGCCCAAGACATTGGCCATACAATACAGATAGATCAGTGGGAAAGGCTCTTGAGGTCGGATATTAGGTTTACCGCCTGTTATACCATTAAAGAAAACCTAATTTTATAGGTGGTACATGACGCCTTCCAGCCAAGATATATAAGTTAAAATCCAATTTATGTTGGAAATGTAATAACATGGAGGGGACTATGATTCATGTATAGTGGGGCTGCGAAAAAGTCAAAATATTCTGGGGATGTATTCATGAAGAGTTAAAAAAGATGTTTAAAACCTCTATAGAAAAGAAGCCAGAGACGTACTTATTGGGTATTGTCGGAAAGGATATCCCACAGGATAAGAAAATACTATTTTTATATGCCACAGCCACAGCCAGACTATTACTTGCAAAAAATTGGAAAGGAGATAGTATCCCCACAAAGGAAGACTGGATATGTAAATTATGTGAATTTATAGAAATGGCGAAGTTAACAGCAGCCATAAGACATCAGACAAATCAGAAACTAAGGTCGGAATGGCAATGTTTTGAGGATTATATGAAAAAACACTGCTCTAAGGATAATATGTTGATATGCATAGACTAAGTATGTAAAGTAGAAATAAATAAAATTAATATACTAGGAATATCAGAGATAAGATATGTAAGACGCAATGTCAATAAGATGTTAAAGAATAAGGAATGTCAAGTAGTGGGGGAGGGAAGTCACATGGGTGTAATATCTCTTTTGTTATTATTTAGTATTTTTGTTTGATTAGCGTATATTTTTGTATAACATAGCATAAGAACTGTAATCTCCCTCCCCCCTCGATTCAATAATAATAAAGAATAATGCAGCACCCGAGAACTGCCAGCAATAGCCCCCCTCAAGGAGCCTGTTCACTGCAGTGCAATGGCATTTGACAGCAATTAAGCAGGCGACAGCGACACAGTCAGCATCTTGATCAGCCAACACTGCAGCTTCAAACCATCCGGCCTGGAAACTGCACTGATGACAAGCTTGGGCTTATCTTTCTTCAGCCCGACTGTCCTGCACAGAGCACAAATCAAAATTGGCCCCTGGAAATGTTTCTAGCACACTAGGGAGAATGTTTTGTTCCACTCTATTTCCCCCTCACTGCCTGAGGTCTTAGCACTGCACCTCCAAAAGTCCAAACACAGAGAAGATTAGGATCAAAAGGCTCATTCTCTCCCCCCCACACACACCTTATTGACTTTAGAGAAAGACGAGTCAGAAGGAGCAAAGTCCCTCCACGTTAAGCATTTAAAAGCATTAGATGAAATTCCAGCAGCCTGGCAGACAACCAACAATGCAAGCTGGGTACCTTGGCAACAAGACACACCGAAATATGCTTTCTAATGTTTTGGAGTTTTGTTTTTTTTAGAGAAAGACAGCTAGCAGTCCAAGGTCTCACCAGTGCTTAAATTCCAGAGTAAGTGATGCTGTAAGCGGTTCAAGTGTTGGTTCTATATTACTGAAGGAAGGAGCTCTTAAGTGTACACACTTTGAGGCACATTAAAAGTACATTCCCCCCCCCCCCCAAGACCCTTTTATGTGCTCCAGGTCTAATTTGTTTAATGTTTGACATCGTTTTTATACTGCTTTTATGTGTTTATTAAGGATCTGCTTTACTGTATTTTGATGTGTTGTTTCTTCTTCTTCTTCTTCTTCTTCTTCTTCTTCTTCTTCTTGCAATCTACCCTGTCAACTGAGTTACAAGGCAGCATATAATTCTCCCTGCCCTACCCCCCCCCCTTTTAATCCTGCGCTTCCTCCAAGGACAAGTTGAGGAGGTGGTGGTTGCAACACTGAATACGGCAGTACATATAGTCTTCCCCCTAGCCATTTTATTAAGTTGAAAACAGGCAAGCTGTTTCCTCCAGATGTTTCGGACGCCAGCTCTCATCAGCCCCAGCCAGCGTGCCAGTGGTTTGGAAAGTCTGAGTTGTAGTCCAACAACATCAGGAAGAGGCAAAGGTTAGCCATCCTTCAAACAACCCTGTGTGAGCACAGCATCCTGAGATATGGAGAGCCCAAAATCAGCTTTTTGACCCTGCCCCTCTCCCTGTGATCTAAGGCTAAGTACACATTAGCTGCTTAAAACACACCACAGTGCATCAGACAGGAGCAGAAACTACAGGATACTTAAGGCTTGTGGCTATGGCTAACATAATGTGTACCTGGCTTCAAACAACAGCGGTGGAAGCACACTGGAGCCAGAGTAAATGGTAATCTGTATGAAGCTTCAGTTGACCATTCTGTCCACTACTATACCATAGTAGCTATGGTTGTGAGGCGGGGAGGAAAGCACTGTATAGATGCTCAAAAGCTATTCTTACTTCATACACCCCAGAGCTAAGCCCTATTTCCAAGGACTTAAATGTCACAGAGGCTCAAGTTTTGGATTCAGAGTTATTTACATCAGCCCAAGGCACTCACTGTGCCTAACTTCAAAGACTCAAGAGTCCACACTACTAATAATATTTCAGGCTTTAATCATGGAAAGGGAGAAGGGGAAGAGTGGAAGAGAGAACTAGGAGGCCAGGGAGGGTAAAGACAGGGGAGATACACAATGGCCTGCTGAGGAGGCTTGTTCAGACAATTCAGTTTTTCAGGTCATGGAGGCACAAGCAAAACATGCAGACTGGATGCCTTTCCTTCCTGCAGCAATGTTTTATAGAAACGGTGCCTTTCGGGCAACTTCGGGTGCTTCTGAATGAAGTGTTCACTGAACAGTCACCCTGTTTTTATGCAGGGAGGTTTTATGCAATGTTGGCTATTATAGTGAGCGTCCCTCATGATTTGTTTGTGGGGAGGTTATATGGTGGTGTGTCAAAGTTAGTGCTATCCCACGCTTTCCAGGGAATTTTCTCGCCACATGCCTTATTGCAGGAAGTTAGATCTTTTGGGGAAGCCGATTTGTTGTGCAAGACCTTCCTATCAACTGTAATTGCACAATCCTAATTAGCTGGTATGTTGACTGAATCTCAACCAAAAATTGTGACAGTCTGGAAACCCCCGAGATAACTTACCCCAGGCTTTTTCTATGTTTGCTTCATCTATAGATTTTTAGACTTTCCGCTGCACCAATTAAAAGAGAAAAGTTCACATTAAAATGAAACAAAAACTGCAGGAGTAAAAGTGACATCCTAAGTACGCTTTCTATAAAGAAAGCTAGAAGGAACCCAGTCAGTCTTACTTTTGGTAAACAGATTTCAGACTGGGCTGCAAATTGTGCGTCCAGGAGTGTATGAATATATTGTAAGATGCCTAACACCTGCCTCCTTGTGTTTGTTGAAGCTTAGCCATGTGATTTAGCCTTGTAAATAAATTCACATCTGGAATCCCACAGAAGAAAAGCACCTTAGGGTACTGTACTGTCACACCACTTCTTAAAACTATAATTTCCTAAGGCTGCTTCATATTAAAGTACTCAGTCAGGGTGCTTCATAAGAAGCATTTGCAACAAGTAGTTGGGCCCCCTAGCATAATAGCTGCAGACAACAAGATACAGTATTTGCAAAGCAGAGCATTGGTGGTTCAGATTAAAAAACTATGCTATGGAGCAGAGTTGCAAAATCCAGAATGTTATCAACTACAAGGAAAGACTGATTTCCAGGGCTTTGTCAGGACTGAAAGAAGGACACAAACCATCTGCAGTTGGATCCCAGGGCTGCAAATATTTTGAATGGCCAGAGTAAGGGGAGAAAAGAGAGGACAGGACTTCTGCACTTTTAAGAGTTCTATAGAAGAGGGAAATTTCAGCAGGTGTAGAAGCTACAATGTGCTTACATTTCCTCTACTACACACAAAGGGATAGGAACCGTCCTCTCAAATCTGGCTACCCTACCCAAATTGGATTGCCTTATGAGGAATGGCTAAGGGAGCTGGGCATGTTTAGCCTGGAGAAGAGGAGGTTAAGGGGTGATATGATAGCCATGTTCAAATATATAAAAGGATGTCACATAGAGGAGGGAGAAAGGTTGTTTTCTGCTGCTCCAGAGAAGCGGACACGGAGCAATGGATCCAAACTACAAGAAAGAAGATTCCACCTAAACATTAGGAAGAACTTCCTGACAGTAAGAGCTGTTCGACAGTGGAATTTGCTGCCAAGGAGTGTGGTGGAGTCTCCTTCTTTGGAGGTCTTTAAGCAGAGGCTTGACAACCATATGTCAGGAGTGCTCTGATGGTGTTTCCTGCTTGGCAGGGGGTTGGACTCGATGGCCCTTGTGGTCTCTTCCAACTCTATGATTCTATGATTCTATGATTCTATTCTATGATTCTAAGTGGGATTTAACACTCCATCCCAGAACACTGATTTTCTCCAGTCTAAATTCCCCAGCCACCCTCATCCCCCACAAGTTGCAATCTGCTCCACAGCAGAAAACATGCAAATACCTGTCTATTTTCTTCTGTGGCATAAACATGATTGGGGAAACTTTGCTAAAGAGGAAAATGAAAAAAGGAAAAGCAACCATAAAAATAAAAAATGGTTCCTAAGGCTTTTTGAGGAACACTTAACCCAGTGCTTCTTGATAAAACTGCTTGGGAAAACTTTTTTCCTCGGGGGTGTCATTCCTAGGACTTCTCACTGTTGTGAAGTGTATAGCAACATCTTCATCCCAAGCATGCTCAGATAATACCAGGTGCCTAGAGTACTTCTACGCTTTCCCATCATGCAGCATATTTATAATTAAATTAAGTAGGCTTGAGTCACCAATCAAATGACAGCTCATTATTTGGCCGCAATCAAGAACATGCTTGTGTAAATAGTCACCTGTTGAATGATTGATTTACTGTGGTGGAGAGGAATTGTATACCACTTTTACTGCCCTAAGCTGGCATCCAAGGCAGCTTAATAAAGCCTCCTAACGACACCAGTATAATCAAAAAGAAATAAATCAAGCAAGAGGTGAATTCCAAAAGCATGCCAGAAGACAAAGAGACCAATAAAAGGAGCAGTGACTCAGCAGTTGGCTGACCAACCCTAGCCCAAAAGAAAAACCAGAAGTAAAAGTTCAACAAGAACAATTTAATTCAGCAGAAGCCACAGTAAACAAGATAGGCCTCACCTGGTTCTTAAACAAAGATGGCAAGGAGATCTCCTCTTGGAGGAAGTTCTATAAGTAAGTGGACAGTGACAAAAGTCTTTCCTCTAGTAGTTTAGTGACAGAACTACAGGGTCCCTTTATGACAGTCATAACCTTGAAAGATTATACAATGATTATACATTGTACATTCGTAATAAACAAGCACCGTAACAAGCAATGGCATGCAAGTCTCCATGATCAGCTAGATCTACTATTTTCTGTGCCTATGCTTGGAAAATGATTTGGGGTGCTCCAATATCTTCTCCCCTATCATGCTGATAGGGTGATGGAGGCAGGGACTCTGCTGCAGAAACAGTAATAGGTCTTTGGCCCTATGCAACCCTCCTGGACCACTACACCACTGGTTCTCTCTAAAGTAAGGGGCATCCCAAGTAGCTTCACTGGTGATGATCTCAGCTGCTGGGCAGGTTCAGAAATGAGCAGGCATCTATTATAGTGGCTCAAGACCAGGCTTTATTACACTGATCCCCAGTACTGAAGAAGTCAGGTTGTAGGCCTGTGTGAATGTCCCTAGGGCCACATGTGCACACACCCTCCTTTAAGAGCAGGCAGGCACAGCCTGTCCTGCCACTCTATATAATTCATTGCATTAACATGCAAGGCCAAGGCTTTCCAGTTGGCATCTCTTTACAGCAGCAGGAGATTCCCAAATCCACCTGTCAGATGCAGCAGTGTCTTTTTTTCCAGTTGGGGTGGGGAAACATTCTGATTCTGTCTTAGTGCTGTGTTTCCTGGAATGAACCAAGTAGGACTTCTTATCTGGCAATTTCCCAACACAAGCACCATATAGTTCAGCACTCTTTGTCATCGCTGAATAGAATGCTATGTTCTGAAAGGTCATGCCTTCTGCCTGATCATGTGAATAAACTAATTAGTGTATGAAATGAAGAACTAGAACTGCCAGGCATTCAAGAATTGGCTGAAAATGAAAGCATTGCATTTGAGAAATTCATTAGCAGGGTTGTGCACAATTACATCAAGGAAGCAAAAGAAGATGTAAGTCTAGCTAACTTTAATGCAAACTTTTGAGTTAAATCTAATGAAATATTCATAATCATGTGACCTTCTCTTTTTTACTACAATCCTATACTGCCTGGGAGCAAACCGTCTTCTAAGGGGTTTATTTATGCTTTGTCCCTGGAATGCAACAGATTGGGTTTTGATTTTTAAATAAAATCAAGGTTGCATACACATTACCACTTACTCTGGCTCCAGTGATCCCCTCACCCCCAAAATATAAGTTTTTGCTTGGAAGAATGCCAAGATAAGCCCATCACAGTCTTAAGCTCCCCTTAATACTTGTAGTATGAGTATTAATAACATTGCCTTGCCTTATAGCATCATAAAGATTACTAAGATACCATGAAGTGGTCAGAGCACAAAGGAAAAGTGATATATGCATCATTCCTACTATTATGATGTGAAAGCTGAGGGTATAATTGCTTAGGCAGCCAAAACCACCCACACAAAAGAGAGAAAGGCATCAGCCAGCTTGGAGGAACCTCAAGATTTGCATAAGTACAAATTTGCAGGTGAGGAATGAAGTGAATGGAAACCTAAATACCACCACCCCATACCACAACATTTTGTTGCAGATCTCGCTTATACTTCTGATAACTGATCACCCGGGCAGAGCATTACATTTCTAGATGCCTGTGGATTTATTTATTTTCTGAAGTACCTGCTACTTGCACAAAAAATGGTACCTTATTGTGAAAAGGGAAGAGCCACAGCTCAGTGGTAGAACATCTACTTTGCACGTACAGAAGACCCCGGGTTCATTCCCTGACTTTTCCAAGAAGGGCTGGGATAGACTTCCTGTCTGAAACCCTGGAGAGCTGCTGCAATACTAAGCAATAAGCACTTTTGGTAATACTGGTCCGACTCTGTGTAAGGCAGTTTCCTATGTTTGTATGAGATATTTTGATTACAGGTCCAGGATTTTAACAAAGCCTTCACAATAACATTTTAGCAGCTAGCTTCAGAGTTTTGCTGCAACAACAAAGAGTTAAGTGCATCAGTTCTGTGAGACATGCATATGTCACCACAGCACAATTCAAGTGTCCCTTAATGATAGCATCTTTTTTCTGGTTCACAAAAGGTATTTCACATTTACTTGGATCAGTACAGGGGGGGTAGGAAGCCAGCAGCAGCGAGAAAGTCCTTGCCTGGAATTAAATCTTCTTTCCAGAAGCATTCTACTGTCCCCGTTCAGCAGATGGCATTCTCATATTCACAACACCTTTTCCTTACATGTTCCAGGGCTGACCTCTGTTCCGTTACAACCGAGTCACACACCACCAACCCCTCAAACACTTTTAGTAAAATCATCTCCTTTGAGAGGGTGCCAAATTTGGATATGGATGAGGAAGTATCTAAGGGGAAGGGCTGTTGTTCAGTGGCAGAGCACATGCACAGCATGCAAACAGCCCCGGACACCAATCCCCAACACTTCCAAGTAGGGCGTGGAAGCACCTCCATCTGAAACACTGGGTAACAGCTGCCAGCTGTAGATACCATTGAGATGGATGGGCCAACAGCCTTTGGGCTCAGTTAAGAAATATGTCAGATCTCTTAAAAGAATTCTGCATGGCTCTAAGACTCTGCTGCTTGCTTGCCACGATCCTCAAGTATCTTATTTTTCCTTTTAATAATTTCAATGGGGGGGGGGGGGTGACAAGAAATTTTCTGTTCCGGGTACCACCTGACCTTGCTACGCCACTGGTCACAGTGCAAGAACCTTTTAGCACCGAGTACATCAGGGATGAAGAACCTGTGGCCTCCACATATTGCTGGACAACAACATCTGTCATCCCTTGACCGTCGCCATGCTGGGAGTTGGGAGTCCAACAACAATCAGAAGGAGCCAGGTTCTCCATCCCTGGTGTACATTAAAAATATGTTTTGTTATAACTTTGAATAATAATAATAAAAAAACCCCAGCATATCTAAGCAGTGTAGGACTTGGAAGACCTACTATTAGATATAGGAAAAAGGAAAGCCTCTTTTTCCTGCGTTACAGTCATCTCCCACATGGTGGATGTTGCAAGCCTTTTCTTCTTTCTGTTTCTAAAAGCACATGGTTCTTTTCCTCAAGCAACCTAAAGAGTCTTTCCTTCTGCCTCTGTGCTCTCCCTTCCTACCTTTCTGGTTAATGTGCCACTTCCTCACCATCACCACTCACCCTTTCTCTTCCTGCAGTTTCTGACCCATTCTGTAACTCCATACTCGGCAGCATGGAAAGATTTGTAAAGAATGAATACGCACACACAAACACAGGCAGAGCATTTCCAATAGCGAATGAATGGGAATCTCCAGAAGCTGCGGGATATGCATTCATGTCAAGCATTGTATGGGCCCAGAAAGCTACAGCCACTGTCGTTCTGCTCTCCTGTGAACAGCAGGGAGCTTTCTGGATATCACGCACATGTCAGATGTTGCAAACAGCTGACCATTCCCAAGAAAAGCAGGCAAAATGCAGCTGTGGCAGTGGAAGGCTCTGTTCATTTTTATCTACTAGGATGCAGAACAAAAGAAAAACTTCACGGTCCATTAAGTGCTCTGTAGCGAGCTAAAGGTAAGTGATCAGAGCTGTGCAGAACTCAGACATTCTTTGGGAATCGAGGAAGGTGCCATTCGAAGTTAGACCACTGACCCATCTAGCTCAGTTTTGTTTACGACGACTGCCAGCAGCTCTCCTGGGTTTTAGATGGGGGGACAACCCCAGACCTACCTGAAGCTGCCAGGGATTGCACCTGGGAGCTTCTGAATGCAAAGCAGATGCTCTACCACTGAGCCACGGCTGTTCCCCAATCCCCAACATGCATAGATGCAACTGCTTCTGCCCACCTCCAAAGTAATCTTAGATGTAATCCCTGAAAACCAGTTATCCAAACTACTTACTGTTCCATTAAAAAAAAAAAGTGTATTGCCAATGTAGCAGAAAGGAGGGGATGTCAGCTCATATTAGCAATAATTCATAATACGGTAATAATGATAATAAAATAATAATAGTAATAATAATTTATTATTTATACCCCAGCCACTCTGGGCGGCTCCCAACAGATTATTATTCATAATAATAAAACATCAACCATTAAAAACAACCCTAAACAGGGCTGACTTCAGATGTCAGATCGTTGTTTATTTCCTTGACATCTGATGGGAAGGTGTTCCACAGGGCGGGTGTTGCTACCGAGAAGGCCCTCTGCCTGGTCCCCTGTAGCCTCACTTCTCACAGTGAGGGAATTGCCAGAAGACCCTTGGAGCTGGACCTCAGGGTCCGGGGCTGAACGATGCGGGGGGGGTGTGAAGATGCTCCTTCAGGTATCTTAAAACACACACAGGTCATTTTCTCCCTGTGTTTCAAGTTTCATTTTCACATCGCTGTACACACCAGGGAGGTGTGGGGATGTCTTCACCCAACAAACCTTACCCAATTTGTTTCCCTGCACTTGTAACACCCCCTCCAAACTCCTATTCAATGAAGCTGTTCTCTGCACATGTGCAGGGGCTGCCTTGAACGTACACACCTCACCTTCCATTTTCAAATCAGAGGGAAGCTGGTTTGAGGAGAAATACATCAAAACAGAAGTATTCCATTAAAAACTACAGCATACATAAGAATTATGGCTAACATCTTGTGTGGTCAGCTTCAAACACAAGTGGTGGAGCAAACTGAAGGCAGAGTAAACCATAAAGTATACACATCATAAATCTCTTTTGCAACCATAAGGTTGCAAAAAATATTATCTATTTTCCTTGTCCATCTGTTAGTCCCACATCACAGGAACAGGATTTTTCCAAAGCAAAGTTAATACAAAGAACAATTTCTGACCAAAACTAAACACCACAGTACAAGCAGCATCCTACGCCTCAGAAAGGCATTCTTAGCATTATATCATGCATATCTGTAACATAACTCTCACAGTCCCCTAGATCAGGGGTGGGCAGAGTTAAGGGCTGAAGAAGTATATAAAGGGAAGAGCTGTCAGTCAGCTGTAGAGAACATGCTTTGCATACAATAAGTCCCTGTTTCAACCCCTGGCGTCACTAAGTAAGTCTCTGCTTTTTAAATAGTGCTCCAAGATTTACCTGCTAAAACCAGGTGCAAAAGATATACCTTAGGGAGATCTACAGTACACATTTAAAGTACATACAGTGCACATTTGCAGCACATTCTCCCCCCCCCCCCAAAGAATATTGGAAACTATACTCGCCCCATCACAAAGCTACAGTTCTCAACAGCTTTCAACACCCTTTACTAAAGTTCCCAGAATTCCTTGAGGGAAGTCATGCTATTTAAATGTGCATTGCATGTGCGCATTTGGATCTGCCCCATTAGAATTAAAAAGGCCCCTCAGAGCACATTCTCAGCTAAAGCATTTGTTTTCTGTTCCAGAAGTGAACTCTGTTCACAGTCCTTTCACACACAAAGTCCACCCCTAGTTAGCTTTCTTCACTTCAGCAGTCCAATTTGGGTGGGAAAAACATTTTTGTTGTTGCTGCTATAGTCAAGCAACAACGGATCTACTGCAAATCAGAGGTCTACCGGTAGATCCGAAATCTACCTTCCACGCACTCTCACCGATTTCAATATATACTTCTGCAGGGCTATTTCTTAACAGTGCACGCGTGCATGCATGCATATTAAGGCTCCGTAGATATTCCTCTGATGAAATGCATGCAACTGAAATCTCTCCCTTCCAAAAGCAATTAATTTACCGGGTTCCAGAGAGGCAGGCACCGATCCACGCTTCTCCTACAGCCAATGCAAATACGCGCCGCTTCTCGACGGGACTTTCAACTATAGCGCTTCAAAGCTTCTCTTGATTAACCTCCCGCAGAATCGCACAGGAAATTCCTTCACGCACTACACTCTTATACCTGGGCTAATGGCACTTTGGTCCACGACTGTTCTATCTAGTCCCCCAAATCGACAGGCGCCCCCCCCCCCCGGATCCGTACAGCCCGGCTTCCCCTCGTACCAAAAGCAACCTGCCTTATCTTAAAAACCGCATAACTCTCGCTGCCCGTTAACATCGCCACCAAATCATATTGACATTCCACTTGCAAAATTCATCGTTATATCCAGGAGCGCGCGGGCCGCGCGCTCACATACCCGCTCTTTCCCCCCGCCCCATCTTAACAGATCCTCTTCCCACTCAATTATAAAGCAAGAGCTAAGCAGGCAAACAGATCCCCCCAAACCCGATCCCCCCCCGCATGCAACCTTTGCTCTAGACATCTCCTTCTGCAACAATACAACCGTTGGGACCCCTTAAAAAAACACCAGGCCTCCCCCTAGTAACCTCGGCAAGACTTCCCCATTTGCAGCACCCGTCGGATCAGAGAAATGATCTCGTCCTCCTCGGATCAGAAGGATCCAGCCGCAGAGTCCTCTCCGGGTCTCCAAACTCACCCGATGCGGAACAGGAGGGGACCCGCCAGAGCCATGGGCATTCGGGGAAAGCGCTGCCTGGCCGCGCACCGATGGAAAGCGCCGCTCAGGGCCCTGCAAGAAGAAGCGGCGAAGGTTGCAAGCAGCGCTCGGATCCGCAGCAGCCAGCCCAGCCAAGCCATGCTCTGCGGAGGGAGCGCGGCAAGCATCGGACCCGCCCCCCGCCCCTGCCTTTAAAACAGCCCTCCCACCTCCAGCGCCAAGCACGCAGCCGGGCCCGCCCCCTCGGAGCGCCGTCTGGCTCAGAGCCGGAGCCGCTTCCTGCGCGGCTTGGGATGCAGTGCCCCCTGAGGAATCTGGCCGTAAATGCCAGCGGTGGTACCCTAGCGGGATGCGTAGGGCACTGGTAAATGAAGAAGCCCAAGGCTTCAAGAAAAATAAAGACAGAAAATGGACAAAAGTACAGAGATTCACAGTATGTTTAGGGGTATGTGTACCCCTGCATTTCCCCCCGAAAAAAAGCATTGGTATTAGTATTAACAATAATTTTATTAAATTTATATACCAACCTTCAAGAATCACATTATAAAAACGCAAAAATATGATGACAAATCTGGTTCATTTCCACAACAGCGAAACTGGATTTAGTAAACTTTTTTCTCTCCCTGTGTCTCTTTATAATCATGCCCTATTACATCATAAATGTGCAGCCTTGACCTGCTTTCAACCTGTTGTTTTCTCCAGATGTATTGGGCCACTGCTCTCACCAATCACTGCCAGCGTGGCTTAATGGCCAAGGAAGATGGAAGCTGTGGTCCAACAATAACTGGAGGACGTCAGGTTGGAGAATCCCTTCTTCCCCAAGATAACTGCAATATACCCGCAATTAAGAACACAGAACAGCTGTATCATAAAACAATGAAAAGTGCAGCCAAATCAGACAAGGCATATAAAAACAGCTGAGTATCTTTGAAAAGACAAGTTGAACCTACTGCCCCAGCCTCTTTAATGGCGGGGCTTTCCTCCCCTGTAAAGAAGTCAGTGGCATTTCCCTGGTGCACAAAGAGCAATGTAATATTTTCCTACAGTTCCCTGACTCCACACAAGTGTGTTTGTTTTAGTTTCGAAAGGCAGTGTGTGCACTGTGGCACCTACTGATTAGAGTCAATAGCATCAAATTTCCTTCTCATTTTTGAGCATGTAAAACAGAGTTTACCCAGTAAATACGATGCATTGATAACTTAGGCTGCAAGTCTATGCATACTTACCTGAGAGTTAAACCCATTGAATAGAACAAACCTTACTTCTGAGTAAACAGGATTGCACTTGTTAGGACACTGCTTTCTGCTGCACCACTTCATTTTTAAAAAAGAGATTTGTTGCTGTTTTTGCAAACACCTGTGAGTTTAATCATTGCACTAATTCTGAGTCACGGTGCACGTTTGCAGAACAGTAATGCCCTCTGAACGGTATTTACGCTAAAGTAAATATAGCTAGGTTTTTGAAGTCCTTTCCTTCCCAAGACTGTTGCATACATTATTATTGTTATTATTATTATTAATTTCATTTCCATACAGCTTTATATTTTTCAGAAAAAAATCTCAAAGTAGTTTTCAACCTACGCTAAAGCATCAAACAAAACAATCCTGAGGAAAACATTACAGAAGAAAGTCAAATATAAAGTATACATTCAAAGCAACATAATTAACAGGAAACAAAAATATTATCTTAAAGATTTTAAAATAAAGCATTGCAAAGGAGGTCAACCACAGAATGCACACTTAAAGCAGCAAAGTCAACAACAACAAAGTTATCGTAAGCATTTCAAATGACAACATTACTAAAGGAAGCCAAATATAAAATGCACATTTAAAACAATGTATGTAGTCTACAGCCACATGTCTACTGTAAGGATGACCATGGACATAGTCAGGGGGGGCAGCTGCCCCCCTAAATCAAGTAAATAAAAAATACTTAACTAAAATAGAAATTGTAGAAAGATTTTGACATATTTTTCTGAGCATTTGGAGTCAAAAGAAATTAATTTAAAACAACTGTTGTTGAGACATTTACCGGTAATTCTTAATCTGCTAGACAGAGCCAGACAGAGGATGATGACAGGTGGGTGTCCTGCCCCCCCCCAACATAAATCCTGGCTACGCCCATGAGGACAACTACCATAACCAAGGGAAGCCATACTTACTTCCGCCTATCCAAGTGTTGAAGCATATATTTACTTTCTGATGGAAGCCCTTAATGTGCTTGATGCATAGCAATAATTAATCAATTTAAGGGCAGGGACAGCTCAGTTAGTAGACTTTATTTTTTTAAAAAAACAAACTCACCAAATGGCAGAGCATTGCTCTGGAGAGAAGAGTAACCTTGGGTGATTGTTGTTTTTTACCACTATCTTTTTATTTTATTTTTAAGGTGCTGTATGCGCATTCATTCACTTGGGTATAACCATAGAGGCGAACTCAGCCTCTAAAGAATTGTTTGTGTATAAATTCAAGCTTATTTATATATATATATAAAGGATCACTAAATGCCATGAGCATGCCAAGAATTGAATGGTTTGCTACAATTATCTTGAACTTGATATTCATATGATTGTGGCATGCTTATCTATCCAATACTATTTTTCATATTATTTCACCATCCTGGAGATCACTGGATTATCTTTTTTCCTTTTCATTATTTATCTTTATCCATTAGTTCCTCTTACTTAGTCTTTCAGTACTACCAATCATATCTATGCTAATGATACCCAGTTGTTTCTACCTCCCCCCCCCCTTCCTTTGCTGATCTCTCACCTGTTTTGCATTTATCTCAATCTCCATGCTGCTGGCTCACAGCTCACTGGCTTAGAGACTGACCCCAGCCTTCCTAACTGGGTGCCCTCCACCTGTTTCTTCTGCAATTCTCATCAGCCCCACTCTGCACAGTCAATAGGTCATGCTGGCTGGAGCTGATGAGTGAAGTCCTAATCAGGTGGAGAGGGCCAGGTTTGGAAAGGCTTTCATAGAAGACAGATCCTTTCAGATTCTTACAAAGTAGGCTGGGCAGAGGAAGGAGACAATATAAGCACAGAACGGGGACATCTCACCCTGCCTGATTGTAAGATTGACTCTCAGGCACATCTAAAAGCACTTCTTTGTTTGCTTATTGAGGAAAATGGCAAATCAAAAGAACCAGAATTACAGAAATTCTTCCAGGCATATTAAGAAATATCCCCCTCATTCCTTGACTGTTGTACTAGCCTGAGCCACCAGATGGTGCAGCAGTACAGTGGCAATAAAGTTTGTTTCTGTCTCTCTCCACGAATGAACAAACAATGCGTGCACACCATTTTTATTCATTTTTAATGCAACTTATGCTGTTGGATTTGTTTTTTGTGATGCAGAATCTTCAGTGCCAACTGTGAGCAGAATTTGCTTCTACGAAGAAAACTCTGGGAGCTGAGTTGCTTCCTGGAAACTGTATCCTGACATCATTTGCTCAGAGCTCTCTGCAAAGGGGGGACTCGCCCGTATGCTGGCGTTCGCTGATATCTCAGGGAAGATGCACAAGGTCGAAATAAATATGCACAGAGCAGGAGGGAGTAGTCAGGCTTAATGAATGGTTTCCCCAATAAATACTTGCAAGCTTTTATGCTTATTCTCAAAAGATGCTTCTTCAAGATCACCTTCATCTGCGGCTCACATCCCATTTTTCAGCTTCATTTGCTTTCGTTCTATTTTGTTGTCGCCCTTATAATCTACTCTGTGCTCCCCTCCCCCCTGTCTGTTTCTATGGCAACACCAATATCATGAAGATGGTTTTAGAGTTTAGTGACAGCCGCACAAGACATCAGACAATTAAGGATCTCTAGTAGGGTTTGGCTTTGCTGACACCTAGAACACTGCCTTTAAAGCTGTGCACAATATATTTAGAGCAGTGCAGTGCCTTAACTAGCGTGGTGCCTTTCTGCATCTGTAAATGAGTGAGGGACAAAACAGATAGATTTAACATTTGCTTCCTTAAACGTTTCATCACTCAGTTCCTTCTCTCCCCTCACCATTGCATATGCATACTCCAGGCCAACTCCATCCCTGCAATGACCCACATTCATCCTGACAGCTGCTCATAATCTTGACAGTGCCAGCTGAGCCCCGGCAATCTCATCTTTCTGTTTTCAGGAGGATGGAGTGAATGAATGACACGCCATACATTTAAAGCACACAAGTTCCCCCCAAAGAGCCCTGGGAACAGTAGTTTGCTAAAGATGTAGTTCTGTCCAGGGTAAACTACAGTTTGCAGAATTCTTTGTGCTTGAAATGTATGGCCTGCATGCAACTTCAGTATGGGAATCTGTCCTGCGCATCTGTTTGAAGCTGGGGGAGGGGTTGAGGAATGCAGTCTTTTGCCCTGTCTCTTGCAAGTTACTTCTGGGTAGATGTACCGGTATCTAGGATTGCCCTTACTGAGTGGTGTTGAGCAGAGTAGACCCATTCATAGCTGTCAACTTTCCCCTTTTTTTAAGGGAAATCCTATTTGGAATAAGGGAATTTCCCTTTAAAAAAGGGAAACGTTGACAGTTAATAAATAGGCACTTAATAAATAGGTCCATTCATTTCAGTGGGTCTGCTCTGAATAAAATGTAGCTGAATACCCTAAATCAACAAAAGAGCTATCATTTTACTGAAAGCTTAGGGCTTCTTCCTCCCTCATTTAACCAAGGTGCCTCCAGGCATGTGCTTAACTTGCAGTATTGGTAATAATCCAATCTTGCCTGAAGGCAGAGAAGACATGGTTGAACTGACTGTAGTTAGATTTTTGCTTTGGGACATAGTGGACAAAACATAAAGAATAAAAGATGGAGAGACAGAAAGGAAAGGAAAGTACAGGTATGGAAAAAAGGAGACTGAATATATAAAGATGGATGTAGAAATGTCCATGTGGGGATGCAGCGTCTGATGTTTCAGGACAACTTTCTCCCACCAACTGCATCTAAAGTAACTTAACAAACAGTATGTATAACAACCAGCTGTTTATATATATTAACTATCTGTGTAATGCTAGAAGTATCCTCCAGCTGTACCATTTTTTAAAATAGGATATTAGTTCTCTTGCGTTGGCCCTAATAACTTTCCATTCATAAGGATGAACTGAAATTCTGAAAAAGTTTACAATACTGGATTAGGTAAATGGTAAAGGTAAAGGACCCCTGGACTGTTGTCCAGTAAAACGCGACTATGGGGTTGTGGCGCTCATTTCTCAGGCCAAGGGAGCTGGCATTTGTCCACAGACAGCTTTCCGGGTCATGTGGCCAGCATGACTAAATCACTTCTGGCGCAACCAGACACCATGACGAATGCCAGAGTGCAGAGAAACACCATTTACCTTCCCACCATAGCTGTATCTATTTATCTACTTGCACTGGCATGCTTTCGAACTGCTAGGTTTGCAGAAGCTGGAACAGAGCAACAGGAGCTCACCCCGTTGTATGGATTTGAACCACTGACCTTCGCATCAGCAAGCCCAAGGGGCTCAGTGATTTAGATCACAGCGCCACCCGCTCCCCTAAAATACTGGGTTAGCATTGAATAATGTTGAAAGAAAAGCCAGATTTGTTAACCATTGAAAAAAAATGTTTAAGATGACAGAGAGACGGACATGATGCTGTTAAAAGTTCATCACTGAAGTGTCCTACTCCCAAAGAAGAGCCAGTTTATTCATAGAACTCTTTCATTAGTCACAGTGATGAGTTACTCTTCTACTTAGAACTTCTCTGTATGATATATTCTTGTGTAACATCTGTGGCTGGGACTCTGCATGTCCTAAGTCCTCAAAAGTGCCATGTTTTGCACTTAGGAAAATGTGATATTTCCCCCATAAGATTTTGTAGCCATAAGATTTTGTTTGATTCAACTAAGACACAAACGCCATCAGATGTTGAGTCCTTTGCTACTGTGATGGCTTTATGGAATGTGACTACATGCATGCCAGGGGTACCATTTGCACCATTTTTCTACTACAGTAACAGAACAGGCCCACGGTATTTTGTGAGCTTCCTTGTTAAGGTATTCCTTTGGTGGCTTTGAATTCACTAATTGTGTGACCCCAATGCAGGGGTGCTTAGCCAGCAATAAATGGAGAAGAACAGCAGCAAGGCTATCCATAACCCATAGTCTGGGGTGTGTGTGTGTGGGTGTGTGGGTGTGTAAAACACCACTAATTTAATTTTGCTTTTCTGAAGCAACATTTGGAATCAATGTTCAGCAAGGTCTTTCCTGTTGCCGAGCTATTCTTCCTCCTCAGCCATTACATGCAGTCATTATACTGTCATTGGATCAGGAAGTATGAGAATATTGTGCAAAGGATGGTGTATGTAGACGTGCCTTGTTTGGTTGCGCAGACCATTGAAAACAGAACTCCACGACTATACCTTTTATATTCTGATCACCTGTTCCTAATTCCCAGCTCATGCCCTCCTCTCCCTTTGTGTTCTTCCCTGTTAGAATTCCGTGCATGCTAGAATCCTGTGAAAAGCTTCTCTCAATGCTACCAACTCATTCTGTCACTTTAAGAGGCGGGGAGGAAGGCTGTTGCTGCGGAAACCAGTGAATACATTGCAACCTCACTGTGGAAGGACAGGAAAAAAACGCAGTGAGTCTACAGTGGGAGGCTTCAGGTCTAACATGAAGCTGACTTCCACTCATTTCTCTAAATTTATCCCCATCCTGGGAAGCTGCATGGGTGGGGAGGAAATAACTGGGATGGATGCAACTGGGGTTAGCATTTGAGGTATTCATTGATGAGGGTGGAGGGGCTTTGTTGCTACATCAGGATGCTGTACAGAAGGACGGAGGACAAGTGAGTGGAAGGAAATAGGGGGTCTTTGCAGCCAATATTCTCCCAAATTTATACAAATGCTTTATTGATTAATTGATTGCTGGGCTGGGAGCCATCCAATAAAATAAAAGGAGGCAGTTTCAATGAGAAAAAGACAGAGAAAGCACATACCTTACCTCAATTTAAGTGCCATTTATTTATTTTTAAATTTTAAATTTTGTCTACCACTTAATCATCAAAACCTGTACTGTAGATGGTTTGCATAAAACATAAGATAGACATTAAAATCCTCAGAAGTTAAAAATGAGTTGATCCATTAAAAAGTATTTATAAAATCACCGGTTAAAAATATATGTTATGAAATATAAAAGGGAATTACCAATTAAAATGCTGACCCTACCTATCTGGCTTAGGCTTGCCTAAGCAAAAACATTTTAGAAGGCGCTACAAACAATACAGCAAAGGTGTCTGCCAAATAGCAGTGTGCAGGGAGTTGCAGCATAGGGACTGCCCCATTGCAAGACCGATTCCTTACTTGTGCAGAACAGGCTTCCCCTAAAGAATCCAGAAAATTATAGCTTGGTGAGAATTCTCTGTTGCAGACCCTTTGAAGGACTACCTTTCTCAGAGTTCCATGGGAAGAGGGAAGGATGGCCCTCATCCTTCCTACTATTCTCTGGGAAGAGCCTGCAAAAAGCTTGACCATAGAGATCTATCTTAGCACCCACCAAGGAGGAGATGGCACGAAGCACAGCACAATAAGAGCCATCGCTTTGCCTGGATACCTGACTTTTAGACATGCAGGGCCCATTAGCTGGTCCTGATTCCTAGTTTTCATTTTCAAAAATTTTGTAGTGTTTATAGCCTGGGAGGTTGGTGGGAATAATGGGAAATGTGCATTGCCTCCGAGGGAATATGGCAATCCTGTTAAGGCGGTCCATGAGGAGGTGCTTTGGTCTGGATGCCCATGCAAGGGGCTAGGGCCATAGTACTCCTTGTGGAGTAGCACCTATTTGATGCAAGCCACAGGCTCTCCTCAACATTGGTTTGACCCCTTGGTTGATAATCCAGCAGACAGGTTGGTTGAGGTCGGTTACAGCCCAATGCCTTCACCAAACTCCTTACAGCTGTAATCAATAACATTGTGGCCTAAATTCAAACCATACAGTGTCGTCACGAGTGGTCTTTTGGTCAGCGATGCCCTGTGGGGTGGTGGGCTCACAGCACCTGAATGCGCAAATGGCAGATCCCCATGTCTTGAACACATTAGCTCAGTTCTTTCTGGTGTTGGTTTCATGCTGAATTCTTCACTGTGACTCCCCCTTGTATATATCGTCAAAATAAATTCAAACAGTATGGCAGGCTGGGACTATTCCCCTTATCTCACACCGTATGTGGCTAGAGCTATGTCCACTCCAGCTAATGTATTGCAGGCAGGGTTTGCATCCAGTCTGCTTTCATCATCCATATCCCCCCCCCCACTTCTTCTTCCAGATTTCCTCACAGCGGGTCTCTGGGAAGTGTCCTCTTCTACACCCACCTGTTCCAAGGCTTTAAGTCCTCATTTCTCCACAATGCAAAAGAAGACCTCAGACGAGGTGGCGAAGGAGGTGCCAATACCGAAAGTCCCAGCTGCCAACAAAGGGGCAGTGGAATTCCTCTCGCTCATTGGTGGGTGCCCCTTTTGAGGAGGGAGGAGGCTCTCCTACCCTGTTCTCCCCCATGTAAGGGAGGGGTGCTGACAGCCAGGAGCTTTTTCACTATCAACCTTTGAAGATATAGGAGTCTTAGGGCCAAAGTAGACTGACACTAAAAGCACCACTGGGAAAACCTTTTTTCTTTTTCTTCATAGCAGGCACTGAGGGGCGGGGGTATTGGTATTGCAGCAGACATAGAGGAGGTTTAAACCTCTCCTCATCCTGCCACCCAGCTGCTTTCTAATGAATTTCCCCACTCCACTCCACACTGGGGGCATTTTCATTGGGATTTCAATAGGGGGGAGTAAAAGATCCCCTGCCTGCATGCTGCAGTCTCAATGAAAATGGGAGGGTCCCCCTGCACCTGCTATTATTAAAAAATGAAATGGAATAGGAATATTCTCAGTGTAATGTCGTGTCTAGTTTCCTCAGTTCCAAACCATTAAGGAACACTATTGGTCAGCGTGGGCATGATTGTATCAGCAGGTTTGATGCTAATTCCTAAGGCAAAACCAAGTTTCCTATCTTCAACAGCCAATTTTGTGAGCCACCTTTTAGATCTGGTACAAGGCTTTGCCAGATTGACTTGCAAGATGGTATGTCCCAGGGCTGGGATGGGGAAACTTCAGGGCAATGCAGGCTTCTCTGTCTGACCCTCAGGACTTTTCCCAGAGCCCTTTCCCCCCTCTCCAGGCCACATGCCTCACCAGCCCTGAACTGCACCCTCCTTGAGAGCTTTTCCCTCACTGGAATGTGTCCTCAACCTCAGACAATATGGGAATGTTCAGGGTGGCAGGAGAGGATATATTGTTTATTAACCTGGAATGCAGCCCATTTTCCCCACGCCTTTCCCTGGCTGACCATCCTTTCAAATGCTGCAATGGATCATGGACAAAATACCAGGCACATCACAGGCAAGCAACTGGCAGGCCTTGGGGAGAAGCCAGGGAGAAAGGAGGTCAATATGACCCAGATGACTCCAAACTTAGTGGACTCATTCCTTCAGCTTTTCAGTTAAACACTTCCATATAGAACCTGGTTTGATATTAGGTCTCTGCTCATGAGTTTTAGGGTTGGATCTACCCTTGTCGCCAAAGTAGTCTGCATCCACCACCAACAACTGGTTTCTGTTCTTGGGGGATATTTTCCCATTCTGTGTGGAAACAGGTTTTTCTCTCTCTGTTTCCCCCAAATGATAATGTTCTACTCTCTCATCTCGCAGAACTGAAAGAGATAAAGTACTGCATTTTTGGGGAATCACTGGTTGCCATCTCGGAGAGTGGAGAGACTACTGGGACATTCACCATCTCAGTGGAGGAGACCAGCTATTCACCAGACGACTGGGACGAAGAAGACCTGTACCTGGTCCGTGCCAGCAGCAAGGGGACCATTGATGGCATCCCTTGCACAACGTCCATTACAGGTAACTTCACTGTGATAATTTGGCAAGAGGAGGGTGGTGTTATGGAGAAGGGAGAGAGTCGGCCTACTCCTGTGTCCAAATAACAGCCTTCAGGCCTCAGATTATACAACTGGCAATATGGGACCTTGAAACTATGGATGCAGAGATGGAGCTATAACATGAGAAGAAGAGATTTAACCGTAGAGTATTTGTACCAAGTGAATACAGTCATTTTTTGGTTCCTAGTGCCACGCTTCCTTAGTCTGATAACTGTTTTAGACCCAAGGGAAGAAAAAGCTGAGCAAGGTTCCAGCCACACAGTGTGGACATAGCACTTAATATTCTGCTGTATCCCCAATAAGGCCCTGCAATTCCTGTTCCTATAAGCTAAGGTTGTCATACGTCCAGAATTTCCCGGACATAACCGGCGATTGGCCGTCGGAAGCAGTGTCATGGTGGAATCCGCTGAAGCGTCCAGGAAAACCTGGACATATGGCAACCCATGTCAGCAGTGTCGTTTTGGGTGATTTTCCTTAAAAATAGCTCCAAAACTTCATTTTTATTTATTCTTTTGAGATTTTGCCAAAAAACCTAAACAACTTTTCTGTCCAGATTTTCACTTTTTGAAATATGGCAACTGTACTATAAGCAAGACTCTACTACATTTAAAAAATTTTCCACTTCATTGAATGGGACCCATGGGCTATGAAACTTGTTCAGAATTGTAGCCTTCAATCAGCAAAGACCTCCTAATTTTGTGATGTACTTATTTAGTACATTTCTTTCCCACCTTCCCTCGAAGGAGCTCAAGGTGGCATACATGGTCTTCCCTCTTCCCATTTTATCATCACAACAACCGTGTGAGGTACGTTAGGCTCAGAGACAGTGACTGGCCCAAGGTCACTCTGCATGCTTCACAGCTAAGTGGGGACCAGAACCCCAGTTTCCCAGGCACTCTAACCACTACACCACACTGCTGTTCCTTCTCCCAGCTATTCCCTTGTCGCTAACAATATGTGTTTAATTTTTATTTTATCTTCTTAATGCAGCTGGTATATGTTGACTAAAAGCCATGGAGTATTATTTGTGCATTCACACCCACTCCCCCAAGCAATCACGTGTTTTGGTAGGCTGCCTAAAACCCAGTGAAACGAATGAGATTTAAGTAGTTCATGCACAATACTAGTCATTCTGCTTTTCTTGTGTAAATATGTTTTGTCTGGATCTGAGAGTTAGTACAAGGCTGATGCTTAGAACCTTCTGCTCTCCTTCAAACACCTCAGTTGAGCTGCTTGTCTCGCTGGAAAAGCAACTAGGCAGAGAATGAAGAAGAGCCAAAAACAGACCACTCTTTCCTGAGATGGGTCAGTAGTGCTTTGCCATTTCATGGCATTGGACAGAGTAGTGTTACAATTGCATCTTAAGCAAACAAAGAAATGGCACAAATTAGGTTGGGCTGACAGCACAGAAAACACCGGAATGCAACATTTTGGAAGAGAAATCATCTGGATCCTGCATAAAAACAGAGTGAACGAATGATATCCATTCCAGAGAAAACAGCTAGTGTGGAATCAACCCAGTCACAGTAAGTTTGGCAGCCGTCACAGTGGTTTCTAGCAGCTATCAGACACAACATCAGGAAAATTCCGAGAAAGGTAGGCAGCTTCAGGAACTCTTGGTAAAAACTGGAGTATTTCCAAGGGTAATAAAAAGGCAACCTGGGCTAACAGGGAGTGTTTAGGTGGCATAACCTTTAACGTTTGTTTTTTAAACCTTTATCTATTCCTTTATCAGGATATGTAACAAAGAAATTGGAAACTGTGGAGCAGCACAAAAAGGAAAGTGTGAGGGTAAATATCTTTGTTTGTGTCCCCTTCACCATGGCTACCTGGATGCAAGATAACATCTAAACACCTGAAATGAATAAATAAATAAATAAGAAAATTCTCCAGTAGCACCTTAGAGACCAACTAAGTTTGTTCTAAACATCTGTATTCCTGACAAGATTTCTCCTCTTCATATTGAAGCATGCGGGTAGGGGAAATCTTTTCAGGCCTGCCCCCCTTTTGCAGGTTTCCTTCATGATCTCCATTTTCTGCTCTCCTGGGTAAACTTACTAGGATAGTTGGCCTTAGGTTAAGGTTACCCGATGTCCCCATTTCCCAGGGACAGACCCCGGATTTACAAATCTGTTCCCTGACAAAATCCGTCTATTTAGTAGAAAGTTGAAAAGTGTCCCCGGCTTCATTGAAAAAAATCTGGTAACCTTACCTTAGGTCGCTTTGAAATCAGTGGAATATCCAGCCCATTCAAAAACAGGCTGTTGGAAATGCAGTTGTCAGCCCACCTTCCCCCTGTGGGGACTGGGATTTAAAGCAACACTTTAAATCAGAATAAGCCTTCATCCTGATTTGCTTTTGGGAACTGGTCTTGCAGGCCAAACTGGGACCCATAATTAGGCCTTGGGCCAGAGATTCCCCACCTCTGCACTAGGGACAAAGGGCTTAGACATAAGTACTCCTGAGTAAAAAAAAAAATTTTTTTTTAAGTTCATCTGTCTGGCATGGATGTATCATCTTGTGGTACTTACTCTTTTCTACAGTTCAGAGAGCACCCAGTGGAAACCAGGACCCATGTGGTGAGACGCCAAGACCAGCTTTTTGTGAGCAAAACTGTGGTGGAAAGAGATGTGAGTAAATTCTGACCTCTCTTAAAGGATTTGGAAAGTCAAGCCCAACTCCCTCCCTCTCTAGGTTAAGGGAAATAATCACACTAGTAATTCAAATCCATGTAACTTTCATGTCTGTTCACCTGTAAGTTCATTCCAGCGCGATATCCCTATTAAATCCACACAAGCAAAATTTTATTGTACGTAATACTTATTTCTAAACATCCCCCCTCCCTCAAAATACAAGTTTCTAACTGCATTTTCTCTTGAAATAACGTGTTTTAAAATGCATTTTGATTGTGGCTGTTGTTGAATGAGAACTACATGGGAACAATCAAAAAGTGAGTTCTGACTCACACATTACTTATTCATTTAGAATATTTATTTCCCACTTTATAAGCAATTTACAAAAGATCCTGAAATAAAGATTACATTCAAATCTAGGTTCAGGAACAGAAATAACACAATGTCCCTGTGGTGCGGATTATTCACAGCACTGGAAGGTCTGAATCTGGTTAGTTCATACTTAGTTTCGCAAGTACTGTATCCCTCAAGCATTCCTAGCTACTGTCCTTGAATGTTATCTATAATAACTTGTTCCACTGGTTGTCATCAGGGATTAACAGACTATGAGACTGTTACTTTCCACTATCTTGTAGTCTAACTACCTTGGAGTCCAGCCTTGTTGCAAGGCTTGTAAAGCAATTTGCACCCTGTTAAGTATTCTAAATAGACAAACAGCAATATGGCATACTATATTTATGTATTACCTTTATACCCCTTCTTTCTTCCATGATGGAATTCAAGGCAGGTGATCTCCAGACACCAAACAGACCCAGATCTCCTGAGCATGTGCCTTCAGATCATGTCCCGGAACAACATTTCTATTGCACATTTCCAAACCCTCCACCTTCATTATCTCAGTACTTACACCAGCCCACTAAGAAGAACAGCATTGTCCTCATGTTGCAGATATGAGCTGGTCTGAGGCCAAAGGAGTCATGCTTAGTACCAAATGCCACCTAGTGAATTTGCAGCTGAGATCTGATTTGAACTGAGGACTTCCCAACTCATAGTCTTCACCACTATGCTGCACAAGCCCTCATAACAGTCAGATGACAAAGGGCAGCAAGATCACAGTTTCCCATTCTTGTCCCACGAATGGCTAAGCCTGTCTTGAAGCACCAAGGAGTGGCATCTATAAGTCCCAAAACAATTTCCCCAGAATGACCTGTTGTTGTCTTGGATTTGGTGAAAATGTCTTTCCTCTATTCTCTCTCACAGGAAGAGATCCACGTTGACACATTTTCTTACAAACGTGCACAGCTTCATGGTCTAGTCTCAGAGTCTGCCAACTTCCTGGTGATGCGGGTGATGGCCAGGAGGCAAGCCGTACCACAGGATGCCATTTTCCTCGCATTTGGCATTGACCAGCACATCTGCCCCTGCACCTATGTGAGTGTGTCTTAGTGGGGCCCCCTGCAGGTGTTGGCAATGCATGAGGAAGTTTGTCTCGGGAAGGGCCGTAGACCAGTGTTACAGCACATATTGTGCTGACCTATCCAGCTACGTAGGCCCAGCCCTTGGTAGATTGGCAAAGATTTCCACGTGAAGATTTGACCAAAACATGTAGGCCAGCTGACTGTCTAAAGTTAACTATATGCTGGCAGGAGAGAACAAGGCTTTGCTGCCTCACCAGCAGCACTGTTTTAACTCACCTTTCTCGTTCTTCACTTCGCTTCCCAGAGTTCCCTGGGCATCCAGAAGCAGAAAGTGGGCAAAGAGGAGGTGGAGGTGTTTGTCATTGAGAGAGTTGTGCACTCCATGGACGAGGTCCCCCTGTGCTGGCAGTTCTACTTCCTGTCGGATGGGTAAGGAGGCTCCAGTGCAATCGCTTGTGCCCAGCCCTTCCTTGCAGGCAACATGGCTCACTCCCTCTGACCTAGAATAGCTTCTGACAGTCTTATTGACAGCATTCTTACTGTAGGTTTCCTAGCGCAGCCTGGTTTCCTTTGAATGCCAGTGCTTTAAAAAACCCTATTATTATTATTATTACAAATACATTGAGTACAATACACAGGTTAAATTCCCCATCTCTCCCTCCCTTATTCCACCCTAAGAACCATAAATGAAACAACTCAGTTGCATTCCGTATGCAAAATGACGTGCAAAATGTGGGGAGGAGAAGAGGATACAGAAGATGTTTGCATCTTCGGTATCCACCAAGAAACATTTGTCAGTTGATTAACGAAAAGAAACGCATTGGTAATGGCAGGAGAACTTCCCGTTCCTAGGCCTGGCATGCCTCATGATGATCCATTCACAGCACATCATGAAGGCACCAGAGTCGCATGCAGCTACAGTCCTGCAGGGCTCCTGCCTATCTCTTACAGTTCCCAGGCAAATATGGGAGGGTCCAGCTGGCTAGTTTTCCTTCTTGCCTCCTCCACCCAGGCATTTATCTCGCCGTGTCCAGGTTGGCTCCCCGGCCACCATGGTGATCCTTCAGATGCCCATTCTGATCGACACAGGTAAAAGGCAGCAGTCTGTGAAATTTCCCTCCCTCCACCCCGTCAGCGGTTGGGAATGGTCACCAGAGGCAATTGGGGCATTTGGTAGTTGAACCCCCTCCAGACATCCTTTCTTCATTGGACATTTGTGATCATTTGCAATTGAGGTGGTCACATCAGCTTTCCATACTGTTAGTGCCTGCAAAAGTTTTTGGGGTGGTCACGCTGCTTCATTTCCATGCAGTGTATCTCCCATAACCTCCTGCTGAAGTTTCTTACCTTTTTTATACTACAAATGTTCTAGTTAATTTTTGTTTCAGTTCTGTTGTGCTATTGCCCCTTTGGAAAGCAAAAACATGATAGCAATTGGGGAAGTAAGTAAAGGTAAAGGTAAAGGGACCCCTGACCATTAGGTCCAGTTGTGACCGACTCTGGGGTTGCGCGCTCATCTCGCTCTATAGGACGAGGGAGCCAGTGTTTGTCCGCAAACAGCTTCTGGGTCATGTGGCCAGCATGACTAAGCTGCTTCTGGTGAACCAGAGCAGCACACGGAAACGCCGTTTACCTTCCCGCTAGAGTGGTACCTATTTATTTACTTGCACTTTGACGTGCTTTCGAACTGCTAGGTTGGCAGGAGCTAGGACCGAACAACGGGAGCTCACCCCGTTGCGGGGATTCGAACTGCCAACCTCCTGATCAACAAGTCCTAGGCTCTGTGGTTGAACCCACAGCGCCACCCGCGTCCCTTAATTGGGGAAGTATCTCAAAGCAAACTAAAGTAGACTAAATCCACCATTAACACACTATTATTGTGTCAAGAACGCGTTGCAAGATACACCCACAACAAAACACCAGTCTGGAGAGGCCCAGAATCTGTGCTGGCCTCCACTGGGGACAGCATCTGGGAGTGAATCAACTAACTTGGGCAAAATGCAGAAATGCATTCTCTTTCATTTGGGCATGGATTGAAATTTAATTGCACTATTTATTTTTAAGAGCCATGGATTTCTAGTATGTGATGGACATCAATCTCTAATTCCCATGTTCCTAACTCTGCTTCAATTTCCACCTCTTCCCAGATGAACCAGACCCTCGTCCAGTCTTCGAGAAAATCCCGCTGGATTGGGAAGAGGATGTGCAGCTGTATTCCCAGTTCTTAGACAGAAAGGTGAGTTGTGTGGCAGCTAGAGTCTTGCCTACGCCCTTAAAATGTGCCAGCTCTTGCCAAGGGTCAATTAGTGGGCCTCCAAATACATATAGTTCTACCTGAAGTACTTGGCACCAAACTGGATAGAGCAACAACCTGAGAGACCCTCCTCTAACAGGGGTTTGGTTTCCTCCCTTCAGGAGGAGCTGCAAGCAAGCCATGCCACCTATGTGCGTCGCCACCCAGAGCTCCGTGCGCTGTTGGCAGATTTCTTACAGCTGCTGCTCCTTCGCAAGCCTGATGACGTGGTCACCTTTGCTGCGGAGTTCTTTGCCCCCTTTTCAGCAGAGCGCCCACCCTGCAGGTCGTTTCGGTCATCCGACAAGCCCAGCCCCTTTCGCAACCACGTCTAAACTATTCCAGCAGAAGAATAAAGACCCAGAGAATGACGCTGGGGTTTGCGGAAACTGTTTTTGGAAGTTGCTGGGGGCATGCCCTGCCCAGAGGGGTGCATGATGACTACTGCTGTGTCCAGGGCAGAGGCTCAGTCCTGAGGTACGCTGCTTCCCAAAGGGTGTTAGGAGTGCTGCAGGGAGTAGGAACTGAAACCGCTAGCATTTCCACACCCAGTGCAGAGCTGGCGACTCTGCAAAGTGGGAAGTGGTGGAAAACCTCCAGAATGTGACATTTTGGATCAAATGTATCCTTAAAAAAGAAAAAAGAAGAAGGCAGGAGTTAAACTTTATAACAGACTTCTCTGAATTTAAATTTTTGGCTTTAGAGACGAAAGCTCAGCCAATAAATAATTGAATCAATTGATGGAAAATTTACAAAAAGTGAGACCAAATAAAGTTTTTTCCCCTATTATTGAAAACAATGAGTTTAAAAGGTGCGTCTAAATATGTAGACTTCTGTGTGGAGGAACAGCTAATGGCTGTGGAAGAAGATGCACTGGCCTGATTCAGATGTAACTGAAAACTATGGTCAAAAGTGGGAAGCTACTGTTTATTGCAGCTAGAAACTTAGCATCTCCTCTCCTCCCGCAGGAGGGGGAGGAGGTGAGAAAGGTAGGTGTGACTGTACAAACCGATGGCTCATGTCTGCTCATTGTTATATTTGGATCAAACCTTGAATAAGGTATCAAACAAACGTTAATTCAGATAAATCTGCAAGTGTTCTAAAAAAAAATCAAGAAGTAGACATCCTTTCCGAAGAATGGAAGGAGATGGAAAAGGTGGCGTCAGCTCTGTTTCTAGTATATCTGTCAACATTAAGAGCCAGTCATTCTCACTCAGGCAGGTCCTTTTTTCCAGTTACATCGGTAGGGACCCAGCCTTTACATTTGAAACATGTAAATAGCAAGATCCCCATCAAACACAATTTTGTTGTTTTGTCTAAATCAATATTAGAAGTTACAACATTTAAACATGCACCAAAACCTTAAAACATTTAAAATTGAAATTGTCCTCAGCTATTCTCTCGCAATACCCCTCCTGAAAGTTCAACATTTTACAGAGCACCAGTTATGTTCTCTTCATGTAGATAGATCTGACAAATTTTTTTTGTACTTACTTAGGAGAAGGGCGATGTTTACATGGGCCATTTTTGTCTTGGGAAAGAGAACACAGTTGTCAGGGGTTCAGGGACAGAGGCACAGGGTAGGGAGGAGATGGAGAGCGATGGGGATGAATCCCAGGACAGCGAGGAAGAGGATGACAATGACTCAAGAGATTCCATGAGTCTTTCCAGCGAATCAGAGGATTCCCAGAAGGGAGCGCCAGTGGTCAAGGCCAGGGGAGCCCCAGGGGGGACGTGTCAGGAACAGGGGGCCAGCGGGGGATCCCAAAGTGGCAGCTGGGCGTCAGGACCAGCCTCCCTGCCAGAGTGCAGCGAAGGGGGTGGAGGTTCCAGTGTATCAGGGGAAGCAGCTCCGGCAGCAGAGAAGGGAGGGAGGTCGGAGCAAGCCACCCTCCCGGAAGGGGAGGGAGTAGTGAAGGGAGTAGTGTAACTGTCAAAAGGAAAGTTAGAGGTTGGGCGCGCGCGCAGGTTCAAATGTAGAGCGCGCGGAAGTACAGGGAGCCCGGAGGAAGAGCCAGGTCCTAAAGCCCGCAGGAGGGGGAAGAGCAGTCGGGGGATAGCGCGTCAGGGAATCCAGGAGGGCGAAACCCCAGCAGGCAGGAAGACCCTGAGGAAAAGGAAGAGCGAAAGAGGTGGAGCAGCGCAAGGCTCTTAAACTGGTGCAGGGGGGGACTGACTCAGAGGGGACTTCAACGGTCTAAGCGTACAGACGTGGGGCTGCGCGCCTCGGATATGAAGCAAACAATGAACTGCAATAAACACTTTTGTATATAAGAAGAGATTGGCGTTGGTCTTCTGTGAGCTGAGACCTGAGGCAGCCTTGACAACAGTAAATGTAGGGTTTTTAAAAAAGAAATGTTGTGCCTATTATCAAACTATGAAAGTACAGCATATTCTTAACACAGTTCTTTTAGCACAGTATCTCATCCTACTTGGTAATTGTTCCATAAAGGGATATTTGTTTGTTTGTTTGTTTGCTCACTGACTGAAAATGTTTTCTGTACAAAAATATTATGTCTGCGTAGGAAAAGCGGTGTACAGGGATAGCCCTCAGCCATCCATAGATAAATGATGATACTACTACTGGGGATATTCAATTCCATAAGCGCAGTAACCCATAGCTAACAGGGATTCTTACAGTGCGTTGTAACTCATTTCTCACATTTTCCTTTGGTTTTGCATTTTTGAAGCAGGGGTGCTATTTCAGCACTGGCCACCATGCTGTTTAAAAAACAAAACAGGAAAATGAAAAACTTTCCTGAAAACATTGCTATGAGTACCTCTGATCCCCTTTGTGTTGGGCAACTCCTCTCTGCTCCTCAAAATTACAGGGCAGATACCCATTTCATCTTGCTCCAGTGTCAGGGCTCTGACTGAGTCACCCTGGATGAGAGTTATGAGGCAGGGGTGGTTTTTTTGCCTTTTCCCCCTTTTCCCCCAGGCCTTGACATCTGTACTCCAGGGGGCAAACCAGCTGCTTTTGAACTTACTAGCCTCCTTCCTTCCTCTCTCTTGCCTATTGAGAAACCAGAACCTTTCCAGCTGCGAAAGAAAGCAGCATATTAGTAAGAATCACGGCCTTCATACAGTCAGTCCCTCAAGCTTGATATTCATTCAGCGTTTTGAATGATTCAACTCAGTGGCCACTCTGGTCCCAGATGGGCAACAATTCTGTGGGAAAGAACTGCACATGCCCTTGTTGTGCTGGGCCTTTAAACATTACACCAATGTTGTGGGATGAAACTATGGAAACATACCTCCCACATCATTGTAGTAACCTCTTTTAGTGGGCATGGTCCTCCAGATGTTGCTGGACCGCAACTCCCATTGTCCCTGGCAATTGGCCATGCTTGCTGGGGCTGATGGGAGCTGTCGTTCAGTGACGTCTGGAGGGCCACAGGTTCCCCACACCTGCTGTGAAGGGAGCAATAATAAACCAAGAAAGATCCCTTTGAAGAATAAAGGAGATCAGTTGTGAGATATGAGCAAAACGAAAACATAGCTCTTTTGCTCACCTATATTTGTACTCCAAGGCCAGGAATGGTCCAGGGGCCAAATCCAACCTGCTGAGGAGTACTTAGCTGCCCGCCTTCATCAAAACCAGTCAATAGTAAGATGGCGGGTACAAGGATGGCATGCTTGCCATCTGTTTTCCACAGTGAGCTTGGAGTGTAGCTTGTCCCCTTACACAGGAGGCGGACAGGTTCTGAGAACTGGGGATGTGACTGAGATGGTGACTCAGCATCATGTGAGGCCAGTGTTCAACGTCCTTCACAAATAAGCTCAATGTGATAAAGACAATTTGCAACCATTTATGTTTCTTCAAAGGAGGAAACAGGGCTCTCTGGAATCAAAGATAATGCTCTTGTACAGATGGAATGGATACTTGTGGTTTAAGAAAATTAACACCCCCAAACTTCAATTATAGTTACTCAACAAAAAGGAATTCATTTCAATAGAGGTTATTGTCATGTGATCTTTAGGTTTGCATCAGTGAAGGCCTTGTGTAATATGAGAACAAAGAAAAGGGGTCAGTGACTGCCTAGGGCCTGTCAAACCCTATCAAGGTTTGTGTTTATATGAGCTATAAAAGTATACAGTATGTGCATTTACATACAGCCATATGCTGAAGCTTAGTGTAGCTGTACATAGTTGGTAGCCTGCCTGCAGCCAAAGAACTGTCTAAATAGTGAATTTTAAAAAATCATAAGACTACTTTAAAAATTATATTTATTATTTATACCCACTTTTCTGTAGCATGCATCCAAAGTAGCTTGCAAAAATTGAAGCAATCAGTAATACAAGACAATCTTTTGCACAATAAAAATGCAGCACTGAAGTCATTATATGAACAGCAAGCAGCTGTTACCAAAACCCACTATCATCACACCCATCAGTGTACATGGTGCTTTACAGAGAACCAAAAAAAGGCTGGTCTCTTCCCCAAGGAACTTGACATTCACTTTATGTCATGGTCCTCACTGCCCCTCTGTAAGGCATTCATTGTCTTCAGAAGAGCCTTCCTGGATCTTGTACAGCATCCTGCTTCCCAGAGGGCCAACCAGATGCCTCTCAGAAGCTCACAGAGAGGACATGAGGGGGCGGGTCCCTCTCCCAGTCCAGTGGTGTTCCTCAGCGACTGGTATTTTGAGGCATGCTGCCTCTGATACTAGAGGTAGTATACAGCCATAATTACTAATAGTCATGGTTAGCCTGATCTCCTTTTGAAGCCATATAAATTTATAGCCAGTATCACACTGAGTAGAAGTGAAATCTGCATTATTTAACTGCACTGTATGAAGAAATGCTCAGTTTTGTCTGTTCTTAATCTCCCATCATTCAACTTTATTGGATAACTTTTCATTCTAGCTTTATGAGTGAAGGAGAAAAACTACTCTTCATCCACCTTCTCACCATACTATGCATCATTTTTATAAACCTCTAAGGTGTCTGCCCCTTGCTCAACTTTTTCGGAACTAAGAATCCCAAAACTTTATAGCCTCCCCAGAGTTACTCCTGCTTCTTAATCAGTTTCTTAATCAGCCTTTTCTGAACCTTTTTGAGCTTTTTCACCATCGGCAGAAGTCTCCTATGCCTAAAAGTATAGGACCCCTTTTTGTCATACGTCCGGAATTTCCTGGACATATCCGGAATACTGCAGTCGGCAGCAGTGTCTGGGCAGAAATCAGCAAAATGTCCGGGAAAATCCGGACATATGGCAGTATGGCAGCTCATGTTGGCAGTGCCATTTTTGTCAATTTCCCATAAAAATACAGTCATACCTTGGATCGCGAAGTGAGTGTTCCGGTTTTCGAATGATTTTTGGGAGCCAAATGTCCGTCGGGGCTTCCGCGGCTTCCAATTGGCTGCAGGAGCTTCCTGCAGCCAATCAGAAGCCGTGCTGGAGTTTTCAAATGTTTTGGAAGTCAAACAAACTTCTGGAACGGATACTGTTCGACTTCCAATGTACAAGCGACTATAGCTCAAAAACTGCAATTTTTATTGCAATTTTAAAGCTCAACAACTTTTCTGTCTGGATTTTCACTGCTTGAAATATGGCAACCCTATTTTAGGACCTACAGTTGGTAATAATTTCTTTTGGCTTTCTGCCCCATAGTCCACAGACTTCAAAAGATCCCTTGCTAATCCACTTCTTCCCAGCCTATTGCACACAGCCTTTCAGTCCCACTGTCACTGGGAACTATGCAACCTTTGGGGCATATCTCACATTCTCCACTCAACCTCTTTTTCCTTCAGCTCCTCAACCCACCATTTTCCTAGCCCAATGTCTATTTCATCCTTCCTTCTTTAACCATCCTCTCAATCATTCCTAGCATTTTAAGGTTGTGCCTGGGCCTTTTAACACCTGTGAGACAAGCAGAAATTCAATAGGTAAATGTTTCCCCACTTATATCTGCACACAGGGATCTCTCTCTCTCTCTCTCTCTCTCTCTCCACAAACAGGAAAAACACAAGTACAGAGATAATGATTTAATTATGGGGGCTGCTTGCTTTCAATTTGGCCTGGTGCCTTAATGGAGAGTAGCGGCATGGCAGAGAAAGTTTGCTTTCAAACAAAGAAGCGACTGTTCCTATTGAAGTGAGCGCACGTTGAGTGCCAGGAATATGAGGTTTGTTCATGGATGACTAATGCAGTTGTGTGTCTCAAAGTGTGGCAAAATCTGGATAATTCCTCTACCACACAAACACCATAAAATCCCTCAGTTCTTCAGCTTGGAAATCACATGACTTATTCTACCTACAAACGTTATCAGCTGGCCAGGGAAGAAAGCACCTCCTTGGTGAACTCTCTGTCTTTTCTGTGAACAGCTTTATGGGCAAAAATAAATCAGGTAAAACTTTTCATTGTGCAGAGGTAAATGCCAACAGCTCCAAATGTCCACAAATCAAACTGCTTGGAAAGTTACAGGAGCAGGATCCTGGAATCGTAGAATTGTAGAATTGGTAGGGAACCTGAGGGTCATCTAGTCCAATCTCCTGCAATCCAATACAGTGGTACCTTGGGTTACATATGCTTCAGGTTACATACGCTTCAGGTTACAGACTCCGCTAACCCAGAAATATTACCTTGGGTTAAGAACTTTACTTCAGGATGAGAACAGAAATTGCACGCAAGTGGGAGGCCCCATTAGCTAAAGTGGTGCTTCAGGTTAAGAACAGTTTCAGGTTAAGTACGGACCTCCGGAATGAATTAAGTACTTAACCCGAGGTACCACTGTAATGTCAACTAATTGCACATGACAGATGGCCATCCAACCTCTGCTTAGAAACTTTCAAGAAAGAAAAGTCCACTGCCTTCTGAGAGACTGCATTCCACTCTGTTGAACAGCTCTTACTGTCAGAAAGTTCTTCCTCTTGTTCAGTTGGAATCTCCTTTCTTGTAACTTGAAGCCATTGGTTTGGGTTGTAGCCTCTGGAGCAGAAGAAAAGCTTGCTCCATCTTCCATGCAACAAAATAATTCCTCTTTTGCAAACAAAGCACTATTCTATGTTGTCAGATTTACCTTCCAACCAAGCTTTCCGAGTGGTTTACAAAACCCATAGAATGCAAAATGCAAGCAATGATCACACAAAGATCAAAAGAATAGGATAACTTCATTCACTAAGGCCGGTTACGTTACTGAACATTCATGTTCCATTTTCATGTGCGTTTCCATTTGTGTCATTGTGTTACCCTCACGCCTCTGTGGGAAAGAGGACCACAACAAGAGGGGCCCCCTCTGCAAGACTGGTTTGCAAAAATGTGAAAGCCAAATGCAGGCAGCCAAAATTTTCCAGCAGATGGCACAACTCCCATGCGAGGAGAAGTTGCAGCATTTGGGGCTTTTTAATGTAGAGAATAGACAAGTAAGAGGTGACATGATAAAAGTTAGCACAATTTGTGAGTCACGGGGAAAGAGGATAAAGATTTTTTTCTCCCTGTCTCATAAAGCTATAACTCATGGACATGAAGCTGAAAGTTGGAAGGTTCAGGACAGCTCAATGGAGCAGGTGAAGTTAAACCTTTATTATAAAAACAGAATTTGCACAGGAATGCTAGGACTAATGATAGATGTGCACACAACACTTTTTCTGTAGGTCTTGCCCGTACAGTGGTGCCTCGCAAGACAAAATTAATCCGTTCCGCGAGTCTCTTCATCTTGCGGTTTTTTCGTCTTGCGAAGCACGGCTATTAGCGGCTTAGCAGCTATTAACGGCTTAGCGGCTTTAAGAAAAAGGAAACAAACTCGCAAGAACTCGCAAGACGTTTCGTCTTGCGAAGCAAGCCCATAGGGAAATTCGTCTTGCGGAACGACTCAAAAAACGGAAAACTCTTTCGTCTAGCGAGTTTTTCGTCTTGCGAGGCATTCGTCTTGCGGGGCACCACTGTATAAGACAGTGGCAGAGACAAAAATCTCCCACAGCCTTCCCACCGCTGCCTAAATCCCATCCTCTCCAGGGATTTTCCCAATCTGAGCAATCTGAGACTACACCAGCATGCCTGCCTTTGCTCCTCCCATGGGGAGCTTTTTGCAGCAGGAGGGGGAGACACCCTGGCTTCTTCACCAGCCTGACTCATCTCTGCCTCTTGGCCTTCCTCCTCTCCTGCTTCTATTTCTGATTTTGTACTTCTCTCTGCCCCAGACTCTCCCTTCTCACTAAATCCTGTTGCCTCTTCAGCTTCCAACGCCTTCTCCTCCCAATCTTCTCCCTCTTCACCTTCATCGCCATCCCACCACCACTCTGAGCCTTCTTCCCTTGGGGGTTCCCCAGCTGGTGCCTTCCACTATTCCTGTGCATTTGGCCAGTTGATGACAGTTACAAGGCATAGTTCAAACCTATAGAAAAATGATGACAAAGCAAGTAGCGCAAAGGGATGGATGAAACCAACAGAGTCTTCCCCCCCACACACACTTCCTCAAAAGATCGTGCAGAATCTTGGAGTTTATTCATTGCACAGTGGGAAGTAAAGTAGCTAAATAAGGATGACAGAATAAGGATTTTTTTTCAGAATGCAGAAGCTGTTCACTGTTTCAAGACTGGAGCATAGGCCACAGCGGGTGGGCAGGAGATCTCACTTCCTGCACTAGTGTGGGAAAGCACTGTGACCTTGCTGATGTTGTAGAACTACAATTCCTATCAGCCCCCAGCCAGTGTGACTAAAGGGCAGGGGTGATGGTAGCTGATGTTCAGTGACCTCTGGAAGGCCACAGGTTCTTTATCCCCATCTTAGACATTCTCTGTTTTATGATGTCTCTCAACCCCCTGCAACACAGAAATGGGCTGCTGTCCCATATAGGGATCAAACCTGAAACCTTGGCATTAGGAGTACCATGTTCTAACCAACTGAGCTAGGCCGTGCTGCCCTAAATCCACCTCTGCTCCTTTGGCTGGTAGTGCAAACAACAATAGCCAGAGTTGAAAGTGCGTGAGCTGGGCTAGAAGCAGACAGAAGCCAGAGAGTCATGCTTGATTTCTGCTAGAATCCAAGGCGCTGGCTATGAGAGAAGCAAGACCCTCTAGGGGTGTTAATGCTGTGAGCCCCCCATCATGGGCTCAGATTTTATATATGTGTAAATAAACCATATATCATAAAGACACCACAGTCTCCACTGTCCCTCATTTCAAGAAATCCAGACCCTGGAATCTCACATCACTCAGAGGTTGGGGTGGCCTGTAACAATATGTATGTGTGACAAACTACCAAACGTATAATCTTCCAAATACACTAACTAAAAAACAGGATCATTGGCGCATCTTTGGTTTTACAATGCTGGCCTCAATGCTTGCCATTGGAGTGTAGAGCAGGCAACAGAAGGTGATGCTTGGTTCTGTGTTGTGTGACTGAGTGGTTTCAGACATGCTAGCACAGCTCAGGAGGTGGGCTGGGTGGGCTGCTTTGTGTTAGCAGGAAATGCAGGTTTCCAGGGGGACTCTGCAAGTTGCTAAATATTTATGGCAAGGTGTCCTTGAAGCTATTCCATATACCACAACCAGGTCAGGTTATAAAGCTCACAGCTCTTGTTTGTATTGGACTGTGGGGTGTATGGAGGAGCAATTCAAATAGGGTTGTGTCAGGTGCTGGTGGTGGTTGCTCGTGAGTAACCAGGCAGCACTCCGACCTGTCTTTAACAGGTTTTATTGGTGCAAACTATTTACAGTGCAGAACCATAAAATTCATGTCCGTCTTAGCCACTTGCAGATTCCGGGAGTGGCCCCTTCTGGTTTCTCCCCCAACATAAGAACTTAGACACCCCAAATTTCCGCCTCCCCTCCTTACGTTTCACCCCTCTGCGCAAGCTGGGCGACAGAAACGGCGTGTCTGCCTCCTGGCCAGCCGGGCTAGGTGAGGCGCTTGGGCTCTCCGTAGCATCGTCGAGCCCTCCCCTCACTTGGCTGTCCCCTTCCCCCTCTGCTCCACTGGAGGTGTGGCTTTCCCCACTGCTGGACAAGGAGCTGTTCCTCAGGGAGGCTCTCTGTATCCCCCTGCCCCCTCCCTTGTTCCAATGGCAGTCCCCTGACAGGTTGTTAAAACTTCGATGGGAAACAAGAGAGCCAGCATAAACTGAGGATAAATGCTGTGATCTAATAGTATATTTAGCTGGATAACTATGAAAGCTGCACTTGATGGAGCTCTTGATGATGTCATGCAGCTATTAGAATCCCAGTTGCAAAAGTGGTGTGTGTGTGTGGCAGAAAGAGAGAGAGAGAGAAAGAAAAAGAAAGAGGAGTGTGGGTGTTTGCATACTTTCAGATTTAATCAAGGGCAGCACAAACTGGCTCTAAAAATTAATGAAACATCTTCAGGTTACTTAGTTTCTCAAATTTATCAGATTATCCACGATTATAGGATGCACTTGCTTTAGGATGACCACATTTTCAGCTGGTCCTTTTAAAAGCAGCCCGATACACAAACATGTAAGAAACCACGCTTTTGCTGATACAAAGTGTTAAAATGTGGAACTCTGCCTGGAAAGAGTGGAGCAAAAAGTAAGTGTGGATAAGCCCTAGACTCTGACATTGTGTGCCAACCTTCCCTCCCCACGTCCACTACATTTTTCAGAAAGGTTTCTTTGTGGTACTAAAACCAGCAGTCTATCTAACATACCTTCTTCCTTGGATAGGCAAAGATACCCAGGGTTGTACATGGGTAGATAGGAGAAAGGGGCAGAGATTTGTATTGCCATTATTACTTTTTACGGTCAGGGGAGGACTTCCTTCTTTTGCTTCCTTATGAAAATCCCGGACTGACTAAACTGAGCTCACTCTCAAGAATTGCCCTCCTCTGATCACTCTGTGTTCTTTAGACATGTGGACTGCTTTAATTTGGTGCCCATGATCTGTGGATACCCAGTTTTGCATCAGTTCTGAAGAAAGAAAGAAAGAAAGAAAGAAAGAAAGAAAGAAAGAAAGAAAGAAAGAAAGAAATTCTCAATGGGATCACAGGAACCAGGTAAGTTTCATTCTACTTCTTCCCTCTGTTGTGATGATAACATTTTTTTTTTAAGCATGGATCTTTTTTGACACTGCCTGTCCTCATCTGATTTACTGCCCCTTTTTTCAAATCCATGTGACTTTAACAAAAAGGACATATGAAAATATAAATATTCCTTACCATAGTAGCTTACATTGTTTGTCCATGAGATGGCTAAGTACTGTTGGTGCTGCAGTCCTGCAACTTTGTTTTTTTTCTGTGCCTCCAACCAGCTGCTTAATGGAAAAGAAGCACAACTTTCCTCATCGCTGCATCTCCAGCCAAGGAAATATATGTATCTTTTAGTGTCTGCCTATCACAGGGGCTCTGCTAAAAACAACTGTGACAACTGTAAATGAATACAATTACTGTTATATACAGTACAGTAAATAGCAGAGATTGCTATAGCATTGTGTAAACATTCCAGGAACTTGACAGTGTGGGGAAATCTTGCCTTTTTCTACATGTTAACCACATTGCTTTGTGTCAGCAACCTAATCCTTCATGGCAGGCTTTGAGCTAGTTCATCTGAAGTCTGTGACACCCTCTGTGGAGTTGTGATCCACATGTAAGGGCATGATTGATGTCTATGTTTATTCTGGATTATTTATGAATCCAGAACTGTTGGAGGGCAGACGCTGAGTGCTAAGGGTAGCCAGTTGAAAAAGAGGAGAGAGGACTCTTGCACCTTTAATAGTTGTGTGGAAAAAGAGAATGTCAGCATGCATAGCTTGGGCTAAAGATGTAACATCAAGTCTAAGTTGGTCTTTCGTTCAAAGGATGCTGAATTGTCTCTGCCGTATGCAAAGCCTGGGCAAACTATCTGGTCAGTACCGTAAGAGAGAAAAATGGGTTGGTAAATCATGCAAGGAGCAGGATAGGCTGTGAAGGGATAAAATAGGAGGAAACTATATACAGTGGTTCCTCAGGTTACAGATGCTTCAGGTTACAGACTCCGCTAACCCAGCAATAGTACCTCAGCTTAAGAACTTTGCTTCAGGATGAGAACAGAAATTGTGCAGCAGCAGCAGCGGCGCAGCAGCAGTGGGAGGCCCCATTAGCTAAAGTGGTACCTCAGGTTAAGAACCATTTCAGGTTAAGAACAGACCTCCAGAACGAATTAAGTTCTTAACCCGAGGTACAACTGTAATGGTTTTTGGAGAGCTATTAGTGAACTTCAGCAAAGGTGCTACTGCACCACTGTCTGAATGAGAGCCTATAAACTGAAGTTGATACCACCCTAAAATGTATGGTTATATCAAGGGTGGTTTATAATTAAATAAATGCTGATGAATCACACAAAAGACAGGAAATTCCTCAGCAAAAAGGGATGGTGGGGGAGAACAAATTTGCTTAAGACTTTCAGTCTGTAATTGGGGAACTCCCTGCCTTTTGATACCAGGCTGGCACCTTCACAGTTCTCTCTCTGGCACATGCTAAAAATTTGCTTAGGCAAACCCTAGCCAGACACATAGAATGCTGATGTGTGTTTTAATCTGGTTTTTAGCTTATTGTGGATTTTAATTATTTTTGGAAGTTTTAAATAGTCGTTTCTAACTGGGTTTCTATTTTAATGATAATTTCTCTCTTTTATTCTTTTTGTAAACCTCTTTGAGGTTTGTTTGGGGTTTTTTACAATCAAGAAATAAAATAATTTTGTGAAATAAATAAAAATGAATAAGGTATTTGTATAAGTGCAAATTTAGAAATAATTACTATAGTTTAGTTAGTAATGGGGAAGACTGTGGCTCCTCCATTTTTCTGCACTTAACGCTTTTTTGTATCTGAATGCCATGTACCAAATATTCAGCGCCAGCCCTATCATTAGGCAGAGTGAGGCAGCTGCCTCAGTCAGCTGAGGAAGAGGGGCATCATGGAAGGGCAGCAGACGGTTAGCCTTTTATTTTTATTGTAAAAGTAAAGGGACAGTTTGAAAAAGTTTAGTACCTCCTGCAGTTTTGAGTCTGCGTACATACCAGGGATGCCATCTCCTAGGGGACAAGACCTTTGGGGCCTCCCAATAATTTTGGGGAGGGGGTTGCCCCCGCAATGTTCAAAAGGGACGGAGGAGGCCAAGCACAGAGCTGAATGTGGCATGGCTTCAGTGGCTAGTTCCTTCTCCTCCCCCTTCTGCCGTGGACGGGAAGCAGCCCCTGGCCTCTGAGGAGGAAGAGAAGGAGCTGCCAGTCATTGAAACCACACTGCTTCTGCGTTCAGCTCTGCCTCCAGCTCCTCGGATATCCCAACATCACATGTGCAACGCCACACACCATGTGACCTCAAACCCCCCCCCCCATTCTTCCTTGGAAGTTGGAGCCTCTGATACACGCCATACATTCAAAACCCATTCAAAGCACATGACTTCCCCAAAGAATCCTGGGAACTGTAGTTTGTTGAGGGTGCTGCGAAAAGTAGCTCTGTTATGGGTAAGCTACAGTATCCAGGATTCTTAGGAAGAAGCAATGTGCTTTAAATGTATGCTGTGCATGCAGCCTTTGATGCTGAGAGGAATTTAGATTTCCAGGCATCGTCATAGTCCATATATAAGTAAATGCACACAGGGATTTGTTTGGTTTGCCATGATACATAATCTACCAACACCTGCAAAAGCAGCATTCAAATTTCCTCAATTAACATTTGCCCATACATTTTATTTTTTGTCCTGAAGAAATTAGCAGGGCCATAGCTCAATGGCAGAGCATCTCCTTTGCATGCAGACGGTTGCAGATTCATAGGAATACAGACAGCTGCCTTATTTTGACAGCAATTTTAATAAGTTTCCTGGAATTGTGCAAGAATGACTGGAAATCTACTCATTTTAAAATAGTTTTTGTTTTTTGTTCATTCCTTTATTCATTAAATTTGTCAGTCTTGCCCAGGGCAACCCAAAGCACAGCCAACAAAGAGACAACAAATCTCACATGGATCCATTAAAACCAAGAGGAAAGAGAAAAACATTCAAAAGCATCTCACCCACTTCTAAAAGGCCACGGATAGTTAAAGGTCAAAGGACTGGTTACAGAGGAAAGTTTTTGCCTGGTGCCTAAAAATATATAATGATGTTGCCAGATAAGCCTCCCTGGGAAGAGCATTCCACAAACAGGGAGCCATTGCAGAAAAGGCCCCCTCTTGTGTGCTGCCCTCCAGACCTCTTCTGGAGAAGGCGCACGAAGATTGGCCTCCAATGATGAGTTTAAGCCTAGATCCAGCACAGGATAAGTGCAAGCCCTGTGTCAGGGTAGGGGTGTTTTTTCCGTCTTAAGATCTGGCAGTAAGACCTGCTGGTATGTATCCCTAGCTGAATATGCAAATGAGATTTCGCCTCATGGAGCAGTGAAAAAGGGAGTGAGGACTCACTAGACTGGTTTCTCCAGATTGTTCAGTCTCATCAGAAAACAGAACTTTGGCTTATATGCATCTGAGCAGCAAGCAGAGCATCTCATCTGGGCTGCGCAGGAGCTCAGCTTGGAAAGCACATGCAGGACAGATAGACGGCATGGGTAAGATTGTGGTAGGATATTGACATTTGCCAAAGTATTTTCTAGTGTAGAACTGACTTTAGAAACATCAGCATTGTTACAGCGTCACCTGCAAATCTGTTGTATGCTTCTCTGAACCTGTGAGTTATGAATTATTTCCTGTTTCTGTTTAATGCAATTCTGCATGTCTCTCTTCTCAGCAGAACTGGCATCCGTAAACACAACTTCATAAAAGCAGTGGTCCCAGAATGACAGAGAGCTTCTGTCTCAAGTTTCTTTTAATGCACAGCTCCAAGAGATAGGCTGTTGGGTGTATAATAGCTGCGACAGGCACTGCAGGCATTCATGCAGGTTGCAGCTCCTACAGAGTCGCTGTAGCGTCGCTTTTTCCTCCAAGAGCATGGTTCACTTGTATGGGCCCGTCCCTTGAGAACATGGATGAGAAGACTGCAAGCCAAGTCACTGAGCCAAACGGGGCTGTGAGCTTGAGTCCCAATGGTGGCGACTCATTGGTACAGTGTAGCGGTTTGGGTTGTAATCTGAACCTCAACATACCTGGGAGTAAGCGCCATTGAATTTGGACTGGAATTGTACCGTTAGACAGAATCCCCTTGTTCAATTTTCACCTTTGTCAGATATCCTTAGGGCAAAACCACTGTTATCTCAGGAGTAGGTAAGAGTTATAATATGATGATGGGACAGTGCTGCCTTGTGATGGAATTAGACAAAGAGGATATAGTCATGATGGCATTATTTGAGTGAGAAAGGACCCTTCTTCTTCTTCTTCTTCTTCTTCTTTTCTTCTTTGGTGATCACTCGTAGCCGAGTAAGATTGTCTTCCATAAACACAGTTTTAACAATGAGTCCATAAGTAACTGTAGAGGCCAATTCTGGACCCACACGTCCTTCCACAGTGGGGATATTGGTTCCCAGGTGGGAGTTGATCACAGTGTGGATTTGCCAGGCGTGCCTTCCTCTTAGCACATTTCTCCCTTGCGTTCTGAGTTCGAGTATCTTCAAAGTCCATGACACCTTTGGTAAAGGCTGTTCTCCAACTGGAGCGCTCGCAGGTCAGTGTTTCCCAGTTGTCGGTGTTTATACTACATTTTTAAAGATTTGCCTTGAGACAGTCTTTAAACCTCTTTTGTTGACCACCAGCATTATGCTTTCCATTTTTAAGTTCGGAATAGAGTAGTTGCTTTAGAAGACGATCATCAGGCATCCACACAACATGACCAGTCCAATGAAGTTGATGTTGAAGAATCATTGCTTCAGCACTGGTGATCTTTGCTTTATCCAGTACACTGATCATCACCTTGTCGTGGTGAGTGGGCTTGCATGTTCCTACGACCCTTGAGAAGGACCATAGCTCAGTAGTAGAGCATCTGCCTTGCATGCAGAACATCCCAGGTTCAATCCCTGGCACCTCCAGGTAGGACTGGGAATATCTACTGCCTGGAGAGACACTGGCAATCAGTGTGGATAATACTGAATTAGATGGGTCAGAAGTCCGACTCAGCATATGGCAGCTTCCTAGATTACCTCCAGGATCAGAATCGGCATGCATCTGAATGCCAGTCACTTGGAACAACAACCAGAGAGGGATATTGTCCTTGCATCCTACTTGTGGGCTTCCCAGAGGAATCTGGTTTGATCCTGTGTGAAGCAGCTTGCTGGATTGGATTGTCCTTTGAGTCTGATCCACCATGGCTCTTCTAATGGTTACCTTGTTGCAAGTGGCTCCACCACCACCCCCTTTCAAATCATTGGCTGTGGCTGCTGGCAGGGTCAGTGAAATTTGCAGTGTAATGATATTACGTCATCAGGTAAGTGCTGTTAGATGTAACGGTGAGTGCGGAGAGGTTTCAGCAGCATCATGGACAATATAGGGCTCCCATCTCAGTCCCATCATTTGTAGTGTGAGAAGAATAATACTTGCCTTCCTTGCAAAGTTTTTTTGAGGACTACTCAAGGCACTTCAAATGTGTTGCAAAATGCTAAGTATTATTTTCACTGATTATCATAATAATGCTGTATCATTTCAGTCACTAAGCAGTCTCTCTTTAAGATTCTCTCCTTCTTTTAATGCCTGCTACAAGCTCCTTCTCTTTTCTTTGGGCTCTTCACAGACGGTGAAATCAGAAGGAAACCAAGATATGGCGCCACTAATTCACTGGTACCGAATAATCAGCAGGAGGCCGGAGATCAAACCTACTTGGATGAAAAGATTGCCATTCCAGATGTTGCTGGAGTAAGTGGAGTTGGAGAGGGAATTTGACTTTGTTTGTATTTTAATGAGAAATGTCCCAATTTTCATGCAAACCGAAACACAGTCACCCCTTTTAAATTCACACTTCTAATTTCTCCAGCCAACATGTACAAACATGAATATATTAGGCGGAAGTATGTACAGAATGCATATATTAGTGAAAATAACATACACAAATGCATTCTATGGGGGAAATGGCTTGCAGAAATGTGTGTATTAGTCAAAACTGCATGCAAAATGTGTGTTTATTAGGTGAAATTCGCATTAAAGTGCTGGTGAATTTTCATGAAGATTTTAAAAAACAGCGCCTTCCCCCCACTGGAAATTTCTGGGGAAATGTGGACAGCTGAATTTAAGACTGGAAAAATCAGGAGCTAAGGGAAGCTGAAACTGAGAGATTCATCCATCCTGACGAGTGGAGTAAATCATTGGTCAGATGGTTAACACATGGCTCGTTCTCTTGGGATTGGACTGTTGGCCTGTTATGGGGAACTGAGAGCGATAGATGGATCCTTTTAATAAATATCAATGCCGTGTAAAATGGTCTGGTGCAGTGGTTTTCAACCAGTGTGCTATGGCACCCTGGGGTGCCTTGAATGATGGTTAGGGGTGCAGCAGACAACACTGACCTCTGTCCCTCTTTCCTTCCCTCCCTTCCTCTGATGCCCTCTTGCATCTCTGCCTCCCAAAGGCTTGTGCAGCTGTTTGTTGCAGCAGCCTTGGCTACAAACTCCGCAGGCAAATGGTGCCTCTGGGGCTGGTCAGGGGGCACTAGTTGCCAGGAGCAGAGGCAGCCTCAAAGCAAGCAAGCAGGCAGGCAGGCAAGCAGGCAAGGGAGCCCAGCCAGCCAGTCCACCAGCCCTTGCTGTTGGGAATGGACACACAAGTCCCAGGCCCCTGTGGGGCAGTGTGAGAAGACACCCCTCTCTTTGGGGCCGGGGGGGGCAGCTCAGAGACCGGGGGGTGGTGGCGGCGACTGCCTAGAGGACTCCCAAGAAGAGAAGAGGAGGCTGAGGGAACACTCCAGAAGGGAGGGTGTTCAAAAAAGGTTGAGAGCCTGTCAGCTCTGCAGGCAAGGGGTGACATAACTGGGCACCTGAGCCCCACAGGGGTGCCGCAGAAAAAATCTAGCTAGTCAAAGGAGCTGTGGACTCAAAATGGTTGAAAACCTCTGGTCTAGTGTGTTCATGTGGAGTGTGGGTGTCCCTGTGAGTTCATTGGCCTGTTCCATGCAGACAGCACCAGCAGAGTTTCAAGGGATCCTGTGAGCATCTCTATTGCTTTCCTGCCATTTTGTATTTTCTGTGATGTGGTTTCCTCCTTCTGGGCAGAGCACACATTGGAGACAGTGGACATTCAGCTGGCAAGGTATCTCCAGTCCCAGCATAATGTGGATATAGTATAGTGGAAGTTTGCTTTGCCCATCATCTGAAGTCGGTATACTCTTCCACTCCAGTGCTGGAGAATGCATCTTCCATGATGATTTTTTTAAAAGCATGGTAAATGGCTATTCCCCTGCTGTAAGGCTACTCTCCTTCCATGGTGGGGGAAGAGGATAGAGGGCTACTGGAATTGAATGAATTGCTGAAGGAATAGAAAGAGGAGTCATTATCTGGGGTGAACAGTAGGACATTTCAGTTCCTTTCTCACACTGAGGAAGTGGTTTTGCAACAAGTTTTTAGTTCCAATGTAATCACGTGTTTTCTGTGACATACAAGGGTCAAGCAAGACAGAATTTCTGTGACGTTATCAGCCAGCTCCCCTAAGAGTGATTGTTCAGCAGGAAAGTGTGTGGCGTTGCAACCTTACAGCTCAATTGTGCAATCATCACAGATGAACTATGGCACCCAATTCTGCATATTATTGCAGCCATTACCATGCAATCCTTTGCATCTTCACTCAGAAGTAAGTCCCATTAAGTTTCCTCCTCAATGGGGTTTACTCCTCGGAAAGAGGCTACAAGATTGCAGCCTCAATTACCCAACCTTAATTCAGCCTCATTTAACAGGTTGTCTGAGAAGAACAGAGCTTCCATATTTACAAAAACTAAACAGGAATGCTGAGTACAGCTTGTTCAAAAATGTTACTTTCAGTAAGAATTGTGTCGATTTTATATATTTGCACCATAGAATATATTATTATTTGTTTATCTTACCTCCAGGTTTTGCTTTCTAACTTTCTTTATAAATGTCTGATTAATTTACTTTAAAAAAAAAAAGCATGCTCAGAGGTCTGGGCTCATGTTGGCTCAGAGCATGGTCCATGTGTGCCCCTTGTGCCCCCCTACCAGTGGCCCTGCCCTACTCTGGCTGGTTGAAAGCAATGGTGTCTATGGTACTTGCTCTCCTAAACTGTGTGAAAAATAGCAGCATTCAGAGCAGCTGCCCCTAAATAAAGACCTGATACAGAATGAAGTGCAAAGTGTGAATCAGTGTAGTAGAGCTAAGGTGACCTCCAATCTCTCTCTCTTCTCTCCTGTCCCTTTTCATTGACTCTGCTACACCTTTTCCTCCCCAGTATGGTTTCAGTTTTAGGAAGCTCTGGGCATTCACCGGGCCTGGCTTCCTCATGAGCATTGCCTTCCTGGACCCAGGAAACATTGAATCAGATCTGCAGTGTGGAGCTGTTGCCGGCTTTCAGGTGAGCACAGGAGAGAACAGGCATTTGTTGTAGGGTGTGCCTGGACAATATAAGGCCCTTGGGCTTCACACACTCCTCTCCTTGTCTTCTTGGGGTTCTACTGGGACAATTCTCAGTGTTTGCAGCCTTTTCCCACCCCATTTTAGGAACATCATCGCTCAGCCAAGCCCAACACAAGAGTGGGGGTGGGATAGGACCTGCACTGCTGCAATCTGCAATGGTCCTCTTCTTGGTTCAGCAGGGGTTAGTAGAGTTGGCACTATTCCATCCATCCGATGCTGCATGGCCAACTAGCATCTGAGTATTATGCACCACTGAATTATAAGCCTGAGGCTAAGCAAAAGCTTTGAGGTTGGGCTTGTGCTCTTGCTGCATTGCTGCAGAAGCCCCCGAATACCTAGTGACGCCATGTACCCTTGCACCCTGCACAGCTGCTCTGGGTTCTGCTCTGGTCCACAATCCTGGGCTTGCTCTGCCAAAGACTGGCCATCCGGCTCGGGGTCGTTACAGGCAAAGATTTGGGAGAGATATGCCATTTCTACTATCCCAAGGTGAGTATGAATGGAGAATCAGGCTGTGAACTGCATGATTAGGTACTAAACACTGGCTGCGGCATCCCCCTTTCCTGTGAGTTGGTGGAAGGGACTCTGGTCTGCCATGCCACTGTCGTTAGAGGCATAACTAAATATCCTCCATTTCTCTGATTACCTCAAAGTCAAGAATGAATGAATGAATGAATGAATGATCTTGTATGAATTAGCCAGCTAGGAAAGGAGGGCTTTGTGAATTGAACCAAGCAGTCCAGTCATTTCTCAATCTGAACGTGGAATCATCTTTACCTCTATCTGAAGGCATACTCTGATTGAGGACTGTCTGACTGTAAAGATGCCCATTTCTGCACTGAAAAGGGTTGAACAAGTGGTACGATATCGAGCGGTGTACATGCCACATGTGAAGCTTCTGGAGTTGTGATCATTGTTAGAGGCATAGGGAGCTTCTGCTTAAACCTCGCCATAGAGCAGTTTTGGGGTACCAGCTCCTGTCCATGTTGTATCTGACAGACTCCCATTCTGTTTGGTGCAGGTTCCTCGTGTGCTGCTCTGGATCATGATAGAAATTGCCATCATTGGCTCTGACATGCAGGAAGTGATAGGCACAGCCATTGCCTTCAACCTTCTGTCAGCTGGACGGTAAGTTCCCCATTCTTCTGCAGCCACGTGTGAGTGGGCAGGTCTCCAAGATGTTGCTGACCATTTTTGCACCACAACCATATTACATTGGGTTAAGCAATTAGATTCCTCAGACTAGATGATGCTGGCAGATATTGAAATACAACACAATGACAGCAGTTTTGACTTTTCTCTTATTCTTTTTACATCAGGTATAATCTTTCCCCAGTTAATAGTGAACAAGCTCCCTCATAAACTGGTTGGGATAAGGTACTAATACTGCAGATGCCTGCTTCCTCTAACTGATTATTAGATGTCTCCCTGAGTCGCTAAAGGAAAATTATAGAAACAAGGGTTCCTATAAAGCAAGGTTTCCCAAACTTGGGTCTCCAGCTGTTTTTGGACTACATTTCCCATCACCTCTGACCACTGGTCTTGCTAGCTAGGGATGATGGGAGTTGTAGTCCAAAACCAGCTGGAGACCCACGTCTGAGAAACCCTGCCGTAAAGCTATAGTGACCTTGAATAAGGGATAATCCTTGGGGGAAAGAAAACAACTCAGTGAAACAGTTCATGCTCTACATATGAAAAGTCCCGGGTTTGACCACTGGCATCACCAAGGCTTCTTTCAGAGAGCCAGTGGCAGTCAGTGCAGACCAGCCTTTCCCAACATGGTACCCTACAGATGTTTTGGACTACAAATCCCATCAACCCCAGATGACATGACTAAAGCTTAGGAATGATGGGAGATGTAGTTCAAAACACCAGGGAGAGCAGCAAGTCAAAGGCTTGTGTAGACAATACAGAGCTAGGTGGATCAGCAATCTGGTTCCACAGCCTCCTATAATCTCTTAAATGTAAGAATTTACTACAGGAAGCCTAGAAGCTTTTCTCCGCTCTTGGGATAACTTGGTAAGGTTGCCATCTCTTTTCTCGCAAAGCAGAACCTTTTAACAGATGTACATCTATTAGATTTCTGCCCATTGTAGAACTACTAACAAGTAGAAGAGGCCCATCAGAGAAGAAATGAATTGGTAACCCATAGTCTGCCCCGCCCCCCCCCCCCAAAGCACAGGTCTCCTCTTCCCTTCAGACAGAGATATTGCTTGTGGCAGCAAGATGTTGAGTAGTCATTGTGCCCTAAGAAGCTAACTGTGTTCAGGGGGAAGAGGGCGTAGTGTCCTCTCTCCCTCTATCAGGTTGGTAACTTCTGGTTTTCCTTTGCAGTATCCCTTTGTGGGGTGGAGTCTTGATCACCATTGTGGACACTTTCTTTTTCCTCTTCTTAGATAAATATGGTATGTATCCTGTACAGGGGGAAATAGTTGAATGTGTGACTCAGTCAGCTAGTGAAGTGTTTCAAAGGTTACAAGGGGATTTCTTGAGGAAATGTGCTTGTTGCATAACAAAGAGCACTCAAGCTAAAAGTTAATGATTTCTGAAGCAGGTTTGAATCCCAACACCTCCCCTAATGAGCTTGCTTTGGCCTCTTCTGTTCCTTCCCAGGTCTCAGAAAGCTGGAAGCCTTTTTTGGTCTTCTCATCACAATCATGGCACTGACATTTGGCTATGAGGTAAGCCCACACATCCCCAGGCTCCACTGCAAACAATGCCTTCATCCACTCTCCTCCATTCTGGCCAGGGCCTGACCCTTTAGATCTGAGAAGAGCACTGTCAGGTCACCTCAGGGGTCCATCTAACCCTCCCCAAACTGTTGCCCTCAAGATATTTTGAACTGCAGCTCCCATCAGTCCCAGCTACCAAGGCTATATTGGCTAGGGCTGATGGGAGTTGTAGTCCAGAACATCTCAAGGCTGATCTAATTGGTGGTTTTGAAAAACTGGATTCCTCCAGGAAGCTCATAAGAACAATATGAAGGCAGCAACACACCCACACACTGCAGCCAATATTATTTGTCCACAGTGTTTGGTATTCTGAGGTACTCTAGTGTTGTCTCTGAATGCAGAGGTTCCAATTACCTGTCATGGCTACACAAACATTTACATAGTTAGACTCTACGGATTTGTCGAGTGCTATTTTTCTAGAAAAAGAGTTACCAGAATGCAAATGAACACAATGGCGTCCACCTTAGAGTTCCAGCTGGAAAGAAGATTTGTTTAATAGTTTTTTTAAAAATCAATCCAGGGTAATGAACACATCAACAATGAGTAGCAATGAATACCTAAGTTAATAGTACACTCAAACTACAAGTGTTGGAAAAGATTTTTGTGTGTACTCCGATATCATAGCATTCAAACAGTGGAGCTAAGTTAAAACTGAGCATGTTTACCTGGACTTTGCTCCGCATTCAAAAGGGATTTTCCCAGGAACCTTTACATGGCTCTACCCCCTCCTGTTCCTTGAGTGACTCCCATTTTAAACATGCAAGAATTACAGGCTGGAGTGTAAAAGGAAACCTAACCCCATTGCAAATAGGGATGAGAGGGTGAGATTTTCACACTTCCCGAAATAATACACAATCTGAAATATAGTACACTGATCCCAGGAAATTCGCACTTCTCTGAATTTTGCGGTGCCATTCTGCAACAAAACAATTACTTATAACAATGGGTGAAAATGTGCATACAGAATGCATATGTTAGTGAAAATGAGCTACAAAAATATACTGGGTGAAATTGCTTGCAAAATTAAGTATATTGTGCAAAATTACAAATAAAAATTAGGAGAAGTGTACACCAAAACGCTGATAAATCTTCATGATGAACTTTAAAAATAATAATTGCAAATTGGTGCAGAAATGTGGTGAAATAAACAAGGCTGGGAAACAGAGAAAAACTGAGAGTGACAGATTTGCCCCACTCCTCATCAACCTTGCTGTTTCAGCTTTGCAAACTGCCTTCAGAGCGCGCGGCCTGACCCTTCCTTCCTTTTCCCTTCTGCAGTATGTGGTAGTGCGTCCTGACCAGGGAAAGGTGATGAAGGGGATGTTTCTCCCCATTTGCAAGGGCTGTGGACACAACGAACTTCTACAGGCCGTGGGACTGGTTGGAGCCATCATCATGCCCCATAACATCTACTTGCACTCTTCCCTCGTGAAGGTCAGTCGTAGGAAACTCCTAGTCTTGGATAAGAAGGTTTCTTGGCTGTCTTCAGACCTGTCTTCCCATTCATTCATGGGGGAGGCATGTGCGCAGTCTCAACAAACATGTACTCCCAAACTCACAACAATGATTACAAATGCAGAAGAAGGGAGACCTTGCAGGGAAGAATTGACAAATGAGAAGGGAAAGTGGCCAGTCCTTCCCTTGGTCACCCATTCTTCCCTTGAAGGGCCTTCTGGTGGTTCCCTCACTGCGAGAAGTGAAGTTACAGGGAACCAGGCAGAGGGCCTTCTTGCCAGTGGCACCCTCTCTGTGGAATGACCTCCAAGCAGATGCCAAGGAGATAAAGAACTATATAAGTTTTAGAAGGCATCTGAAAGCAGCTCTGTATTGGTGTTTTTGGTGTTTGATGTTTGATTATGTTTTTATGTGTGTTGAAAGGTACACAGAGTAGCTGGGGTGACCCAGCCAGATGGGCGAGGTATAAATAACAATGTTGCTGTTGCGGTTGTTGCTGCTGTTAAGGCTGTCCCTTCATCTAATTTTACTTGTAATTTGGTGCTTTTGCTGGGGGGAAAGGCTAAATATTACTATCTGTAAAGGAACATTTGCAAGGAAGAATCAGTTGGTGGAGAAAAGATTAACCCCCCCCCCTTAACGTATATGGAACTAGGTAAGAGAGTGGGGTAGCTGACAGAAAGTGTAACTCCACAACACAGAGCAAAAGCACAGATTGAGAGGATCTGACTCAGCAAACAGCGCATAGACATGGAGCATGAGGAAGTCCATTTACTTGTTTCATAAAACACACTGTTATAAGTGGTTGCAAACACTATTTCTAACATGGTGGCAGAGGTTTAGAAGTGGATCCTGGCTGAAGCAGTGCAGCACAAACAAATAAAACTGCAAGGACATTTGCGTCCCACTGGCCAAAGCTACTACAGTGGTACCTCAGGTTACATACGCTTCAGGTTACAGATGCTTCAGGTTACAGACTCTGCTAACCCAGAAATAGTGCTTCAGGTTAAGAACTTTGCTTCAGGATGAGAACAGAAATCGTGCTCCGGCGGCACGGCGGCAGCAGGAGGCCCCATAGGCTAAAGTGGTGCTTCAGGTTAAGAACAGTTTCAGGTTAAGTACGGACCTCCGGAACGAATTAAGTACTTAACCCGAGGTACCACTGTAATCTATCCCAGCCATGGAAGCACAGGAGAGAAGAGTCTGAACTGTATCAACATCTTGCATTAGAAAGAAAGGGAGGGAAGGAAAAAAATTCTGTACAGACCTGCTGATCCTACCCTGCAAATGCCCCTCCAATTAACTATGGAAGGGCTATTGCGGAAGAGCATCTTCCCAGATAAGGTTGGGAAAAGCTCCTGCCAGAAATCCTGTAGAGCTGCTGCCAGTCAGTGTGGACAGTACTGAGCTAGATGGAACAATGGTCTGACAAAGGCAGCTGGCTATGTTTCTAAGCATGAGATTGGAATCCTGTGTTTTCCTTGGAACATGTAGTACCTTAATTAGGTTTTGGTTTGTTTTTTTTAAATAATACTTTAGGGATGGTTTATTCCATTTCTTCTGTGTTGGAATAAATAATGGGCAATATTTTTAACCAGAACAAGCAAACAGTTGTTTCGAAAGCACCTTGCCTCCGCTGAAGGGAGGTCTTGAATGTTGCCCAATGAGGGAATTTTGAGCCAGCCCATAATAATGGAAAGGGGAAAATAAATGCCATCTGAAGGGAGGGTTCTCCTTATTTCTCTTATTAAGGTGAGCTCACAGCCTGAGGTTATATGATAGGAATTTAGGAAAAACCGACTTCCGGGTTGGCGCCTCCTGCAATGGCGGAGCTCCTCCATTCGGGAGGAACTTGCTCCGTGAAAAACAGGGTCTGACCGCCACGGCGAAGGTGGAGACCCATTGAAATCACAAGCGGGAGAAGCTTGTGAACCTGGGATTCGGCTGGCACCTTTTGCGCCTCCCCTACTCGCGGGGAAACCCTGTTTGGGGGATCCGAAGCGACGTGCGGTGAGTGGCGCGGTGCTTTGAATCGACTGCTTCTTTCACGGAGTGAAGCTGCATTGCTGTTGCTGGAGAGCGCTGACTTTTTCCTGTGGACAATTGGATTTTAAACAACTACCCGTGAGTAGAATGGAAAATTGGACTTTTAAATACCTTAATTTGGCACTGAAGCGGGAAGGTCATAAACAGGAAGTCCGCCTTCCGTTTTTGTAAATAGACTGAAGCAAAGACGTTACAAGTTAAAGTCTTTGAAAGCTTTTGGCAAAGGATTAAATTTCCATCGGTTTAAAATACAAAACCCCCCTTGGAAGCAGGAGAAGAGGGGGAAATTTTGGACCTAGTGAGCCTGCAGGAGAGAGTGAAAAATCAAATTACCACTGCTCTGAACCTGGGAACGGGCTGCCAGATGACGTTTGGAGAGAGTGCATTGACAGAACGGATTTGACAGCTAGCTAAATAAGAGTAAGATACTGTTTCCATTGTCCTCCTCTGCATTTAAAAAAGAGGAAAAGTAACTGAAAATCAAAACTATCTTTAATGCTTGAGTTGTGCCTGAAAGAACTGATACAAGTGGAGACTGTTTCCCTCTAGAGGGAGCTTTTGAAACTGTTACAGGAGTGTAACTGGGGGATTTCCAGCTGCAGATAAGGATTCTGAGAACCAGAGATTGACCTTGGACCATTTAAAAATGTTGACAGGAGAGGCCATTGTGACTGTTTTATGTAAGATAAGCTGTTCGCTGGGACAGCTTCACAAGAAGATGGATGACATGACTTTTAAAGTTGATAATTTGGAACAGAAAGTGACTAATTTGAGTCAAAAGCGAACACCAACACAGAAATAATTCAGGACTTGGTACAGGAATCCATTTTGGCAGGACAAATGGTGGAGGAGAAGGAGGAGAAGGAGAAAGCTGCTGTTGCTGAACATAAAGTAATACAAGCAGGATCCGTGGCTTTACAGAAGCAAATTGAGGACTATAAGTTGAGGCCTTTTATGATTGAATCTAGGAAAAGTCAGACTTTGAGGAATGGATCCCGGCTTGGATTAAAGAAGGAAAGTTGGAAAGATCCCTCTATGCAGGGATTAACTGACTTTTGGGGCATGGACTCGGGCCTGGAGGAGATTGAAGTTTTGGGGGCCTTTGGATTTGGAGGAATCTTGAAATATGCCCTGAAATACTTTATGGACTGTAGCCTCAACTATGGAAACTTGGCTGATCTGTTCAGAAGGAAGAAAAGGATTGACAGGTTGGAGTTTCCCCGAGATTTGCTCTTTAGCATTAAAGAAAATGAAGAAGACCTGCAGAAGGGACTTGGAAAAGAGTTAAGAGCCTTGGACATAAGATCACCAGGTTGATGGACTTTATGGAGTTGACGGAAAGGACTGGCAGAATCCGAAACCAGGGAGAGGAGATGGTGGAAGAAGATTAGAAAATTTAAAGTTTATATATAGACATATGGTAAAACTAATGAGTGATAGAAAAATGGTGGAATGTTTTTTATGGGCTTAGCAGAAATGTTATAAGGAGTTAAGCATATATAAGTATTTTAGTTTTAATGGAAAATAAGGTTAAAAAATACGTTATTTACAATATGATAGAAAATGGAGAAAGATGGAAAGGATTTGCTGAAACAATTAATAGAAGTGGAATACAAAAAGGGAGGTGAGAGGAGGTCGAGGAAACAAGGGAATGAAAGATAGAGTACGGAAAGGGATGATGTATGTTTTTAAATTGTTTTTGTTTTGTTTTATTTAGGGTTAAGGTTAGGGAGTGGGGTTTGTTTAGTTTAGTTTAATGTGTTTAGTTTTGAGTTTAGGTTGTGTTTTGCATTGTTTATATACTGTACTGTATTGTTTTTTTGTTTTTTTTCCTTTTTGCTTTTCTCCTTTGTCTTTTTTTCTGTTTTTCTTTTCCCTTTTTGTAATCTATAAAAGTAATAAATATTATTTTATATATATATATATATATATATATATATATATATATATATATGATAGGAATTTAGGAAAAGCCATCCATGCAGCCACAAGAACAGCCCCAGCCACAATGTTTCCTGGCTCCAGTACCTTTGGGAGTGGGGGGTTAAGGAGTACTCATGTGATAGAGCTATGAGACACTGTCTGCTTTCTCCACAGACCCGAGACATTGACCGCGCTGACAAAAAGGCAGTGAAGGAGGCCAACATGTACTTTCTGGTTGAGTCGACCATTGCTCTCTTCGTTTCCTTCCTCATAAACCTCTTCGTTATGTCTGTGTTTGGAGAGGCCTTCTTTCGTAAACAGAACCATGATGTGGTGAGTGACATAGCGTTGCGTTGCCCCCAGGCCCTGCTCACTTGAGAGTGGTTGGGACTTAAGGTCCCATAGTTCCTCCGCTATCACTTCAGAGTTCTTATTTCACTACATTACCCATGAGTGGATGGCGTGTGGTTGGAAAGGAAGAGTGATGTTTCTCTTTAGCCAGTCAGGGATTGGCCAACTTCTTCCTCTTTGCTCATTCCATCAAACTTCCAAGGGTGGAGCTGACTTTCTTAGCAGTGATACTACTAGGACAACAAATTAGGGCAGCAGTGGGGAACCTCTGAGCTGCAGACTGAACAAGGCTTGGCACAGGTCCCAAATTAGCCTGAGAGGCTATTCCACAAAAACCACAGCTGCCTAGTGTCATGTGTGGGGCAGGTACAGACAAAGCTGCAAAGGAACTTAAGTGGAGTTTTTGATTGTTCCTTTGCACGTGGGAGTCCCTGTCAATGCTAGGAAGCAACTGCACTAATCAGTTTCCCATTGGAAACTTCTTAGGGCAACCAAAGGGGGTTGCTTTCTCCATTTGGAGGAAACAGATGAGGTCTGTAAAAGGGTAGGAATGCCCCATTTGGACTGCCACTCTTCCCCTAATTGAGGCAGTGGCCTTGTGGCCCAGCTAGTCTCATTCATGAGTGCCTGTGAGTACCGCAGTGCAAAATGAATACTGTCACTAAAAATGATGTGTGCCTTTATTTTAAGGGATATACACTTTGTATTACATGCAGCATAGGCCTAGTGTTTTCCCCTTGTGGACTTTTGATTTGGAAACTCCTGCTATGAACCAGCTGGAATTATTCTTCCAGAGTTAAGAAACCTCCCGGTTTATGTCTCTGAGTTGTCATCTGCTCTGGGGCAGTGCATTCATTCAAGAAAGAGGGGAATAGCTTTGAATAAAGAGGGACAGGACCCAAGTGTTTAGCTGTTTAAGGCATATTTGGCTGCATATACACCATATATTTAAAGCACATTCCTCCCAAAGAATCCTGGGAACTGTCATTTACCCCGCAGAGTTAAAATTAACAGTACACGTAACAAACTACACTTCCCATTATTGGTCTTTCAGGGGAGAGATGTGCTTTAAACTTATGGTGTATATGCAGCCATTCCTGGTGGCTGTGCTCTGAGGCATTCTTCCTTGTAGACTTGTCTCTATGGGCCATCAGCGCGTGGAAATATTTTGCCCTGACCTTCTAGTGCAAAGGATGTGACCTTTCTGAGGCCCCAATGGATGTCCTTTAAAAAATTATCTTCATTTTATTCCGCCCATGTATGACAGCATGAAATCTGTTCCAATGCCAGCATTTTCGCCAATGGCAGCCTCTTCCCAAACTTTCCTGACAACAATGAAACTGTCTCCGTGGACATCTTCCAGGGGGTAAGTTTTTGGCGGAATGATGCCCATTTCCCCAGCTTGAAAGAAGTTGAAAGAAGATTAGCTTGCACATAAATATAGGAAAACAATGGTGTCTAGCTTTTACGAGTATCAGTGCTTCACTTAGGGTAGCCACTTACCGCCATCCCAAAACAAGAAGGCAAACCAATGTGCATCAGATTTGCACATGCTATTTAATATATGTAGGTCCCAATGCAGAAATAATTACTATAATTTAGATGGAAATATGATGCATATCACTGCAGTGGGGAAGACTGGCTGGGTAACCTGTGCATCTGCCCAGTCTGTCGTTTGGCTGCTAAGTATGGATGAGCTGCTTCTAGGCCCCCTTTGCTGCTCTCCCATCTCAGCGTTCTTTACTGCACTTTAAACTGGACTTGGACTGGGCAGCCCTTCAGACAGAGAACACCTTCCCAAAACAAAATGAACTGTCTTCCAAATAAAGAACGGTACTCTGTAATGTAGGACACCTGGTCACCCTGGCTTAACTATCTGCATCCCATTTATCTGTGTCTTTTCCTGCCCAGGGACTCATCCTGGGATGCTACTTTGGCTCCATTGCTCTCTACATTTGGGCCATTGGGATCCTTGCCGCAGGCCAAAGTTCAACCATGACAGGGACATACGCCGGGCAGTTTGTGATGGAGGTGAGAAACTATGTGGGGCTGTCTTCTGTGGGGCTGGTTAATCCTGATTTTGATAGAACCTTGCAGGCAAGTTCAAAGGTGTGGCTCTGCTACGTGCTGCTCAAACGGAAAAAAACGGTTGTCGATATTATTGTGGCGTGTGCTGAAAAAGAAAAGCAATAGTTATTGTTAGTATTATTCGTGTTGTTATTAGGATGGTGATGTGATGCAATCCTACAGCCAACATTTGGCTCACTTGGAAGCAGGGCTCCAGGAAGCAGTGTGAATGCTGCTTCCCTCATTTGGGGGGGGTAGCTTAAAGTCTCATCTGATTGGCAGCACTGAAAAGCACCTGAAGTCCTGATGGTCATCACCTGATGTCATAGCGGCACCAGTTGATTGACAGGTGGGCAACCTTGCTCAACTGTCAAATTTGGCATGTGGGGGCTGGGGTGAGGATCTTGCTTGCTGGGCTTAGAGCAACATGAGTATTAGGCTGCAGTGCCACTGCTTAGTCCAAGAAGGTAACAAGCAATGATAAAGACAAGACTTCTCTGTGAACGTACAAAGTAACTTTTCCTCACCACGACTGACCACATCCTGTCAGTACAGTTTGCCTGCATCTACCTTGTCAGGGGAGCCACTGTTGTGCAGGATCAAGACCCTCTGCTTGAGCAGCAAAGTTTTGAGCCGTAACTGATCCGTTTTTTGCTGTTCCACTATTCACGAAAGGCCAGAAACGCTATGTTTCCAAAAGGCTTTCTGTATGATGGTTAAGAAAATGTGCCTCTTTTGCAAGGCAGGGCAGGACCTTATTGCAAAACTGCAGTCTGTAAGTCAAGCCACAGCAGGCTGAAGGCATAGCTGCATTTTTATTGTGAAACAACCCACACTCATGTGGTAAATAGGTTGTGGGTCATGCACTCTACAGTTGTAGTGCTGACATCTAGCGGGAAGCTGCTCCACCTGCAAGTCTACCCATAGGAAGAGGCCTCCTGGATCCGATGGCTGAGGCTGTTTTGAGGCAGGTGGATCCTAGAGCTAGCCAGTTATAGTTTCACATTCTAAACCACAAGCAGAAGTGCAGTTGACTTCCAGGAGTATTTCATTTTTTTCTTTGTGTACACACCGGTGGGTGTGACATACTTCCTCTCAGTGGGTCAGAACTTGAATCTGAAGCTCAGCACACATTTACAAAGATCCAGTGATTGCCATTGGATGATCCTCCTTAATTTTTAATACCAGTCTCCTAATTTTTGCCAAGATGTCATAATTTTTAAATGAAAAAAGTTATAGTGATACACAACCATAAAACAATTTATTTAAACAGAATGTTCCTTAAAAAAAATAATCAGCAGCATTGCAGCATGATGGTTAATGGCAGCGAGCAAAAAGTGTTGTTTTTCAAAATCATTTTAAAAAGTGAACATTGTAGCATAAGGGTGTTATAGTGCTACACATAAATTTCATTATATAATGGAAAAGCATTTTATTCATAATTGAAATATATTTTTATATATAAAAAGGCAGGGTAGTAGAATGGTATGCACAGTGTCTGCTGAACTGTGGTAAGTTCACTTTCCTGATAGATCATGGCCTATTTTAAAATCCTGTCCTTTAAAAAATAATAATAATATGCAAGAGTCATGTTAAAGGCACTTGTAGACACTGTGCTACTCTCTTTTTTTAAAAGTGTCTTTCTGTGATCTGAGAAAAGATGGGAAAACTACAGAGAAAATGCATGACAATGCTTGGATCACAGTGTTGTGTGGATGAGTGGACAAAGCATGGCAATTCCACACTAAATGCCTGGACTGGAAGCACCCCTAAGGTCCATCTAGTCCAGACTTCTGCATCCGCAATACCCAACCAGATGCCTCCAGGAAGCTTACTGCACAAGCAAGGCACAAAGCCAAGGGTCTCTTTGTTCCCCAGGAACTGGTATTTAGAGGCATGCTGCTTCTTTTCCATGGAGGTTTGCCCATCACGTCCACCATCATCTTCATCTATCATGTGACAGTTAATTTCTCCTACTTAACTGCTCTGGTCCAGCACAAATGTGTGGTTGCACTATGGGCATACCAGACAGAAGTGAGGAAATGCATTTCTTCCCTCAACTTAGAAGTTCAGAAAGATAGCAGTGGGGACCACCTGCTTAAAAAATATTAGCCCATGCTTTCAGAGTGCGGATGATTCAGTATACTAGTAACGTCAAGTTTTACAGTTACTGTTCAGGGGGTACGTTTGTTCAAAGGGAGGTCATCTTCCCCAGTAGAGAGGCATGTAGAGACTGGAGTGGTTTTCCCCTTGTTATTTCCTCAGCTCTTCACCTTTTTCTGGTGACTTAAATTGGCCGCCAGGTGGCAGCCTTTTTCAAGACCAGTGTGTCAAGCAGAGGGAAGAGGATCTTGGATGAATAGCATGTGCTTCAATGGGTGAAGGTGTGTTGACTTCTGTAAACCCAGGAGCTGCTTTTTCCCCTCCCCTCTCAGGGCTTCTTGAAGCTTCGCTGGTCTCGCTTTGCCCGGGTGGTCTTCACTCGCGCCTTCGCTATCCTTCCCACGGTCTTCGTTGCTGCTTTCAGGAGGATAGAAGATTTGACGAGCCTGAATGACGTTCTCAATGTGCTGCAGAGCATCCTGGTGAGATGTCCGAAACACACACACACTGCAGCGCTCTGTAAGCAGGAGACATGACCGGCTGAGGAGCCCCATGTCAATTGCCCATACCTCTCTTCCTTACTAGGACTGAAACTGCCATTAGGCAGTGAGGCAGGGGCCTCAGGAATCTGCCCTGTGAAACCCCCTCCATCTCTGTCATTCTAGAAATCTATTATTTCATACTGGCCTGTTGAGTAGCTCCTGTGCATGTAGAAGTGTCACAGGAAAAGGCAAGATACCTTCAGGTTCCAAGGGCTGGGCTAGTATGGTATGGTGGTTGGAATGTTGGACCAGGACCTGGGAGGCCAGAGTTCGAATCCCCACTCAGCCATGAAACTCATTGGGTGATTTGGGGGCCTGTCACTGCCTCTCAGCCTAACCTACCTCACAAGGTCGTTGTGGGGATTAAATGAGGAGGGAGAGAACCACTTACACCACCTTGGAGAAGAAGCTGGGATATTAATGGAATAAAATGAATATAGGACCGGCATGGGTTGGAAAGGAGTAGGAATGACCAAACAGGCAGCAAACATTTTTGTGGTCCTCAAGTGAAAATAAGTGGTTGCAAAATAAGTGGTGAAGAAAGAACAGACGGCAGTATTCATTTTGAAAATATGCCTCCACACTCACCCCTGTTTCTCCTTCTGTTCCAGCTACCTTTTGCTGTCATACCTGTTCTCACCTTCACCAGCATGCAGCCTCTCATGCAGGACTTTGTCAATGGGATGTAAGTTGCTCCATAGAGAAGCTCGTTTTGTGAGGAGTTATTTCCCTAAGGAAGGATGTGTATGCTCCCATTGCCAATGTTTGATTTGGAACGTTCTTAGTACATGCAATGCACTCTACAATATCCATGACCTGATTTTGCTGCATCTGCCACCCAGGGCACTTCCAGACTAATTTTGGTTGGGATTCAATGTCATACTGGCAAACACAGGTCAGACAGTTATAATTGCCTGGAAGGGTCTTGCACAACAAAGCTGCTTCCCCCAAAAGGTAGTTTTTGCAGTAAGGAAAGTGAGGAGCAAACATACTGGAAAGTGGCATCAGGACCCTCCCAGGTGTCCTTTTCATTGTGCATAGATGATGATTTATGCTCATGATGCTATCAGGGTGGTCACACAATCCGGCTTGCAGTCTTATTTGTGCCTGCAAATGTTTTGGCACAGTCATACTACTGCTGCTTCACTCAGTGCCTACTCTGTAACTTTTCGGTGAACTCTCGTAACTTTTCATATGAGAAATGTTCTTCAGAGCAATGGGGATCCCTTGGAACCTCTTAGCCCTCTCACATTTGTGTGCCAGTCCATCAGCAGTAGTTATTTATCTCCCTTTGGATACCTGTCAGGGAACTGCCATCGGACGGAAGGGAGGTGAAAGGGCTCACACAGGTTGGGAGAGACGCAGCAGCTGAAGAGGGAAACAACAGGGAGGTGAAAGGGCTCACACAGGTTGGGAGAGACGCAGCAGCTGAAGAAGGAACCAGCAGGGTGAGTGGAGCTGAGCTGGAGGGATGGCTCAGAGACACTTCCAGCGAAACCAGTGGGGAGGTTTCAGAACCTCCTGTAAGAACACCCACTCCTCGCCGGAAACTGTCACGCAGAGATTCCAGAAGACGTGTTTCCGTTAAGGAGCTTTTATGTTGGAAGCGATTACGAAAGCAACCACTGTCGGAATCTGCTAGTGACTAGAGCAGCCATGTCTGAGGGGCTCTGTCACAGACAGAGGTTTGTGGACTTGAACAAACTCTGAGGGAATACGATTTTACGCACAAGCAGCTCATCATCCCATCACAGCATTCCGACAGTCTTTGAAAGCAGCTTGTGCAGGAGAAGGCATCATGAGCAACCCAGCCGGAACTGGAGAAGCAGGAGCTGGAGCGGGTCCAAGCCTGGAAGAAAGGTACCAGATGTTGGAGGTCCAGCTAGCGATGCAGACGGCGAGGCTGGAGGAGAGGAGGGCTCAGGATGCAGACAAAGGGGGAAAGCCACCCAGTTCGCCAGAAAGGTACCAGGATTGGTGCAGAAGTTTGGGGGAGCCCAAAACTATCATGGTTTTCGGACAGAAATGCAATATGCCCTCAATCTGCAGTTTGATGAATTCCTGACGAGGAATCACGAGTGGCTTTCGTGATTGAGCATCTTGAAAAGGGGGCGAGAGACTGGGTTAGACCCCTGATGGCAGCGAATAGTGACGTCTTAAAGGACACGATGAAGTTCTTTCGCGCCATGGATCTGATGTTTTCCAGCGATATTGAAAAGGGAGTGGTGCGCAGACAGTTAATGGGTTGCAAACAGGGGAGCCGATCTGTCCGTGAGTACTGGACTGAGTTCACCATGCTTGTTCACAGATTGGGGTGGGACTTATCGGCGGAACCCATTCAAATGCTCTTTGAAGAAGGGCTTTCTTCGGCTGTGAAAGACGAACTTTCCCGGGCGCCCAGGGCGGAGTCTATGGACCAGCTGACCAAATCAGCGCTGGCCATAGGAGCGCGCCAGGAGGCGAGAGCATTGGAGAGGCGGGAAGGGAAAGGGGAACGTTGGAAGGAGTTCCGCATTCCAGACATTCCAGAGCCAACTTTCCCACCGGCAGAGCCGATGGAAATCGGAACAGCGCGCGCGCGCGCAGTTTCAAAGCCCAGTGAGGGGGCAAAGAAGGAGGGAAAAGGCGCCCGGAAATGCTATCTCTGCCAACAGCCAGGTCACTTTGCCAGAGTCTGCCCCCAGAGGAAAGAATGGCAAGGGATGGTAGGAGCTGTGGATGGAAGAGAGGAAAAATACCGGAGCAAGTAAAGCCAACGCCTGGCTGCCACTGTCAGGCACAGCAGCCAGGCCAAAGAGCAGTGAGAGTGCCCACGCCAGAACCTCCTAAACCCGCCCTAGTGATAGAAGTGACGCTAGAGCTGCCAAACGGACACCCTCTAAAGATAAAGGCGCTGTTGGACTCAGGCAGCTCCTGCAATTTCATGAGCAAAGAGTTTGCAGCTGAACACCAGATACAGACAATCCTTTTAAGCAGCCCCTGCAGGTTACCACGATCGATGGCAGGGAGCTGTTGGGTGGAGAAGTCAGCTTGCAGACCGTCCCAATGATAATGAAGGTAGCAAGGCACACCGAACTGATAGCTTTTAATGTGGCCACCTTGGGAGGAGCTCCCATTATATTGGGGATGAGCTGGCTAGCGTTACATGATCCGCTGGTGGGCTGGCATCAGAGAGTGGTTTCTTTTGGTTCAGCACATTGCTTAGAACACTGCAAAGAGGGAAAGGGTTTGGCAGGGGTCCAAGCCGCCCTAGCAGGGACTGAAGTAACAGAGAACGTGAAGGTACCACGACAATATGCAGATCTCCGTGACGTCTTCAGCGAAAGGGAAGCTGACCAACTACCCCCGCATAGACCCTTTGACTGTCAAATCAACTTACTCCCTGGAGCACAGCTCCCTGTAGGCAAGCTGTACGCCATGTCAGACAGAGAGATGCAGGAGTTAAGAGAGTTCATTGACAAGAACCTGAAGAGAGGGTTCATCAGAGAGTCCAGGGCGGTGGGGGCAGCCCAGTGTTTTTTGTGGATAAGAAAAACACGAACAAGCCGAGGCTGGTGTGTGACTTCAGGGCCTTAAATGCAGTGTCAGAACCAGTAGCCTTCCCTATGCCCAGGATTGACGACATTTTGACAAGGGTGCGGAAGGGAAAGATTTTCACAAAGCTGGACCTAAGGGGGGCGTACAACCTGGTACGAATAAGGAAGGGGGATGAATGGAAAACCACTATGTTCACCCCTTTAGGGGCATTTGAATATTTGGTTATGCCCTTCGGCCTACAAGCAGGCTCCGCAACATTTCAATCGTTTATGAACCACGTCCTGGGGCCTTTGCTTTACAAGAATTGTGTGGCCTTTTAGACGACGTGTTGGTGTATTCTGAGAATGAGGAGCAGCATGTGAGAGACGTCAGAGAAGTGTTGAGCAGGCTGCAAGCCAACCAGCTGTGGGTGAAACTGGAGAAGTGTCAGTTTCATACCAAGGAGGTGGAATTCCTGGGGTATCGCCTGTCAGACAAGGGATTGGCCATGGATCCCGGCAAGGTCCAGGCGGTACTGGAATGGAAAACACCCAAAACAAAGAAGGATGTGCAGAGGTTCCTAGGATTTGGGAACTTCTATCGTAAGTTCATCCGAAACTTTGCCCACCTGACGGCGCCCATTACGGACTGTCTCAGCAGTAAGAAGAAGTTCGTGTGGACTGAGGAGGCGGAGCGAGCATTTGAGGAACTAAAAAGGGCCTTCGCCTCGGAACAACAACTCCTGCATGTGGATTTACAAAACCGATGAGAGTGGAAACTGACGCATCAGACAGAGCGATTGGGGCGGTGCTTCTGCAGCCAGGCAAGAAGGGGTCAGAGTGGAGACCGTGTGCCTTTTTTTTCGCGAAAGCTGAACAAATCCGAGAGGAACTACACGGTGTATGACCGAGAACTACTAGCCGTTTATGAGGCGTTCCGGAGATGGAGGCACCTGCTAATTGGCGCACAACATAAGGTGCAAGTGTGCACCGACCACAAGAACCTAGAGTATTGGAGGACGGCACGAGTGCTCAACCAACGGCAAGTGAGATGGGCCCAGGAGTTCTCCAAATTTAACTTTGAGATTAGTTACGTGCCAGGCCCAGAGAACATTAGGGCGGACGCTCTCTCACGCAAACCTGAATATTTGGAGGGGAGGGGCACCCGAAGAGAGACATGTCATTCCAGAAAACCGCTGGGTCTGTGGGGCGGCATTGGTGGGACAAAGAGAACTGGTAGAGGAAACAGAGAATGATGAATACGCCCAGAATAAGCTCAGAGGTCTTAGGGGTGATGGAGAGGAACCAGGGGGTTTCGAGGAAAGAAATGGAGCTTTGTATTACAAAGGGGCACTGTATATCCCTGAAGGAGAGTTAAGGGGGAGGGTACTCAAGCAGTTGCACGACAGCCCTACGGCGGGGCATTTTGGACAACACAAAACCATGTGGTTGGTCACCAGGGAATTTTGGTGGCCTAAGGTGAGGGAAGATGTACGTGAGTATGTAAGAGGGTGCGAGCAATGCCAGCGAGCCAAAGGGGAAAGGCGGGCGCCGGCGGGGCTATTAGAACCCTTACCAACCCCAGAACGACCTTGGGAGGCAGTGTCGATAGATTTTATGACTGATCTGCCGAAGTCCAAAGGGAAAACAGCCATCATGGTGGTGGTAGACCTACTAACAAAGATGTGCCACTTTGTAGCTTGCTCGCATGCAGTCACGGCGGAAGAGACAGCGAAGTTATTTGTAGAAAACATTTTTAGGTTGCACGGGGTGCCATTGAGGGTGGTCTCAGACCGAGGAAAACAATTTACTTCCAGGTTCTGGAGGAAGCTCATGAGCTTACTGCAGGTGGAGGTCAATTTTTCGACTGCCCGGCACCCTGAAACCAACGGGCAGGCGGAAAGAGCAAACGGTGTCCTCCAGCAATACCTGAGGTGTTATGTCAATGACAGAGAGAATGACTGGGTAGAAAAGTTGGCGCTGGCGGAATTTGCCTACAACAATGCCGAGAATGTGTCCACAGGGATGAGCCCCTTCTTGGCTAATTATGGGTGTCATCCCAGGGCTTTCCCAGGGGGAGAGGGGGAGAGATGGAGCGTCCCGGCAGCCGAACATTTTGTGGAAGAAATGGAAGCAATCCATCGTCAGCTCCAACTCAACTTAGAAAGGGCGAAGGAAGAATACAAGAGGCAGGCAGACAAGAACCGAAGGGAAGGTGAAACCATAAGGGTGGGAGATAGGGTGTGGTTGTCAACCCAAGGGCTGCCGCTCAAAGGAGGTTGTAAGAAATTAAGACCCAGGAGGTTGGGTCCCTTTGAGGTCATTCAACAGGTCAACCCAGTGGCTTTCAGGCTCCGGTTACCCAACCACATGAAACTGCACCCAGTATTTCACAGGTCGTTACTGTCACCGTACGAAGGGGGACGAGAAGGGCTGGCCACTCCGGGACCGGTCGTAGAAGAAAGAGAATGCAGCAGCCATGTGGCTGAAATTCTCGACGCCAGGTGGAAGGGGGATCAGGTGGAGTATTTGGTAGCGTGGGAAGGAGAACCGGAGTCAGAAAACACTTGGGTAATGGCTGAAGATATCAATGACGAGGTATTGATAGAAACGTTCCATCAAAGGTTCCCAAGGAAACCTCAGCCTGTGGAGAGGTTCCGGAGGGAATACTTTGGGACCACTGATGAAGGGGAGGAGTTGGAAGGATTCCCGGACTCGGAAGGGGAAGGGGAGATAGACTCTGAGGAGGAGGTGTACTTCGAGACCAGGAACCGCAACAGGTTGAGAGAAGTGTTCGAGACATCGGAAGATGAAGGAAGTTCATTCCGGGTTTTGCCTCCTCACCGCCCGTAGAGGAGGGGGCGAGAGGGGGTGAAGGGGGCCCTGGAGGGGGAGGTGGATGTCAGGGAACTGCCATCGGACGGAAGGGAGGTGAAAGGGCTCACACAGGTTGGGAGAGACGCAGCAGCTGAAGAGGGAAACAACAGGGAGGTGAAAGGGCTCACACAGGTTGGGAGAGACGCAGCAGCTGAAGAAGGAACCAGCAGGGGGGGGGGGGTTAGCTGGAGGGATGGCTCAGAGACACTTCCAGCGAAAACAGTGGGGAGGTTTCAGAACCTCCTGTAAGAACACCCACTCCTCGCCGGAAACTGTCACGCAGAGATTCCAGAAGACGTGTTTCCGTTAAGGAGCTTTTATGTTGGAAGCGATTACGAAAGCAACCACTGTCGGAATCTGCTAGTGACTAGAGCAGCCATGTCTGAGGGGCTCTGTCACAGACAGAGGTTTGTGGACTTGAACAAACTCTGAGGGAATACGATTTTACGCACAAGCAGCTCATCATCCCATCACAGATACCATTTTGAGTGGCCCTTCCTACTGGAAGCTTCTCTTCTAGGAGTCCCCTGCTTGTCCCCTAAAATCTGACCTGTCGCGGTTAGTAGATTTAACCAGAGTTTTTGAGTCAGACTCCACATGGTGGTAGAAGATGATGTCATAAATTATTACACAAATACAGACTTTGGGGGAGGGGGAGGGTTATATCCAAATAAACTGTTGCACGAGTGGAAAGACTTCTGCTAATGCAGTAGAATGTCACCTCCCCCACACTGCAGACCCCACCCCCTCTCTGGGGATTCCCTAACCCCCCAGAGCAGATTTTGAGGAGGTTGGGAATAAGATAGAGGGAAAATCCCACTGCATGATCAGAAGTCATTGTATTTTATTTGTTTGTTTGTTTGTTTATACATGCAGATTTGGATTCGACCCAAATTGTCCATGTTTTGTGAATGACTTTGAATACAACTTATTTGTGGGAAATGTGGTTTATAAATACATACATATATCTATACATACATACATGCATACATATATACTATAGAAACCTACACAAGCAGAGGGAGGACTGCAACGCTCCTCATATTCATTTAGTTCTTTAAACAGGACCATCTGCCCCCAGACAATGATTGGGGCAGATGTGGATGTAAAAATCTGTGAATTGACCACCAGGATTGTTCCATCTTGATAGTCATGATCTTGAATATTCTTCTTCTTTTTTTAACTCCCTCTCCCTCTCTGGTCTTCTTAGCATTAGCAAGATCATTATGATCCTCATCACTGGACTGATCTGTGCAATCAACCTGTACTTTGTGGTGACAGCTATAATGGGCCTGAATCATCTGGCATACTACATCGTCATATCATTGGCGCTAGCTGCATACGTGGCCTTCGTCTGCTACCTGGTATGAAGATCATAGATAAAATGGGGCACCATCTGTAGGGCTGGGCTGGAGGCCCCTCCCAAATTATGGTTGATGATACAAGGACTAGTAGATCATTGATCTGATAAGGTTGCTCCTCATTCTTAGCTTTAAAGGGGAAGAAACTGAAAACAATTGAAGAAAAATCCCCAAAGAGGATATTAATCATTTCCCATATCCTAGCCCTAGGATTATATTGCAAACTTGTTATGAGGAACACCTGCAGAAGTAGGTCTCGGCTAGATCCTTATCTCACCCACCCCACGCATGGGGTGGGTGGGGCTGCCTGTCAATTGACATCATAGTGACACTGTGTGACCCATTTTTGCCTGCCCATGGTGCTTTGCAAGCCCTGATGATCCACTGAATATCATAGAAAATGCTGTTTCCCTTTTCCCTGACAATAACCATCAACAGTGGAGCCACATGAGGGTTGGGAAGGTATTTATAAAGCATAGCGCTGCCATAGCATCCTGATGGAGGTGCACAGACCATTAGCCCCTGGATAGTGAAGGGGCAGCCCCTGAAGTGAGTGTCTACCGAAGGACAGTGAGGAACCACTGCTGGATAGACAGAGTCACGAAGAAACATGGGGGTCTGGTTGAGGCAGATTGGGGAGAATGGTTGGGCTGTTATTTCAGGAAGGAGGAAAACCTGAAGGCTCTTTGGTATGGTTGTGAAGACCCCAAGTTTGATGCTGGATCCTCGTCTTGCTCTTTCTCCATTCTAGATTTGGACGTGTCTCATCTCGCATGGAGCTCGTTTCCTGGCCCGTGGGCCCCACACTCGATTCGGTTATGGGCTGCAGTGATAGGCCATCCCTCTCTCACACACGCCAGAGGCTGCTAAATCATCCTCCTCCTTCCTGGACTGGAAGCAGCTGCCCCTCTGGATCTGCTGAAAGGCAGAGGCTCCAGGACACTGGTGTCCACCGACAACAGATGGACTTAAGCACTAGTAGCTGGCAATCCATGGTGGAGCACCTGCTTCGCGTGCAGAAGGTTCCGGGGTTCATCTCCGGTATCCTGCAAGGAATCTTCAGACTCTGCGAAAGAGCTGTGGTCAGCGCCCCCATGTAGGTGGGCCTGGACTTGACAGGCCATTGTCCAGTTTCAGCACAAGATGGTTGTTTGTATTTTAGCTGGAATAAACTCTCTTGGGAAGACAGTCCAACGAATAAACTCTTCTGTTGGCTCCCTACGCTACCCCCTACTCCAAGCTACATATAGTGATGGGAGCAGGGAGGTGCTGTGGCACTGACCTCCAACAGGGGCATCACTGCTGCTTACTGAGACAGTAAGCACCAGCTGCAAGGTGGTGGTGGCATCGGGCCCGGTTGGTGTGCGCACCCTGCCCCAACCTCACTGCCCCACTCCTGCATTGCCATAAGAACATGAGAAGAGCCCAGTGGGATCCGGCCAGTAGCCCATCTGGTCCAGCATCCTGCTCTCTCTGTGGCCAGCCAGATACCCAGGGAAAGCCCACACCTGAGCGCAACAGCATTCTCCCCTCCTGCAGTTTCTGGCAACTGCCGTTCAGTAGTGTTCCTCCTCTGAAAGTGTCCCAGCAAGGACACTGCCAGGAAGCTGGGCCCTGCCCCTCAGCGGCGTAGCGTGGGTTGTCAGCACCCGGGGCAAGGCAAGTAATTTGCGCCCCCTAACCTGGGGCAAGGCAAGTAATTTGCGCCCCCTAACCCGGGGCAAGGCAAGTAATTTGTGCCCCCTAACCCCTAACCTGCCGCCGCTGCCAGCTTCTTCTTGCTGCTGCCTGGGCTGGTCTGGTGTGGTTCTCTCCCACGCTCAGCGCTACGCTGGGCGGCCGCTGCACTGTCCCTCCCCCAGATAGTCCCTCGCTCTCTCTCCGCACCGCACGCCTGGCACCCACCCCCTCCACAGTGGGCGGCGACCCAGCGGCTCGGATTGGATTCGCACAGCCAGCACTGCAGTGAGAGAGAGTGAGTGAGCCAGGTAGGGGCAGAGAGCTGCGAGTGCGAGCGCCCCCCGAGATGTTGCGCCCGGTGCGGCCAGCCCCCCTGCACCCCCCACGCTACGCCACTGCTGCCCCTACTTGCCAGCTGCTCCTGCCCAGTGGCCTCTTCAACTTTATTTAAAGGAGCAGCTGGTGCAGCTGCAACCCTCCTTGCAGGGTTTTTTGAGGCCTCTTGCCCTTCGTGGGCTGCTGCGTTAAGTCTGCCATAGCAAGCAAAAGCAGTATTTGTGGCACCTCTAACAAACGCCATTTGGTGTTTGTTAAAGGCGCCACAAGACTCTGCGTTATTTTTGCATCATGCAATGGCAGCAGGACACAGGTAGGTTGCCCGTGGTGTTACAGAAGAGAGGAAATGGGGAATTAGACACAAAAAGTTGTCGTTTGGGGCAAAAGCTGAACGTTTCATGGCCTGAAAAGCAGAATTATTAGGTTGAAAGGCTGGTGGAGCTGGTGTGCCTTTAATAATTGCACGGAATAGGAAAATCTGGCAAAGTACAAGTTGTCATTGTCCGATGATACAAAAAAATACACTTGTTGAAATTATCTGTACAGCTGTTAAAGGTCCCTTTGCACGTTTGTGAGAGAGCAGAATGCCAGGACCTAAAGTTGTCACCATCTAGGATTGACAGCTTTTATACTTGACTCTGCTCTTGTGCCTCTAACAGCAGCTTTAGTAGGTGGTAGATTTTATCTCCTACTGCAAATAACTTTCACCTGCTGATTTTGACTGACAGAGGCGTAAGAGCCAATTAAATTTGGGGGAGGGGTCTAGGCGGATAGCTGTCCCTTTGATACCTGCTGAAGACAAGTGCCGTTCACCAGAAGGTTAGTCTATAGCAGTCTTCCCCAAAAGCTGTGGTGGCTGACGGCTGATGGGAGTTGTGGTCCAAAACATCTGGAGGGCACCAGGTTGGGGAAGGCTGATTTAAAGAGCCTAAGCATATTCATGTTTCCCTGCACTTCTGGTTTTATCTCTGGGCTGGTGAACTGATTACATCTTGTCTTCAGTTCTGTTAACTGCCTCACTCTTTAACTGATGGGTGAAGTAATGGAAATAAATATGACCATTTCAGTGTAAGAAGGATTTTGTAGCTACTTAGGGCGGGGGGTGAGTTTCTTATTAAACTAAAGAATATAAATAAATAGTTGGTTGTTTGGAGGAAAAGACAATAAAATGCTTTGCTCATACCAAAAGAGATTGGATTGTGTATTCTGTGCTAATGGGTCTGCTGAAAACAATTGCATAAATGAAACATTCAGAGGGAGCACCCTTTAATTAAAGTCAAATTAAAGATTGGTTATAAATTCTACAGAAAGTTCCAGTATACTAAGTGCCTTGTAGTTACTTCCCTTCATCTTTACAACAGGTTAAGTAAGTACAGTAGTACCTTGGTTCTCAAATTTAATCCGTTCCGGAAGTCTGGTCCAAAACCAAAGCGTTCCAAAACCAAGGTGTGCTTTCCCATAGAAAATAATGCAAAATGGATTAATCTATTCCAGACTTTTAAAAACAACCCCTAAAACAGCAATTTAACATGAATTTTACTATCTAACGAGACCACTGATCCATAAAATAAAAGCAATAAACAATGTACTGCAGTCACACAATCAATCAATCAGTAGCTGAACTGGGTTCCACACAGTCACAAAAACAAAACAAAAAAGCCCCCCCAAAAAACCCAACACAAAATGAGTAGCAAAAACAGACAGACCTCAGCGTAACACTCAAAACAGAAGTGTGGCACTCAAAACGGAAGAGTGGCACTCAAATCAGAAGCGTAACACTCAAAACGGAGCAGGTTCGGCTTCTGAAAAAAGTTCACAAATCAGAACACTTACTTCCAGGTTTGCAGTGTTTGGGTTCCAAGTTGTTTCAGTACCAAGGTGTTTGAGAACCAAGGTACCACTGTACAGGCAGCCTACCTTAAGGAAATCAAAACTTAATTAACTGAGTAGAGAGTTGAACCTGATAAGGCTTGTCATGCCCAAATTCAGCATCCTGTTTACAAGGCTTGCATTGTCAATCAACAATAATGTGACCAGCACTTTACAGAGCAGTCCTAATCCCCATAGCCACTGCCTGGAGGAGGTTAGGGTAGGGCAGAAGTGGCCCCTCAGCTGGAGGAAACGGGCTCTACCTGTAATACTCCCATAAACAGCTTTGCAGGAATGAATTTACTGCCTATGCTTCTTTTCACCAGCTGTAGGGTCTGAATTGGGCTCGGTGGGACGGAGTTGGCTTAGGATCCACTGTCTCCAATGCTCCCCAGCTAGGCCCCAAGATTGGGACCATCAACTGTACCTGAAAGTTGGCAGCATAAATTATCCCCCACACTGGAAACAAGTTGGGAATGAAAACCAAACTCCCCCCCCCATACTTCATGCCCATGCCAATGTGAGCCACCTCTGAAGTGGCAAGCTGCCCATCACGTCATTCGCTCCCAAATTTGGATTGCTCTACCCACCAATACCTATACGTTGCAATTCAAGAGAATCGCCAACTGGCATCTTTGGAGGGAAACTGAAGCTCTGCTCCCAGAGGTGCTCAGCCTACTCCTATTTACAGTAGGGGGGGAAATGTGCCTGTTAACTGCTTTCACAGGATTCCCTTCCTGTCTATTGGCCCTGAGACCACATAGACACCCACTCTCTGGACACTTTCCTAGCCTTTTCTGGCAAGAACAGTGCTCATTCTTAAGTGTCCTCCAGGCAAGCAACTTGTGAATCCCTCTTGGCCCTCACCATAGCTACTCCAGCTCAGGTCTAAGTGAATTAGCTGCCTCCAGAGATGATCCCATCCCAATTAGTTTGTGTCTCAGAGTCTCTCTAAGGGCTAAACTTTCCACTCTGAGTACTAAACCTGCTGTCTACCCTCCTTAGCTGAACGGGCACCAAATTACAGTTGCTACTCCTCACTCCCAGTGGTAAATAGTCGTATAAATAAACACAGTTAAGGGATATATCCCAATCCTCTCTGAACCAAAAGGAAACCCAAAAGTCAATCCCAGGACAGAGAGAGAAAGTCAAAGACTGAACACCTATAGCAGTCCAAAGAGCATGGAAAGTCTGTGTGCAGTTGTGCCAACCAGTTTTCCTAATACTATAACTACTACTAATAACAGCAGCAGCACTTATAGAGTTGTTGGTATCTGTCTGTCTGGGGAGACAATGGAGTGTGCCAAAGTGACCTCTCTAGGGTGCAAGCCTGGGCAGTGTGTCTGGAGGTCCTGGGCTGCCCAGACGACAAGACCCTGCTCTCGGTCTCACTGATGTGGTCCAAAGGAGAGAAGAGCAATATGTTTGGCACCAGCATTTCAAATATTTGAAGTCATTTTTGTACATTGTCTCAGCAAAGCCTTACAGCAGCCTTGTAAAGTCAAGTATCACCAGCCCCACATTGCAAATGGTCATCAGGGAAATTGAGCTGAAGCTGGGAAAGTGACACAACTACCTGCCAGGAAATAACTTCTTTAAAGGATAAGTTTAGCCATTATTGTTAATAATAATATTTGGGGGTGGGAATGGTTTCATATGGAAAATCATTTAAATATATGATTGGCACACTTATAGCATAAAGTGATGCTAAAGTTCAGGAAAAGCTTTACCACTTGGTTCTATTGAATGTACAACATGATTTTTCCAGGCGTAGGAAAAATGTGCAGATTGTTTCATGTGTTTGGACTGTTTCAAAAGTGTTCAGACCCAACACAGTACAATTATGACAACTTAAACAGAACAGAGACAGGTGTCAATATAGGTATTGTAAGAACTAAGAAGCAGCAAAAGCTGGATAAGGCAAGCAAAAAAGTCTAGAATTTGCTAAGAGCTCATGAGCAATCTATTCAACGTTTTCATTAGTAGTAGTGAAATAAGGGGGTGGATGAAATCGGCTGATTGTGAGAAGCAGAGAGGCATTGTTAGCGTTGGAAAGAATCAGGAAGTTGTGCAGGACAACCCAGCTGACCTCACAAACAACGGGAGTGATAGAAACAAAATGGAATCTAATCGCACAAAGTATCACTTGCAGGCTGCGTCCTGAGGTCCTGTAAACCACAGTTTTGCTATCTGCTGGAGCTCCAAAGAGGGAAAGATAGCCAGCAATTGTGTTCAATCAAAAGGTGTCTTCATGAATAGTACTAGGTAGCAGACTGTGGCCGGAGTACAGTAGAACAGTGTTCAGCAGCTACAGTTAACTGTGACAGAGAATTCTTAAAACTGTGCTTTATTATACTGTGTTAAATCAATGTCCTTTAATAACCAAAACATAAAATAAAAGAGGGTGTGTTGTATCCAGACTAAGTTAATTACACTTAACGCTTGTCCACATTTGAGCATTAATCCATTCCCCCTCCATATTCTAATTAGACCTAAGTAGTCCACAGCTGTGCATATTTGAATTTGTATATGAAGAGCAACTTGATATTTCCCATTCATACCAGTAGGAGTTCCCTTTGGTGTTTGTCTCTGCCTCCTAATTTGTTTATTCCATTATGCCAATCAAGAACTAGCAAGGGTAGCTGCAGGTAGCTGCATGCACATGTTGTTATTTTTGTTTAAATCTCATACAAGAAGTGTGCAAAAGCACACAGTCAGGCAATTGTAAACTAGCTTGTGCGGTTTTCTGGTTTTGTGCAAATCTGAGGAATCAAAAGAACAGGCAGGAAATCCTTCAGGAGTGCACTGAAAAGTTACAAGCACAGCCAGGAAAGAAATCAAAGCACGAAGGAAGTAGTGGGCATGGAAAGGGAAGCAGTAGAAACTGACCATTGATCCACCCACCCCAAACCACCAAATAGTCTGCAACCTGAGTGGAGCAGTTTGGAGCCTGATTTCCCCCCTTTTAGATTTTAGATGATAAAGAATAACAACAAATAAGAATGCATTCTGAAGGGGGAGGGGGCACCGATTTTTCTTTAAATACCAGCTTGGCTCCCATTTATCCTGCCAATTTCTGCTGTAGCTAGACCATCTGCTTTGCATGTAAAATGCGACTCCCAGGATCTCCGGGTTGGGGTGGGAAAGTTTCCTGTTTGAAAATTATCATTATTATTAATACCCCGCCCGTCTGGGTGGGTTTCCGGACCCCGGAGAGCCACTGCCAGTCAGTGCGGGCAATATCAGCTACAAGGATGATGGGCTGACTCAGTATAAAGCAGCGTTCCTACAATAGCCCGCTGAACCGTTTAGAAGAAAACTGCTCCTTAAGACGCGCGTGGGATGTGCTCGCTATAAGAGGCAATCATGCAAGCGGTTTGGGAAGAGCAGCGCTAGAATTAAGCGTGGGCGCAATTAAAGCTGCAAAGCCCCTGGGGACATCCGCAACAGCCCAATTATGCCCCACCCAGGGGCGTGTTTCTCTGCCTTGGGTCACAACCGGAGCAGGAGCGGCCATGTGCAGCGTAACCCTGATATTCAGGGACCGGCTGCTGCAGGCCTTCTTTGATCATAGCCGAAGTGAGGAGCCCAGACTTTCCGGGCTAGCGCTGCGCACAGCCATAGAAGCTTATTGGATCGCGTCGGATGGGATGGGTTGTAAACACAGGCTAGTCCCCGCTCGCCCACGCATGGATTCCTTCCAAGTGCCTCTGAGATTCGGGAAAACGGGGATCTCGAAAAGGAAAAATTAAAAACGTATCACCCTCTAGCGGGGCAGCGACAGCTAACCCGACAAGCTAGCACTTCTGCGCTCCAGAATCAGGAAAGGAACTTTTATCCGGTCCCTTACGGTGGAAAAAAAAACCTCTACGTGGAGACAAGCAGGATGGGATACGACCAAGTAAACTCGATGCAAGAAGAAGCGCGGGCCCCGCGAGGGACCTTGCTGTACCTGGACTCGCCGGTAGAGGGCGCCATTAAGGCATAATAGGGAACTTTGATAAGATTGCGAGGTCTCTCTCTCTCCCTCCTCCCCCCCCCCACTTTCCCTTTTTTCAAAAGACGTCATTCCTGTGGTTGTAAAAACCTTCCCTCCTGTTCCTGCTTTTTGCTAACTCCAGGACATCAAGGCTTCCAAAGGGCGCAAAGGGATTCTTGTTTTTCCACCCTCGATCACGTCGGGGCGAAATCTGCCTTTTTCTTTCGAGCGGGGAAACTTGAGCGAGACCCGCGCCTGGCGCCTTCCCAAGAGAAAAGGGAGCGGAGGCGCGCGGGACTGGCGCCAGCTGGGCGCGGAGGAAAGGCCTTTCGGGTTTCGTAGGGACCGTCTGGCTGAGAAACGCGCTCTTGGGCCCAGGGGCGTCCCACTTTCCCGGCCTGGGCCGTTGCTCCTCCCCACCCAAAAGAGCCGCTTCGCCCCTGGCCGGGGTTCGCTCTTGCCCGACGCTCCCTTGCCCGTTTCAAGTCTTCCCCTGCGCCCCCCTCCTGCTCCCTCCCCTTCCCGATCAACTTCCAAAGGCGCCCCGGATTTGCTCCTCGTACGCCGCCGGCTCTCTCGGGGAAGATAAAGTTTCCCGCGCTCCTAGCACCCAGCGACCCCCGCACCGCTGCCTTCCCCATCGCTCCGGAATCTTGCGAGGACGGGGCACCCAGCTTCCAGGCCCAAAAGCTTGTTTATGCGAAGAATTTCTTCTTCCTTAAAAGGGCAATGGCTCTGTTGCGCTAGGGGCCGGTCGGCGGCGAGGTCGAACTCGGCAAAAGCGTCTCTGGTGTGTCCTCGCGTGGGCGCCACCGCAAAAAGGAGATAAGAAAAAGAAGAAAAACCCAAATCCATAGTAGGGCCATACCTTTATTCAGACAAACACAATGTCACAAAATAGTGAGCAAGCTTCAGAGTCCTACAGAGCCCTTCATCAGGCTACAAGATGACAAACGAAACGGAATTCTTTTGGCAGGAGGGAAATCTGGCTTGATGTTGAAGCTTGCCTTGGTCTTAGTCTTTAGATAAAGCGATGCAAGAGGTGTCAAATTTAATAGACTGGCGCATGGGTGTAGCCAGGGGGGGAGCAGTAAATAATGCAAAACAGGTGCACTGCCCTGAGCAGCACCCCTCTGGGTACCAGTAAACAACAGCAGGTGTGCACTCTTGCCCTTGTGCCACTGTGGCAAGCTGGATGCTGGACTAGATGGTTTTTTGGCTTGTTCCAAGGGGTCTTCCTAACATGAAACAGCAGAGCCAATCTCTGAGCACTGGCTCTTATATGTGTGGGAGATCAGCAGCCAAACCAAACAAATACATATTCTTGCTAGTCAGCATGAGAAGGGGCCAAGTCCACAGAGCTGTATTGCTAATGGGCAGATACTCAGACCATAGAAGTACAATTAGTAGAGGGGGCTCTGTGTGATGTCATTTCTGCTGCTTTCCTGGAGAGGAAGGAGCATACAGTGGTACCTCAGGTTAAGTACGGTACTTAATTCATTCCGGAGGTCCGTTCTTAACCTGAAACTGTTCTTAACCTGAAGCACCACTTTAGCTAATGGGGCCTTCTGCTGCTGCCGCACCGCCGGAGCACGATTTCTGTTCTCAGCCTGAAGCAAAGTTCTTAACCTGAAGCACTATTTCTGGGTTAGCGGAGTCTGTAACCTGAAGCGTATGTAACCTGAAGCGTATGTCACCTGAGGTACCAGTGTATAGTGTTTCTTGTTCTCCTCTCTCTTACTTTGACCAGTGTGGGATGTAGACATGCCTTCACTTCCTCCAGCTTTAGGCACATACCTGAAGCTGGTTATACTGTAAATATAAGTATTTTGCTTCCATCGTTTTTACTGGTGCCATTGCTGTGAGCCAATGCATGAGAACAAAGTAAGTAAATCTTGTTTCCAAATTTACAAGTTGTTGCCTGATTCTCTGTTAAGTGAAGGAAGAAGGGGGACGCCAGCTTACTTCATAGCTGGAGTTGCTCAAAACAAGGTTTTACAGCGTAATTCCTATGCTTTTAATTTTGGTGCCAAGGATGGAATTCTGAAACAGTCCAACCTACACAGCCTGGAGGGAAGGCTGGTTGCAAGACTGCTATGAAACCACCTAACTTCACCACAGCAGAACAGTTCTCTCAACCCCAGAAATAAGCACACATATGAGGACGCAGAAGGATCTCCTGGGTTTTATACACTGTGCAATACACAATTCTATCTACCCTCTATTATGTGTGTTGTGGGGTGCCTGGACCCCTCTTCTAATTCCTGGGTGCCAGGTGCTGGATTTTGCATGTTAAAAAACAAGCCAGGCTGGCTTCCCATGTTCAGGAAATTATGTTCAGAGGAAGGGGTTAGGCTGAATGTCTTGTCCTTCTTCCTGGATTCTGCACCTCATTTCCCAAGGAAACACAGCCCCTAGGTGAGTGCCCGGGCCCTGGGATCTCACACTGCTCAGACATTGGGGTGACTAGTAACAATATCTAGATACCTGTTTCAGGTATCACGTGATGTAAGCACCTGTTATAAAAGCTCCTGCTATGACAAACCTCTTTGAGCTTTTAAGGGTCAGACTCAAGTAAAGTTTGTCCTGGACTGTACACTTCAGGTTCCTGTTGGTTGGTTTCAATCTTCCCTCCCCAGGGAGGATTTTGAGGCTCTGTCTCTGGTTCCAGGAATTCCAATTTGATAATCTGAAAACATTGCCTGGTAGAGGGTCTCACCCAAATATCAGGGCTCCCACAGACTGACATGACTATTCTTCTGGAGCCCATCTTTGCAGAGGATTATGGATCTCTATAGGGATAACCAGCTTTATGCCTCCCCGCCCCGGCCCCCGGCCCCCGCCTTAGATACGCAGGGTCCTTCATGGGTCTCATATTATCTGAGCAGGAGTGAGAAAAGAGGAAAAGGCTGCATCACTTCACAATTGCATCCCTCTCTGGTGCATCTGGCCCAGAGTGACCCTGATCTATACGGGGCAAGGGGTTTGTGTTTTCAACTGGATCGATGGCTTCCATCCAGTGTCTCTTTCATTAAAACAACCCCCTCTCAAAAGTGAGGCAGCGGGTCTCTTTACAGAGGCGCAGAGGTGGCGGCGTCACAGCGACGAGGGCAAGGAAAGATCACTGGAGAAATCAGCGGTTTTTACTACGACGACTAATCCCGGTGGCGGGGCCCGCGAGCGTCGCCTTGCAGAACGGGAACAGACGAAACACCAGGATGAATGCGGCTTTGTGGTCCGATCCGGGGCGATCTCAAACTCGGATCAAACGGATCCCTCCCACCGCCCCAGAACCGGAGGGGGACAAAATCCCTCCCCTCCCCTCGGATGGTGGCCAAGAGGGGTCGCTCCGGGAGTCCGGAGGCCGCCGCCGCCGGCTATCCCGGGCGGCCCGCAGCCATTGCCCTTTTAAGGGGTAGCTTGAAACCGCGCCTGGGCTCCATGTTTGTATCAGAAAATCGTGAAGAGGGAACTCCATGTTGTAACAAAGTTTCCTCCGCCGCTGCCTTTTTCTTTTCCCCCCTTTTTTGTTTTGTTTTCCCCCTTTCCCCATCTCCCCCCGCCCCTCCCCCACCCTTTTATTTTCCCCTTCCGTTTTCATTTCCTTTTCTTTTTTAAAAAAAGCTCCCCGCCACCACAAAAAAACCCCACCACCTCAACAACAATCTGTTAACTCCTGGAAAATTCCTCAAAGCGGCGGAGACACAATTGGAAGGAGGGAAGAGAGGAAGAGAGAGAGCGCTCTGCCCTTCTGGTCTAATGGACAGCGGGTCCATTATCACCCAGGTTAGCAAGGAAGAGGTGAACACGCCTCTGCAGGAGAAAGGTAAAGAGACCCGCGCGAACTGCCCTCCCCGAGGGGCAGAGGTCAAAGACGGGGCCGGGAGGGCATCTTCTCGGTGCCCACCTCCAGATCGCCAAGAAACGGGGCTTGGGGCCACTTGTTCCCATAACGCGCCACCTCTTCAGCTTGACAGATCGGTGACAAGGGAGCTTAGGATCGCCTTGCGCGCGTCAATAAGCGGGTGTAGCGGGGTGTTGAGGGAGCCTGCGCGCCCTTCTCGGACGCGCAAATCAATCCACGCCGGCCTCAGGTTCCGGTGGCAGGAAAAGAAGAGTGGCCAAGCCGCTTTTCTGGCGACGCGCGCTTCCTCCGGGTGCCCCCCCCCCGTCTCCCCATTCTCTTGCGCGGATATATCGATCCACGATGCAACGCCCTGGTGCGTGGTCGGCCCAAGAGGCAGGAAACCTGTCCGATTTGTTGCGCCCTGGACACGGAGGCACCGAGGTAGCGAGCGCGGCGCGTTGCACACGTGTATGTGTTGTCTGTGTGTATTGGCTCTCGAAATAACCGCCTCGCCCCGTGGGGTTGGAGGGTGCCCTGAAATGCTAGCTTGGCGCAGTAGCTCCTTCGAGATTTTATTTCCTTAAGGGCTTTGTGGGGTGAGGAGAAAAACTGGGTGGGTTTTTTTGGCGGGGTCCTACTTCCCTTCCCGTCTATATTCTGGATCCTATAGCTTTCCTGCCCCCCCACCCCGATTTCCTCACTCTGTGTGGCATTATTGAGCGAAGAGGAAGCTGTGCTTCGGCAACAGGCTTCATTAGGGAGGCGTATAAGGCAGCCTCTTATTGATTTTTACAAACCAAAAAAAACCCCACACCCCATATCCTGGATGCATCTCCCTCCATCTTTCTCTTTCCGTGTTATGGGGCAGTTGTTGTTGCTTTAGAGCATTTTAAAGCGAAAGTGCGTTTTTCACCGGCGAGGTTTTTTTTGGTTGAGCTGTTTGCTGCTCTGGGAGATTGGGAGCAGGGGAAAGCCCCCTTTGAGCAGGTGTGGGGCGGGCTGCACCTAGACTTGTGCCAGGTATTAGTAAACACACGTCTGTAGGAGGAGTCTTGTTTGATGGCGCCAGAGATGTTAGATAGGGAGCTGTTCCCAATTCAACATTATTTCAGGATTGAGACTCAGGGTGGCTCTCTCTTAACTTCCTGGAGATCCTGAGATTTTGCCTGACTTACTAGCAAGAGCAGCATTTTCTTGACCCTGGGTGTTAGCTTACACCTCCCTTTTTTCCATTCTAGGTGAGGCACACGTGGGCTCACTAGATAGGCGATTATGAAGGAGTTGCTCTGATAGGGCTGAGGAAAGATGCCATTCCTAGCACCCTCTCTCGGTGCTGGGTGAGTTGTAAACATTGCTGGTGGAAGGTGGGGGGAGTGGAATAGCCCAAGATGGTGTGAGTGTGGTGTGGTGTTTTGCTAGCTGCTTTTAGCTTTTCTCCCACTGCTTCCTGGTGATCTTGGCTCTGTCGGAAAGGAAGCTGGCTGGCAAGGTTAAGAAATCCTGAGGCCTTTTCACTAAGAAATTGGGGCATTTCTTGGGTCAGATGTGTCGGTGATGGGTGAGAAAGGGGATGCTGCTCCCCCATGCTCATGTGCCCACTTGGACCCATCTGCTTTCGGCCATCTTTAAAAACACAACAACAACAACACCTTCTGGCTGAAGGCAGGTGAGGTGAGTTGGGCAGAGCCAATGCCATTTAGTAGAGAGTGCTGAGAGAGATGGGCCAGTGAGCTGACCTTGGTGCAAGACAATATTTGTTCTGAATTGGGGAGGCACAGGAATTTCTCTTGGGCTATTAAGATATTTGACAGCGGGTAGTGGTGGTGCAGAAAAGGGTCTGCAGCAACTTGTAACTCCCTCAGCCAACTTTTGACCCAAACAATCACACATTATAGCCCCACCAGGGGCTCAGTAAACGTCCTGTTTATGCTGCCTGCCTGCAGCTCCCAAAATGAGGTGGGGGATGTCATTATGTACTTGGTAAAGGTAAAGGGACCCCTGACCATTAGGTACAGTCGTGACCGACTCGGGTTGCGGCGCTCATCTCGCTTTATTGGCCAAGGGAGTCGGCGTACAGCTTCCGGGTCATGTGGCCAGCATGCCTAAGCTGCTTCTGGTGAACCAGAGCAGCGCACGGAAATGCCATTTACCTTCCCGACGGAGCGGTACCTATTTATCTACTTGCACTTTGACATCTTTTCAAACTGCTAGGTTGGCAGGAGCAGGGACTGAGCAATGGGAGCTCACCCTGTCGTGGGGATTCGAACCGCCGACCTTCTGATCGGCATGTACTTGGTAGGGGATGATAAACGGCTGGTGTTGTGTGTATGGTTTGATGGGTGAGAGGTTCGGCATGAGTAGGCCTGTGTGACAGGGTTCTGGAGTGCTAGCAGCCTTCCTTTTCATTGGTGATATTTTGCAAACGCTCTGTCTGAAGCAAGAAGGTAGAGCCTAAAGCTGGCAGTTTAGGCACAACAGGGATGGAACAGAAAAATGCATCCTGGCAGACATGTATTTGTGGGACAGTTTATGGTAATTGCAGGTTGGGAGACTGCTGTGGTGCTCAGGTCTTATTTGCAAGCTTCCTATAAGTTTCTGGCTGGCCACTGGGAGAAGATGAGATGGGCTTTTGGCCTGATGCACCTAGGCTCTTCTTGTGTTAACTGTTCTGAGCAGGGAACCAAAATGAGGGCTTTATCTTGCCACTGTATGTGGCTGGCCAGTTGTGTTTCGCTTGTGCCACACTACAATCTGTGGGGTACTGAGTCCTAGCACTACAGCTGCCGTATACTGAGTTAAACCACTGGTCCATTTGGCTCAATGATGTGTTTACAGGGATGGTCAACGTGGTCCCCTCTGAATATTGGTGGGTCCTTAAGCATTCATCAGCACCAGCCTGCATGGCCATTGGTCAGGGCTGATGGGAGTTGTAGTCCAAAAACATATGGAGGGCATCATGTTGGCTACCATAGGTCTACACTGTCTAGCAACAGTCCCAGAATTTCAGAAACAGATTTTCTCCAGCCTTTTTTTTTGAGAGGTCAAGGGTTGAATCTGAAATCTCTCTGATGCAAAACATGTCCTCTGCCCTTGAGCTATTCTTCTTCCCTAAAAGATTGCCCATGAACCTGATGTGGAACAAAACAAAGAGAGGGAAGAGGCTGTAGCTCAGTGGTAGAGCATCTGCTTTGCATACAGAAGGTTGCAGGTTCAATCCCCAGCATCTCCACGTAGGGCTGGGAATCCCCACAATGCTGGGAGAGCCACTGCCAGTCAGTGAAGGCAATGCTGAGCTAGATGGGTCAAAGGTCTAACTCAGTATATATATATATATTTTAATAAGATATTTATTAAAGTTTCAACATAATACAAAAATAAGCGGGGGGGAAAAGAAAAAAAGAGAAAAAAGATAGAAAATGAAAATACAAAATAAAAACAGTTAAAAAACAGATTAGTCTTTCCATATCTTAACTTTCATTTGCTTGTTTCCCCGACCTCCTCACACCTCCCTTTTTTGTATTCCAGTTCAAATTAGTTAATTCAGCAAATCCTTTCCCTCTTTGATTCTATCTTAATCTTTTATCTTAATATATTGTAACTTTAGATTATCACCTGTTAACAATCCACTTTTACATATTCCTTTATAACATTGCTGCTAGAAACCATTTAACTTCAATCCAACATCATTCTAACATTCATTAAAAGGTCTAACTCAGTAGTATAGGGCAATTTCCTAGATTCAGTTCCTGGCATAGAATCAGAGAACCATAGAATTATAAGGTTGGGACACCGAGTTCTGAATCTCAGCTAAAGCATCCTTGACAAGCGGCCGCTCAGCCTCTGCTTAAAAGCCTCCAGTGAAGGAGAGTCCACCACTTTCTGAGGGAGTCCATTGCACTGTAAAACATTTCTTACTGTCAGAAAGTTCTTCCTGATGTTTAGTTTGAATCTCCTTTCTTGAAACTTGAAGCCATTGGTTCAGGTTCTACCCTCAAGAGCAGGAGAAAACAAGTTTGCTCCATCTTCCAAGTGGAAGACTTTTAGATATTTGAAGATGGCTGTCATATATCCTCTCAGTTTCTTCTTATCCAGCCTAAACATACCCAGCTCCCTCAACTGTTCCTCATAAGGCTTTCTTTCCAGACCCTTGATCATCTTGGTCACCCTCCTCTGCACATGTTCCAGCTTGTCAATATATCCTTCCTAAACGTGGTGCCCAGAACTGGACACAGTATTCCAGGTGTGGTTTGATCAAGGCAGAATGGAGTGATAATATTACTTCCCTTGATCTGGTTGCTATACATCCGTTGATGCAGCCTGGAATTGCATTAGCTTTCTTTGCTGCTGCATCACAATGTTGACTCCTGTTAAGCTTGTGGTCTACTAAGACCACATGTACTACTGGCAAGCCAAGTGTCCCCCATCTTATATTTCTGCAGCTGGTTTTTCCTGCCCATGTGTAGAAGCTTACATTTGTTCTTACTCAAATTCATTTTTATTAGTTTTGGCCTAGTTCTCCAATCCGTTAAGATCATACTGAATCATGATTCTGTCTTTTGCAACATTAGCTAACCCCAGTTTGGTGTCGTCTGCAAATTTGATGAGCATCCCCTCAATTCCTTCATCCAAGTCATTGATAAAGATGTTGAACAACAACTGGCTCAGGACAAAACCCTGCGGCACCCCACTTGTCACTTTTTCCAGGATGATGAGGAACCATTCGTGAGCAGTATTTGGGTTCAGTCAGTCAACCAGCTACAAATCCACCTAACAGTTACCTCATCCAGCCCACATTTTACCAGCTTCTCCAGTTAAAAGAGTAACGGGGAGCAGGTGGTTCCTGAGGCCCTGGAGAGCTGTTCCCAGTTAAAGTGTGCAGTCCTGGTCCTGTATGAAGCAGTGACCTGCAGAGTCATGTCTAGACACAGGATCTTCAGTAAAGGGCTCAAAGGATGGTTCTGCTTCCAGTGCAGACACTGCTGGTGGCAGATGGTATGTGTGTTAATTCACCTCCAGATAGCCCAAATGTTCTTTATTTAAAAGCTTTGCCCTATTTTAGAGGATTGGCTGTAAATCTAAATGTCACATGAACACAGAATATAGCAGACTTCTCTTATTGCCCACATACAGCCCCCTTGTTCTTGAATCTGGATCTGCCAATGCGATTCTGGTTTCCAAAAGTGCCACACAAAGTCTGTAGTAATGAGATCAGAGGAGACGCCCAAGAGGCCACACTGTCCATCCAAGCGGAGCTGGCTGCGTTTTGTGAGTGGAACAGTAGCTGACCAAAGAGACTCTTTTTGTAGGTTGCCCCTTAAGGAGCCTGTTCCAAAGGGGTGAGTGGGTGTGTCCAGTGGTGGAACTTCATGCTCTGGCACAGGGGGTGGAGAGCAGGCAGGGGCGGGGCTGGCAGGCGTCCTGGGGGTGTGGCGCCCAGCACAGGTGGGGTTACAGCAGCGATGGCACCCCACCAGGATTGTAATGTCGGGGGCGGTGCGCTCCCCCCACACCCCTCTTCCTCCGCCAGTGTGTGTGTCTGTCTCTGTCTCTCTCTCTCTCTCTGTGTGTGTGTGTGTGTGTGTGTGTGTGTGTGTTTTAAAAAGTACTTTATGAATTTTAATGGGGAAGTGCCCATGTTTGTAACTCCCACTCGATTCCTGTTCTGTTTCCTGTTGCTTGACCAGAAAGTTGTTTAATGCCCAGTTCTGTCTCCCACCTTCTCTAAAAGGTGATTAATCATTCAATACAGCTCTTTTACCTGCTTCCATAAGTCATTCTCTTTCTGTGTCTCAGCCAACTTTCAAGCCTCTGGATGAGCTTCTGTAGCCTCTCTTCCCACACCACACAAATCTAGATCTCCGAGTAACTCTGCCCATTATGCTGGCTTATGAGTTGTGGCAGAATTCTGTGCTGTTGCACTGCAGGCTGAGCTGCAAGTCAGGAAGTCCCCAGTTTGAGTCTGGCCTCTGCCACAAAGTCACTAGAGGGCTTTTGGAAAAGGCCTCTCAGCCCCTCAGGGTCTCTCCCTACCTGCAACAGCGAATAGCATAATACTGAATTAACCTTGCAGGGGTGCTGAAAGGGTTACAACTGAGCAAAGCATGTGAAGTACATTGAAAGCGCTATGTTAAATATTATTTTAATAAATTATCAGATGGGGTGGAGGAAGCTGCTCTTAACCTTCCACCACGATATGCTAGTTTATCACATGCCGTTTTAAATGTGAAAGGGCATTAAGCTACAAGCTCCTCATCTACCTTCTGAAGCAAGCGCCCCAGAGTCCCACCACCTCAGTCTGCAGCTTCATTCTACGCAAAGTGTGTAAGGATAATAATAACCTGTGAGCCTCCCTGAGACCTGCAAGTATAGGGTGGTACATAAATTCAACAACAACAACAGCGGCCCTCCCGCTAAGTACTAATGTCCTAGGCAAGTTGATGTTGGAACCCTTAACTGATTGAATTAACCTCCCTGTCTCAGCCCAACCTGCAGGAGATGATTATCTGCACAGTGGCAGATTTCATCGAGAGTGTGCCATTTTCCCAGCTCCAAAGTCCAATAGGGAAAAAATAGAAATGTTGTTGGGAGATACGTGATAATGCAGTGGTTGGCATACTATGTATGGGCAGTTCCCAGCTCGGTACATGGCAGATGTTTGGGACTATGGCCCCATCAGTCCCAATCAGCATGTCCATGTTGAGCCCAAGGCTGATGGGGGTGGTATGTCAAAACATCTAGAGCAGGTATAGGCAACCTAAGACCCATGGGCCGGATGCGGCCCAATCGCCTTCTCAATCGGGCCCACGGACGGTCCGGGAATCAGTGTTTTTACATGAGTAGAATGTGTCCTTTTATTTAAAATGCATCTCTGGGTTATTTGTGGGGCATAGGAATTAGTTCATTATTTTTTTTCAAAATATAACCGGCCCACCACGTGGTCTGAGGGACAGTGGACCGGCCCCCTGCTGAAAAAGGTTGCTGACCCCTGATCAGGGCATCAGGTTGAGGAGGGCTGGCTAAGACAGAGAGTTCAGCATTCTTCTAGGTCTGTTTAGGTCCGAGTTGAAGAACCTGAGGTCCAGCTCCGAGGCCCTTCTGGTGAAGTTACAGGGAATCAGGCAGAGGGCCTTCTCAGTAGTTCTGTGTACCCTGTGGCAAACCCTCCCATCAGATGTCAGAGATAAATAATTACATGACTTTTTGCAGACATCTGAAGGCAGCTCTGTTTCAGGAAGCTTTTAATGTTTGATATTTTGGTGTGTTCTTTGATATCCTGTTGGACGTTGTCCAAAGTGGCTGGGGTACAATAATATTATTATCATTATCATTACCTATGAACCTATGGATATTACCAGATTACAGCTCACACAGTCACTCACCATTGGTTGTGTTGGCCAAGGCTGAAGTCCTACACAGTGTCAGAAAAGTACTGTACTTGGTTGGGCAAGGCTGCTGTATTTCTAAGCTCAAAGTATAACTTTCACTTTTGTTTACCAGAGCATTGAAGGTTTCTGTTTCCATTAAAGTGAAGGAATGTGTTCTCTCTCTCTCTCTCTCTCTCTCTCTCTCTCTGTGTGTGTGTGGCTGTGTCTCTCTGTCTCTCTTTCAAAATATACCAAATAGCAGAAGCACAATTTTATGTGCTGTTTACTAAATAGTAGTAAGTGCTTCTCACATTCTCAAAGTAGTACATTTTGTATTTCATAATTCAGTTCATTAGTATGGCAAATATTTCCCTTTCCCCACAATATACTACCCCTACCTGCCACCACTGTCATGCCTTCCAAATCTTCAGACGCTTTGTATCTCTGATTGGGATGGCCAGGGCTTTGTCCTGGAATTGGACTCGCATCGGGTAACTCCTATCCCCTTGATCATGGTAATTTGGTCTCCTCCTCCTTTCTCAAGCCAACCAGGTCAAGTGATGGGCTGGGGGAAGGACGTGTGTCCTTGAAAGGACCTTTTCAAGGGTCATGCATGCTTATGTGAGGCAGAAAAGCTGTCAAAAGACAGTTGCTTCTCTCTGTCTTAAGCTGCCTTTGCCAACCTCATTCCAGGGCTGGCCGGGGGTGATGGGAATTGTAGTCCAAAACATCTGGAAGGAACTGGGCTGGCAAAGGATTAAATGATCTTCCAGACTTGTTTACATCCAGCCACTCTCTGATTATTGCATTCAGGGGAAAATGATATTTGCATCTCCTTCTATGGGGATTTTTATTAAGAGTCTGGATCAGTGCCTTTCAGGCACAGTATAATTGTAGGGGTGATTGCCTAAGGCCAAGGAATTGAACTGGATAACACCCAAGATTACTACCAATTCTATTGATAGTAATGAACAGTTAATAGATGCAATGGTCCATGTGGGTATCTGCAAAGCAACCAAATGGACAGTGCTCCATGCGATAAACCTTTTGTAAACCTCCACACAGATTGCATGGGTTAAAAACTTAGAGGTCTGCCACACAAGGAGTTGCTTTTAGAAATTATTTTCATCCTTCATTTCTTTTTTTAAAAAAGAAGATATTCCACTTTTTATCCAAGCTCGAGGTGACACACATGGTTTTCCTACTCCCCATTTCACAACAAGCCTGTGACATCAGATAGTCTGAGAGCTAGGGATTGGCCCAAGGTCAATTAGAACCCTGGTCTCCCAGGTCCTAGTCCAGTATTCTGACCAGTACACCACACTGGGTCTCGGCTTATGTACAGCTTATGACATGCCACTCCACTCACACCAATTGCATCGTATATAAATGGAGTCTGTTGCTTAGGGAAAATTTGCAGACCACCTGGGTACATGGTGGACTGTTGGGAGTGGCTCTGCTCATTGGCACACAGTGGTCAGCAGGACACCCTGCACAGTTTTTTGTTTGTGCGCCCAGCACTGTGAGATGAGAACTGAATACGAGAGTCATTCTCACATTCATAGCTCAGCATTGTCTACACTGACAGGCAGTGGGTGTCCAGGATTTCAGACAATAATTTTTTAACATTTGAGATGGCTAAAGGCAAACTGCTATTCCATCTGACTCATACTGAAGGTGGGAATGATAATATTGGCCTGCCTTACAGGGCTGTTGTGAGAATTACTTAGAGGGTTTGTTTGAAACCCTTTGAAAACTTGAAGTATGCTATTGAAATATTTAGTACCACTATTATTAGACATAAGTAGAGCAGCAGGAATCTTGTGAGGCATCAACAAACTCCACATTCCTGTGAGTCTTTCAGCACTCTTTAATCTCATCCCTCAGTAATTCAGCCTTTTGGTTTCCCAAATGTCACAAATGACAAACTCAAGATTTTGTTCACCAGCAAGCCCAAGGACTTGACTGTCACCCAGAATATTGAGAGAGTGAGACTCTTTTATTTTCCCAATTTAATAAGTAGCAAAGGAGAGAGACTCTCTATACATCCATTAAATAACACTGGCACTTTCTTCCTTCCTTTCTTTCCTTCCTTCTTTCTTTCTTTCTTTCTTTCTCTCTCTCTCTCTCTCTCTCTCTCTCTCACACACACACACACACACACACACTGCTTCTCTACCCTGCTAAGAATTCTGACTGTGGAGCATGAATTCTCAGGGTTCCTTGACGGAATGGTTGCTGCAGTGGCGTGGTCAGAGGCCTAGTAAGCTGGATCCATTTGCTTATTGATTTATTTATAAGATTTCTTACCCCGCCCTTCAGCATAAGGTGGTACGTTACAACAATTGAACATACAATTATAAAAAATAAATAAATTCAATGATAAAACACAGCTTGTTGGGTCAGAAACTGGGCTTGCCTGCTTTTATGTCTGAAGTGTAAATGATAAAGATTTTGTTTTCTTTTGAGTGCACAGGCTTTTGTCTTCTAAGGAATCATTATGGTCACCTGCTTTGCATTCTGCTCTTAATGGGATTTTGCTTTAGATTTGCATATTTCACTATGGGGACATAATTTGACATAGTTCTCTGTGGTGGTGCCACCTTTTCTTTTGATTTCATCCCCCCCAGAAACAAATTTGTGACATCTGCTGAAAAGAGTGGCCTTGAGCCAGATGTGGAACAACAAAAACAAAACGAAGAAAGGGGCTGTAGCTCCGGAGTGGAGCACCAGGCTTGCATTCAGAAGGTCCCAGTTTCAATCAGTGTAGACAATGCTACTCTAGATGGACCAGTGATCTCACTCTGTATGAAGCAGCTTCCTATGCATCATTTTGTTATCCAGCCTGGGAAAACTCAATGTATAGCATCCACACCATCCTCTTACAATAGCAGTATTCTGGTTAGTATTGGGAAATCAGAAGTGATTTCTCCCTGGTGATTTTTTATTTTTATTTTTATTGGTAAGGATCAGATGTTACAGCAGATTCTGAGTTGGGATATTGTTTCTCAACCAGGATGGCAGGCCGTGGGGAGGTGGTGGAGCTGTGCTTTCCTTTTTGAGGGGTGTATGTGACTGTTTCACAAGTGTCTGGCCAGTGACTGACACATTGCCTTGCATTTATGCTTCAGCAGCTGCTCAGTATTCATACTTTGAAGCCCCAGCAAATATTCAGGTGGTGTTTTGTATTCATGTTACGTGTCCCAGGTCTCTCTTTTTCCTTTCTTTTTTAAAAGGCTGTATAGGTGGTTAGCTGAAACTGCTTTACTCGGCCTTCTGGTTTAAATACAGAAATGTGCTTTTAACAAAAATTCCCCAACAGCAGGGGCTAAAAAGGTTGTGCTGTTTCCTTCCGGTTGCCCTTGACAGTAAAAAGAACAACAACCGTGTTGTTGCGAAAATGAGGACCAAACAGGAAGAGGGATAGCCCTCCCCCTTGCTGCATATTTACAATGTATATCTGCCAACCAAAGAACATGGTGTACCTAATAAAATATGCCAAATGCAGGGATGGTGATTAAGTATACAAGACAAACAGTTCTCGAGATTGCAAATACGCTGGCATAGGAACAATGTGTCACCTCTGGATCAACATGTCCAATATTGCCATTCTGCCTTCTGACATCTCACTGCTTGTCCTGAAACACCATTTGCATAACCTGCAAACTACAAGTGGGCATTAATGCATAAGTCACTAGGGTAGCCTGATGCTGTTCTTCCCCTGCTGCTGATCTTTCTGTAGTTCGGTACTCCCCCCCCCCATTAAAGACACTTGCTGCAACTGAACCTAGAGCCAAACCTCATGCATATGTGCCCCCACTGCTTTATGGGATTTAGGTGGCAGGCCGCTACTCTGCACACAGGTTTGCTGCTGTTCAGAGGTGCCAACTTGTGCCAAAGATTGAGGGGCTCAGATCACGCGCATGACATCATGCGCGCAACGGGCTACCAGAGGGCGGAGCTGAATGCAGTAGCCGGCAGCTCCTCCTCTCTCACACTTGGCAGCCAGACCTTGAAGCTACGCTTGGCACCGCAATGGGCCTCCTCTGTCTCCTGACATTTGGGAACAAAAAAAAATTATTGGAGAGGCCAAAAGAGCTCAACCCCTTGGAGTTCGTGTCCCTGCTGCTTTTACATCCATTTTGGCCCTCACTGTGGTGGTAAACCTGCAACTGAACTGTGCTCCATTAGCCTGCACATGGGAGCTAATATAACTTGAAAACAATTAATTAATTAATTAATTAATTATGCATGGAAAGCTAGCTTGTCTGAGAGAAGTGTAGGCTGGAACTCTTCACCTTGACATTTAGTTGTCTTTCTGGACATATATTTCCACACAGAGAGAGAGAGAGAGAGAGAGAGAGAGAGAGAGAGGAACGCTTAGTCATATGAGCCTCCACCTACAGCCTGAAGCGGTACATCTCTGCACCCCAGCTGCATCCCCTCAGTGAGAGCTCTGAGATGCAGAGAAGGAATACCCTTTTCCTCCTTCACACATGGAAGATAATGTATATGAGCACAACCAGTAAGACATAAAATTGCAAGATGTGTGTCACCTCTGGCTAGTCCTTCCCTCCATTTTTTGTTTGTGTGCATCCATTTATGACCTTACTCGCTAAAAGAGCACCGCACACCATGCAGCAACATAGGGCTGACGGCAACTCTTGATATCTGAAGCCGTGTCCTGTGCAGGTTCTTGGTTCTCTGATCTTGCAGTATTTGAAAGGCTGTCCCCCTCTTTGCCTATACTTCACCCGCTTGCACCCAGCTTCAACCTCTCCTTCGTGGCTATTGACTAATCTTTGGAGAATACCTGTTTTTGTTTTTCACATGGTGTTGAGGCAGTCGTTAAAAGTAAAGGCAGAGGAACCCACCTTGACGCAGGGTTGCATGAGCCTTCATTGCGGCTTCCATATAGCTGGCTAAGTAGCTGGCTCAGATGCCAGTGCTGCCCTTGTCCATCCAGCTCAGATTTCATCCCCACTCATGACCATAAGAAGAGCCCTCCTGGATCAGGCCAACAGCCCATCTCATCCAGCATCCTGTTCCCACAGGGGCCAACCAGATGCCTATGGAAAGCCCACAAGCAGGACATCTCTCCCTGCTTGTGATTCCCAGCAACTGGAATTCGGAGGGCAATACTGCCTCTTGACCCTAAAGGTAGAACATACCTATTGGGACTAGTAGCCCACAGTTCTCCAGGATCTCAAGCCAAGGAGACCCTTTCCCATCACCTGCTGCTGCCTCTTTCCTTTTTAAAATCGAAGGTGACAATAATTGAGCCCGGGACCTTCTATGCTCAAGGCAGGTGCCCTGCCAGTGAGCCATGGCTCTTCCTTTGCATCTTGGCATGTTTCCGGAATAGCAAGAGCTCCGTTGGTTGGGACTGGCAGAATTGGGGACCTGGAACAGCAGGAAGCTGAAAAGGCAGCGACTGCAGAGATGGGGATTGCAGGAGGGCCTGCCAACTCCTCGCCCCCTTGCACCTCCTTGCCTGGCTGGCTTCCTTGGCCGCTGGCTCCCAGCCCACAGCTTTGGTGTCTTAAGATCCAGGCCGTTCCAAGAGGAGAATCTCATTATCTGGGGCCCGGATTATGGAGCGGGAGCTGCTCACAAGCAAAGGGATTAGATGTGAAAGTGAATTTAATCCAGATCCTTGGCAATGGCATGTGATTAGAAACTCCTCAAGAACTCCAAGTGCCTGGAGCAAGTGTGTGACAGGAGAGAGATTGGCAGGTGGCAGGAAGAGCGAGACCATATATCCCATCTGCCTAGACCCAGAAGAGGATGTTTGTGTGAGAAGTAGGAAGAGAAGATGGGATGGTTTGCGTGTTTTGTTGTTGTTGTTGTTCTGATAGGCAAAAGGAAGGGGCCCCTGCAGCACATCCGTTCCATTGAGAAAGCCAAAACCTTGGAAATAATAGCAAATATTTGAATCCTGGAGGGTCTTTTACCAGGTTGGATTTGAGCCTTTTTAGTTGGTTTGTTCCTTCACTGCCCATCCCACCCGCAAACCCTCCTCCCTTACCTAGATTGTATCAACATCCCACCCGGTGGCCCCTCTGGTCCAGCATCCTGTTCTCACAGTGGCCAACCAGATGCCTGGGGGAAGAAGCCCTCAAGCAGAAACCGAGCGCAAGAGCCCTCTCTCCTCTTGTGGTTTCCAGCATGCAGCATGCCTGCCTCTGATTGTGGAGGTAGAGCATAGCCATCATGGCTAGTAGCCATCGAGAGCCTTCGCCACAAATTTGTCTAATCGTCTTTTTCAAATCCATCTAAGTTGACGGCTATCACTGTTTCCTGAGGAGTGAGTTCCATAGTTTAACTGTGCTCTGTGTGAAGCAGTGTTTTATTTTATGTGTCCTGAATCTTCCATAGTTCATCTTCACTGGATGTCTATGAGGTGTCGGATGACGAGAGAGTGCACAAAACTCTTCTCGATCTGCTTTCTCCATTCCATGCATAATTTCATAGATCTCTGTTGTCACCTTTTCTCTAAACCCAAAGTCTCCAAATGCTGCAACCTTTCCTTGTGCTCCATGCCCTCGATCATTTTAGCTGCCCTTTTTTGAAACTTTTCAAATTCTCTGCACTCCGTTTTGAGGTGACACAACCAGAACTGGATGCAGTATTCCAAGTGCGGTTGCACCATAGATTTCTACAATGGCATTATGATATTGGCACTTTTGTTTTCCTTTCCTAGTGCTCCCTAGCATGAAATTCACCTTTTCCTCAGCTACTTTCATCCACTGACCATTATGGTTCAGGGCTGATGGGAGTTTTGGAGTCACATCTGGAGGGCTGCAGGCTCCCCATCTGTGTCAGAGCAGTTGGCCTGGCTATATTTGGCACCTCCCGCCTTCCATCTTCCTCTCTAGTCGGCCGGATGCATGGACCTCTCTAGCTGACAGAACTGTGGCCTGCTTTTGGTGATGGGTTGATTTGGATGTCTTCCAAGGACCTGTGGCTGATTCTACTTCCCATGGTTTATTCTTTTCTCTCTCAGAATGGCAAGTGTACGTTCTTGACCTTGTGCAGGAAGCCACAGCCAATACTGGTTCCATGGCAGATGTGTCCTTCTCATACACACGGTTGAAAACACACCTGCTCTGTGCACATGCAAAGTGTTTATTTGGTGTGCACCTTAAAACTACGACCCACAAAGGGGAGGGAAAGCAAATATCCCTTGGGCCAGGAAGCTCTTGTTGTTAGTGCCCCCTGTTGAGATTTTAAGACACTTGCAGGAGTTTTCCAACTGTGTTTAGGGCACTTCTGCAAAGGACCAAAGGGATAAGATGGACAACGTGCAGAGTATATTCAACAGTGGCCCAATCTGTACCATGTCACACCTGCGAGATTGAGTCTTATGGACAGGGCTGTGGAAAAATACCTCTGAAGCAGCCAGGCCTGGAAGCGGGGAGAATAAAGACGAGGGTTTGACAGGACAGCGCTCCCTTACTTATCTCTGTCTCCCCCCCTTCATCCCCCTCCCCTCCTTCTCATGCAGGTGCTCAGAACCCATCACCTTCCAAGAAGCCCAGGAACCGCAGCATCTTCCAGTCCCTCTTCTGCTGCCTTTGCCATGACAACTCGGAGCCTATCCCTGTCAACAACAACGCCCCACTCCTGGTGGAGGAAAATGGATCGGTGCCCAAGGTAGGCCCCAGCTGGCTGGCAGATCACTTGCTTGAAATGACCAAGGGAAGGGTTAAGTATCTAGTGGGGCAGGCCAGGGCTGGTTTCTTGGGTGAATTGACATTTTAGACTTTTGATGGATCTACTTTGGGTTGGTGTGTGTGTGTGTGTGTGTGTTTGTGTTTGTGTTTAACCGCAACCCCGAGATCTACCAACCAAAGCTGGGTGCAAAAGATAGCTTTGGAATTAAAAAGCAGGGGGGCTTTGAGCCTAGGAACTAGTTTTCAGCACCAGAAGTGAATGGACCTCATAGCCCTTTCGCACAAAAGTTCATTTCTGGTTAGCTTCCTTCGTTTTAGCAGCCTAATTTAGATGTTGCCATTTTGCTGTTCTCGCTGATAAACATTTGGGGAGTAAGAACCCTTGCTGATCCTCTGCAGATGACCCAGAGATCTACCATTCAATCCTGATCTGCCTTCTGCTCACCCCTCCCTTAGGGCAGCAAACTTGGTTGGTTACAGGAGTTCCAAGATTTTACAAAAAGGAACATTGCCTCCCTTTCCCCTCCAACTCCCAGTCCCTGCTTCTCCCCATCCATTCATAGTCATGGTGCTTTTTAAAATTTCATTTTGGGCAAAATTCCCAAGCCTTTTGAATGGATGCAAATATTTTCAGTGTCAAAACCATTCAGGCCAGGCTGCAGCTAGGAGAGTGCTTAGAAATCTTAATGGGCTTGGTCATGTGGCATGATGAAGCCCCTGCGCACCTCGCAAGAGACTTGGAGTGCACATTACAGATCATTTAATATGCATTAGTTACCCTTTTCCACACATTAACTGGCCTCTCGTCCTTGCAGCGAGGGCACTTGCATTCTACAGAGCAAGGTTTCTACCTTGGTACCCCAGGCATTGGGGCAATAGACCTTTACATTTCGCTTTGCTGTAGGAGCTGAGGCCGGCTGAGCTCCTCACGCCCATTTCCACCCCCCTGCTGGTCCTGTCACATGCCCTCTGCACTCCCTTGCTGAGCTCAGCAGGACCTCCAATGTGCCACATGACAGGTAAGGGAGAGGGGGGCAGGTGACAGGATGGGGGGAGAAGGAAATGGATGAGAGCCCCAGATGCAGCTGCCTTGAATTTAAAAAAAGGAGAAGCAAGAAAAGTGTGTGTGTGTGTAGGGCTAATGATTAAGAAATGCAGAGCTCTCCAGTTACACAAACACTGTGCAGACATTTTAAAACTATGGAGTAGGAAAACAGACAAATAACGGATGAGCCACCCCCAAAGGAATAAACACAATTTGCTGCATGTGAAACGAACAAACTTTGGTAGCGCTCTTAGGCAAATCCATGACTAGCTTTTGTCTGGTTTTAATCTTTATAGTGCTCTGATGTTTTAAGGATTCTTAACTATTGTAACACAGAGCTTTTGCATTCATAGAATCATGGTATTTGCAAGGGGCTCCACGGTTCATCTAGTCCAACCCCCTGCAATGCAGGAATCACCGCTAAAGAATCCCTAATATATGGCCACCCAACCTCTGTTTAAAAACCTTTAATGAAAGAGAGCCCACCCCCTTGGTTAAGAACTATTTAAGCCCTTTTCTTGTTTGTCCTTTCCAGGTTTGTTGCTGGGTTAGATTTCCTCTTTTCATGAAGCCAGGGGCCTAAACACATGGCAGGCTGCTTGGGTTAGGTTACCAGCCAAGTTAGGAAGAGCACTGGGGGCTTTGTTATCCCAGCGCTGCTGAGCTACCAGCTCCTTTCAAACTGGTAGTCAAAAGTCCAGTGGATTCTATACTAGAGCATCTTGATCCTTGTCGCTAGTGCCCTCTGGTGCCCAGTCGTGTAATTGCAAATGTCTGTGCTTTGTTTCAGAGCAGATCCTACTCCCACTCCAATGTCACCCCAACGCAGCTCCTCCTCCTCCCCAAAGAAAAACTTGTGACTGCAGGTTCACAAGATGGGGAATGGATTGGAGATTTTTTTAAAAAAGATGCTCCAGTCCCCAGTCCCTTTATCTTGGTGCTACCTTGGACTTCATCATTGTTTGCCAGAACTGTGTCCAAGATCTTTATACCAGCCATAGCATCCCTAAATACTGATTTGGGACTTGGGAGTCAGCACAGGTTCTGAGCCCACCATCTCCACTGCCCTGCTAGCTGCCAGCTTCCCTTACAGCATGACTCTGTGTCCTGCACTCCTCCTCACAATATTTTCTCCTGTGTGTGTATGTGCTTCTGCAGGCTACTGTCAAATACCTCCTGCCAGAAACCAAGCCTCAAGATTCCAGCAAAATCTGCGTCGTCATTGACCTGGATGAGACATTGGTACATAGCTCCTTTAAGGTTAGTCCTTTCTCAAGTGTTTTGCACACAAACACCACCACTGCCTGCTCTAGCCCTTTGTTGACTCTCCATCCAGACAGCTTTATTTATTTATAAATTTTAAGAGAATTTATACTCCACATCCCCACTATTTGGAAATCAAGGTTGTTCACATGATTATCCTCTCCTTAGTGCAGAATCCAAGACACCTTTTAACTCCTGCCTCTGCCCCTTTAATGACTAGCGCCCCCCCCTTCCCAAGTTTAGGAATAAAATCCAGAGGTGTCACTCCCACCTTTCTCTTCCCTAATCCAATATTCTCATCCTTCTGGTCCAGAGCTAGGTGAAGCACCTACAGAATGTGTAGCTCCATTTATCAGCTTGCTCATCCTGAGTTGCACCACATTTTAAGTGCATTTATACCTAGCTGTCTTCAGTTTCATGATATAACCAGGCTGCACAATTTGATATTTCCCAGGTAATGGAATCTGCTGTTCAGGTTTGCAAAATTTGGAGGGATTTTTTTTTTTTTTGCCTTTACCCATTCTCCTACCATGACAACATTTTTTAAAATGTAATAGTTTCTCTTTGTTGTAAGCCACCTTTTGTTATTGGGTAGCATATAAATCCTGGAAGTAAAGCCCTCTGGATTCCTTTCCTGGCAAACCCAAGAGCCCTGGTTGTGCTTTGCCCAGAAACAGCCCTGGCTCCACCGTATGGACCTTGTGCTGCCTTTCAGCTGCTGGTTAACCAGTTGCCACCAGCTCTTCTGGAGCAGTGGGTAAGGCAGGGGTGAGGAACCTGTCCCTCCAGATGCTGCCAGACTCCCACCACCGCTGACCATTAGCTCTGCTGGCCAGGAGAAGGCTCCATTTACCACTCTGTAAGAGAGGAGCCATCTTCAGTTCCTGCTGCCAAAGATGTGTGCTAGTGCCAGTTGCCCTGAGAGACGGTGGCAGGTGGAGAGGAAGTACGGTGTGAGGGAGCAAAATGGCTCACTTGCAGGAAGCACCAAAGTCTAGAGATGGCCTTGTTGCAGAAACCTAATCTTATATGATGAGAGAGTACGGCTATGAGAATCAACCCTGGTAGTGGGGAAGATGTGAAGAGCAGAGGAACCCAGCAGAGGAGGTCTAACTTCCCAACTCTGTCCCTTCCCAGCCGGTGAACAATGCAGATTTCATCATCCCAGTGGAGATTGACGGGGTCATGCACCAGGTATGGATGCTGCCGGGAGAGCCTAATGGGTAAAAAGAGGGGTTCTGGTATTGGCAGTACTATTCTCAAACGGGGGTCGCTGCATTTCAAAGCTGATGTTGAATTGCCAAAGGTGACTTTGGGGCAGTCGCTGGTATGCAGCGCTCAGGAAAAGGAAAGAAACCGCTTGGGGGTCAGTTGTGGTGGAGGATGGGGCTGAGCTTTTGCACCCCTTTCGTTCATGTTTGCCATCCCTACTTAGAAAGGCGGTGGCCAGGTTCAAGTAATCCAGGATAGGCTGTGAATACTGCAGTCAGCCTGTTCTCGATTACTTGGCCTTGGAGGCAGCCAGCAGCACCAGCCAGGATGGATACAGCAGCTCCGTACCATCAGCCTTTGGAGAGGAACTTATCCACTGAAGACACTTTTCAGGTGCTTTGAATGGTTCCTGGGTGATCTAGACCAGCCACACCATTTCATATCACACACTTTGTATCTCAGAGGGGACATCTAACCATGGCGTGCTGCATGTTGAAATGTAGGAAGTAAAGGAGCCTCTTGTTCTGATGTACCAAGTTGCCCATGCATGGGAGCCAGCCCCGGGATACGGGGTGGAATCAGGATACTAGATGAAAAGTCATAGAGTATCTTGTCTTGGGATGTGTGAGATCCCAGAGTTGGATTCCAAAGGCTAAGAAGGACCTCTAGAGCCAATCTTTCATGTAGGCCTGGATAAACTATCCTTCGCAGAAGTTTATCCAACCTGTATTCCTTTCTGATGTCCACAAGCCATCTTGATAGTTCACATCAGTTGCCAACCTGTCCTCAAATACTAAGAACTAATATTAAATCCTCCTTTTCCAAATTCTTCCCACTGAAGCTTTGGAGACTGGCTGTTTTTTGTCACACTTGCAGCCAGACATATGTGTTTTGGACTCAGGCGTCTCTACCTGAACAGCCGCATGCTGCGGTTGAGTCATCGCTTAGGGGACAGAGCACCTGCCCCAGATTCAGTCCCCATCATCTCCAGTCTGCAAGGATAATGTGACAAACACCCCACTCCCTAAGCCACTGCCAGTCAGAGTACGGAGCACTGGCCTCAATGGACAAATAGCCTGATCTAGTATGAGAGGCACCTTCCTAAATCTCTGTGTGCTCCTTGGGCAACTTGTTCCACCAGCCAGTCTCTTCTTCCACTCTTGGGGGTGGGGGTTTCTGATGCTCAACCTAAACCTGCTGAAGAGAAGAACAACATGGTACCCATGGTATTCGCTAGCCAGGAAGACTGGGTGGGGACTCCCCATGCTTCAGCTAGCTAGTGAGCGGATCTGTGCCCTGCGTCCCCACCTCCATACTCTCCCTTCCCCTCCCCAGGTGTATGTCCTGAAGCGACCGCATGTGGATGAGTTTCTACGACGGATGGGTGAGCTCTTCGAGTGTGTGCTCTTCACCGCTAGTCTGGCAAAGGTGAGATTCTCCTCCTCCCACCTCCACACTGGAAAGGGTGATTGTTGACTTCAGACTCCTCCCCGGCTCCTACCACACCCATGTAGTGGGCTCTATTGGGGAAACTTGAGGCACTGGGAAGAAAAAGCAAGCTGCATTGGGCAGGCAAGCACTGATTTTTCTTCCGCAGTGGATTGTTGAACCGAAGTACAGAGCCCTTCATCCCTACTGTAAACTGGAGTAGAGAGGGTTAGCCTCCCATCCAGGATTAGAGCTGGATTAAGTCGTCAGGAGAGGACAACTTTTTAAAGTGAGTGCATTACAATAAAGCATTTGGAGGAGCTTGAATGTAAAACATGAGCACTCCGAGGAAAGGGTTTGCAGCGGTTCTTTTCCTCTAACCTAGCCCCTGTTCTTCTACCTGGGCAAGGGAAACTGGCTGAGAACCCTGGGAATATGCACACTTACCTGCTGGGATGGGAGAAATGGAAATCTAATCATCAGAGGAAGGTGATGCAGGCTTCTGTGGATGCAAGTGGAGCAGTTCCATCCTGTCCCATCCCTTGCAATAGGCACGCACACCTGAGTGTGGTCAAACTGACTCTCCTTCTCCTCCTAACCCCAGTATGCAGACCCTGTGGCTGACCTGCTGGATAAGTGGGGAGCCTTCCGTGCCCGCCTCTTCCGCGAGTCGTGCGTCTTCCACCGTGGAAACTACGTCAAGGACCTCAGCCGCCTGGGCCGCGACCTCACGCGGATCATCATAGTGGACAATTCGCCTGCTTCTTATGTCTTCCACCCAGATAATGCTGTAAGTGGCCAGGTAGCCATCAGCTTCCTGGCTTTTGCTGGGAATGCGGAGCGGAAGGAGGGGGTTGTGTAGGCAGAAAACTAAAAAAAAAAAAGCTGTACAGGCTCACTTTCTCCACCCTGCTGCACAGAGCTGCATGCCAGAGCAAAGCTTAAAATATACAGGTGGAGAACAGAGCAAGGGGGGACCTCAGTGCGATGGTCACATGCCCATTCTTTGGGATGACCTCTCGCACTTTGCTGCAGCGCTCTCCCTTTTCCTCTTCACCAAGCTGCTTCCGTCCAGCTCTTTTGGACTACAACTCTCATTGGCTGCGGCCGATGGGAGTTGGATTACTAGGATCACCGTATTTATTCAATTTATATCCCACCCTTCCTCCCACAGGAGCCCAGGGTAGCAAACACACCTGTAAGAACCTCATTGAAAAGCATTTTAAAAATAGCTAAGAACAACCACACACTCTCAGCCAGCGGTTGCCGGAAGCAGCATATTTCAGACATCAAATGCCTGGGGTAAACAGGGATGTTTTAAAATTGCTCCAGAAAGAGCTGGAGGGGGCCAAGTTGGCAAAAGCAGCACTACAAAATTCCCCTTACACTTGGGCAAACACAGTTTATGCAGAGCTCCCTCAACAAAAGGCTGAGGGAGACTCTGTGTGTCTGGGCTGCTCTTGCACTAGGCTGGCATTCTTCCATTCCCACAATGCACCATGATGGGGAGAGTGGGGCTCTGCCTCCTGGTCTTGGCCCCACTGTTCCCACTGTTTGCACACTGTGGCAGCCGGAGCACTGTTCTGGGCTCAAAGCACGCCTACCTACAACTCATTATCATTGTTATATGTATTACGTACTTGCCTCCTAACCGCTTCCCTTCTCCCACCGTGGCAGGTGCCTGTGGCTTCGTGGTTTGACAACATGGCTGACACGGAGCTCCTGGACCTGCTGCCGTTCTTTGAGAGACTCAGCAAAGTGGACGACGTCTATACAGTGCTAAAGCAGCACCGGACTAGCAGCTAGTGACCGCAGGGGAGCTTTGGGCAGGGGAGAGGAGAGGAGGGGCGTTTGCCCGTCTCAGCTGCTTCCCTTTCATTGAGCAGGACAGCCTGCTCCTTCCCTCAGCCTAGCCCCTGGCAGCCTCAACGCACAGTGCAGAGCACAAGAAACCCTGCAGGGGGCGTCATCAGAGAGCGCTTGTTTCCGTGGTGCAGCAGGACAGGACCCCTCTCTCTCAGTGTCCGAGTGTGATCTTCATCTCCAGAGAGAGGAAGCCCCTTTCGACGCTGTGTTTTTAACGGTTTGCCCCCTTGAATAATGGGCTGAGGAGACTAGGACCTCAGCCCAGTTTTCCCTGCCCCTCTCATACCAAGTGGGACCAAACCTGTGGTCCTTTCTCCTCTAATCAAGGGGGGGAAACCAGAACCCTACCCCATTCCCCTGCCACCAGGTCAGGGGTGCTACACAAGAACCGGTCCCAGGTACCCACTGCATCTCGCCACTGTTTGCATCTTCTCCTCCTGTTTCTTTATTAGGTGTTGAGGCCTAGGTTTCTGGGCTTATAAGTGTCCCAGCTCTGTTTGTGGTGGTGGCGGCCACTGACTTGACTGGAGGCAGGGAGAGACCCCGGGTGGGAAGTATCTGAGAGAAGTTGGGATGGGGAGACAAAAGAGAACAGGCAGGACTCAGGATAAAGCGGGGGCTGGAAAGATGTGGGGAGATACAAAGTGGATTGAACATTTAAAGGGACTCTGTTGCATCTTGTCAAAGAGAGAGGGCATTTCTGCTTCAGAAAGACAGGCAAAGCTGGTGGGTTTCGGCTGAACGTTTGAGGAGTCCTAAACTGGATGCAGCTTATTTGCCATTGTTGAATAAGTTTTCTCCTTTGGGGTGCATACTGGATTGGAGTTGTTTCTCCCTCCCCTTGGTGGAGAAAATCCTGATTTGGAGAGGAAAATCCCAAGTTTTACTTAACTTTTTGGAACTGGTAGCAACCCAACAGAGGGGGAAAAGAGATACTTGAGGAGCGAGAGGGAAGAAATTGGTGTGTTTGGGGAGGAGAGAAGCTTTTCTCCGCTGAGACGCAAGATAAAACTAGCTCTGTCAGTTTTGTCAACAGGGCCCTGTGACAGGTGCCTTGAGAGGGGAGGGAGTGACCAATCCAGTGGTTATAACAGCCCCAGATCGCCTGCCTTAACCCCATCCTTCATTCTATCTGGAGAGAATGCCTGAAGCTGTGATTTCTTGGAGCAAGAGAAAGATGGTTCACAATATCAATCGCTAGTAGAGAAGGAGGTCTGAGATGAGAGATGGGTTTGTGAAGATGGCTGTGAGGAAAGTAAGCGCTACTGGTTGATCTGTGCTAGGGAGGAAGGCCGCCACCTTGAACAATCAGGTTTGACCCAGAATAAATTCTTCAAAGACTCTGAGGCTTAAGAGTGTGGGTTGGTGACACTGACCTGCAGTACCCATGTATGACTCACTCCAGTTGTCCTCCTTGATGCTTTTCTATATTCTACGCCAGCCCTCAGCTTTTCTTCCTTCAGCCTCTGGCTTTCCCAAGGCCTATTCTTCAGCTCCTTCAACTCAGCCCTTCCTGTGACCATAAATCACATATGCATAGGCCATACAGGGAGAGGGGTCAATCTCTTTCTCTGCCGCTGTGGGTTTATTTGTTTTCCTCTTATGCTGTAGTGCCTTCAAACCTTACAAGGCATTGAGGTGCAACTCTTGCCTTTGGGCTGTGGTTGGAATTCTCCTCCTGGACTTTTGAGGCATGTGGGGGAAATTGTGCCTTTTGGAAGTGATGGACCTGTTGGTATCCTAAAGAGACAAGAGTGGATGGACACACAATGCTGCGTTGTGGTGGCGGCTGGCGCCTCTGTTTCCAATGCTTTGCCGACAGTCCAGCCACTTCAAGTTCCCAAAGGTGGTTTTGGCCAAAATCAAGCTGGCCGTTCCTTCCCTTTGAACCATATTTCCCCCCACTTTGCCCAGCAGCTTTGAAAGCCTGTTTTTTAAAAGGAAAGAGAATCTTTAAGTCAGAGTAGAATTGCCTTGGTCCTCTGCCAATCTGTTCTGCAAGATAATGGATTTGCCTTGGTTTCTTTCCAGTGCCACTCTGAATTTGCCTTAAAATGTTTTTTGGATACAAGAAAACCTTGTGCCTTTTTTTTTTTTTTACTATTGTTCTTGGCTGTTTTGTTAAGAAAGGACATGATGCCAGGGCTCTTCAGAGCCTCAGCCCATTCAGGATGGAATGTTTCAGGAATGGGGCAGAATTTGGCTCTCAGTAGTGGCTCCTGGAGTAGCCCGCTGAGTCAGAGCAAAGCGCATTGCTGAACCTCACTGCCAGGGGGCAAGCAAGCAGTCCTTTGCAGCAAACTATGACCTTCTATTTAAATCTTACTAAATTGCTGTTGTAACATAGTGGAAGTACCTCGTCACTGCCAGATTGGACATTATGGGGGATACTGGATGCCTAGAAACCTTTGAGCAGCAGGGAACCTCTGCCCTTCCAAATGCTGTTGGACTTCAATTCCCATCAGCCCTGGCCAATGGTCAAGGTAGATGGGAGTTGCAGTCCAGCAACAATTGGAGGGCCGTTCCTGCTTCTAGCAGCTACTGCAGGTGTGGGGAGCCTTTGTCCCTCTAGATGTTGCTGAACTACAACCCCCAGCATCCCTGGCCATTGGCCATGCTTGCAGCACCTGGAAAGCCAAAGCTTCCCCACACCTGAGCTGCTGCTGGATTTATCCCTCTGGAATGTGCAATGTTTAGTATTGCCAAATTTAAAACCAAGCAATGAGAGCAGGCAGGAGGGAAATATATTTTCAGAAAAAGTTTATTGTGTATAAAAGTTTTTTTCAGTGGAACAGTAAAAATAAGACTACCATAACACACACATACTCCGTTGAAACCCCAAGCGTTCCCTAGAAAGAAAATGTTCTTAAACAAAAAAAATTATCCCTCCTTTTTCTTTCCTTTTTGTTGCTTGCATATTTGTAGTGTTTATGCCAGTAGGATGCAGGATACCCATTATCCATAGTCGCTCCTTAGGATGCCTGAGGAAGGTTGCAGGTTCTTACATGAAAAGCCCTGATTTGCACCTCCTAGGCTCATGGATGGATCGAAACAGCTCCCCACAGCCCTTCTTTGTGCAACACAGTTCCCTCAGCATTTTAAATGTATAAATAGGTATTTTGAGAGAAAATGCACATTTAAATATGTATTTAAATAGTGAACTTTCAAATGACTTTTTTATTTAAATGCAAGGGTAAAATCATGCCAAAGTGGCACAAAACAAAATAGAGAAGATTCCTAGGCATAATATCTTTTAATCTAATCTGTACCAAAGTCAAGTGAAATTAACAACAAAGAGTTTGGTGGTACCTTAGGTGCTAACACTTTGTTGTTTTTACAGCAACAGTCTAAGATGCAAACCACTCTTGGGGCTGTGGGGGAATTGCGGCTGTAACTGAGTGCACCCTTTCTTGAGAGACATGTTCCATTTAATGCAGTGGGGCTTGCCTCTGATTAAACTTCCATGGAGTTGCTCTACATGTCTCTTTGTTTTTGCCTCTGAGTTGAAGTTGCCACAAACACCTGCTCTACCCAGTGCTCTCCCATTGGAGTAGCTACATTTGGCCAAGTTTGTACCATCCGAATTGCATCAAATTCCACTGGCCTCTCCAGTCTCTTGCAGCGTGGTATGGCAGAAACTCTCCATCCTTCTGCACAGAACATTCAGCAGTTTTTCTAGTCTGGCAGTGTTGAGGTGCTCGTTTGCTCGAGGCCGTGAGTCACTCATGATCTGCAATGCCCAACAGACAAAATGCTCCTAGTCTGAGCTCCATCCAGACAAGCCCTCTGTGTGGGGAGTTGCCCTGTGCACCCCCGCAGAAAAAACATATTTTTATTTTTTACAGAATGTGGAAAGAAGAATTTTAACTGGGCACATTTTTAGATTATATAAATATGTATAATGTGTATATATTTTAGGAAAAATGGAAAATAAAAAACAATGAAGCGGGATGGGGGGGGGAGGGAAACCATCTGAGGATTTTTATAGCTGTATTTTTAACAACGTTCCTGGGAGATGGTGATTGTTTTTGTGTGCTTGGTTGCCATTATTCTTGGTGTAAAAGGTGCGAGTGATCTTTGCCCATGAGTGGACACCTCTGTCAGAGAGTATGCTCCCCCTTCTCCAAATGCCTGCCGGATTTCCCCTTCCTCATTTTTAACACATCAATAAGCTCAGCATTAATTAAGCTTAGTTCGCCAGTAGTTAGGATAAGACACTTATTCCACCTTTAATTTGTTTTTCCACCTGCATCAGATTATGGAAGATCCAAACCTGTTCACATCTCCCTTTCCCTGTTTCGCTACAGACACATTATCTGTTTCTGTCCATCCACCTCTACCCCCTTCTCACTGGATGCTAGCTATTTACACCAAAAATGATACTTGCGGAGGTAGTAGCTAGCAAGCCCATCCTTACAGGGGAATGGCTTTTGCTTAAGAGTGAAGCTATTCTCCTTTTCCCATTAAATTGCACCCCTCTCTCCTCTCATTTATTTTCTTCGCAGCAAAGGAGAGAGAGTAGAAGAGTACCGAGGAACCTGAAGCCCTCCAGGCATTTCTGAACTCCGACTCCCATCATTCCTGACCATCAGCAGTGCTGGCTGGGGCCAATGGGAGTTGGAGTCCAGCAAGAGAGAATCACAGGTTCCTCATGCCTGGGGCAGAGATTCAGTGACAGCGAGCAAGTTTAACGCAGTATTGGGGAAACTCCATGCTTTATTGGGAAAAGTAAAAGCTGATAACCTTTTCAGTGCCAACCTGGAAACTACAAAGAGCCACAAGTTTTCAACTAGCCATGTCACTATGGCTCATTTTGCCCTCTTGAGTTTTCTGGGGTGACAGAGAAAGTTGTCCCATCAGATTCTCAGGCCACAAGCTTCTTATTGAAGCTATGCCTTACTGCCCTCTGGAAGGTCCTTAATGCAGGTTGTTAGCAAGGG